ACTTCTGTCCGTGTCTATGTGTGTGTGTGCGTTTTTCCACTCTGTTTCCTTTGCAATCATCTATAGAATCAAAAAACAAAACAAAAAAAAAATTCAAGTCAAATTGAAAATGAACAAACCATATAGAATTAGACGCTATGATGATAATGACAACTGCAACGAGAAAAAAAAACAATTGAAAATTTACTACACACCCAATTCTCTGAATAAATTCTGAATTGATTACTGTATTTTTAATGTTTTTTCATTTTCATTTTTTTTCTGGCCAAGCTCCTGTGTGTATGGTGATCATGATGATGATGATGATCATTAAAAAAAACACGTTAATTATATGCATATGAAGAAAAATGAAATGTCGGACACTCACTCACACACACACACACACACACCAACACACAGACAATGTTACAATATTTTTAATGGTCAATAAAAATGAAAAAAAAAACATAAATCATTTTTTTTTGTCATTTGAGAAACCATCACAGCAAAATGTATCAGTGTTTTTTTTTGTTCTCAGTGTTTCTCAGTGTTTCTCACATAAAGTTTGCGTTTGTTTTTCTGCAGAAAAAAAAACTTTTTTTTTTCAATCTAGTTTAGTTACTTTTAAACTTTTCGTCATCATCATAGTAGCAGTAGTGGTAGTAGATCGATTGTGGATTTTAAAAGTTGAAAAATTTTTTTTTTTCTCTCTCTCTTGATGAAAAATCGATGGAAAAATTTTTTTGTTTCCACTGGGCGTATTTCAAAGTGAAAACATACACCATTGTAAAAAAAAAAATTTGGTGAATGAATAACACTATATTGCATATGTTTTGGACAAAGTAATTTTTTGTGATTACCATATTTATTTGTGCACATATAATATATAATAATGTCCTTAAAAGGCAAACAAAAGTGTTAAATTTCTTCAATGACACAAATGTGTTCAAGACATTTTTTGTTTATGTATAAATATCGTTGAGAAACAACATCAACTATAGACAAAATAAAGTGGAAAAACTGAAACCAGGAATTTATCACCAAAACCAGCGAAAAAAAAAGTCGATGATAATACAAGAACAATATTCTGTACGAATAAAGAAAAAAAAAGAATGTGAATATTCCATATACGACACAACATTGTTTTTGTTGTTCATTCGTTCATTCATTCATTCAAGATCCAGAAATTTGTCCATTTATTTCCGTCTCTTTTTCTCTCTCTCTATCTCTATTTCCATTTACTGGTTCATATGGATAAATTATGATGATGATGATGATCAAACGACAACCAGAGACATACCCACACACACACACACACATTAAGTTTTGTGTCTGTGTTCAATGGCTAAATGATGTGAAAAAAAAAAAAAATTCAAGAAAAATGAAAATGCAATGCACCAAAGCCAACATTCATGGATGGATCGGTGGAAAAAGTAAATTAACAAATCTATATCCATGATCGCCATCATTTTTGATACTAGGCGATAACTTTTTTGGTGGTTTTAAATTTCCAGAAAAAAAAATAATTGAAATCCAAAAAAGTAGCAGTATCACCGACCAGGAAACAAAAAAATAACACATGACCACTGTCATTAATTTTTTTCTTTCGCTTCATTTTTTTTTCACACACACACGGACAAAGTTTTATTATTCTCAATCGACAACAGAAGAAAAATAATAATGAAAAAGAAAACCGTAAAAAAAAATCATGAATCATCATCATCATCATCATCGACAACAACAACAACAACAACAACAAAATAACACTGCAACTGAATAGGTCAAATAAAAAAAAAATCGCTCTCTCCCTCTATCTTTGTGTCTCTCTCTGTGTGTCTAATTTTCATTTCTTATCATCATCATCATCGTTGTGTTATATGAAAATATTTTTTGTCATCGTCGTCGTCGTCATTATTGCCATTTTCTTTTTTTTCATGGAAAATATTTTTTCATTATTATTGGGACAATAAAATGGGCAAAAAAAAAATCTTACTACGAAACCAACGAAATAATGAATTGTCGGTCTGCATTTTCCCCATGTCTCTGTCTTGAAAAAATTTTTTCTTCTCCAAGTCAACCAGCCAACCAACCAGCCATAGGAGACATAATGTTCATCCATTCGAATCGGCAGAATTTCATCATCATCATCATCGCTTCTGTCATTGTCTGAATATTCTGAATTCATTTTTTAGAATTTCATTGTTGTCGTCAAAAATTGAATGATTGATTAGTTGAAAAAAAACAAATTCTTCTCTTTTTTTTCTCTGCTATTAAATGTCACACTGATGATGCGTGTGTGTGTGAAATGAGATTCTATATACATAGAATTTGGATCATAATAATCACGATTGGAATTTTGGATCCAGAAGAATATGCAAAAAAAAACGTTTTTTGACCATTTGAATGAAGAAAAAAACTTGACTTGAATGAAATTGCCAATATACAAGAATAAATGATTCATGATCAGAATTTATGAATGAAAACAAAAAAAAAATCGACAACGACGACAAAGAATCTGTGATCGATACACAGAATTGAATTTTGAATACTAATGTGATTTTTTTTCAACATTTTGTTTGTCGTTGCTGATACTGTCCAAAAAAAAAAAAATTCAATTCAAGAATAATTTTTTCTTCTTTGTAATTTAAGAATTCGATTAGTATGATCATCATCATCATTATCGTGTATCGAACAAATCAGCCAAATCATCAGGTTTTCCAATCGAATGATTGAAAAATAAACAGAAAAATAAATCTTTTAAAGAAAGAGAAAAAAAAAAAAAGACAAACGAAAATGAAATTTAGATTCTTGATGATCAATCGAAAACAACAACAACAATCATCATCATCAGCATTTTTTTTCGATTTTGGTCGATTTTTGTTTTTCGTTTTTCGTTTTCGTTTGTTTGTTTTTGGGGAAAAAATGCAAATACAAAACAAAATTCATTGGCGATAATGATCAATCAATTTTTTTCTCACCAAAAATGCACGATTGTTGATCAATAATAACGCCCGGTTTCATCATCATCATCATCGATTTTTTTCTGGGTTGCTAAATCACAACTGAAAATACAGACAACAACAACAACAACAACAAAAAAAAAATAAATGGACTGCGAATGATTGTGAAATGAACAAAAAATAAAAAAAATGGACATATCGAGCAAAAACAAAGCAATGGTAATGGTATGGAACAAAAAAAAATCGACCAAATCAAACAGCAAAAGAATTTTTTGGGTTTGGTCGAAAATGATTCCATTGGAGAATTGAATTTAAATCAATGATGATCTATGGCCACACACACACACCAGACCACTGTATTTTATCATTTTATTCTACAAGATTTCTGGCCAACAACAACAACAACAAAAAACCATTTAATTTCGCTTCACTCTCTCTCTCTCTCTCATGGTCTATATATAGCCATCACCATCATCATTTTTTTGCTTATCTTAGCATCATTAAGAAAGAATGAAAAAAAAACCTAAACCTAAACCCAGAGAAGAAGAAGAAGAAGAAAAAACATTTAGAAGATCAAACATCCAATGAACGCGGATCCACTCTCAATAATACAATCTGCCATTAAGAGGAAAAAAAAAGTCAGCAGAAAATGATGAAAAAAAAAAATTTTTTTCGCCAAAAAACAAAAACCTTTTTTATCATTGAGTTACAAGTTGATTTATCTTTATCTTATCTTGTTTTTTTTTTCGTTTTCGTTTCTGTTGTACCATCACATTTACAAATTATAAAAAAATAACACAAAATCAATTTGTTCCTAAAGTTCATGAATTTCAATGTGATTCTTTCATTCTTTTTTTTTCAATTAAATGAATTGGATTGAATCATCATTAGGATTTGAAATCTTTTTTTTTCGATTCAATTTTCAATTGATAATGATGATGATGTTTTTTTTCTGGTTTCAATTGTTGGTCGGTTGATTTATCAGACACGTCTGACTGTCTGTCTGTGTGTGTGTGTGTTTTTTTTATTTATTTTCCTAAGTGCATTTTGTTTTGTCATTTTCATCAAGTCGATCGCAGTGTTTTTTTTTCTTAGTGTTTGATCTCCAATAATAAATGAAAAGAAAAAAAAACATTAACAAACGGAAAAGGAATAACAAAAAAAAAACGACAAAGATAAAGAATTTCAGGAAATGGAATTTCGAATTTTACATTCAAGAATCGCTGAATAAATGATTAACATATTCTGCATGTGTGTGTGTTTACATAGTGCAACAACAAGAATTGAAATTAATTGTTTTCGAATGAATTTTCTGTGTTTTTTTTTCATTATTTTAAAATTTTTGCTACACCAGAGATCAAAAATCGATTGATAAAAATCAATGAATCGATACAAGTATTGGTGTGTGTGTGTGTGTGGTGAATTTAAAATTCTAAAAAGAAAAAAAATTCCAAACACGAATATTCCATAGAGAAAAAAAATGGTGATAAAAAAAAAGAAATTTTTGAAATTTAAAATTCCAACAAGAATGAACAATGAAAACGGTTAATGATTTTTGATTTTTTTTTCACAACAAACATTTCAACCATAGCTAATTTTAATATTCATGAACAAGAGAAAAAAAAATAATGAATTTTTTTTAGCCAATGAAGCTGAGCTATATTCATTCACGAATAAATCAATGGTGAGAGAGAGAGAAAAAAAATGGAAAAGGGATGCATTGAATTTTTTTTTTCGTTCGATAAACAAACAAAAAAAAAACTCGCACTTTTTCAAGGAAGAAAAACATTTTTTTGATTCAGATTCATTTTGATTGGCATAACTGGGAATAATAACTAACCAGAAACCAATGGCTGCACACAGAAAACAGAAAAAAAACACCTGGAAATAATTCAAGAAAATTGTAAAGTCAAACAAACGTAAACAGAAAATTTTCTGTGTGCGGGTTGGTTTTTCAATATTTTCATTGCCCAGATGCACAACAACAAAAAAATATTGGAACCGAAGAAAACAAGTATCAAATTTCCATGATGTAAAAAAACAAACAAACAAACAACTTACCTTGCAAGCAGAATATTCGTTACTGTACGCATACGATGAAAACGTGCAACAACAATAATAACCAATACATTGCCAACAATGGTCACAATTATCAATGCAATACATATTATTGCACCAATTAAACGTAATGCAATTTCTGTACTTGATAATGACCATAGACTATCATCATCATCATCCGTTGTTGTTGTTGTTGTTGTCGATTTTGTTGATAATAAATCCATATCAAAATCAATGTCATCATCATCATTAAACAATAAAATTGATGATGATGATGATGTAATATTATTATTATTATTATTCACAGAAATAGATGAATTCATATTGCCATGATTTTCAATGAAATTTTCATCCAATCCATTATTTTTGTTTTTATTATTATTACGATTATTATGGTGATTTGAGCTTGGTAATTGTGATAATAATAATAATGATGATGATGATGCAGATGCAGATGCAGAAGATGCGGCTGATGAAATTATTGATGAAATATTTTCATTATCATCATCATTTTCATCGTTATCGTTATATAATAATAAATAATTATTCCAATCATCATCATCATCATTGATGGTAGTTACAGTGTTAATTCTTTTTCTTCTTCTCTTTTTTCTTTTTTTCATCAATATTTGTTTATCAATATTATAATGCGCATGATCAGAATCAAAATTATTGCTCAAATGAACAATTAGATCATTATCCATTAATGATAATGATGATGATGATGATGATGATGATGGATTATTGATGATAATCACATTTTGTTTGGCTGTTTCTTTGGTCAATGGCGATTTTGTTGTTGTTGTTGTTGCCGTTGCCGTTGTTGTTGTTACTTGTATCACAATAATCATGATGATGAATATCATTAACATTATTTCTTCCAACATTTGAAACATTTTTTATCCACTAAATTCTTCAATGATAATGGTAATGGTAATAATAGTGATGATGATGAAAATGGCAACAATGACGATGATGATGATGATGGAATTATTATGAATATCAATGACATTTCTATGTTCCAAACGCACACACACACACACACACACACACGGAATAAAGTATGGAAAAAATCAATTACGAAAACAGTCCCATTTTCAATGTTTTCACAGTCATCATTGTAGTCATGATAATAATGGTGGTGATAGTGTTAAAATGGCTGGATTTTCTGTTGTTACAATTTTGGAAATGCACACTAAACAAAAAAAGAAAGAAAGAAATTTTCCTAGAAAGATAATAGAATTATTATGAAAGAAAAAAGAAAATCTTTTTTGTAAAAGAAAAACAATTAATCATTGTTTTTTTTTTTTTCGCAGGCATTCTTTTTATATCTATGTCACTGGTATTATAAAAATATCTTGATTCATTTAACAATTTGTTATCGGCTTTGCTTTTCAGCTGCTGCTTATCTGACCAAAAAAAGTTTTATTCATTCAATGAATTTTCTCCTACCAAACGAATGGTTCTTCATTTTGGATTTCGTACTAATTCCGGTTACTTTACAAAGGGAAATTTGTAAACATAACAACAACAAAAGTTCAAGGAAATTTGTTTAAATTTAAATATAAAAAAAATCAAATTCCAGCATCATTCATCATCATCAATGGAAACACCCACACAGTAGTGGTATCAAACTTGAATAAAAACAAAGTTTCGTTTTTCATTCATTCAATAAAAAAATTTAAATTGGCATTTCTTTGGTTTCATCATCATCATCATCATTTGATCAAATCAAATCAAAAAAAAAAAAAAACATTATTCACGCACATGCGCACCAATTATTTCAATTTAATTTTTTTTTCAATCATCAACAGTTTTTTTCGCCATTATTCAATATCTAGCCACCGGAAATTGGTGATGAAAAAAAATAACCAAGATCGGAAATCGAAATGATAATATTCTCATTTATTCTCTTTGTCGCCTAAACTTGATTTCAAATTCGTGAAAAAAAACGGAAATTATCAAAAACATAATAATTCTGGTAAATATCAAAAGATTTGAAAGATCAAAAAATTCATGTCAATCAATAATACATGTGTAATGAACGACTGTGGAAAAAACTATCGATATCATCGATCAATTGAAAGGAATGAATAATTTTTTTTTCTTCTTTTTTTTCATGAATAAATTTTCACTAAATTCATTCACGCTAAATTAAATTATTTTCATACTATAGATATCATGCATGCATGCATAGAATATTCTTTCCGATGACAAATAATTGATTGCCAATTTTTTGTTCTTGTTGTTTCTGACTGAATTCAGAATATTTTAGTTTTTGGGCGAATAATTTTGGTTTTCACCTAAATTCATGAGAATGTATTACACCCATGATGATGATTACAATATTCAATGGGAATTCAAAATGAAAATTTTCCAGACGATGAAAACAAAAATTATCATATTTAATTGTGAAAAAAAGACTGATTTAACACTTTGTAGCACTCGTAAAATAATTTGCAATCAAAATGATGATGATAATGATTATCGATTTTTTTGGAATATTTGCCTAATTGATTTACGATATCAGAATTCAACATCATTACAGATCAATGAATAATAAGCTTGATACAATTATTTATTGAATAAAATCAATCATTGCATTGAAAATCGATCAATCAGACAGAATCGATCGATTAACACTTACCAAAAATGTTTTTTTTTTTTTTGTTTCAATATGATGACGATCGTGATCGAATGATTGATTTTGTCGTTTTGTTTTTGTCAGATGAAAGGAAAATTTTTTCAAAATAAAAATGATGAAAAAAAATGAAAAAAAATTTCAAACACACAAACACAGAATACAGTAAAAAAAACATTTGACACACACATTGATACCACCATCAGCCAACACTACCAGAAATTGTGTGGTGTGCTGCCTGTTTCGTTTGAATCTGAAACTGAAATACTACTGACATGATGGTGTGATATACATCAACCAAACGAACAAACACACAGAGAAAGAAAATGATCATAGTAAATCATCATCAAGCATGCGCTATATTTGATCATAAAAAGTCTGTCTTTATTTGGAAACAAAACAAAACAAAACAAAAATAAAATAGAATCCAAAGTGTTCATCTATTACACTAGGTGCTAGTGCAAAAATATTAGTATGGCCACTGAAATGATTTAATGGAGGGAAAGCCAACTTTTTTTTTACAATTTTAATATAATCAAATCAAAATGGATAAAGGTCAATTGCATTATCATTAAATACTTGTACTACGGCGTTATATAAATGACAATTTTCAATTAATAATGTCCTGTTAGTGTGTGTGTGTGTGTGCGAAGGTTAATGATGAAAATAATTTAATTTCATCGGTGGTTGATGGGCGAAAAAATTCCTGGAACTAGTACTGGATTTATGAATTTTTTTTTCAAGTTTTCTGGAAATGTTTTTTTTTCATTTATTTCTCTATTGATAACATGTACATTAATAATGGATGAATGAAAGTAAATTCCAATCGTTTCGTCTTTTTTTTTCTTATTCAAGCTGGGCACAATCAATTCATGAATGATGATGAATGTTTGTTGTTGTTGTTGTTGATGATGATGATGATGATGATGATGGAAATTGGGAAAATAAAAAAAAAATCGATTTACGATCAATAAATAAAAAAATAAATTGCCTCCAAGGGGTTAATCATTAATAATGTAGTTTTAACACTATGCTCGCAAATGCACAGTTTTTTCAATTTTTATTTTTTTTTCTTGAAAAGCAAAATCTTTGGTAAATATTTGTTGTTGTTGTTGTTGTTGTTGTAGTTGGACTTGAACATAAATTTTATGACGATTCTTAGCATCATACCGAAAAATAATCTGGCCAGCCAGAATTTTATTTCATTTTATTTTTTTTTTTTTTTTTTGGTCATTTCAAACGGCTGGACAATAATAAAAATGAAGGAAATTTATTTTTTATAGGAAAAAATAAATGGACAACAACAACAGCAGCAAAAAAATGAACAAATTTCACCGGATTCCGGTTCAAAAAAAAAAAAAAAAAGAAAAAAGGCTGAAAGACTATTCTTCTGTTTTTGGTCATAATAATTTAACAGTGGGAGAGAAAAATTCTTAATAAAATCTTGTATATTGATCGGAACAAGAATCCGAATCCGAAATGTCAATGTTGAGCTCATCACCATAATTGGATTCAATTCATAATAACAAAGAATATTTTAATGTGACAGACAACAAAAAAAAACATGAGATTCAAATATGATTCTTTCTTGACATTCGATAATTTATTTGATGACAAATGAATCTGTACTATGTGTGAATGTGTGTGTGTGTCATCCTATTATCCGGTTTGCAAACAGAACAAAAAAAAGAACATCTTTTTAACCAGAAAAAAGGAAAGAATCATCATCATCATCATCATCAAAATGACACAATACAAAATAAAACATTGACAATGGACAATGGACAAGAATGAAAAATGAACTGACAAGACATGAACCAAACTAAACGAAACCAAACTTTTAATGATAAAAAAACCGAGAGGTGTGTGTGTGTGTGTGAGTGAATTTTCCATTTGATCCGAATCAAGGCTATCTGTGAGTGACTGATCCAAAAAAAAAAAAAAAAAAAAAACTGGCGATCACACACAATGTAGTAGCATGGCAGTAGAGAGAAAAAAAAGTTGAGTTTTTTTTTTGCTCCTGGATCACCATAATAATAATAATAATAATAATAATTGGATTGGATCTACAATTTAGATTAGCCTCTAGAGAGAATAATGTATGTACATTTATATAGACAAACGTCTGACAAGAGAGAGAGAGAGAGAGAGAGAGAGAGAGAAAAACTATGTAATTTTTCAGTTTTTTCAGTTTAAAACAAAAAAAAAACGATCACATAGGAATTGTGGCAGTAAAAGTGTTAATATTAAAATAACGAACACACGAACACATTTATTGGTCAAACAAAAAAAACAAAAAAAACAAAATGGGAAGCGAAGAAAAAAAAACTAAACTTTTCACTGCTAGCCAAATGAATGAAATGTTTCATTTATTCATTCATTCATTCATTGTGTCAGTCATTGAAAACATGACAATGAAACGAAAAACAACAAGTTTGAATACAAAAAAAAGTGTTAATCACGGCAAGTGAATGTTGTTGTTGTTGTTGTTGTTTTTTTTTCGGTGTGTTTGTTTATTTTGTCTGAATAATAATGGTAAATGAGAAAAAAAAAAATTCACAACAAATTCATTAATCAAATTAACATGTTAACGTTTTTTTATTCGCATCGTTCATGTGTAAAATTCATGTATATGAACACACAAGGGTCATTTATTCATTCAAAAGGGACATAAAGTTGAAATCAAATCATCAAACAAACAAACAAACGAATAAACGAATGAATGATGTGTAGAAAATAATGATTTAAACAATCAACAGAGACCACCACCCCATTAACACTTTTATAGTTATACTCAATCATATATCGATATCGATTTTGATTATAGATACAAATGTTAACATTTTCATTCTGTCTTCTTCATAACAACACAACACAACAACAGCAGCAGTGGAAATAATTTGACACATCTGTATTTGACATTGATGATGATTATTATCGATATCGATGACAAAACAAAACAAAAAAACACAAATTGTCAACAAATAAATGAATTTGATCGGACAAATTGTGGACACAACATAATCAACAACAACAACAACAACAAGAAATGTGTTGACAATTTCTGTACAAGAGATAAAGAGCGAGTAAAAATAGAAAATGTATCAAAATGAAATAAATTGGCAAAAGAGAGAGAGAAAGAAAGAAAAAATAAAATTTCATTTCTCATATTACACACCAATCTAATGATGACCCAATTGTGTATTGGTTTGTTGTTGTTGGATCAATCTGTATATATATGTTTGGAATGGGTGAATGAAAAAAAAATTGTCATACGGAAATAATGATGATGATGATGATGGTGATTATTAATATATACAAATAGCGAGAGAATGAAAGTGACAGCCATCGAAATCTGGCTAGAAAAGAGAATTGTGTAACGGTTACCAATGAAAATTCGATAAACTAATAATAATGATAATTATAGGGAAAATTTTTGCGAATAAAAATCACATTCTCATTATGATGGCGACCATTAATGATGATGATGATGATCATCATCATTATGATGATTGAAAAATGTACACGTTTTTTGTCCTGAATAATAGTAATAATAATAACACCACCGATCAAACTAGACAGAAAGATATGGAATATATAAAAATTCAGAATTTCTTTTTTTTTGTCGTTTTTTTGTAATAATTACAGTTTATCCATAATTATCATTTTATCATCATTAGAATGGTATAATGATGTTGCGTAAAAACACACACACACACACACACACAGAAAACCAAACAAAGTCACAAAGATTGTCAGGTATTATTAATTAGTAATCGAAAATTTTCAACAAAAAACCATGACCATTGATTTTCAAAGGAGAAAAAAAAACTTTAACACTGACGAAGACAACAACGTTATGTAATATGCTTATTTCCAACAAACAAACACATGTGGCATTCAAAAAAAAAAAAATGAAGAAAAAAAAATTAATATCAAAATTCCTCACTTTTTTCCTATGAAAACTGGATGAATCTCGTTGAATTCAATGTCCAACATTCTATAGAAAAAATGCCTGTATGAGAACAGAAAAACAAAAACATTGTCAAAATGGAAATTTATTCCATGTCTCTGTGTCTGTGTGTGTGTGTGTGTGTGTGCGATGTCTAGGTCTAGGTGATTCACCAATCTTATATTGTTAAATTTATTCATAAATACAATTCGTGTTTGTTTTTTTTCCCCACTTAAAAAACACACATTGAACCAGCAGCAGCAGCAGTAGCAGCTGTACACTGGTTTTTTTTCCATCATCATTTTCTTTCTTCATTTGTCTATATGTGTGTGTTTGTGATTTAATATTTGTTTTTTATTATTATTTCAATTTCAAACAAAAAGAAAAAAAAATAGACTCGAATGTTTCCAACAAGCTGTTTTTTTTTCATTTTTTTCAGAACTTTATTTTATACACTACTTCTTTATCGATGATTATTGTGATGATGATGATGATAATTCTATAGAATCCGTAGAATATACAGATGTTTAGTTTCACAAAAGAATAGAAATGCAAACAGTAAAAAAATGATGATAATAATAATAATAATGTTCAAAGGAATTTTTCATTTCCATCATCATCATCATAATCATCATGGAAATGAAATAAACGAAAAAAAATGATTGAATGAATCATCACCATCATCATCATCATCATCATCATCGGTAATAATAATAAAATTGATGATGATGACGATGATGATGAAATTGCAATTTAATTACAGGGATGCGTACCCAAACAGACAGACACACACACACAACAAATACTTGTAACAACAACAATGATTTGAATTTGAATTTCAAATTCATTTCTCAAACAGCAAAAACAAAACAAACACTATGATGATCAAATTGAATCTGGATCAATCAATTTAAATTTTTGGTTTTTTGTTTGTTTGTTTGTTTGTTTGTTTCAGCATTGTATTCGTTTTTGTTTTCTTTCCGATTTCTGAAAACGAAATTCAGATTTTAAAATCGCAGTAAAACAAACAAACGTGGATTTTTTTTTCATCCGATATTCGGCCTAACAAAAAAAAAAAAAGATCACAAAGACACAAAAAAAAACAGGGCAGAATATTCATTATTATTGATCATGAATTCAGTTGTAAACAAAACAAAATCGGATCAAATTTCAGCAGAAATCAAATAAAAAAAAAAAAAACAATTCAAAATAGCTGCTTCACCGAAAAAAATGCAAGAAAAGATGAAATTTTTTTTTTTTTTTTTTGAAAAAACTTTTTTTCACTTAATAGATATGAATATAATGAATGAAAATGGATCAAAACTTGTAATATACAGTAGTGAATTGGTGAAAGAATCCAAGAAATTCATCTAGTGAAAGAATAAATTCCCGTGTTTACATTTTGAATGGAGAAAAACAAAACAAAAAAACAAAAGAAAAAAAATGATGATCATAGCAACTAGAATAGTTCGACAAACAGAAAACAAAACAAAAAAAAACTTTTGATAATCTTCAGTCGCTGTTGTTGTTGTTGTTGTTGTTGTTGTTCACTCGATTTCGTTATAGTCAATTTAATTGGATTTTTTTGTTTTGTTTTTTGTTCCATCATCTTTCTGATTATGAAAATATTGTGATTATAAATTCTTTGCTCATTTGTATTTTTTTTTTTTTTGCAGTGAGAATCGAAATTCTTTTCATCTCTTTTTTTTATGGCTAAAATAAGAATCAAACACAATTTCTTAACGATAATAATTAATATAACGACGACGACGACAACGATGAAAAAAAAATTTTCCAAAATAAAGATAGATTGAATAATCAAATCGGGCTATAATCATTACATCCTTCACAGACATAAGAATCCAAAAAAAAATTCTTCTTTCTGTTCCATGCGAATTCCACACACACACACACACACACACACACATATCATTATATCCAGAATGATCCAAAAATATCATCATCATTTTTGGATCATTTCTGAAGACTGAAAAAAATGATGATGATGATGATCCAAAATGATTACAGACACAGACATCATCAGTGCATCAAGAGAGAAAAAAAAGGTTGTCATCATCATCATCATCATCATCATTCACATATATAATTCACACACATATTGAACCAAAAGATGAATTTTCCATTAATATTACGTTTCTGTTTATCGTAATATGATGATCATTAACGAAAAGAATGAATGATTTATGTTTCATTTTTCATACCGAACTGGCCTCTAAAAAGCAGAAATCGATTTGATTTTGATTCGTTTTTTTCTTTTTCTTTTTTTTGAAAAAATTTCCAGAAATCTCTTTTTTATTGTTGCCCATAATGATTCTGTTGATGATCATGATGTGACAGAATCCATCATCATTCACACGACATGATTATTATGATCATTGTTAACATTTCCTTACGTGTGTGTGTGTGTGTGTGTGTGTAATGATCATTACCATCAAAGAGAAATTTTTTCAGCACAAAAAACCATATAATATCGTTATATATGGATCATCGTCATTGTGCATACCACTGGCTGTGATTATGAACAAACGAACGAACGAAAAAAAAATGGATCGAGGCAAAGAATAATCATCATACTCAGAATGAAATCAATTTTCACTGAAAAAAAAGGAAAATAAAATTCATTTGAATGTGACAAAACCGTATGACAATTCAAATTCAAAAAATGACAAAAATGATGAAAAAAAGTAAACTTTTTTCTCCCAGTAACTTTTCAATAACCTTTTTTTAGGGGCAAAAAATTCATAACATCCAAAATTAACACCTAAAAATTTTTTGTAAGAAATTTTTCCAAATGTGTCTGGATTCTTTTGGATGCTGACTCACACACACACACACACACAGAGACTATGGTGATTAAATCAATTTGTTCAATTAAAAGTTGACAACAACAACAACAACGACGACCATAATTAAATCAAATCAATTGAATTGATAAGAAAAAAAAATCGATATCAGTTTAAATCGGTGAAATTGGAAATAAAGAAAAAAAAATCGATTTTTTTGTTCACCAAAATAGAATAATTATCATCGCTCTCGCTGTAGAGTGAGATTGATTTCTGACAACGAAAAAAAAAATTCTTCCGACGTGTATATTTGATCTAATTTAAATTTTGAAATTTTCTATCAAAGTGGCCTGTGGTTGAAAAGTTCCATAGACGTGTTTTTTTCGTTTTTTCCTGTTTTTTTTCCGGAATGAAACAAAATTCCAGCAGTCAAATAGAATCAATTTCAAGTGAAAAGAGAAAAAAAAAGTTCACTATACAGAATAATATAGTTTAACACAGTATGAATCCATCACACACACACACACTTGATTCTTTGGAAAAGGAAACTTTTGCTAGTTGAAACCATACACACACACACATCTAATCAATGCTGGGGAATGCTGCAAAAACGTAACAAAATGAACAGAAAATCATACACACATTTACACAAAAGAAACAACTCGGAATTTCATTACCGGTCATTTGACGTTGATTCAAACACACAGAGTAGTGATAATTGAATCAAATCAATACCAATTTTTTTTGATTAGAAAAAAAATCAGAAAAAAAGAGAATAAAAAAGACAGAGAATTTTACTTAAATCCACACACACAATTGAATGGTTCATTTTGTTCATTTCTATAGATAGTATACCGGATGGATATTCGAATGTTCAATGAATTCAGTGATTGAATTTTCCAAATAATCAAATTCAATTGCTGTTATCATCATCATCAATATATGATAATCTCATTGACATCATCATCATCATCATCATTATCACTAGCCGGATTGTAATTCACATGAATTCATTGCGATTGATCGTTGACCTTTCATATAGTCTAGTATCAGATAATTACCGATATTATTATTTGATGTTCGGAAATATTAATACCACATACACACACACACACGTACACAAACATTCCAGAAATTCTACTAACAAAAACATTCAAAAAAAAAAACAAACAAAAACAAAATTATCATTATTAACCGTTTGATGAACGTGATGAAACCCGAAACAATTTCCAGCACATGGATGATCCATAAAAGAAAAATAATAACAACAAACCCAAACATTAATAATGGAATTGAATCACAAAATCGAAGAAAGAATGAATGAAATGGATGGCCAACAACAGCAGAATATAAGCAGAATAATTCCATTTTTATTAATAATAATAATAATTTTATCATTATTAATTCAGAATAAAAATAAAGAAAAGAAAAAAAAATTGTTGAGATTACCACCATCCAACAGACAGAGACGTTGTTATTAAGATTTTTGAATTAATCTTTGCTTCCGCCTTCATGATTTAATTCATCTGGTGATGGTTTTTTTTGGTTGATTCATTGACTCTTTGATAGATTTGGTGGGGTTTTTTGTTCATGCAATTTTCAATTTTGTTTATCATTTTAATTTAATTTCCCAGATTTTTATTGAACCATCATGACCAGTAGATACAATGGTCGATTGATTAAGCCATGCGATACGTGTTACTTGACTTTGTGGATGTGCTTCTACACATTATGATAAACGAAATTTTTTTTTATTAATAAAATAAACAATTTGAAAAAAAACTTACTTTTAAGTGTAAAATGTTTGGTTGGATTAACACAATCCCAGATAATAATACCGGTATCAAGACTACCAGATGCTAATAAGGATGAATCTGGTGACCATGCTAAACAATTAACACGTGCCACATGATAACCCCATTCTAGATCATGAGCTAGTTGATAATTATCGTTGCTGTTATATAGAATAATTTTACGATTCTGATCCGATGCGGCTAAATATTTTCCATCTGGTGAATAAGCGACATCTGTTATACCAGCACGATGATCCAATGTGGTGAATGATTGTTCATTCAATTTTTGGCCATCAAATTTATAGACATGTACTTTACTATCACGATTACCACCGACAGCAATGTCACCAGTTTGTTGATTACAAGCAATACTTGATGGTTCATATGGTGCTGTCACCACTGAAAGAATGCCACCATCATGTGCACGTCTTACTTGTAATTGTGAATGACAAGCGATGAACAGGATTTGTTTATCACTACTTAATGCTAATCCTTGTGGTTGTTGATCGAGTTTAAATTCACCAATAAATTCATTTGTATTCACGTCGATCGTACGGATTATATCATCAAAACCAGCACTATAGATACGATTATCGCCATCGAAAACCATACCACTAACTTGATTTGTATGTGTGCGGCCCACGATACGATCATGTTCACCATTCTGAGGATTCCAATGTGTTATATAACCATCACAACTGCCAGTATAAAGACGTTGTTGATCCGCAGAAACAGTGTTAATAGCTAATGCAGTTATTGTACGATTATGACCTTTTACAACACGTAATGGTTTTGTTGGATTATTTACATCCAAATAATTGATAAAACCAGATAACGAAACGGATAATAAATAATTGTTTTGCCACAGACAGCTAACCTGTTGATCCAATACATCTGAACCCATTGGAAATTCGCTGCCAAATAAACGAAGAGAAAAAGTTTCAAAATGAAAAAACAAATCCATTAATAATCACCACTTACGTAACGGCAGTAAATGTTGAAACATCCCAAATCTTACAAGTTTTATCACCAGAACTGGTCAAAATTTGTTTACCATCAGATGACCATGAAATGGCATAAATACCACCAGCATGTGCAGGTTTTTTTCCATCATCACCAACATTGAATTCACCTTGTTTACTATAATCATTAGCATTATAGAGAAACATTTTTCCATCAAAACCAGCCGTTGCAAATAATTGACCATCCGGTGAATAGCGTACACTTTGCACGAAACGATTATGATCTTCTAGCTGTGTTTTAAATTTGAATGGTGGACCTTCATAAATGCCGACAAAATTATCCTCCGAACCGGTTACAATACGAAATGGGCGTGCTGGACGAAAATCACATGAATTAATCGTTTTTGAATGTCCAGCAATCTCACCAACCGAGGTACCGGTTTCCATCATAATAACATGACCAAAACGTTCTCGGCCTTCACCAACAACAACAATACGTTGTGAATCCGGTGACCATGCCAGGTCTTTAATATTACCAGCAAATGGTTGAAATTCATTCTTTAGAATATGTTCTGTTTGCGTTGTATCCCATATTCGTATACGTCCACCAATATCACCGGAACAGATATAAAAACCACTTGGTGAATATTTTGCCACTGTTGTCGTCGTTGAATGTTCAGTATAAATATCCGCCAAAGCTGGATTATTAATATCCCTGATGATAATAGAATTTCCATTTGGATAAAGAAAATTTTTGCCTTTTGGATCACCACCCAACACTAGTGGCATACCACGTTGTGTACGTGGTAATGTTGCAAAAGTATTACCTAAACATCGAACAAAAAAATAGATGACATCATCAGCATTCATTATCTTTCCAGAAAACTTACGATTTTGAAACATTTTTTTTCGGTTGCTCGTCACTTGGTTTTCTATTCAATCTACACAATGAAAATGACAAAAACAAACAAACTTTTAGTGAGTGAACAAAAAAAACGACTATAGACTAATAGGCGGCTATATAAGTGGATTTCATTTTCGTTTTGTTTTTCGGGTGTAATTATAAAGTTTTTTCTTGGTTTGTTACGAAAGCAATCCATTGAAAGACAAAAAAAAAGCAACAGGCAATCGAATGTTTTCTTGTTTTTGTCATTGAAATTGAAATTGAGCCAAAAAAAAAAAAAAAAATTCAAGACGTCAAACTTTGAATGTTGATGACTTGAATTTCTAATATAATTCATATACTTACACATGTGGATGGGTGGATGGATGGATGTTGTTTCTTGGCTTTTTTGAATCGGATTATTACTTGAATGAATGATCGTTGATCGAGAGTTGCAAACGGTGGTGGTTTGACAATTTTTTTTTTTCCCTGCTCTGTCAATCTGTGATTGCCAAGATGAATGAATGAATAAAAAAATTGTCGTTATTTTTTGTCGAACTTACAAACAAGCTGGCTGGCTTTTTTTGGTGCAATCATCATATTAGCAACAAATATATCGACGCCCAAACAACAATAAAAACAACAACAACAACAACAACAATATCATTCGGCTTCGAATAATCGATATTTTTCAAAGCGATACTATCGATACTATTTTTTTGTTTCAATTTTATTAAATTAAGAAATTTTTTTGTTTCAATTGTTTTTTTCGTAAAAAAAAACAAAGTGATGAGTTGGTTGTTGAAAACGCATACACACACGCACAGAATTGATTAATAATCGATGACAAATGTCATCATCAATCGTGATTTTTTTTTTTGAAGCACGACAGCAGATTAAACGCCAACACCTTTTTTTTGCACAAAAAAAAAAAAAAAAACCACAACTATTCGAACCAAATCAATTTTGCAAAAATCCATAAAATCAGATTCAAAACACATCAGAGCGTAGGCCACATATTGATTTGAATTTATTTAAAAAAATTTCAAATTCAATTCTTCCTGTCAATGTTGTTGTTGTTTAATTAAAGAATTCGTTTTTTTGGGGGTGGGGGGAAACCACGCAAATTTTATTTGTTTTTTTTTGAATGAAAAAATATTGATAGAATTGATCAAAAATTTTCAATTTGGAGGTGGTGCGTGTGTGTGTGTTTGATTGTCATTTCTTTTGTCAATTCTACATATTCATTACACACAGAGAACCATCAACTATATATATATATATAGTTGCTGCTATACGTGCAGGAATATTCTACATTTATAGGGAATGATGATGATGATGATGATGATAATGATGATGTGTGATTTTTTTTTCTTTTTATACGAAATAATAATTTTGATTTAAAGTGATGGTGAATGAAAAATTTCACTTTCACAAATCAAGCTTTATGATAAGCTTCTTTTTCAATAATTCCTTTTATTTTACGAAATAAATCAGGCATCACTTTAATGGTATCATCGGCACAACGTATTACACAGGATTCAAATTGCGATTCAAAACGTTTCATTTGATCATCAGTAGTATCGGCATTCATTTGATCATGTATCTGATCTTGACATTGTAATGCACAACGTTCTAATCGTTTCTAATCATGTGAAAGTAGAAAAAAAGGTTTTAATTAAGAAAAATTTTCGTCTGAAACAAACAAATAAAAAAAAAACTACCAAAAATCCAGACATTTCATTCGATATATAGCTTTGTGCTTTACGAAATTTTGATGAACAATCTTCCACACAGCTGGCCACTTGTTCCATTGATGCATTGTTGTTTTCACAACATTTTGCTGAACATTGAAACATTTGTACTTGCATTTTACGTAAACATGTTTGATCTAAATTTGTTAGAAATTTATTCACTTCGGCTTGTACACGTTTCTGTGCTTCTTCGGCCATCATTCAATGGATTTTTTTAATCCAATCAACAAACAAACAAACAAAACCCAGAGACTGTTTTTTTTATTGGAGATTAATTTTCTTGAGAACAATAATCAAATTCTTTTGGATCAGTTGATTGTCATTTTGATTGGTAATAATTTTACAAAGATAAAAAAACCATGTGGCCAGCACAAATGGCAACAAAATAAAAAAAAAACACACACACACAAACACACCATAAACAGATGATTGATTTATATAACAGCCGACAACATTGTAGATTGCCGGGGAAGTTTTCCTGATTAAATTTTTTTTAATTTCCAGAAAACTTTTTCATTTTGTAATTGTGAAAAAAAATGAAAAAAAAACCATCACCACCACCACTCATCTCTCCAGAGACAATGTTTTGAAGAAAAAAAAAAATAAATGTTACCACCACAACCACCAACAAGTCCGGTTATTTATTACCTTTCTTTTTTTTTCATGGCGAATTGACTTTTTGTTTTGAAAAAAAAAATTTCTTCAACAATTCAATGAAACGAAAAAAACCGAAAAAAAACGATGATGATGAAAAAGACCACCACCATAGCCAAATATCAATTGACCGTTTTTTTTCTTCGTTTTTCATCTTATGGTCCATTGAATGTGTCATCATTGAATGAATATCGATTCTTTGAAACAAAACAAAAAACAAAAAACCAAGATTTATGTCCTATGTGTAACCAACAAAACAAACTCGCACACACACACTTGATTCAATGTTATGTTTGTTTTTCAAGATGATGATGATGAATAAAAAAAAAAAAATGTTACAAGTCGGGCCGGTGGTCTTGTGATCTTTTTTTTCTTGAGATGGAGAGAGGCCAGTATTTAACTACCAGTAATTTTTGTTTTCACCACCACCACCACCACCACCACCATTAAAAATGACCAAAATGAAGAAGAAAAAAAAATTTCGACAATTGACACTATATATTATGTAAAAAAAAATAATAAAGGAATGCAAAACAAAAACAAAAAGCAAAAAAAACAAAATTCGTGGAAAAACAGGAAAAAAAAATATGTCGGATGAACAAATGAATTTCGACAAAAAAGTCGAAAACGAACATTTTTTTCTGTGTGTGCCATATGATGAATATGGCATAGGTGAATAATACCAAATGGACTACGACAACCGTTTGAGGCACCAAAAAAATTTTTTTCATTTGTTCAAAGGTTCATCTTCTTGATCTTCTTCTTCTTCTTCTTCTTCTTCTAGAACATATAACCCATTCTGTAAAAAAAGAAAAAAAAATGTCAAGGTCTCACTAGGTTGTATAATCATCATCATATAGGCACAGTTTCAGGGTTTTCAATGACCTTCAGCCAGAAAAAAAAAATCATTCTCTAGGTCAAACACACACATACACAGATGAATCAATCGATAAGATATCAATCGAAATCAGTCTAATAACGGTTTTTGGTCAGTATTATGTTATGTCATATTATTATTTTGCTTTAGGCTTTTAAACATTAACTTTATTATTATTGTATAACGGTTACAAAACACACATTACGTGGTATGTTTTTTTTACCCCTTTAGGGTCACGAACACACACAAACACACAAACAATCAACAGGTAAACAGGGACAGTGGAAAAAAAATTGTTTCCCTCCCTCAACACACCTGTTTGTGTGCGAGTGTGTCATCAGTGTAACGGTAAAATTGAAATTGTTTTTTCGTTTACAAATCATCCAAAAATTACCTGTGTGTATCACCCGGTGGTATTTTTTTTTTGAGTGGATCTTTCCGCCCAAAAAAACATTGTTATTGATTACGTCAAAAAAAAAATATTTAAAGTGATTTTCTTGTGATTATTATTGTCAATTTAAGAGATTAACCTGTCTAATCTGAATGATTAGTGAATGAGGCACAAAAAAAAGAAAGAATTTTGTACATGTGTGTGTGTGTGTGTGTGTGTATGTATGATCAACAAATATTACGTGCCATAATCAACAGGAAAATCACAATTTTATGATTATGTCAAACAATCAACCAAATGTGTGTGTGTATTTGCAGCAGAATTGATGAATGAATCACACACACACACACACACTGAACACAATGATAGATGAGTCATTCTCATACAGAATAAAATATGAATGAGTCATAAATGATGTAATTGCAACTTTTATTGCTCAATTTTCTCTTTATATTTTTACATTGAAAACATGAATGAAGAATTTTTTTTTTTTTTTATGTTACCACGCAAAGAATCTAAATTCATTAACATGCAGTAGTTGGTTGGCTGGTTGTTTGTATCCAGTGATCTTCAATTGTTTTTATCAATCAAAAAAAAAACAAACTACCAGATTCAATAAAATGTGTCCGTGTGTATGCGAGTGTGTTTTTTTTTTCTATCAAATAGATTATCATCATCATAAAATGATTATTATTGCAAACAAAAATGATAAAAACCAACGCACTGACATCAACATCAAATATTTATTTTGATCACCATTTAAAAAAATAAAAACCAAGTGGTTGTCGGATATCCGAAAATGAAATCATTACTAAATCAAAAATAAAACTTTCTAGGGAAATATTCCCGGAAAGAAAATTTTTTAAAAAAAAATTCTTAGATTTTTTTTTCTGAATTCTATGTGTGTTTAGAAGAGAATAAAATAAAATTCTGTCGTGTACCATGATGATTCAATAAATGATACGGAAATGGATTCTGTTTTGTTTGGGAAATTTTCTTTTTGTTTGTTTTGTTTTTATCTTAAATTCTTCCACCGGGAATTTTTCCCATGAAAAAAAATTATTCAATTTATTTAACGGTAAAAAAAGAAAGGCTCGGAACAACAACAATAAAAAATAAACGGGTGTGATTACGGTAAAAAGAAAATCGGAAATTTTTGGATCGATCCAAAAATCTAAATTTTTTTTTTTGGATAAAAATATGCCAGGTGTTTATTACGACTACTTCCATGTAAACGGTATGTTTTATTTTTTCATTTCATTTCAAACATCGATCATTCATGGATGTAATCTGAAGCAGAGAAAAAAAAACCTGGATCAATTTTAATCAGTTCTTTTTTTTTGAAAGAAACTTGAAGATAGAAGAGAGAGGAACGAACGAAAGAAAAAATTTTATTTTTCCAAGAAATTAACAAAATCGTAACGCGTGCTTACCATTTTACATTATATTATTATTATATTAATGGGTCATCGTCCGCATCTTTCATTTCATGAAATATACAATAGAAAAGAAACCAAACTGATAAACTTTTGATATCGGATGGTGGTAGTAGTGTTGTAATTTATGGGTTTTTTTTCGTTTCTTTTCTCTCTCTCTCCAGGACCCAACTTTCGTTCAGCATCATCATCGGTGATTAAATAGCAGCTTGCTTGATGTACTCACACACAGTGTTAAGCTTTCTCTGCTTTGGTTATCATGACAATGAAATTGAACCAAAAAAAAAAAAAAAAATCGGGAAATTTACAAAAAAAAGTCAAAGACCGCAAGGATTATTCATCACAATCGACAGCAACAACAGAAACAACAACAACAAAAAAGACGCCGATTTTTCATTTGTTCAAGAAAACTAAAAATGCCAAAAAGCCAAAAGAACGACGCCTTCTGCCTGCCTGCTTGCCTGCCTATGTTTTTTTGCTTGATAAGCATTTACAAGAAGGAGAGTGAGAAACAAACAGAGCATATAATGGTGTTCGATTCAAAAAAAAAAAAAAAAAAAATTTTGTTAAATCGTCATCATCATCATCATCAACATCGTTTGTTTGTTTATTTGAAACCTATAATGACAACAAAAACAACAGACATTGACACACGTACATTTGATTTTCCCTCCTCCCCCATCCCCTTGTATTAACACTTTCAATTCGCATCTATAGTATATTGATTTCAACAACAAATTCTTGGAACATCAAAAAAAAAATGAAATGAAATGAAATAAAATTCGTTTTTTTTTGTTGTGGTCGTCGTTTGTTTTTATTACAACAATCTCTCGTTTACGAAAAGAAAAAACATTGAAGAAAAAAAAATGGGGCCAAAGTTCAACGAAATGATGATGATGATGAAGGATGTTTTTTTTATTATTAAGTGAACAACAACAACAACAACAAAAAACAACATAAAAACAGCGATTTTGTCTTGAAATGATTGGATTTCTTGGAATTTTTTCACACACACACACACACAGATCACAAGTTAGTTCTGTTACCGTTTGAATCAATCAATCAATCAATTCTACATACCATTACAAATCGGATTCTCATTACATATCAATATATATGTAACATGTATGTATGTGAATGATTGAAAACGCCCATCTGATGTTGTGGGTGTGAAAGTGAGAAATTTTCAGGAAAAATTCGATAAAAAAAATGTGTGAGAAAGAAAAATAGACTGTAATTAACCTTTTTTTTCTTGAATTGAATATTTCCATTTCCAAGAATTGAATTCATCATTTTTCTTTGCAGAAATAGCATCAAAAATAAAATAAAATAAAACATGACAACCATGACCACAATTCCTGAATTTTCAAACGATTGCGAGAGAAAATTCGAACAAAAAAAATCACTAGACTTGATTGAAATTGTGTATAATTAAAAATCTAATTAATCAATAAATTTTTGTTGTTGTTGTTGCTCACTATTTAATCCGGATTCGAATCGGGAAATAAAAGGGTTAAATGTTTTTCTCCTATATCTGTTGTTGGACATGGAATTGAAGATTCATTTTGGTTTTTTTTTGTTTAACAACGAAAAAAAAGTTGGCGCTATTTTCTTATACACAGAGAAAATCTCAATGCCAATAAGTTTATTAGCCTTTTCTCTCTCTCTCTCTCTCTCATTAGTGTATCATATTCATTCATTAAATTGAATTGGATTGAGCTGATTTCATTCATTCAAAAATTTCTTCATTTTTTTTTTTTGGGGCGGTATGTATATATTCATTCGCAACACACACACACAGTGTGTGATTGACTCTTGTTCATGATTATTGCAATACCATAGAGTTCAGTGTGTGTGTGTGTGCACACACGATCCAGTGACTGAATCACCAATCAGCAGCGATGAAACCAACTTGATCAGAGAAGAATAAAGTTTATGAACAAATGTGAATTATATTCAAACAACACAACAACACTTGTTGCTTGATTTGATTGTAACAATCTACAAAACAGAGCCATTACGATTTGAAATGATCAAAGACCACATCCATTACGTGTTTGTTTATGTGTGTGTGTGTGTGTGTTTCAACATAACCGGAAATAATCCTTGACATCTCCGGTATTGATCACAAATCGATTTACGTATGAAAATCATAATTCTGTGACATATCTATCATGTCTATTTTTATTATCACCATCACCATTATTCAAGGAATTTGATTGCGGAAAAATTCTTTAACATTTTTTTTTCTCTTTCATTCGATTGAATTCTTTATTTTTTGTTTTGCTGGATGATTTGATAGTTAAAAATGGAAAGAATGATGATCATGTTGACAAATTATATCCACAACAACAACAAAAACGACAACGACGACAACAACTACAAATGACGTCTACTCCTACTTTATTTTTGGGTTTTTTGGTGAAAAAAATGCAAAAATCTTTTCTTTTTTTCCACCAGATAATCACTTGGCTTATCAACAGAATATTCTGTCCTTCTCTCTCTCTCTTGAAATAATCTAATCTTTAAATCCAGAATTTTTTAAATAACAAATAAAAAAAAAAAAACAAAAGCACAAACGAAAAATTTCTTTTGTTTTGATTTGTGAAAAAAATTTTAATGTCAAAAAAAAAAAATCAGAAAATAAAATTTTTTCAAAAAAAAAAGAATTTCCAAATAACCTTTTGACGTATCTGAAGTCATCATCATCATCATCGCCAAATACACGCCCACCACCATCAACATCATGTTAATCCTTTTGGAACGTGAATTTTTTTCAGTTTTACCACTACCATTGCTAACACCGACATCATCACCACCACCACCACCAGCATTACAATGGCAAGTGCCACCTACTTTTAAATCATGATAAAAACCCGGCACCTAAGAATATTCTTTTGTTTCTCATCTTTTTGTTGTTGTTGTTGTTGTTGTTCAGAACAATAATCCAACGAAGAAAATTTTTCATTTTTTTTCATTCGATCCAAAGTTTCTGCGATCAACAACGCAACAATGGTTGTGTTGTGTACAACAACAACAAAATTAAAATCAATCTTTGGCTCCACCTTTTTATCACCATTGTCATCAATTTGTCACCAGATTGTTTTTTTTTTGTCAAAATAAAAATGCAGCAGCAGCTTCCGACAAATTTTTTTTTTTTTTTGAAATAAAAATTGCGGCAATAATGCCTGATTATATATTATATAAAGCAGCAGACATCATCATAAGCGTGTGTGTGTGTGTGTGTGTAAAACGTAGATAATAATCATGTGAAAAAAAAAATTTTTCTCACTTTTTTTTATATATAAATACCGATATTGTTTTTGGTTTGGAATTGTCATCATTTATTTTCTGGTTCTTTTTTTTTGAAACATTCCATTCTTCATCAAACGATCAATTATCATCCATACACACATAGTGTTATTAACACTTTTATTTCCGCCAATAATATTCTGCAACAAAAAAACAACAACAATAAATGAAAAATATTTTAATTGAATTACAGAATTTCCTCGAGAATTTAAATACAATTCATTTTGATATTCGATCGAAACAAGAAGAAGAAAAAAATTTTTGATTTTGTTCTGTTTTCAATCGAAATTTCACCACCGTTTTTATTGTTTGAAATTTTCTGAACAACAACAAAAAAAAAATTCCTAGTCAAAGAAAAAAAAATCAGGATGCAAATATTTCAAAGTAAGTTTTAAGTAAAATTTGTAGGAACAAAAAAAAAAAAATGAAATTTAACCCTTTTATTATCGTTTATCGTCAGGATTTTTATCATCATTTTTACCATTAATATTCTATACATTTTATTGTTGGCTATTATTTGGTGTTGATCATCGTACAATGATGCCAATGATTGAAATGATACCGATGATTGATCAATCACCATCATCATCGTCATCATCATCGCCACCAGAATTACGTTATGAAAATTTATTCTATAGCTGCCAATCAAAAGGAATATTAAAACGTATGGGACAATTTGGTAATAGTGGTGGTGGCGCCAGTGGTGGTGCCGGTGGTGGCGCTGGTGGTGGCAGTACCCTTTGTAATCGTACTAGATTAAGTGAAGAATTACAAACTTATATTCAATATTCAATTTGTTTGGTTTATAATCAATTACCTGTAAGTATAGATTAAAAATTGTCTATTTTCACATTACTTATCATGATCAACCAAATACACACAAACACACACAGGATGCTGATAAATCAAAACGAAATAGTGGCCATATTCGTAAGCCACCACCATCATCACCAACAACTACCGGTACATTTCAAGTGACCGATGATTTGATTGAAAAAGATTTTCCATATCACAATGAAAATAGAAATAGAAATAGAAATAATTATCCACGTAGTGGTGGTTACAATGATGATGCAAATAGATTATTAGATTATGAACAACAACAACAACAACAAAATGGTGATCATGATGAAAGTATAAGAATATTATGGAAACGTTATCATCATAATAATAATCAATTGGATCAACATCACCATCACCATCATCATCATCATCAGAATCAGAATCAAAAAGAAAAACGTAATGAAAATAATAATGGAAACAAAAATCCGGTAAGTAATGAATTGTGTGTGGTGAAAAATACCAATTTTTATTCAACCAGACAATCTGAAAACTGATAAATGGGTAGACAGAGAGAGAGAGAGAGAGAGAGAGAGAGAGAGAGAGAGTGTGTGGTGTGTTATCCATCAAATCTCAGATTTCCTAACAGTTTTTTTTTGAATTTTCATTTACGTCATATGTGAAAGGAAATACGATAGATAATGGTGGTGATGTGTTTGGTGGTTTACGTGTTAAATTTTTTTTTTTTTTTTTTTTTTTTAATTTAATTTAATTTATGTAGTAGGTAGGTAGGTAGAAAGATTTTTTTTTTTTTTTTCAACAACAGTAAAATATGATTCCTGTGTGTGGTACCCCCTACACACACAAATCCACAAAAAAAAGAACATATGACACCTTTACGTGTGTGTGTATAGATTATATTGGATTTATGGATGATTTTTGATGGAACAAACCAATGGATGATGATTATGATGATGACATTTTGGATGTCATGGATTTGTGTTTTATGTAATCCGAGATTTAACTGACAATCTGGAATTTTTTTCCTGTTGTTGTTGTTGTTGAGAATCTGATCTTTGAGAGAGAGTAAAAAAAGAATAAAAAAAGAAATTTTTTTTTTGAATTCTTAACAACAATTTTTTTTCAAAATTCGCCACCGCGCAATATAGCACCAGAAATTATTTGTGTGTGCGTGTGTGTGATACATAGAAGAAAAAAAAACCCCAATGGAATTCGTTTTTTTTTTTTGCCACTATTTTCACCCTAATCATCATTTTCATTTTCATTTTTTTTATATATATAGATTGAATCAATATATAGACAAATTTTTGAAAAAATGACACAACATTTAAATCGTCTAAGTTCGATGCAAGAAAATTATGCAATTGGAAATGACACTATGAATGGTGGTGGCCCACAACAACAACAACAACAACAACAACATCATCAACAACAATTATATAATCATTTACATGAAAGTGAACGTAAACAAAGAAAATTAAAACAATTAAACAAATTAGAACGTTTAGAACAGGTGCTACATCATTTAAAAGAGGATATTATCAAAAAATTAATTTATATTGCACGTTGTGCAAATTTTGAACACGAATGTCAACAATTAAAAACACATACAACCAATAATGGCCTGACTGATACGGCTGTATTGTCACGTTTTCATCAACGTTATCGTTCTGTATTAAGAAATTATATTGAAGATTTAAAAAATTCATTATCATTAATATATCATGCAAAAGGTAGTGATGATAATGCTGATGAAATTACTAATAGATGTTAATCGATAAACAACAACAACAACAACAACAACGACGACAATATCGACGGTCAAAATAATATAGTCAACAAAATATTGATTGTATACACACAATTTTTGATTTTAATTCATTCACATCATTTTTTTTTGTCTGTCTGTTTGTTTGAATAAAACACAACATCATTTCCCACCGGATTCGAATCAAATCGATAATCGATAATCGATAATCAATCAATCTGATGAAATCATCATAAATTCTGGATATTCCTTAATTTTTTTCTGAACATTCCTAAATCATATCATGAACAACCATTTTCATCAACCAAATCATCATCATCATCATTGTTATTGTCATTCTTTTTACCTTAATGATTTATTATCTCCTATTTAATTAATTGTTGTTAATGCTGCTTACCTGTTAAATTATTATTCATCACACACACACACATGCACTGTTTTTTTTTCATTTTCTCTTCATTTTGAAATTCAATTTTTTTTCTCTCTCTCTCTCTCATAATCCTGTTTACATACCATTCATCATTGTAATACACCCAGCATGTACACACCCATCCACATAGAGAGATAATAGATCTACGAATATTCATCATTCGTTGTTTAGCCGGGACTAAAAAATGAATATAATTGATTGATTGAACAACAAAACAAAAACAAAACAAACAAGCTACATCACCCTTTTTTTCTGAACGAAACTATCGATATTTGTCATATTCTCATCATCATCATCTGGTTTATCTTCAAAACAACAACATTACACACATTCTCATTATTCTCACACGCACAAACACACACAAATGAATGAGCAAAAAAATTGTCGTTTTTTTCTCTTAATTTCATCCGAATGAATAAAAATGAATAATGTGGGTGATTATGATGATAATTTTCGAAAAAAAATAAATAAATAAACAAAAACAGCTGATGTTTGAATTTCAAATCAATATTTACATCGTGTAAACAAACAAACAAACAAACAAAATTATTTTGTCGTTGTTGCCAAAAAACGATGTGATTCATTACGAAGAAATTGTTCCAGATCATTCAACAATTGTACAGCATCACGCATCAATTGACATTCGAATATCGATTGTCTTGAACAGGATCGTTGTTGCCGTTCGATAGAATCGATACCATGTGATAATACCTGGTGAATTATTTGTTCAATCGGTACTGGTATTTGAAACAAATGTATTGCTTGATTCAGGTAACATAATAGACTACGTAAATTATCACTAACGGCAAAGAAATTTTCTTGTGTCATTAATCGTTTTTCTTTTATTCTTGTTGCAATTGCCATTGTTTGACCATCATCATTATGGTTATCCACCGAACCCGGTATCATCGTATCACCAGTATTCGATTGTCGTTGTCGTTTTCGTTGTTGTTGTTTCGTTGCAATCATTTCAACATGATGCCGATAAAACCAACAATCATTCAATGGATTTTGTTGTTTCTGATCCGAATATCGCCGATGTTGATTCCATAATGAATATAAATGTGCCGTTTGATTTGCCAATGTTTGATAGATTATAATCATCGATTTTGATATATTCTATATGGACAAAACGAAAAACCAATCAATCATTTAATCAATTAATTATCGATCAAAAACTTACATTATGTGGTGGATCTGGTAATCGAAATATATTCGGTATTTTAAGTCTAAGACAATCTTTTATAAGATTCTTTTAGATTCGAATGTAAAAAAAATTATAAACATTAAGCAATGGGCGACTACATCGATATCGATAGTAATGAATGTACTTACTTTACGAATCATATCGGTAACCAATCCTTTCAGATGATTCGAACGTTCAATCATTTCTTGTAAAAGATCATAACCAATTTGATTTTTACGTCTATTGAATCGTGGATCATCATCATCACCATCATTGACATTATCAATCAATTCATTTGTATGATCTAATCGATATCGATAATTATTGTCCATATGATGAATCAAATCAACATCAATTGTTGAATGACATGGATTAAATAAATCTGTTGGTATTGTTTTACCTAGATTTCTTTCATTAGAATCCTGCACAGAATTATTGTTTATCGACATGGCCATATTATCAGCTGCTGCCGTTGTCGTATAATTCAGATCAAGAATTTCATTTGCCAATTTTACAACTTTATCAACCATTCGTATAAGGCGATTACGTTCTTTTATCGATATTGATTTTGGTGCTGATGATAATAATGATGATGAAAAGATTTTGTTGTCGATGGTGATGATTTGGACAATAATAATGCCGCTACCGATTCTAATGTTTCGGATAATAATGTTGTGGTTGTCGTATTAATCGAGCTAGCTCGTGTTGCTGCCGTTATCGAATTTTTTTCAATATCCGGATCCATATTATCCATATGAACCATTATATTATTTAGATGCCTGTGTTGTAGTTGCTGTTGTTTGACAAGAATCGAATTATTGCTATTGTCATCATTGTTCGATAACATTCGTATTGGATATATCAAATTCATTGCAATTATCATCGATAATAGAAATGATGATCGTATCACAGACAATGGTGATGATGATGTGAGCTGATAAATAAATGAAAATGATGCATGCATGATGGATGGATTGATCAATCAACAAAACAAAACAAAACACGGCAAAACGAAGATGAAAATCAAACGAATATAATGAATACTGGAATTCGATGATGAATAAGGATTCACTTTTTTTCAATTCAATATTTACAGACACACAAAATCTATTTGTGGTCACAGGTAATAAATGTTATGCAAATAACCTGGATTTTGATGTTTTTTCTAAAATTTTTTTTTTAGGTGAATGGCAATATACCCGGAACAATTAAAACTATTGACATACACACACACACACACAGATCAACTAACCAGTAAATTGTTATTGTGTTAAAAATGTCGACCACGACGACGACGATGGTGATCATAAAACAGAAAAACAGCAAAATTATCAAATGGTTTTTGTATACACGATACGGGTCAAAAATTTATTTTTTTTCCTTCTTAATTTCTGGTCATTGCCATCACCATCATCATCATCATCATTAACATCATCGTCGTTGTTTTCGATCATTGTGTTGTTGTTGTCGATGATTGGACGATCATTGTTTGATGATGGATGAATGAATGAATAACAAAGGTAATTTTAATGATCTATTTATTCATCAATTAATTGAAGATTTTATTTTTTACAGAAAAACTTTTTTTGTTGTTTTGTTGCGTAGTTTAGATTTCTAATGAAGTGATGATGATGTTCGAAAATCGAATCGATTAAGTTGACGAATATTGTTTTTTTGGCTATTTTTATCTATTTAAAAATGGACATATCAATGTCATATATTGATAAAGAATAATGGACAAAAAAAAGCTGGTGATCGCGATGGATAGTGATCGACGAATGGCCAATATTGTTTGAATAAAAAGATTTGGTCATAAACAACAACAACAACAATAACAACAACAATGACGACATTAGCTTCATAATTGAATTACAATATTTCAATAATTATTAATTCGTTGATTCGATCGAACAAATTTGATGATCATGAATGATTATCATCATCAATAAGTTTGAATCAACCCAAAACTTGACCAAACAAGAAAAGTACATAATAATAATCATTTATTATTATATTATCAAGATTTGTCTACAATGATGATGACGACGAAGACGACCACGATCATCATCATCTTCATCTTCATTGAACAAAAGAAAAAACCAGCTAGACTACTGTATTTTTCTCATCATCATCATCATATCAGCTACGTTATAATTATTTAACGACCAAAATACGAAATGAAAAAGAGATTTTTCAAATTCATTCAATGTGAATGAATGAATGAAAAAATTAATGGACATCCATCTCATGTATGATCATAAATATCAATGGACAAGACTATGCAGTCATTGAATGATTCTTCTATCATAGAATCATCTTCAAAAATACCTGTTATTGTGGCCAAAACATTAACTAACCATTACTGGTTAGTCGTAGTGTAGTAGTGGTGATGATGATGATGATGTGTGATATTATTTCATTCACAAAGATGTAATCAAAATAGAAAACAAGCCGATTGATGATTCGCAATATCGAAATCAAAGAAGGAAAACTGCTAATTTGAATATGACAAACAACATCCTATGGATAACAATCGATGTGATCACGCGTTTTTTCCATTTTTCACTCTATTGATGATGATTGGGTTTCAATTTCAATTTTTTCTTTGACAAAAACCGTTCGAACATTGTTATTGAAGATGAAGAAAAAAAATGGGCAATCGATAATTGAATTTTTTTTCATTTCTTTTCTTTTTTTTGTTTGTTTTGTTTTCTACAAAATCATTCAATGTATTCAAGAAATTTCAAGGATTTTTTTTTATTGCATTTTTTCTCCAAATGATCATCCCTGTGATTGAATTTTTTTTCTGGATATACACATCTTTTCTCTGTATCGAAAAAGAAAACAATTGAAATCATATGATTAATTGATTGACCGGAATTTCCGAAAAAAGTAGAGAGAGAGAGAGGTTGCCATCGTTTTTATTGGCAATAAATTTTTCATTGTTTTACCGATCGATGATAATGATGTCAAGGTGTTTACAGGCTGGTGATGAATTTTTTGACATAAAAAAAAATGAAATGATTCATGGACTCAGACACCAACCGACACATGTACAGGGGAAAAAACCCAAAAACAAGAATTACAATTTTTTTTTTGTGTGTGTGTGAATCAGATTTTTTTGTTTTTATTTCATTCATCAATCATTGAAACAATGGAATTGAATTTAAAAAGGTGTGAGAAAAAAAATCAAATTACACAATGTTTTTTTGGATGTTTAAAATTTTTTAAATTATAAAGAAAAAAAAATCATTGTTTTTTTGTTTTGTCCAAGAATTTTCTATTTCAATGGTATGAAACGTGATGAATGTGTAGCACCGATACCTGGACGGCCATGTTTTACAGGTTTATAGGTGACAGAAAATTCACCCAAATAATGTCCAATCATTTCGGGTTTAATCTCCACTTGATTGAAAACTTTTCCATTATAAACACCAACCACTGATCCAACCATTTCGGGCAGAATGATCATATCACGTAGATGGGTTTTCACTATTTCGGGTTTTTCCATTGCTGCGGCTTCTTTTTTTGCTTTCTGCAATTTAGCCAACAATGCCATTGGTTTACGTTTCATTCCACGTGATAATTTACGACGGGCTCGTGCCGGGAATAATTCCATCAGATCTTTATTGGATTTGTCCAATAATTGTTCCAAATCGACACCACGATATGAATATTTTTTAAATGTCCTTTTTTTCGGCACTTGAACAGCTTCAGCTTCTTCCATTTTTTTGTTGAAAATTGATGAAAATTTAATCGAAAAATCAAAAAATTTACACAAAATAAAATCACGAAAAAAACAAAACACACACGCACGAGTCTCACAGAGGAAAAGGGAAATTGGATTCCAAGCAAACGTGTGAGCAGTGTGAGTGTGTGATGTGATTTGCGCAAACTCAAAAATGACCTGTTCATAAATGACATAATAACGTTGTTGATATATCACGTGTGTGATGAGCATTTGATTTTTACAAACAATTTTGAAATTTATATCAAAAAAAAAATGACTCAAAAACAAAATATGGTGGAAGATGAAAATGATAATCGTGAAGAATTCATATTGATACGTGCACCGAAAACGATTGATCCATCTACGTTGAATGGACCGAAAATCTATCTAAATCGAACAGATGATTGTCGACCGAATGTTATTCGATCATCATCATCATCTGTATTGATGATAATAATCAAACTTATGGATACAATTTTACAGCAATCGATGGTAATGATCTGCCATTTTATTATTCAATGAATAAAATTCAACCGGAAAAATCCGGCGACAATGCATGCTATCGTATGGATCGAGATTCTCGTTTAAAAGGTTGTCTAAATTTTTATAAACAATCATCATCATCGTCGAATCAAGAATCGAATGAATGTGAATTACAGCCACTTGATTCATCCACTTGCGATGGTCCAAACGATCCAGTTGAAATGATTATCCATCGAAATAAAAGAAAATCAACGATGACAATAACAACAACAATCACTGAATCGAAACAAGTGAGAAAAAAATCAAAATTAAAATCGAAATAGAAAAAAATTTAAATTTTTATTTACAGCATATGACATGTGACACCAAATGAATGAATTTTTTCTAGACAAATTGTTGTAAACATAAATTGTGATAATAAATTTGAAAAATTTTATATTTTAAATATTAAAAAGAAAAAAAAGGAAATTCAATTTTTGAAAAAAAAATTTTTGAAGAAACCGGAGAAATTGCTTGTTTTTTTTACAGTTCATCGTGGTCATCATTGACAGATTCATCATCTTTGGCTTGGTTGTTTTCCTATATTTGAATTGGAAATTAAAATTTTATAAAAAAATTTCCACTCGATCAAATTAAGAAACACTTACCGAATCATCCATTTTATCGACATCATTAAAATCATCAACATCGTTATCATCATCATCATCGACTTGAGCATTTTCATCAACACCCAATGTTTTACGAAGTAATGTCTCGACACGTTGTGCAAATGATGTTGTATCACCCAATTGATAACCGGACCGCAATGTGGCAGTTTCATAGACTAACATGGCCATATTTTTGGCAACTGGATCTTCTTTATCTTCTTCTATACGACGCAATAGTTCTCTGATCAATGGATGACGTGGATTCAATTCCATTGTTTTCTTTTGCGATAGATAATAATCACGCATAGTATCTTGGGATTTGGAATGTGCATTCGACAATGCTAAACGTTCCATATTACCGGTCCAACCGAATTGTGATGCAACCAATGCACATGGTGATTCATGTAATCGTTGTGATACAACAACTTTTGATATTTTCTCCGTCAATAGGTCTTGGAACCATTTTTTCAGCGGTTCAAATTCTTTCTCCAATTGTTCTTGTTTTTCTTTCATACGTTCCGATTGCGATGAAAGGTCCAGACCATCTTTAGCTACATTTTGGAATTTTTTACCTTCAAATTCAGGTAATGCTGAAATAGCATATTCATCCACGGCATCGGTGAGATATAGGACTTCAAAACCTTTTTTCAATAAACGTTCAACGAATGGTGATTTTGAGACCTCATCCAATGATGTGCCAGCAATATAATATACATGTTCTTGTTTTTCTTTCATTCTTTTCACATAATCAGACAATGGTATCATTTTATCCAATGAATTTGATGAACGGAAACGAAGTAATTTAGCCAAACGGGCACGATTAGCACTATCTTCAATAATGCCCAATTTAATATTTGTACTATATTCACGCCAAAATGTTTCATAATCAGCTTCAGAGATTTTCTTCAACATATCCAATACTTTTCGTACCAATTTTTTACGTATAACTTTCAATAATTTATGCTGTTGCAATGTTTCACGTGATACATTCAATGGTAGATCATCACTATCGACTAGGCCACGAATAAAATTCAAATAATTTGGCATCATATCAGTGAAATCATCAGTAATGAATACACGACGAACATAGAGTTTAATATTATCAGTACGTGTTCCATAACGATTCAATGTTTCCGTTGGATTCACTTTTGGTACATATAACAATGAACGGAATGTAACTTCACCTTCGGCAATAAAATGTGTTTTAGCCAACGGATCCTGTGTATCACGTGTCATTGATTTATAGAATTCATTATATTCTTCATCAGTGATATCAGCAGGATTACGTGTCCAAATCGGTTTCGATGTATTGATCAATTCCCATTCCCAAATGGTTTTTTCAACTTTTTTCGTTTTCGGTTTCTTTTCCTGGTCATCTTTTACATCTTCAACTTTAGCTTCATCATCATCATCAGTGGTTTTTGGCTTATCTTCTTCGGTTTTTTCTGGTTCTTCGTTTTCAATCGGTTCTTCAGTGGTTTCAATACGACTAGCCCATAGATAGATTTTGAAATTAATAAATTGACTATATTTACGAATCAAATTTTTCAGTGTATCTTGTTCAAGATAATCTTTAGCTTCTTCTTTCAATACCAAAGTGACACATGTTCCACGTTTCAATGTAGGACCACGTGGATCTTCGGCAATGGTAAATGATGAACCATCCGATTCCCAGATATGTTGTACTGGATCATCATTTGATTTCGATGTGACAATAACTTTATCAGCAATCAAGAATGCCGAATAAAAACCAACGCCAAATTGACCAATTAAATCATTCATTTCACGTACATCTTTGGTTTCGGATAATTTTTTCAGAAAATCTGCCGTTCCAGATTTAGCAATCGTACCAAGATTTGCGACCATTTCATCTTTAGTCATACCAATACCTGTATCGGTTATATGCAATAATTTACTATCTTTATCTGCTTTAATTCGTATCGATAATTCATCTGTAGCGGCCAATACTTCTTTATCAGTCAATGACAACAGTCGAATCTTGTCCAATGCATCCGATGCATTAGATATAAGTTCACGAAGGAAAATTTCTTTGTTTCTATACAATGAATTAATAATCAATTTCATCATACGATTTACTTCGGCTTGAAATTGGAATTTTTCTGCCTTTTCACGAAGTTCTTTCATTTGTGCAACACTCAAGCCATCCAATTTAATTGCTTCCTCTTCACGTTGAATCACTTGATCATCGGTTTTCGAACCATCATGATGTGCACCAAAATCCTGGTCAACAGTTGCAGCGGAATCTAAATTTAATTCATCATCAAGAATATCTTCACAACTGGCCAGATCTAAGAAAAAATCGCAAAACATTTAAACAAACTGTCAATAAAATAAAAAAAAACTTACGGAATGAAGAAAAAATCAATGCCGAAATCAGAATGGCAAAAGTGAATTTACAACGAATCGTCGATGACGATGACATGATTATTATCATCGAAAAAAAACGTCAATATCAAAAACAAAATTCTATCACTTGAGATCTGGTTGAGGTTGATTTCGATGGCGTTGAATTTAGAATATGAAACAAACTGAATAACAAACACACAGAGATAGAGAGAAAGTAAAAATTTATTTCCTCAATTGATCATTAGATTTATCACATGTTCGTCCATGTCTTCGAGAGAAAACAATAATATCATCAATGCCAATTTTGAACGAACGGTAGTTGAAACAATATATTTCAAGACGAGAAAAAGTTTCGAGCGGCTGTTGATAACCCAAATGGCATCACCAAGAAAATGATATAACGTGTTTTCAAACGAAACGCTGTTGTTTTCTGATCTGGCGAAGCGGTACATGAGTAATACTCCAGATTTGAAATCCAATTTTGAAAAGTATTTTGAGCTTTATCGAGACCAAACAGAATTCTTGAACTTCGATGCATTGGTTAATGCAGTCAAATTTTCGAGATAGCATTCAGCTTTCTATAATCAATTGCCAACCGTAACGAACCATCTCTTTTTTACTCACCAACAATGGACTACAAAACTCGGAATGAGATTTAACAATAATGTTATTTTGTTCCCATTTCAAATCAACATTCGACGGACTTCATCACGATATGCATATGGCTCAGATAAGGTTTGGACATTGATCACCTTATTTGTTTTAATTGATAAGAATGCTCTACTAATTTGTAAAACGTCCGGATACCTTCGAACATATCCATGTACCGGATTGATTAATGAATTAACCCACACCCGATTGTCTTAGATTCATCACAAACATTTTCATTGTCCGCATCATCATCCACAGTAAGATGTTCGACCGCCAGCGCACAGACTTCTGCATCCGTTAGATCGTGATCATTGACATTGTCGATTTGATCTTCCGGAAATCAGATTAAATGACGACGATTGCTCCATCCACGTAAAATACATAATATCGTCATACGTAATCGTAGCTGAAATTTTCTTGATGAAACCGACCCAGTGTCGGTTTAGTAACATTTCCAATCAAACAGTGCGCTCATCAACACAACTATCGATGCTCATTTTAACAATCGATTCACCCTTTCCACTAACATTGACGAACCATTCGCAGTATGAAGGACTGATTGACCAAATTTTCAACAGGCCACGACGATGGACATACCGATACTTTTGATCCACTCATCAATCAAACAATACAGCTGATTGATTTTGATCTTAAAACTGTCGCGGAATGATACGATTAGATTCATCACAATGGATGCAATTTCTTTGATTTGTTCCACGATTAGATGCGGTTTTTGATGACGATGATGATGATGATGTCTTATTTGATGATAATCCCGATGAATTATTCTTCTTTGCTGCATTCTTTTTAACCGACAATCAGCCGCATTATGACCCATTCTGTTGCAACGCCAACAACGTCATCTGTCATTATCTTCATTGCAACGATCACTATTCACGAAGGATCATGATGACGTTTGTTTCGTGCTTTTTGAAGGGCAAATTAATCCCCTCGACTCATTTAGCCAATGCTTTTATCTCTTCGATAGTTTTTTAAATTCGGTGAATTTCGTCGTCATCAGCAACAACTAGGAACCTCGTCCAACGCTGCATAAAATCTGGCATCACGTGCCAATCTTTCTCGAGATTGTTCAGGGCATTATTTATACCAGATTTTGAAATGGAAAAAAAATCGAATCAAATCGAATAATAAATTTTGATGAATTGTCAAATAATAAAACAACACGTCAGCTTTGCTTTTTTTGTATTGGAAAACAGAAGGAAAAAACGCCGAGAATATTCGAAATCAACCAAAATGATGATGATGATTGAATAAATGTGAGTGAGAGTGGTGGTGGTGGTGGTGGTGGCAGTAGAAGGCAATGTGTGAGTGTGTTGGCCGGCATATACCATATCAAATACAATGAGACCAATAAAATACCGACTTGGCAAAATTTGATTGGCTACCAAAAAAAATTCATTTTGCGATTGCGTTGTATGAATCCAATAATGCTGCTGCTGCTGCCATTTAGTGTTTGTGGTTTGAAATTTATTTTTTCTTCAAATTTTTCAAAATTATTTCAAAATACAGATTAATACAAACACATATAAAACAAACACATCTAATTAACGCCCAAATATAACGATGATTAAAATATTGGAAAAGAGAAGAGAATTGAAATGTGAATATGATGATTATTAATCAACATTTGCCAGTGCTTTCATAATGGTGATTTGTGCATCTTCTGGTTGATTAAAATAGGTATTTTCAAATATTTCTTTGTATGCATCAGGAAGTTCAATTCGTACATGTTGTGCCATTGCAGCAACAGATAATCCGATACGTTCATTATCACCATTTTCCAATGCAATTTCATGACATATTTGTAATAAATGAATTATGTGTATAATTATTGCCGGATGATAATCAGTATAAATCCATTGTAACATTGATAGTATTACCGTGCCAAGTTTATAAGCTTTGAACTTGTCCACAAGATACAAGATATCCAGTTTCATTATAAATTCCTTTAATAATTGATGATTCACTGGATCCACTGAATTACATCGTTGACATTCACATGTAATATTAAAGTATTGAGCCAGTTTTGTTTGTCGATCATATCTTGATTCAATCATATCCACATAGCTGACGGTAATTTGTGTACCAGATTTAATCGGTTTGATAGCACGCATTACAATTTGGTTACCATTGAACAGTTGTGCACTGTTTGGTGTACATGAATGACCGATTTGTGATTCCGCAATATAAAGGCCTGCACCTAATTTTTCCAGTTCATAATTTACAATCTTCAAGAATTTGGAGCAACTTATACAATAAAATTTAAATAGTACTGTGCGATTGAATTCAATCTTCATAAATTGGAATTTTGTACATATAGTTTCAAAATCGCTGATTCGAAATGAATCATTTTGCATTCGATTCCAATCTGTCATGAGGAGATCATTGAAACATCGGTTTGAATTTTCATCGTTAATAAATTTTTGCCTTTCGTTAACACATTCAGGGTTGTTTTTTACAAACAAATACAACCGTAATAAGAATCGATCAAATTCGTCTGTAATAATTTCGTAACTTTTCTTGAAAATTTTACATTCGAATTTATGTTGTTTCCAATCATTTCGTTGACAATCTTTTCCACAATAATACATGTGTTTACAGTTGCTACATTTGCCCAATGCAGTAGCACCGCCGCTGTTTACAAAATAACGAAAATGAATAATCCAATTCAAATAAAATTTAACACTTACGTTGTTGGAGCCAAGCAATAATCACAATATTTACCCTTTTTATCTTCATCGATAGCATGTACAAATGGTGGATTAACAGAGATTATTTCTCCAGCTTTATAATCACGATGGCTAATCATTTTGATTGAATTGAATTGAATCAAAATTCAGTTTATAAAGTTGATTTAAAGTTGAGTCAATTTTTGTCCAAAGAAGATTGAAAAATGGAAATTCGTTGATGAAATTTCAATTTTATCCTTTTTTCGTGATGAGATGAGACGAATTGAAATTCGAAATTCGAAATAAAGAGGACACACACAGGAAAGACCCAACAACAACAACAACATATAAAAAACTTGTGCCCACCTTTTTTCCATATCGATAGTTTCGTTCATCATATATTTCGAATAAAATAACCACAATATATGAAAAATGAAAATCAATCATCAATAATCAAAAAGGAATCGATAACGATTATAATTCTTATTTCATATATAAAGAAAAAACACGAGATTAAATAATGTAAACAAGTATTGATTTGAAATTTATTTTTTCTTCAAATTTTTCAAAATTATTTCAAAATACAGATTAATACAAACACATATAAAACAAACACATCTAATTAACGCCCAAATATAACGATGATTAAAATATTGGAAAAGAGAAGAGAATTGAAATGTGAATGTGATGATTATTAATGAACATTTGTCAGTGCTTTCATAATGGTGATTTTTACATCTTCTGGTTGATTAAAATAGGTATTTTCAAATATTTCTTTGTATGCATCAGGAAGTTCAATTCGTACATGTTGTGCCATTGCAGCAACAGATAATCCGATACGTTCATTATCACCATTTTCCAATGCAATTGCATAACATATTTGTAATACAAAAATTGTGTATATAATTGTTATCGGATGATAATCAGTAGAAATCCATTGCAACATTGATAGTATTTCCACACCAAGTTTATAAGCTTTGAACTTGTCCACAAAAAACAAGTTAACCATTGCTATATTAAATTCCTTTATTAATTGATAATTCACTGAATCCACTGAATTACATCGTTGACATTCACATGTAATATCAAAGTATTGAGCCAGTTTTGCTTGTCGATCATATCTTGAATCAGCTATATACACATAGCAGGCGGTAATTTGTGTACCAGATTTAATCGGTTTGATAGCACGCATTACAATTTGGTTACCATTGAACAGTGGTGCACTGTTCGGTGTACATGAATGACCGATTTGTGATTCCGCAATATAAAGGCCTGAGCCTACTTTTTCCAGTTCATAATTTGTAATCTTAAAGAATTTGGTGCAACTTTTACAAAAAAATTTAAATAATACTGTGCGATTGAATTCAATCTTCATAAATTGGAATTTTGTACATATAGATTCAAAATCGCTGATTCGAAATGAATCATTTTGAATTCGATTCCAATCTGTCATAAGGAGATCATTGAAACATCGGTTTGAATTTTCATCGTTAATAAATTTTTGCCTTTCATTAACACATTCAGGGTTGTTTTTTACGAACAAATACAACCGTAATAAAAATCGATCAAATTCGTCTGTAATTTCGTAATTTTTCTTGAAAATTTTACATTCGAATTTATGTTGTTTCCAATCATTTCGTTGACAATCTTTTCCACAATAATACATGTGTTTACAGTTGCTACATTTGCCCAATGCAGTAGCACCGCCGCTGTTTACAAAATAACGAAAATGAATAATCCAATTCAAATAAAATTTAACACTTACGTTGTTGGAGCCAAGCAATAATCACAATATTTACCCTTTTTATCTTCATCAATAACATGTACAAATGATGGATTAACAGAGATTATTTCTCCAGCTTTATAATCACGATGGCTAATCATTTTGATTGAATTGAATTGAATCAAAATTCAGTTTATAAAGTTGATTTAAAGTTGAGTAAACTCTTGTCAAAAAGAAGATTGAAAAATGGAAATTCGATGATGAAATAAATTCTGGAACGAGATAAACGTCTTCGAGATGAACTTGATGCACAAGATGATGATGAATTATATGATGATTTTGAAGATTTGGAAAATATCGATGATAATGACAAAATAAAAATTGAAAATGAAGATGATGAAATGATTGACAGTCATTGAATTCACTACAGAGGAATAAAATATACACACAGGAAAGACACCAACAACAACAACATATACAAAACTTGTGCCCGCCCTTTTTCCATATCGATAGTTTCGTTCATCATATTTCGAATAAAATAACCACAATATATGGAAAATGAAAATCAATCAATCATCAATTATCAAAAAGGAATCGATATCGATAACGATTATAATTCTTATTTCATATATAAAGAGTAAATTTTTTTCTTTAAATCACAAATATTACCATTTTTAGGGATGAAAATTATCAAATCAAATTAAATTAAATCGATCGATCGATCGATAGTTTTGTGTTCATCACAATTTTTTGAATATAAAATTTATTTTCATTTTAATTTCATCAAATTCTCATCTATTCATATATCATACAAATGAGAACATCTAATTAATGCCTAAAAAGATGATGATGATGTTTTCTCCATCATCATCATCATCATCATTAAACAATGTCATTATGATCACCACCAAAACTATCAATAGTGGCCATATTATCATCTTCTGTATTCGCCGTGGTTGTTGTTGTTGTTGTTGTTACGTTTGAAACAATATTTTCAAAATTAACATCAGTCAAATAATATGGTTGAAACTGTTGAAAATTTGTACCCAATATTTGTCGTAAATTTTTCTGCATCATTTCAGTTTCTTTTCTTTTTTGACGCTGTAGTTGTTTGACGATTGTTGTTGTTGCTGTTCCATCATTCAGATTATTATCATCTTTTTCTTGTTCTTGTTCTCGTTGTTGTTGTTGTTGTTGTTCTTCATCATCATTTGTTTTCATTATAATACTTATAATTGGATTACCATAGAATGGTGAATGTCGTTGTTGTTTATAATAATGATGATGACAATTATTTTGTTCATTTTGTTCATCCAATGATGATTTTAAACAATTTATATTACGATGAAATGAATGATATAATTCATTAATAGTTGCACGATCATTTTCGCATAAATTTTCCAATATTTTATAAAAAATTTCTTTTGTATAACATTTTTCCGCTTTCTTTTCATCATCATCATTATTTTCATCTTCTGGATTACGATAATAATTACTTAGATCAATGTCATTGTTTTCGTTGTTGTCAATCGATTCTTGATGATGACCAAGAAAACTATGAAAATTATAAGAAAAAAAAATCAATTATCAATTTACACACACACACACACACACACAGATAGACAGACTTACAATAAAAGCAATTCTTTACTTGGCCGAACAAAATCATTATGATTTTGATTTACATAACCAATATAACGATATAGATAGCTATTATTACCATCAAGTCCATCGAAACCAAATTCATCATCATAAGCATATGGTTTGTACAGCATTTGTATTCGTGGTGGTGATGTTGTTGTTGTTGTTGTTGTTGTTGTTGCTACTGTTGCTGTTGCTACTGTATCTTTATTATGATCTTCAGATGATAAATCTTCCTCTTCCGCAGGTGATTCCATTAATGATGATGGTTGCTGCTCTTGTTGTTGTTTTTGTTGTTCAACAGGTGTTACAAATGTAAATATACGTCCTTTTTGTCCACGAAATACATTCGAAAATGGTATTTCAAAATCATCCAATTCAGTTCTTTCGGAATGTTGATTATGATTCTGGTGATTGAATCTTTCTGAACTTTGTTCATCATCATCATCATCATCATCATATTCTTCGTCGCCTTCATCATCATCGTTGTCGTGATTTTCCGTTTCACTTGTCATAATAGTAGTCGTTTCAGTTTTATCCTGCCCCATCAACATCATTTCATCATCACCATCATTGATTGTCATCATTGTATCATTCTTATCACCATTATCATCACCATTTTTGGCCACAGCAACAGGCATTACACCAATCATATTTTCATCAAACACAATTTCAACAGCTTCATATTTTTTAACATTTACACATGTACTTGGCTCAATTATTGGATTCTGTACCGATTGTTCAATCAATGTTTGTAGATTATGTAATTCATCATCATCATTCGTATATGGTCGTTGTTGACGTATTTCAGATGATGATGATAACGACGTTCGATTATTTATATTACCACCAATAATACGACGTCTATGTACAGCATCAGCAATAGCGGTAGTGGCGATAGTAGTAGCGGCAATTTGTAATTCTTTACGTTGACATGTTCGACATTTATTTTTATATTCAATATGACCATTTATAAATTGATATTCACATTGCTGACAATGATGTTGTTGTTGCTGTTGTTGTTGTCCGTCCATCATTACGGTATCAACCATTGTTTGGCCATTTTTTTGGACATTATTTTGATGTCTTCGTTTCTTTGCATGATTACTGTTACTGTTGCTGTTATTCGTAAATATTATATGATTTGGATAACATTTTCCATTTTTATTCGATCCATTACTACTGCTTCGATTATTAATCATTAATCGATTCGAATGATTTCGTGTCGTCGATGATGATGATGATGAATTATTTGAATAATAATTATTATTACGTGGAAAATGTAGTGAAATTTGATTCAAAATTTTCTCTACTAATTCTATGGATTGTTGGCCACCACCACCACTGACACCGTTTGTTTGATGATTCGACGACACATCTTTTGTCGATGTTTTTGTTGCTGCTGCTGCTCGTGCATAAGTTATTGTTGTGCATGGATTCGATTGATATGGATAACGGGAATTGCGAGAATTATGGCCACCACCACCACCACCACTACCACAACCACCAATAATATTGGGATGAATATCCGGTTTCGGTAACAAAGCCGATGATGGTGATGGTGGATGATGAGCAATTATTGAAATGGATTTATTATGATTGAATGATCGATTCATTTGGCAAAAAAAAATTTCGTTTCAAACCGGTAAAAAAAACACACACACCAACACTACAAACTAAACAACATTTACAATCAAAAATCGAAACAAGAAAAACAATTTTAACGAAAAATTCATTGAAATTGTTTCAATTTTTATAATAATCATTCATCATTCGAAATACGAATTTTTTTTTTGAAATTAAATTTTTCCATTTATTCGACAAGACATTGTTGTTGATAATGTTCGAATTTCATTTTGACCTGCAATAGTAACAAAACCACCACCGCTGTCAAAATTGCCATTTGTTTGATTTAGGAAAAATTTTTCCGGATTTCGTTCAATCAAACGTATAGACCATATTGAAATGGCTGTGATGGCCATACCGATTATGATGCTAAACATTTTCATCCAAATGGATTGTTCGATGAATATCATAATCACTGGACGATTAGCTGGATTTTTATGATAATTACTTTCAGTCCATGATGAGAATTGTACACCTGTTGCTGTGGCCATTAATTCATTCATTTTTTGTCGTAATAATTCTACATCATCAGCAAGTAACAATAATCCTTTGCCAATATATTCAGCATATGTTGATTCAGACAATTCCATTACGGTTTGTGATACAAGACAATAACCACCACCGCCACCACCACCACCACCACCACCACCAGCAGCCGCATTAGCATGATTTTTACCACTACCATCACCAATAGCAATAAAAGATCGATAATCATGATGATGATCAAAAAAACTTTGATTTTGACCTAATGGTATAATTGTAAAACTTGTGCCATCTTGATCCACAATCGATGATGATGATGAACAATTAATTTTTTTAGCATTTGCATAAAATAATATCGTTTGTAATGAACGTTTCACGTCAATATTGGATTGCATACGTTGTTTTAAATTTGATGATCGTGTTTCAATCGTATTGATCATCATATCTGTTTCACGTTGTATAGGGGCAGTGAATTCAAAATTTACGCCCGATATATTCAATTTTGAATCAAAAAGATGACATTGTGGTACCAGTCCAATCAAACAATCAACAAGATTACGTATAAGATTCTTATCGGATTTTAGTTGATATTTTGGATACTGTTGTTCAGTTAATAATTCGAAAATGAACTAAAAACAGCGAAAAAAACATTATCATTTTGCACATCTATTTAGATTGATGATACTTACATTCGAAACCAAATCGGCAATAACATGTAAACGTTTGACAATAATTTCCAGATCATAATAATCACGTGAATCAAATAGACTATGAAAATATGGATTTCGAATTTCGGATCCATAACTAGCCAACAACAAGGCATCAATGTTGGGATCATAACGTCGAAATTGTTTTACCGTACATGATGATGGTAATGATTGTTGTGTTGAAATTGAGAATTTATTTCTTTTACAAAATCTTGAAAATCTTTCCGCTATCGATATTAATTCATCATCACCATCATTTTGATCAACAACATGATCATTATCTGAATGTATCCAATATTCGTTATCATTCGGATCACCACCACCAATCAATTGATTCAATTCAATTGCTTGTTTAATTGATTTCAATTTAATTTTTGAACTTAAAATTGAACCATAATTACTATTATCATCCTGTGTGGTATTTGTTTGGTAGCCGAAATAAAACAAAAAAAAGAAAAAAAAATCAGAAAAAGTTAAACATTCATCATTCCATAAATAACGTTACCATAAAATTGTTATAAAAAATCCATGAATTCGAACCAATATGACCGAAAGATTCACCATCAAAAAATGCATAAAGGATGTTTTTAATCTGACTACCGGTACGATTCATTGGCAGTATTAAATGTTGATTTCGATTCAATGTGTCCACAATACTGATCATGACAATAATGGCCGAATAAACTGAATCAACACCGGGTGAATATGAATCAAACATTGTGAATGAATCTAATCGTGCTGTCAACATTAGAATGGAACGATTTTCAAATCTGGATTGATTTTCATAAATTGGAAACAGTGTTGCCAGTAGATTACGTGCACGAATCAATTTACAATATGAACTTTCCACCATGTCCATTGCATTTTGACTTCGTTGTAAACATCGTTGCGAATTCAATGTACCATACATGAAACTTTTCAATTGTAAACGACAATTATATTGACGTTGACATTGATGAAATTCTTCGATAGCCAATTTATTTCGAACCAAAAATATCGGAAATGGCCATGATATTTTTGCATAATTTTCATATGGATTTGGTCCAGTAATTCGTGGTGAACATTCATCATTAGTTCGATTATTTTTATCAACAATACGGATACCGTATCCGGTATTTGGACAATCAGATTCTTGTGAATATGATTTATATAATGATGATGATGATGATGAGTTGGAAACAATCGATTGTTTTCGATATTCGATAAATATCACACCGACGACTAATTCAACCAATCGATGTCGATATTGTCGTAAATATTCGATTGAACCGAAATCTCGAATATTTATGAGCAAAATAATCGGCCCATATAGCTGATATTGTTTTTGCAGAATTTTTTCTTTCATATCCAACTGATTATACACCTGATATGGATGACCATTATTACCATGTTTACTAGATGAACAACCAGTACTATGAGTTAGATTGAATCGTCGAATACAAAATGAAATATCCCCACTGATTGATTCATATCTTCGATAGATTAATTGATCAATTCGATGGCTTTGGAAACGATCGAAAAGATGAGCATCACTAAACACGACAATGATAAGTATAATGAATGTATTATGTTTCATTTTATTTGACCAAAAATAAATATAGACGAATTTGTGAAAAATTTTCGTCTTTTTGTTTTTGTATTTTTTTTTCGGAAAATTCAAATTTAATTATAAAAAATCAAAAACATTTTTTCCACCAACAGATGGCGCTTCATGGCAATTCCATGCATGTGACAGTGTAACAATTATGACGTGTATGTGTGTGTGTGTTCATCTTGGATTGTCACATTAATTTATTGTGGATGATGAGATTTTTGTGTTTGGTTTTTTATAGCGTCAAACATCAAGCCGGCTCATAGTCTATTGATTGATCAAAGGAAAAAAAATCGATCCAAAATTGATTTTAAATTCTCATTTATGGGCAATTCATAATTTCTGTATCGAAAATAATCATCACTTTATTTTTATCATCAATTAATTTTCGATTAATCGATTGATCAAATCCGCACACGCACACACACAGATGTAACGTGTCATCATCATTATCATCATTTTTTGTTTCACAATTTCCTCAATTTGAAAGAAACCACAGCTGTATTCCGCACTGTCCTTTTTATGTGGTGTGTCGTGTGTGTGTGTGTGAGTAATTTGTTCGATTTTGATTTTTCATAAATAATAATGATCGATTTATTGGTTATTCTTTAGCCACTTTTTTCCTCCAAATTTTCCCACCAAGAATATTCAAATTTGAATGAGAATAAAAATGTATCAAATATCAATGTATTCACCGATTGTTATAATCAACACATTAATCCTGTTGATTATGTTCGTACAACGATTAGAATCAAATTATCAAGATACCAATATACCACATCGTCGTTTTGAATATAAATATTCATTTAAAGGACCATATCTAGCACAAAAAGATGGCACAGTACCATTTTGGGAATATAGTGGTAATGCTATCGCATCAGAAGAATTAGTCCGTATTACACCATCATTACATTCGAAAAAAGGACAATTATGGTCAAAATTAGCGACAACATTTGAATGGTGGGAAGTGGATCTAATATTTCGTGTGACGGGAAAAGGACGTATCGGTGCTGATGGCTTGGCGTTTTGGTTTACTGATCGTAAATACCCGGAAGGTCCTGTGTTTGGATCTTCTGATCATTGGAATGGTTTGGCAATTTTCTTTGATTCATTCGATAATGATGGCAAAGGAAACAATCCATATATAATGGCAATGATTAATGATGGTAGTAAAACATATGATCATAATTCGGATGGAATTAATCAACAACTACAAGGTTGTTTACGTGATTTTCGTAATAAACCATATCCTGTACGTGCTAAAATTGAATATTATCGAAACGTACTCAGTGTTATGATTCATAGTGGCAATACAAATAATGATGATGATTATGAACTTTGTTTCCGTGTGGAGAATGTATTTCTACCACAATATGGCCATTTTGGTATAACAGCAGCAACCGGTGGTCTGGCTGATGATCATGATGTAATGAAATTTCTTACCTATAGTATCAATGCACAACAACAACAACAACAAATCTGGTAATTCTCAACAACAAGGACCTGGTCTTTCCGAAGCAGATAAACAACGTTTCAATAAAGAATATGAAGTATATAAAGAAAAACTTGAACGACAACGTGAAGAATATCTGAAAGCACATCCTGATGAGGCTAGAAAATTAGAACTGGAATCAGATAAAGCGGTTGATGTTGATTTTGATTTTTCCGTAAAAGAATTACGACAAATTTTCGATGGACAAAGTGAAGTCTATGAACATGTAAAATTAATGAGCCGTAAATTGGATGAAATTATTGGACGACAAGAACGTGCATTATCAATGATATCGAATATTCATGCAGTTGGTGGTATTCCTCAGCAACAACAACAACCCGGTGGTGTTCCACAAAGTAAGTTTTGATTTTCAAATAAATCTCGATTTTTAATCTCAAGTTTTTTTCAAAACTAGTTCAAGCCAATATGCCAATATCTCGGCCAGAAGTTGAATCATTACTGGGTGTTCATCGTGAATTATTACAGAATTCACGTGAAATAAAAGTTCTTGTACAACATGGTCAACAACAGCAACAGGTTCCAGTTCAACATAATAATCAAGTTGGATCACAAGATTCCGGTAATCAACAGCTTGCTTTATTACAACAATTATTGAATGAAGTACGTGAAAATATGAATGTTGTACGCAGAGAATTTGGAACATTAACGACCAGATTGTCTTCTATTGGGGTGGTGGTGGTGGTCAAACAGGACATGCATCACCTCAATATCAACAACAACAACAACAAACAAGTTGCATTTCAACCCTTAGTTTTATTAGTTTTCTATCTATCCATCTTTTAATGATTATTGGTGCTTTATATTATTTTTCCGGTCGTGATGCACAGTCGAAAAAATTTTATTAAGAACAAAAAACCAAAAATATCACACCATTTATCTGTCCTGATTTGTCAATACATATATAACCGATTTAAATTTAATAAATAAAAATAAAAATTGTAAAGTCAAAAAGTTGAATAGCTGACAGTTTCTTTCTCTGTCGACAGATGACAGCATGACTTTCATTGAATTGAATATCGGTAATTTTAAATTTTTCCACAACAGATGGAATTATAAATTTTTTTTTCAATTTTATTCAAATTTTTTTAATTATTATCATATAATTTAAAAATAAGTCATCATTACAAAATGATTATCATTATTATCGATGAGAAAAGAGAAATTATGTGTATGTGTGTGTATGTCAAGTTCTATAGAAAAAATAAATGTTTATCATATATGTGTAAGTGGCTGATTGATTGTTTCATGATGTTGAGATATATATTTTGGTGTTGATAGTACGATGATAAATGAAGACTTAGTTATTATGATCATTTTGTCAATAGTTAATTTGATTTGAAAAGTTTATGAAATTCATCACACACACACACCACAATTATATTCGATGATGATTCATTTTCAGGTAAATTTTAACCAATCATGACTGTAACTTGTTCTTCTTGGCTTAATTGATCTTCACCATTATTTGATGTTTTATATGTTTCAACTGTTTCATTACTATTAACTTTATTATATTTAATACCATCTTTGTATACGGTGGATAATGGACGGCCACTATTTGTTATGATTGGCAATGGATGATATGATTTTGGATCCGATTGTCGTACCAAAGCGATGCTTGTAAATATTGGATCCAAAAATGTTCGTACCAAACAGGCCCAAACCTATTTAAAATTGATAAAATAAAATAAATGATCGATAATCAATAAATGAATGAAAGAAAAACTTACACGATGCATAAAGAAAAATAAAATGTCCATAACACGAAAACCAGGCGTAATGATCCATACAGAGATCAATGATAACAAAGCAAACACTAATGCCCATATGAATGCCAATGGTAATGAAATGATAGCCATCAGAATACGATACAGCCAGAAACGTACAAATTGAAATAGACCAAATGATAGCTGATAAGCAGCATCAAATCCTTGTGTTGCATCTGGTTCACCAATAACATCTTCAAAGCTGACATTGATGTGATCATTAATCGAACGTTCATCACGATCCAATAGATTAATTCCAACGGTAAATTGATTCAAACGATTAGTGAGAATACCGCCAGAAGATATACCATTGGAACAGGTACCATTAGATGATGTACCTTTAGCAACATCCATTGTAGCTTTCTTTTCGGCTTTTTGTTGTTTTTTCTTTTCTTTTTCTAATGATTTACAGAATAATCGATTATTTTTAATTTTCAAATCTCAAATTAAAAAAGAAAAGAAACTTACCTTCTTCTTTTTGTTTTTGTTTCTCCAATTTTAATTGTTTTTTACGTTCTTCTTCTTCCAATTTTTTTTGCCGTTTACGTTCTTTTTCTTCTTCTTTTTTCTTTTTAGCTGCATCGGCTGCATCTTTAGCGTTGTCATCAGCATTCGTTTTTTCATCCAAATCATCCGTTTCATTAGATTTCGGTGTTGAATTTTCTTTCAATTCAATTTTTTCCTTATGAATTTCATCATCCAACAATGGGAGAACCGATTCATTGAGGTTAGATTTGGAACCAGTTTTATTTTCCATGTTTGATCTTTGTCGTTATTTCTTGTTGCTGTTGAATAAATAAAACAAAAACAAATGAAAAGAAAAATGATGAAACGTGGTACACTTTTAAAGATGAGCGCAAAAAAAATCAAAGAAAAAAATTCAAGCTCAACAAAAACGACGATGATGACACAACGATCTAAACATTCGATTTGATTCGATTCGATTTGTGACCGTTACACACACACAAACATAGCCCATGTACATTTATTATACATACAAAATGCCTGCCTTGCATGCTGCTGCTATTGAATTCCAACTACCAACCCCTAGCCCTACCACACACACACACACACAACGACGATGATGACTATGACGACAAAAATTAGGAATTTTTTTTTACCACAAAAAAAACTAGTCCTCACCACCACCAACAAGAACGACGACAAAAAAACCACGAAAAATACACAGCCACACAAACCAAATGGATCTCTATATCGATACCGTCGTTGTGTTTTCGTTAAATGAGGGGGACCACATAGAGATAATACACAAAAATACACACGCAGGGTCATCAATGACCATTTCGTTGGAATGTCTGTGTTGTGTGTATGAGTCATAAATTTTTTTCTATGTCCAAAATGACAAACATTCGAACGTGGGAACAAATAACAAAAAATCGACCCACAGAAAATATAGCTTACCCTTTATTTTATTTTTGTTGATCACAATGTTCCAAAATTTATTTGTTGACAATGATGATGATGATGATGATGAGCGCGAAATTTAAAAAAAATTTAAAAGAAAAAAAACGAAACAAGCAACCAGTGTGTGTGTGTGTGTTTGAAGAAAAACTTGTTCAATCGATCGATGATGATGATGACTATGATGGCGGCAACAAAAACCTATCCCCTTATAGATCGTTTTTCTTATTTCTCATTTTTTATGTCTCATCCAGTCTTTTTTTTCTTCGGTTGTTGCAACCTCTATCGCGTTTGGTTGTTGTTCACTTCAGTCCGTCTTTTTTGCTGCCAGCAACAAATGTGAAAAAAAAACACTACACAGACAATCGAGCTAAGCAAGCGCAACATAATAAAAAATCTGAATCTAAAAAAATCATCTTGTTTTTTTTTTTTGTTTAGACGAGATGGATAGAGAAGACTTTTGTTGTCCATTTAAAAAAAAATCTAACATTTTATTCAGTGTGTGTGTGTGTGTGGTGTGGCCTTTTTCAAATTCAAATTCAAAATGTGTTTGTGTTTTTGTTTGTCCTGCTTGAACCGCGCCCGATTGAATATTTGGTGTTCTGGTTGCATGATCATCATTATCACATGATGATGATGATGATGATGATGTTGCTCGATTTGACCACCAAATAACCATGATGATGATGATGATAATCTTTTTTTTTGTTTTGTTTGGTCTGCATCTTTTAAATTCCACATAAACAATAAGATTTTGAATGGAAGAAGTAAAACTGATGTTGATTTTACTTCATTCAGAATTCAGGCGCCAAAATTAAATTTCCAATAATCGCATGATGTTTTGATTTGATTTGATTTGATTGATGGCAAGAAAATTTCCAGTTTTTTTTATGGTTTCATGTATAAATAGGGGCTATATAATAAAATGAAATAAAACTGGATCGAAATCCGAAATATATCCATTATATATGTGGATTTCTCATTGAAAATTTTCTGGTCACGAGAATGAACGATTTATGGTTATGATGATGATGATAATGGTAATGGTTAAGGTAATCATCATCATCATCATCATCACACAATAATGACTTTTTTCCCTTCGTTCGTATCCATTGATATTGTACAATAAATTATTGTTTCTGGTTGTTGTTGTTGTTGTTGTCCAGTATCATCATTATCATTATGATGATGATAATACTGAGCCATTTGAGATCATGATATATCATAATATGTTCTGAAATGGTTAATAAAAAACATATAACACACACGCACACACACAAACAGATGTTTGACATTTGATCAGAATATGTGGAAAGTGAATGGGAAATTGGGAATAAATTAGCCTGTATTCTTTAAATGGCAAACAATTTTGATGACAAAATTTGAAAACTTTCAATTCAAAGACAATTTCAGCTTATTCTGTCTCGCTTTTCTTCTTTGCTCTTACATTTAACCATAGAAACTATGATGATGATGATGATGATGGAGATAATTACCAGGTTTAACAAAAGTTTTTTATGATCAAGATTCTTTACACATATGACCAATGCTACCACCACTGAGGATACAGGTTCTGGTTCAATTGTTCGTTTGTTGTTGTTGTTCATCCATTCATTTATTATTCAATTTCATTCAAAAATAAAGAGGGAGAGTTTTTTTTCTCTATCCACCACCACCACCACCACCACCATCATCATTATTATTATTATTGGCCAGGTGATATTTGCCCATTCTTGGTTCTTGTTACTGAATAAAATGAATGGATGGATGGATGACTGACCAAGAATAATAATGGCTAAAAAAAACAAAACAAAACAAAATGGAGAATGTTTTAAATGCACAGGGTGTTGTGAATATCAAGGCGTATCACACACACACACACAGAGAGACACGTTCAAGTTTGAATTAAATGGATAAAGCCAATGAACTCTATGTAATAATTTGTTTTTTTCAAAAAAAAAAAAAAAAAAATTCAATGTCATGACAAAAAAATTGAAACATCGTAATTAAAAAAAAATGATGAAAACAAACCAATAACAACTGTATACCATATTAAATCTAATTAGTCATGATTTAATCTATCTTGTCCATCATCATCATCATGATGATCATCATCAGACATTTTTTTTTTTTTTGGTGAATTTATCAATTGTCGCCATCATTGGTGATTATTAATAACCCATACTAGTAGTCCATATCCAAACATTAGACACACACACACACACAAACAGACCATTAAGAACAACAAAGATTATTATTATTATTACTTGTTGCATTGGTTTGTTTGTCGTTGTCATTACGTTTGGTTTTGACGATCATCGACAGACCATGATAATGATGATGATGATGATGATAATAACATTCCAGAACAGTATACCGAACACATAAACATATGGAACTCATTTTTTTTCTATTTTTTTTTTGCAAATTGCAAATATTTGACCAATGATCATGATGATCATGATGATCATGAATGGAACTAGAGCCATAAATTTATCTTCATGGGTCAACATTCAATGTAATATTAGAATGATAATATGGATGAATGACATGATTTGGACATGGTCTGTGACAACTTTCAAAAAAAAAAAAAAAAAAAAAATTCTAAAATGAAAAATAAAAACAAAACGAAAAAAAAAATATTATATTCATGTGAAAAGAAAAAAACCGGCCAAAAACATTCGATACATTTATACTTTCAAAAAAAAAAAAAAACACACATACATCATGACTCTTACACATTATTAGCTGAAACTACAACTATAGGAATAGAAAAAAAAACAATCAACTTAATCGATGTGTTTGTGTGTGTGTGTGTGTGTGTGTGCTAAAAATATTCATATATGGATGGTAATAGAGAAAAATTCAATCAAAATGATATTATCATCATCATCATCGTCATACAATTCCATTTTGGACAAATGAAATTTTTTTAAAGAAAAAAAAATTGTGTTTATAATGGACAGGATTAGGATCTAATGCAAAGACGATGATGATGATGACGGCGATGATGACGACAAAAATTCAATTTTTAAAAGTTTTTTTTTCACAAAAATTTGCTAAATATAGCATCATTGTGTGTTTGTGTCAACTATTATCATTGATGATGATGATGATGGTGGTGGTGGCTATTATCATGTCCAACATCCACCACCAATCATTTTGTTCATGAAGAAGAAACAAAACATCAACAACAACAACAACAAAAAACATTTTTCTGTGTATAAATAATGATGAAAACCGAAACATTAGACAAACACACACGTGTGTGTCTGGCTTGGATCATCATCATCACCATCATCATCATCATTGAATATGATGTTGTAAGATTAGCTATATAGCTTGAATGTAAATGGAATGATCAACATAATAAATCAGGATTTTGCCACAGCCGCATAAATAGCAGCAGCCGAATGATAATCATAAGAAATTGAAACAAGAGAAAAAATATGATGATCTCCATTTCATTTCTTCGTTTAATTTCACAAAAAATCTCGGCTGACCAGAACAAAACAAAATAGAAATTTCGATGACCCTAAATTCATCATTACAAGAAAAAAAAAAATCAATTAGAAATGAAATGATATCCGGCCAAAATTTAATATATGATGATAATAAATCAGAACGATTGAGTAAAAAAAAAAGTTCAATACAAATTGCTTGATGCCAAATGATTAATTGCAAATTGGCTCATATATGTCCATAAAATTTTTTTTTCATACCAATGGTGTATATCATTAGCATTACACACATACGTACAAACCAGAAAAAAAATCGTTGTTGTTATATTTGTTGCTAAAAATAGTGGAGAAAAAAAAATTGAATTTTTCATGATTATATTTCAGCTTACCCATTTTGATGATCAATTCTGTTTTTGGCGTTTGTTGTTGTTGTTGTTGTTTTTTTCTTGAATTTTGTTTTTGTTTACACCATTTTTTTTGTGTTGTATAATGGCATTTTTCATTGGAATGTATTATTCATCATTTATGCATGTGTCTGCGTGCAAATGTTTACAATATCGTTTTTTTTCTGATCATCATCATCATCATCTTTATGTTGAAAATGAAAAAAAAAAAAATTACTTTTTTCCAGCTGTTGTTTTTTCTGCTACTGTAGTAATCTGGAGAATATCAGCAGCAGCCATGATATGGAAAAATGTGAATAACGGTGAATAATGATGATGATGACGACGATGATGATGATGATATAATTACTATCATTTAAAAAAAAATTCTAGAATTTATATTTAAAAAACAATACAAACATGCGAGTATGTTTGTATATATGGTGTAATAATAAATTAAAGATTGTAATTATAAACATGTCTGTTCAGAATAAATCGAGATTTTCACCATTTTGTTTCTTAATCAATCATTTTGGGTATAGGTTAATTGAGTGAGTGAGTGAATGAGTGAGTGTTGAAAGGTAACCAAATGGCAACCATATATATCATCATTAATTATTTCACGTTTATTTGACGTTGAATTTCCTGTATTCAAAAAAAAAAAAAAAAAAATGAAAAAATAAATATTCAACAAGTGTAATATGAAAATGTGATTCGATTTTTTGTTGTTGTTCTCGTACAAACCCAAATAAAAAACCGGAACAAAATCGATACCATCGATACAATCGATAATAATAATGTCTTAATCCTGAATTACAAAACCAGATTATACAACAAGGGTCATCATCATTATATGATGATGAGCCATGACGGTTTTTTTCTTTTCGTTTCATGATTATCTTGTGAATTTTTCCATAACAATAACGACCACAAAAACGATAAAACCAGGAAAAAAACAATTTCGTAATAATAATAATAAAAAACAAGTAAAACAAGCCACATATAACAATAAAAAAAATAACCACCACGGATGATAATAAATACAATGGTGGCAATCATCACCATCGTCAACATGGTGGATGATATGATGTGACCTTCATCATGAAAAAGTTCATCATCATCATCATAAGGTCGTCAAGGAATGAAAAGATTAAACTTAACTGTATTGCCTGTATTTCATTTCACACACACACACACACAACAGGTAGATAGATATGACAGCCATAATAAAATTTGTACCTGAAAAAAAAATATTATAATCATATGTAAATGTTTATTGGCCAGGTCATTTTTTTCCAAGATAGCTAAATTCAGATGAGTGATGAATAAAAGTAGAAGGGCAACACAACAGAACAACAAATTTTGAATTTAATTAGCACATAAAAAAAAAACAGAAAAAACAAATTTAAATCAAACAAAAACAATAAAAATATGAATTTTCTTTTTTTCGAATGAAAAAAAGGGTCACACATCATCATCATGATCATGATGGTCATCATTCGAATCTATTTCAACCATTAAATAAGGACCAACAAGCCTATTTCGATTAATATACAGCCACAGGCAATAAACCACATTTCAAAAGATTGATTTTATTTCAATTTCAAAATTCAATTTAACAAATAGAAAAAAAAATAAAGTATGAAAATAGAGCGATCCACAATTGTTTTAATTATATTTCATTAATTTGTATCGACAAATGGCAATGATAATGAATTGAATATAAAGCTATAACAATCGACCAGTTCTTCAATCTGTGTGAATGATATAAATATAAATCCATAAATCGATTGATGAAGAAAAGAAAAATCCACCATCAACTTACAATTTTTTCCACTGGTTTACCAAAACCATGACCAGCTTTTGTATCGATACGAATCATCAATGGTGTTCGAGGCAAATGTTTTCCCAGACGATACTGTAATTCAGCAATGAATTTAAATGAATGTATGGGAACCACACGATCATCATGATCAGCTATATATATAGTGAAACAAAAACGTTATTAATCATCAATCATCATCATCATCACCATCATCATCAACAACATACCAGTTAAAAGTAATGTTGCTGGATAACGATCAACATTCTTCGGTATTGTATGTAATGGTGAATAACTAATTAGATTACGGAAATGTTTTTCATCATCATCGGGTGAACCATATTCTGATATCCATGAATGACCAATAGTAAATTTATGATAACGTAACATATCCAATACCCTATAATAAACAAGAAATTGGTAAATTATCACCATAATAACATTATCGACAGTATTTCTTACCCAACAAAACAGACAGTACAACCAAAAAGATCAGGTCTTTGATTCGAACAGGCTGCCACTAAAAGACCACCATTTGAACCACCTTGAATAATAATCCTGTATGTGGTTTTTTTTCATGAAGAAAGATTCAATTTTAAAAAATGGACTGAATTGAATTTGCGATATAAACTTACCGTTTTGGTGTGGTATATTTCTCTCGAACCAGATATTCAGCAGCGGCAATAAAATCATCGAAACAATTTTGTTTCAATAATAATTTTCCATCATCATGCCAACGTTCGCCATATTCACCACCACCACGAATATTTGCCATAGCAATTACAGCATTCATTTGTTCCAATGGAAGCAGACGGATAACAGAAAAATATGGCATTACAGAAATGTTGAAACCACCATAACCATAAAGAATACAAGGACGACTTGAATCTATTGGCGTTTGTTTATTATGTATAATAAACATCGGTATACGGGTACCATCTTTACTTTCATAAAATATTTGTTTTGTAATAAATTTTGATGGATCAAAATTTTTTGGTTTCGATTCTTTAAACAATTGTGGTTCCGCTATTTGATCGTCGTTGTCGCTGGTAAATTTTAGATAATAAGAACTTGATGGTATCAAAAATGATGTGAATGAATAAAATAATTCATTTTGATCACGTTTAGCTGATACAGCGGAAACAGTACCGACAGGAATGGAAATATTTTTGATCAAAGCACCATCGTTAAGTTTTCTCAGTTCCAAACGGCTAATAACATCGCTTAAATAATGACAGATCAATAAATCATTACGTACAATGGAAACAAATTCCAGCACGTTTTTTGAATGTTCATCAATAAGATTTTTCCAATTCGATTCGGCACTTGTGGTGTGATCACTTAGATCAATTTTAATAACACGATAATTTGGTGATTTATGATCCGTGTGAATATAATGTATCGGTCCATCATTTGTTACATAATTATAATTTGCTTCAAATTCTGTTATTACCGGTTCAAATTGTAATCGGCCATTTATTGATGGATTTTTTGCATCAGAAAATTTATGATAATACCATAGATTATATTCACAACTATGAACTATAAATACGTGAAGATATTGGCCACAATCACTAACACAAGATTTACTATTTGTTTTTATACGAATAAGAAACAAATTACTTCCACAATCGATTAAATTAATACACACTTACAATCGATATCTTGGATGTTCCGGCGTTTCATAGACAAGTATATCGGACGATTGTGGTGTGTTTAGACGATGATAATATAATTTTTGAAATGCACATTCCGTAGTTTCTTGGCCATCACATTGATCATTTTGGTCAGGATAATACTGTTTTTATAGCAAAAAAAAAAAAAAAAAATAAAGTCAAAAATCAACAAAAAAAATTCAATTTCTTACCGAATAAAAAAATCCTTGATTATCTTTCGTCCATGAAATTGTTGAAAATTTCACTTTAGTCAATTCTTCATCCAGATCGATACCTGTATCAACATTACGTATTTTAATCGAATTCCAATCAGAACCAGATTTTTGCAGACCATATGCCCACCATTTTCCATCATCAGAAAATGATACAGTATATGTTGATAATGATATGGTTCCATCATTACTCAATGAATTCGGATCGAAAAAAATTTCCGGCTTAGCGTCCAATCGATTACGCATTATAAACAATACATTTTGATTCTGTAATCCGGTATTCATTTCCATAAAATAATTTTCACCTTCCCGATATGGGCAACCATAACGTGGATATTCATAGAGATCGGTTAAACGTTTTTTGATTCGTTCACGATATTGACATGATTCAATATATTTCGAACTAATGGCATTTTGTTCGGCCACAAATCGAGCCGTTTCATCACTATCCACATCCTCTAACCATCGATATGGATCAGCAATTTTTTGACCAAAATATTCATCTTCAACATTCGAACGTCGTGCATCTGGATACACGAATGATGATGTTGTTGTTGTCGGTTCTGAACTCATCATTTCGTTTGTGTTGAAAATAATTGAATTACGGATGAAAAAATTACTTTGAAATTGTCGAATTTTTCGGCTACAAATATTTCTAACTAAAAAACGCCAAATCATTCCCTTTGTTCAACAACTGAGTGCTGCAAAACGTTTTTTGTTTTTTTTTTCTCAAAAGTCTGTATATAAATCACATCATTTGTGGACCATTCATCGATGATAGGACAGAAAAACAAATATTCAATTCGAATTGATTCGAAAAGAATGAAATTCAGATAAATTTTTGAAATTTCTTCATCATCATCGATTATCGATAATAATTTATTTATATAATTTCATCATCACTCTTCCATATAAATCATAATCAAATTGATCAATATTATTAATTAAAATTGGAAACGAAATTTATAATCATCTGTACATTTATGTGTTTTGTGTGTGTGTGTGTCTATCATCAAATCATCATCATCGTTTCTTTGAGTTTTATTTTATTTTTGTTGTCTTCTCTTTCAGATTATTTTTTCACATGAGAGAGAGAGAGAGAGAGAGAAAGGAAAGGGTATGGAAATTTATTTTTTTTTTGTTTTGTTTTCAAATTCGAATGTTTAATGTTTAGTGTGTAGTAGTTGTTGTTGTTGCTGTTGGTTGGTTGGTTGTTTGGAACGATGAATCTCGAATTCTTAAATCATCAAATCATTCACTGCTATTAATCATGAATTATTCGTTGCATACAATTGTGTCCATTCACGTGCAGTTTTTATAGCATCAGCTTCATTTACTTTCCATTGTTCAGCAACATCATTTGCTAATGGATCATCGGGATTTGGTGCCGAAAGTAATGCCTGTATTGATAATAATACAGTACGAATCTGTAAGGCTGGACTCCATTTATCTAATCAAATATCAATGAATCAATCAATCAATCTTCAAAAAACATTGTTAATTATGACATCAAATCAAACCTTTAAGAATATCTAGACAAATACGGCCAAGTTTATCAATATTTGGATGATATATCTTGGTCATAAAACGAACTTTTGGTGCTGACATTGGATATTCTTCCGGTAAAAATAGCTCCAATTTGAATACACCACCTTCAAATGGTGACTATAAAAATCATCAAAAAAAAATTCAATTTCAAAACAACAACAACTTACACCTTCAGGACCGGCAACAACAACATGAAAATATCGAGCATTATTATCATCCGGTACGGCCGATATACCGGGCACTGGTTCAGCCATAAGCCGTTGTGTTTCCTTAAGTGAAAAAAATGTAAAATTTAAAAATCCCAAATGTAAAAAAAAATTCTTACCTTGATGATACGTCTCGGTAAAGAAGTCATCATAAATTTCGTTTGTTTTTTGTTTCACTTTCACAAATCAATTAAATTCAATAATTCTAATTGATATGAAATCAACAACAGCAACGGCTACGACCACGAAATGAAAAATGTTCGAAACAAAACAAAACGACCAAACCAAAAAAAAAAAAAAATATCAACACCCAGAGCAAATAGAAAAAATGAACAATTTTCCTTCGTTTATTTTTTTCCAAGATTTTGTTTGAATTTTTTTTTATTTGTTTTGTTTTTTTTTTTGGCTGTCGATGACAATTCCACAAACACTAATATAATGATAATGATGATAATGAATGGATGAAGACTTGATGAAACAACAGAAATTAAAAAAAAAAAAGAAAAAAAGAACGAAAACTTTCAATATACACACACGGTTGCTATTGGTATCGGTATATTGTGAATCACACAAAACACACACACACACACATTTGATGGGTAGGTGTGTTTTAGACAAATTGTTAATATCGAGCTCTACTCTCTCTCTCTTTTTCATCACAATTGAAAATACAAAAAAATGAGATAATCATAAATGACGTTACATCAAAAAAAAAAAAAATATTCTTTGGTCCACGTGATTTTGAAATTTTTTTTTTTGTTGTTTGAATTGAATTTTTGTGTTTTGATTCATTTAGACGAAAATAAATGGTAAGTTTTTCATTTAATTCCATGATTGTAAAAAACTATCTGTCTGTGTGTGTTATATGTTTTTGTTTTTGACAAAGCGATTTTTTGTTCGTTCCATTTCATCATTATCATCATCATTATTCTATCGTTGTTGCTGGCCATTTTTTTGTACGAAAATTTTGCATCAAAAAATTAATTGTTTTCCACAATTTTCAATCACCAAATTGCCATCGAATACAATGAGCAATTCAACGATGACAACAACAACAACAACAACAATGGGCAAAATAATTTGGCCACCCGATTCAGTACGTGGAATGCGTGATTTAAATCGTGATCTATTTCGTCGAATTGTACGAATACCATTTGTTGTTACCGATATCAACAATATAGATACAGTTGGTCAATTATTACGGCCATATTTTCTTAAAATCAATCAATTCAAACCGATACAAGAATATGAATCATCATCGTCAAATGAAAAAAGAAAAATATTTTTGAATCCCGATCACTCCGAACTATTCGAATCATTAATCAGCGATCTAATAGAACATCAATTTTTATGTCGATTAACAAAAACAACGGAAGAATTCATTGGCCATGAAGAAATTGAACTAAAATATGAACATTTTAATCATCTAACGATATTTCGTTCAATATTCGATCATAATAATGAATCTAGCGACAACAGCAATCCAGATTTTTCACTTTCCGGTTTCAGTACAATTGGTCACATCATTCATCTGAATCTTCGTGAAAATTTGTTGCCATATAAAAAACTTATCGGTCAGGTAATTAATGCAGTTAATCCGAAAATTTACTTTTCTGAATTTTTTTCCTTTTGAAAGGTTCTACTTGATAAAATCAAAGGTTGCCGTTTAGTGGTGAATAAAATCGATATAATCGATACAAAATATCGTAATTTCGCTATGGAAACATTGGCCAGCGATGATGATCCATCCGTCACTACGGTTGTCGATACGACAGAATGTAATGTACGATTTCGTTTTGATTTTGCTGATGTTTATTGGAATCCACGTCTTAGTCATGAACGTACATTGATTCTGAAGAAACTGAATCGTGAAATTGATCACGTTTATGATGTGTTTGCTGGTGTTGGTCCATTTGCTGTGACGGCAGCAAAACTTCGAAAATGTCAATGTCTAGCAAATGACCTAAATCCAGCATCATATCGTTGGTTAAAGGAAAATGTACAATTAAATAAAGTTGAACATTTAGTCCGTTGTTTCAATCAGGATGGCCGTGAATTCATTCGTAATCAAGTGAAAGAAGATTTAATCAAACAAATTCAATCATTCGATGGTTCCAACATTAATCGTCAACATCATGTAATAATGAATCTACCGGCCATGGCTATTGAATTTCTCAATGAATTTAATGGATTATTATCATCGATTCGTGGTGATGAAAATTATCAATATGAAATTCCATTTCTACGTATACATTGTTATTGTTTTCTCAAAGGCAAAGCTGAAGATTCTGATCAACTTTGGAAATTGGCTAGTGAAAATCTTGGTCATACAATTTCATCGGATAATATTGAAGAATTACATGAAGTTCGTAAAGTTGCACCAAATAAATTAATGTATCGACTTAGTTTTCGTATTGATAAGAATATTCTCTATGGACGAACATTCAATAATGATGATGATGGTGATAATGGAAATGAACAAAAAATTCGTTCCGAATCAAATGTGATGAAAAGATTAAAAGTTAAATAATCAATTTCTGTAAATTTTTTTTTGTAAATAGAAAAAAAATGTCGAAAAAATTTCCAAAAAATAATCGTTCAACAAATAGTGGGGGCGGTAGTAAATCCAACAATAAAAGCCGCAGTAATAGCAGTAATAATTTCTTCAAAGTTGATCCAAAACGAGCAATAAAAGCAAAAAAGAATAAAGCAAATGTTAAATATAAAAATGAAATGAACCATCAAGCTGTTGTTGAATTGAATAGAAATTTGGATTACATACGAAAGAATCGAAATTCGTTTGAAAAAATTCAGGTATAGAATTTTTTTTTTTTTTTCAGATTCAATTTTCAGATGAAATTCATTGATGTTTTTGCACCAGAAACCGGAAAAGACATTCATCAATCCAATGGCCATTTATAATACGAATGAAAATAATTATCATCAATCATCATCGTCATCGAAAACAGCAAATGATCTAAACGATGCAATCGATAGATTGTCCAATTTGTAAACTGTCAAATCATCAATTGAATGCAATTTGAAATGAAATGATGAAAAAAAACGCCTTTTTTCAAAAAAATGATGAATATTTTTTTTTGCCCTCCATCCATAGATGACGTGTTTTTTTCTGGTTGTTGATTTTTATTTTGTATGAGACAAATAAAAATAAAAAAAAAATTGATTTACTTTTTTTCTGTTTTAAGGTTAACACCAAAACAATTTGATTCTGTAATGCGCGTTTTTTTTGATTCCTCCTTTTTTTTCTTCATTTTATTATCGCCACTGTTTTGACGATGATGTGATGATATCAATCGAAATGTGAATTTTGTTGAATTGTTAAAAGATTTGGTGGTGGTTCGTTTATTTTTTGTTTAGTGTGTGTGTATGTATGTGTCTGATTTTTGTTCATCATTCCATTGTTCGAATCAATAGATAGATCATAATAATAAATTTCATCATAGATCATCGATGGCTTGTATGGATTTTTCATTTGATTCAAGAATTCGTAAAAAATATGTTCCATTAATTAATCAACAGGTAAAGAATCAGGATACAGCTTTTTTGATGGAAAATTAATTAATAATTTATTTGCATTTACAATCAATTAGAGATATCTACGCCATGTAAAACGTATTGCTGCCCGTAATTTATTTATTCCAGAACCATTATTACGATCTAAATTACGATTATTTGGTGAAAATAATGATAATATTGTCGATGATAATGCTGAGGATGAAACACGATTATATTCCAGTTTAAATATTTCATTCTATTATACTATACATTATCCATTCATTCGAGAATGTCCTAATCATCATCAAAGTGATCCTTCATCACGATTAACCAATGAAATCCACTGTGATTGTAATTGTGGACGATTATTATATCGTAGTGAATTTCTCATGAATAATGTTTGTGTTTTTTGTAATTATTTTTCTTTTGTCTAATTCTGGTTTCTAATTCTTAGAATCCATCATGGAAAGGTCTAGATGGCTCATCACTTTGTTCACCATCAATTTCACAATTTATTGTTCGCGTTTATTTCGTTCGAATGGATCAAATACCATCGTCGAGGTTGATTAGAAATTTAACGAATAAAATCAAAGATCATCATGATCATCAATGTCAAGAAAAATATGAAACGGATGATGAAATTGGTACATTATTTCTAGAATGGAATGTAAATCTAACTGGTCTGCTATATATTGGTGAAGAATTTCCAAAAGATCGACGTCTCACTAGAAATTCAATAATATTTGGTTTTGCTGAAGGTTTCTATACAAGTGTATGTTCTGTGGCCAATGAAACACTGCTTACACATTCAATGCCACCAAGTGAAAGTTTACAAATTACCGATTTCCATATAACTCGTGATTCATATTGTTTAAATACATTGATTCGAATACAAATGGTACAATGTATAATGCAAGCAACAGCTACACAATCGCAGCTAGAAAAATCATCATTGGAAGATGAATTAATGAAATTTCGTCAGAAACAAGAATTACAATCAGATATTGAACGGATGAAAACATCAATTGAATTCTTGACAATCATAGCTGAACGTCGTCGAAAACGATTACAAAAATTACAACAAGAAATGGCCACAATTGAAGAAAAATTATGTGAATATAATATGGACATGTCATCGAATGTTCAACTGTTGAAACAGGAATTATCATTACTTAGTGAATTACGTTCAATTAAATTACCGGAAACCGTAAGAAAATTATCTCAAATACGATCGGCACTTGTTTATCATCGAAAATCATTGGCAAGAAAATTTTTCTCCCATATTTATCCGATTGTTCCATTTCCAGATGGTAATGGTTATTCAATAAATTGTATCCATTTGCCTAGTGCTCAACAAATGGATCATCATCAATTGAAAATGATTTCCATCGGCCTTGGTTATGTTGCACATCTTGTCTATTATCTTTCAATCGTATTGGATGTATTTCTTTTTCATCAGGTAAATGAATTTTGGAATGTTTTTTTTAGTAAAAATTCAACTATTTTTATCTACCTCACCCACTTATAGATAATACCATTTGGTTCAAATTCTTCGATATTAGATCTCTATAACAGGCTATTACCACCTAATGATCGTATCGTTCCATTATATCCAAAATCTAGATCAAATTTAAATATAAAATTCTTTAAACATGGTTGGCATCTATTGAATCGTAATATTGTATTTTTACGTCAATCAATGGGCATTGATGATTCGATCGATTTAGCGTTAACATTATGTAATTTATATTCATTATATCGTAAACGATTTGCCTATGATAATTATAATGATGATAATGATGATGATCATCAAAATAATGACGATAATGATTGTCATTTCACAAATGATGATACAATGAATCGTTTCAATACATATTCACCATCGATTATCGTCGATTCATCACGTTCAAATTCACAACGTTTACATAGCCTCCACCACGATAATGATGTTAGATTTGATTTGGATGATGAAAAACTTTTACGTAATATCAATGAGTAAGTACCAGAAATCAATCGTGTTGATCAGTGATTAATTTTGATTTTTTCAAAAAAAGAGTAAAAATCAACGATATAATGATCGATACATTATGGAAAGAAGTCGAACAAATGACACTACAATCGATGAAAATGAATTCACAATCTACTTCAAAGAAACAACAATCAAGAAATTCACAACAACAACCACCATCAACATCTGCAATGGTAGCTATCGTTGAAGAACAAATCAAAGATATTATCATTAAACAACGGCAACAAAAACGTCAACAAAATTCAGAATTACTAAGTCAACTGTCATCATCATTGTCATTTTCACGTGCATCATCATCATTCGATATATTGACACCCAATTCAATACGTTCATCTGTGATATCTACATCATCACCACAGGAAATTCTTCGTCACCAACGGCGACGATTTAGTACAACAAATCAACCAACATTATCATCATCATTTGGTTCAAATGGTAGTGGTGTTGTTGGTGATCATCATCATCATCATAATAATTCATTATCATCATCATCATCATCATCATCAACGTTTCGTATAAATACCGGTCATCATTGTGCATCATCATTATTATTTCAACAATTTCATTCAATACGTAGAATTCAAAATCAACAAAATCAGCAACAAGCTAGTGCATCAAATAATAATAATCATAATAATAATATAATTTCGATTGGTCCACAATCATTACCATCATCAATGAATCATTCATTTTTACATCCAACAAAAACGACAACGACGGTGACTAGAACAATACCACAATTACCACAATCATCATCATCATCATCGGTGTTTAATAATAATCTATCTTTCTCATTAGATAATGGTCTACATAATCTGATTGGTAGAAATCATCATCGTTTATCGATTGATGATCACCATATTCATCATCGGAGACAATTTGATTCAATATCCATTGTTCATGATGATGATCAAAATATCGTTGATGATGATGGTATTACATTCCTTATGGATCGAAATTCAAAATTATTACATAATAATCATCAACAACAACAACCAGAACGACAGGAAATCGATAGAACAATTCATAATAACGATGATCATTCAACTTAGCTATACTATTTTTTTTGTTTGTTTGTTTGTTTATTTTATCAATTTGTTTGTTATCAGTTTGTTTACCTCTTACTCTTATTACACGAAAAAAATGATCATGATAATGAAGAAGAAGAAAAAAAGATTCTAAAACCATAAATGTGATATTTTGAAATAAAGAAATATATAAAGAACTGAATGATTATCATCAATGTTTTAAATCATCATCATCGAATTTAAAATTCGAATCCAACATATGAAAGTGCTGCCATCTTTTAACGGAAAAAGAAACTATTTATTGATTTTCCTTTTTTTTGAATTTGGATTGTAAAAATTTTTTTTTTCTATATGTATAAATTATTTTTATTTTATTATTTCCATTTGGAATAAAATCATCATTACATCTATTTTTTAAATAGAAAAAAAAATTACAAACAAACAAATCAAATAATGCAACTATTAATGGTGGTGGTTTTATGGACAAAAAAAAAAATTCTGTGGCAGAAATAAAAAAAATTTTTTTTTTTGGCCTATTTCACATACACACACACAAATACACAGAGTCAAAATTGCCCGTCAAAGTCAGTGTTTGTCTTGTTCGTATTAGCGATGATAATTTTATGGACAAATTTTTTTTTTTTTTAATTGTTGTTGTTGTTGTTGTTATTTTTATTTTGTAGAAAAACAAAAGGGTTAAAAAGACGATGTTTTTTTTTGTCATCAAATGTTTTGATTGATGATTGTGTAAATTGATGATGTGATGGTTGGTTGGTTGGTTGGTTGATTTGTGATCACGATTGATATGATGACAATGATGGTGATGAAATTTTTTGTTTTTGTTTTTTGTTCTTGAATATCATTTATTATTATCATTTACATTTCATCATCAATTCAATCGATCTAATTCCACTTTATTATTGCTACGATGATTTGATGACGATGATGATGATGATTTGAAATTTTTTGCAATCTCTTCACTTGATTTACCTTTGGTTTCTGGTAGCATACATACAACAAATATTATGCTTACAATGGCCATTGCTGCGAATGAAAAAAATGTGCCTTCCGTAGTGAAAGTATCTTTGAGTAATTCAAAATTTTTTGTAATTAAAAATGCACATGTCCAATTGAATGCAGTTGCAATGGCACTGGTCATAGCACGTGAATCGGTTGGTGTAATTTCGGCTACCATTAACCAAGGAACCGGTCCGAAACCGATTGAAAATCCAATAATAAATACGACTAGACTGACTAATGGTAACCAGCCAAGACTTTTTGCCGTATCCGGATGTTTATCGGCAAGATAATAATATACACCTAATGCGGCTAATGAAATAACATGTAATAGGGCCGAACTGCCGAGAAGGATTTTTCGTCCAAGACGATCAACAAGTGAACTACCGACACCAGTAGCAATAACTTGTGAGACACCAATAATAATCGTTGCATATTTTGGCTCGATTGAACTTCCGGCTTCAGAAAATATTGATGTAGCATAGAACATTACGGCATTAATACCGCTAAATTGTTGGAACAACATCAACAATAGTGACAATATGAATGGCATTAAATGTGGTCGACGACTGTAGCTGCTGAATTTAAACTCATCACCTTGTTTATCAATTTCAGCTTGCTGTAACATACGTATCTCTTGTTCGGTATCACTATTGGAACCACGTAATCGTCGTAATGATTGTGTTGCTTCAGATACTTTGCCTTTTGACATTAGCCATGATGGACTTTCAGGCATGAAAAACATACAAATCATCATTATGATTGTCGGTATCATTGATACACCGGCTAATGGACGCCATGTAATAAAAGCTCCAAATAAATAGACAAGAAGGATGCCGATTGTGACGAAAAGCTAGAATAGAAAATCAGATCATATATTCGATAACAAAAAAAAAATAAATAAAAATATTACCTGAAAACAAGCACCAATCATACCACGAATATCGATGGTTGAAATTTCAACCACATATGACGGTGCAGTACCGGAAAGTAAACCACAACTAATACCACAAACAACACGGCCAACAATTAAAAGTGTAACATTTTTCGCTAAAACCAATAGTACCCAGCCAATTGTGAATGGTATTCCATAGATAATAAGGGCTTTTTTACGTCCAAAAAATTGTGATATCGTACCGGAAAATAGTGCACCACACAATGCACCTAATGTCATACTCGATCCAATCCATGTAATTGCATCTTTATCAGTTTTATCATCTAATTTTGGTTCACTACCATCTTCAGCCATTGTTATTAATGCTGGTGCCGTCCAACCAAGTACTAGACCCATGCCTGTTTGATCAAAAAAAAAAAAAGTTCAAATTTCAAACTCGATTGAAAAATGATGAAACACATACCTAATGCACCAAGTAATGCAGAAACGGCAGCCAAATATAATGTTAACGATGGCTGTTGTTTAATACGTGGACGATTACTTTCTGAATCCATTGATGCTATTTTTCGTTTATTATTTCGATGATTATTATCGTCGGTGGACGTTGTCATCGGAGTGATCACCACTGATGATGTTGTTGTCGATATTTCAGCTGTGGTAAATAAATCTGAACCAGTAGTAATAGTAGTATCAAGACTTGAATATGATGCGGCCGTTAATGGTGACCTGAAAAGATGAAAGAAAATGAAACAACAACAACAAAAATCAATTTTCACAATTACCAAAAAAAATGGATTAATAAATGGCCAGAAACAAACAAATTAAAACTAACTGGCCAATAAATGCAAAAAACAACAACAACAACAACAGCAACAAAACTTGAAATTCGAATGGAGAAAAATTTTGTTTTCGTTCTAAGAAAGTGAGAAAGAAAAAACCAGATTTTTCTTTGTTTTTGCTTTCTGTTGTTTCTCTTCTTCACAGTTTTCTTTGAACGAATGAATGTCTCATGTGTTTATTATAATCATTATCATCATCATCATTATTTAGGTTTCAAGTTATTCAGTTCGGCAGTAACGAATGGTAATTTAAGATGTATAAGATGTATATGGCCAATATATACACGAAAATATTTAACATTTAGATTATCACAAACAAACAACACACACACACACACACACACAGAGACGGAGCAAATCAAAAAGTTCTTTTTTCAATGAATCTTTCGTGTCTTCTTAAAAAAAAACTGCCACCACCACTATCACAACTAATCGAATATGTCTAAACCACATACACACACACTCATATATAATAACACGAAAGAATGTGGTTAAGAGGAAGTATATGAAAATGGATAACAGCAAAAAAAAATCCAATATTTTCAATGTTAAATATATAATAATAATAATAATAGTTTTTGAATTGGAATATTGAAAAAAAAACTGGTAATAAGAGAGGTATTCCCTGCTGCTTACTGCTGTAGCTGCTGCAATTTGGTAAAATTTTTTTTTCTTTTTATTTGTTTGAAGTAGTAGACGCATCTTGTAAATACCAACGGAAATGTATGTGTGTGTGGTAATAATATATTCTTTCTATATATGATATGACATGACTTTTTTTACTGTTGTTGTTGTTGTTTTTGCCAAAAAAAAAAAAAAAAAACAAGCACACAGATGACATTTTGTTTTTATTCTTCTTGATGATGATGATGATGATGCAATCCTGATTCAAGAATTCTCAATCATAAGACCTATACTATATATGGGGTAAATGTCAAGGCAAACAAACAAACAAAAAATATTCTGTTCGAATCCGAATGTTTTTTTTTGAATTTTTTTACGGAAACTTTTTTCTTAGAAAAACATTTTTTTTCTGAAGAAATTTTTCGCTCCATACCTGCTACCATGAATGGAATCCGGTAATGAATTACGAATTATATTCAATGTTATCATGATTAAATGTTTTGATAATGTTGGCATCGATATCGATAATGATGGTGTGGATGATGATGATGACGATGATGACGATGATGATGATGATGAATGATTATGATAATGATTATGGATGAATGACATTTTTTTTTTTTTATTTTTCAATAAACAAAACAAAATAACAACAATAGACCATATGGTAAAAACAAACAACAAAAATAATTGCCATCATCATCATCATCATCATTGCCATAATGAACATTTTGAAATCTGAATAATTTTGGATAATGATGATGATGATGACAATTACTCGAATCATTCGAATCGAATGATTGGAATCGAATGAATGGAAATCAGCATGATTCGAATCTGTATAGTTTTGATTCGAATTCATTGCGAACATTTTTTTTTTTGTGTTTTATTCTCGTGATTCTAATTCTGGGATTAATTGTGTTGACAAATTTTTTTTTTCATTTGAAACAAATTAATCTCTTTCTGGTTGTGAGCTATATGAAAAAAAAATTATTATTCAATTTTCGATCGATCTGTGAAAGTGAAACGACCTTTTCTTTTGCCTGTTTGCTTTCTCTCTCTTTCTCTCTCTCTGGAACACTATTATCGACAAGGAAGTTTAATTTTTTTTTTCTTTTCTGTTTGAAAATAAATCATCGATTTTCATCATCGAATTTGTGTCTGTGTGTGTGTAACGTTCATGACCACTTGAATTTATTGTCACATTTGGAGATGAGTAAAAAAAAAAATTTTTTCAAATCATCAACAATCGTTAAATGATGATTCAAGTTAAGTTTACTTTTCTATATAAAAAAAAGGAAATTGAATATACTTTATATAAACAAACGAAACACAAAATTTGCTTCATCACCATTTTTTTCTTTTTGATTATCAATCAGAATTTTTTTTTTATTATTAAAACGATAAAAATAAATGTCACACAAATACAATACCCTTTGTTCAGTGGTGAATTTATCGTTTTGGTTTTGTTTTGAAAAAACAGCAACATGAAATGAATCAAATCAAATGATGAATGTTTATGAACAATGATGATGATGATGATTAACGGTTTGTTTTCAGAGAAAGAAAAGATTGAAATCGACAATCACATTATAATACACAAATATAATGATGATGGCTATATATACTATATAGAAACAGGTTTCAATCAATAGCTTTTTTCATCATTATCAACTTTAGAAATTTTTTTTTTTTTTTTTGGTTTGATTTGATTTGATTAAATCTCAACAAAAATCCATTGATATTACCTTGAAAGAAACAAAAAAAAAAATACTTGAGCATCTTCATCATCATCGTTTATTTAGATTTTTGGATTTTGATATGGCTAAAAAAACCAAAAAAAAAACAGATAAATTTTTTTTTCTAGTGAAAATCAACGACCTATTAATGAATTATATTTGTCCTGATGCTAATCAATTGAATCAAATCAATCACATGGTGGAAAGATTATGATTTTTAATCTCTAAATACTAGAAATTTAAAAAAATTTTCAAAAAAAAAAAAAATTCCTTTCACACACTTTTAAATGATTTTAACATTTTATCTATAAATACTTTGAAGTATTACCGATCATTATCCGCTATTATTGGCATTACACAACAACGACGGGTGTAAATATAAATCAAAATTTATTATTTACCAAGAAATGTTCACAATAAAATGAAAACAAAAACATCAAAAAAAAACAAAACAAAAAAATTTATGATGATGATGAATGATGATGACAAGGTCAAAATAGAATCGAATGTTTTTTGAAAGAAAGGAAAAGAAAACATTCGAATTGTCTCTTTATCAAGAATTTTTTTATTTATAGTTGAAAAAACTTACCTTGATTTTATCAATTGACTTTTAGCGGTAAAATAATTTGAATTTTGTGATTCATTACCACCATTACCGATGATGATAATGTCATGATTATTATCATCATCTTGATGATGATGATGATTATGATGGCTTTGTTGTTGTTGTCGACGGCGGCTGCGATGTTCTCGTTGTTGTTTTTGTATAAGTTTACCATCATCATCTTCATCATCATGATGATGATGAACATCATCCATGTCATAGATATCAATGTCGTTCAATGTTTTCTGCGGTTTATTCATCATCATTGCTGTATTAATGTTTTGTACAATTTTTTCTGGTTTTGAATGAATTGATGCGTTTTATTTTTGCCTTTTTACAATCTCAATAATCAAATGTCACCAACAATATCTCATTTGATTGATTCGAAATCATTTCATACACTGAATGAATGGAAAAAAAAACATGACAACCAAGCGATCGATCGATTGACCATATCAATCAATCATATTGGATGGATTCATTTATACAAAAAAACCTCGCAATTATCAGTTATCATATATGATTTATTGATAACCACCGGCACCGATAAACACCAACCGATATTTACAAAAATCACGATCGTGATGTTTATCGAAAAAAAATATCCATCCATCCGTACAAATCAATCAAACTTATCATTGAAAATTTTTCCTTGAATTATGATTCAAAAAATCAAATTCGAAAGAAACAAATAATTGCCAATTAGAAAATACCATCATTATCATTCACACAAATGAAATAATCAGTTTTTTTTTGTTTGATTGACAATGACAGAAATTCAAAATTATTATAATGAGTTCCATACTATATCAACATCATCCATTTCATCGTTACATTTCATTTGAAATTTAATCAAATCAAATTAGTGTCTGGGTGTGTGTAAATCAATTTGAAACAAGACAAGAGAGAGAGAGAGAGAGAGAGAGATGCCAATTATTTTCAACTCTTTGTACATCATTTGTATCAACAACAACAAAAACGTACAAGAATGACATTTGTTTTTTTTTGGTGAATAAGAAAAAAAAAGTTAAAGAAAGCAAAACCGAAAAATAGTGGGACATTTATAAAGAGACTAGAACTCAAGGTCTAGTAAATTGTGTGTGTGTGTGTGTGTGGGTAGTGTGTATATATGTGATGGATTAAAATTTTCAAATTATTCCTAATAAAAATATGCAACAAAAAAAACAAAAAAAAAATATCAAGGCGAATATGGTGGTGGTGGTGGACACGATGCTGATGAATGAGGTATAATAGATGATGGCGGTGGTGGCAGTGTTGACGGTGGCATTATAATCGATGATGAATGATGACCATTTGTTGATGTTGAATGATTATTATTATTATTGGAATTTGTACAATAAAGTGTCCAATTTGTAAATAAATCATATGGTGATGATGATGATGTTGGTGTTGTGTTTGATGATGATGATTCTAATGAATTATTCAATAATACATCAGAATTTAGTAATGAATTTTCATCACCATTATTGTGATAATGATTGCCATTTGATGTTGATCGTAAACGTCGTGCCATTAATGAACGATTATGATGATGGTGATGATAACGGCCATTATAGCTACATCCATCATTGAAACCACCAATACGTTCAATAAATATTTGTCTTGGACGACGAAATAGATTAGCAGCAGAAGCAAGAATCGATAGAAAACCAGCCAATGTAATTAGATAATAGGATAGTTCAAATTTTACTTCAATCTGATGGATAGTAAGGTAATCTAATGGTTGAACAATACTGCCACCGCCACCACCACCACCACCACCATTGGCCGTTGTTGTTGTAGTCGCAAATAATGTTGCACGGCTAATCATACGACTTTTGATCCAAACAGCATTTGGTTGTTGTTGTTGTGGAGATATTGGTGTTTTCGTTTCAAATAATTGTTGCAGCTGTACACGTTCATATAGGAGGCTTATAAAATAACAAAGGCCAATTATTAAGACGCAAAATATGACGCATAGAATATTTCCAACAGCATATTGACGCATTGAATTTAGCCACCATTTTCCAGCACCAGCACCACGATTATGGTGGCTGGAGGTTCCCATTGTATCCATAAAAAATTGTACCAATGTACACATTATAGCTAAAAAACATAGGCCAATAATTGTACGTTTCAATGCTAGAATCTGTGCATTAGCACATGTTTTAAAATCTGGTGTTAAACCATAAATAGTAACGGGTGTCAATTGATAGGATGTTGAATACGATGAATGAAATGGACCATTATTATGATGATAATATTGTGGCCTATACTGTGTATAATGATGTTTTGGTGATAGTTGTAAATTAAATATTGTCGACGATGAGGCTAATGGATTATTATTAATCGTGTTTACTAAAGAATTAAAAAAAAAAAATATTATGAAACATAATTTTTTTTTCGATCTTACAATATACCTTTATCAACAGAATTATCTGATTTAGTAAAATAACGTTGTTGTTGTTGCTGTTGTTGCGGTGTTGTTGTCGGTACACAAAGATCATTATAGATAGAGAACCATTTTGGTTGTACTAATGCCGTGGCCAATATTGCAATAACAATTATCGATAATATAGCAGCCAATACATTACGATCTTTATAATGATAATCATCAAGTGAACGTAATGTAATTAGACCATTTCGATGAATTATGCTAACATTATTTGGTGATGAATTTAAATGATGATGATGATTATTACTACTAAACAAATATGGATGATATGCTTGTCGATGATATTCTCGGTCACGACATGATGATGTTTGTGAATGATGACGATGATGATGATGATGATGATGACGTGATGATGATCGTCGATTTGAGCCTGAAAAAAATGATAATATAGAAACATTGAAAGAATTTTTTGTTTTTCACAAAGAATTTCAACTTACGATTTGTATTCGATGAACGATTCGTTGAACATGATGTAACATTCGATGGATTCAATGGATCATTATTATTTGTGGATGAATCAAGGAATGGATTCATACTATTACTTGGTGGTTGATTTGTTGATGAACCATCATTATTGTTGTTGTTGTTGTTATCATTATTTTCAATCGAATTATCATCAATTGCACTGCCACCACTATCATTATTATGAAATCTTGTCGTAATCTGTTGTCCAAATGAACGAATATTATTTATACCAGAATGAAAACGTGTTGCCAAATCATGATAGAAACGTGTGAATTCAGGCCTTATTTCAGGCATTATTTATTTTTTGGATCAAATTTATTTCAGAAGATCACAGAAGAAAACAAACAAGAATAGAATAGGAAATTCTTTGGAAAAAAAACAGAATTTTGTTAAAACAAAAATGATGAAGATGAAATAAGGTCAATGCAAGTATTAAGCATCGAAGAAGAAAACAACAACAGAAACAGATAAAGACGATGAAGAAAGAAACTTTGAGCACCAAATCAAAAACAACTGCGAAGTAAACAGAGAGAGAGAGAAAAATGGAAAAAGAACACGCCTATCAGCACCATCTATCGATGGAAAACAGAAAAAAATTTCAATCAAAAAAATATTTGGAAAAAATAAAAAATCATTTTTTTTGTAATTTTTTTTTCAATTTATTTATTCTTATTATATTATTCATAATAATCATTAAAATAATAATAATGAAGAATAATGTCCACAGGATGTTGTTTGTGAGCATTCATTCATTGTTTTGTCAGCCAAAATAAAAAAAAATTCTCATTCACGATTCATCAACTTTTGTCGAGCCAATTTCTTTTTCGATAATTTTTTCTTCGGTGCATCTTCATCCTGTCCTTTGGCTACCACTTGTTCTTTTTCGGCCAATATCAATTCAATATGACATGGACTTGACATGTATGGATTAATACGACCATGTGCACGATATGTACGACGACGCATTTTTGGTGCACGATTTACCTATAATTGACAGAATGATAAAAAAATTTTCAATGGAAAAAAATGAGTAAACACAAACAAACCATAATATGATCAATGACCAAACGTTCGACATCCAATCCTTTGAAATCGGCATTACTTTCAGCATTACGCAACAATTGAAGTAGAAATTCAGCACTTTTCTTTGGCCATCGGCCTTGTGTGGCCATTGTCCATGCTTTGATCTGTGCTTTACGGCCAACACCACCGTTAAAACGACGGAATGGAACAATTTCTTTCTGCAAGATAACATTCTTCAGGTAACGTTGTGCACGTTTCAATGGCATCTTTTTGATTGCTTGTGCTGTTTCTCGGGTATTTTTGAAATGAACCCGAAGATTACTGCCACGTGCTTTACATGATTTACTCGTATTATCGGGTTCAGTTTGATAACGAGTCATTTTGATGATTAAAAGTTTTTTGGAACAAGAAAAACAAAAAAACGGAAAAAACCGAGAAAAAATCAAAAAATTTTTCGAAAAAAAACGTGTCCTCACAAAACACACGGCTACGACACAGGAAAGAGTATAGAGAAAACACACACACACACAGCACAACACAACAAACACACACACATTGAAACAATCGATACAATCGATTTTGAATGTTCCCTTCATCGATATAATTACTCTACAAACAAAGTTAATTTAAAGAGTTGAGCGAATTTTTTTTTCAAGATTTCGAGCCGAAAATAAAATTCCAAATTATCATCACTAAGCAATGGCTCATCATCAACATCAATCATATGATAGTTTTCTTACAAATTATCAACATCGTCTTAAAAGTGATATCAATGCTATTGCCGATAATTTTGCCGAAATATTTCGTACTGTTCGTATTGATGATAAAATCCAATATTCCAAATTGGATGAATTATCATTCGAAGTGAATATTCGTGCAGCGAATTTTATACGTGCTTGTGAATCATTGTTGAAATTAATATGGGAAATTAAACAATATCAAACCATCAATGATTTTCCGTTGATAAATGAATCGATAACGAAAAAAACTGAAACAAATATTCGTAAATCCAAAGAAATTGATCAAGTTTTAATTGCATTACGTGATGAAATGACTAGTGAATTGTATGATCTTGAAGATGAATATTATAATTCTTATATTAAATATAGTATTTGATGATGATGATGAATAATAAACATTTAATAAAATAAAAATTTTGAAAAAAATTACGTTTCTTTCCATTGATTATTTTCTAGCATCCACAAGATTTTACCATAAAAAAATGAATCCAATAATTGATTCATTTCATTATTAAGTTGGCGAACATTCGGATCATTTAGATCGATTTTATCATCGGCTTTGTTGTTGTTTACAGCGGTGGACGTTGTTGGACGTTGCTGCTGGTTTAGATATCGATCCATTGTATTCGATTGTACATTGGTAATTGGTGGCCGTTTTTTCATTGGACTTTTAGATTTTTTATTTGGTTGATGATCCGATTGTTGTTGTTGTTGTGGTTGAATGGATTGATTTTTTGTCGATTGATGTTCGACAAATGTATTACGATCAATTTTGGGGAAAAATTTTTCAATTTTTTCCATTCCATTATCACCACCAGGTAGGTTGGTTGTATCAACAAATTTTGTCGCAGCTAATGATAGATTTTGTAATGGATCCTGTGCAATCGTTGTTGATGATTTGGAAAATACTTGTTGCATTATATCAGCAGCTATACGTTCCGAAGGTGGATAATTTCCCGATGTAATATCAATAGTAATGGATCGATGACAATGACCTTTACCAGCTGTATAATAACCAACAATAAGTAATTTAGCTAATCGGTCATTCATTTCTCGATCTTTCATCATTCGTTCATAAAGTTCTTTAAGTAATGCTTTGATCCAATGATCTACATCTTCTATACGATTTAAGGCATTTTTACCACGAAAATTTTTACCACATCCAAGTGATTTTGTTAAACGACGATCCGATACCTGTTCATTATCGAAACCATTGGCCAGATCATATAACCATTCAGCGGTTTTATCATCGAATTTTTCATTCAATACAAATCGATTCAATTGGCTAAGTTGATACATTGTTTGAATGTCAAATATTTCTTTGATTTGACGTCCAAGTTTCCCGCCTAATAATCGTACATCACTGATATCAATTCGTTTGAATAATGATGGTACAGCCATCATCGGTAATATGGTTTGTGCATTTGGCTTGTTCAAGCCACAAGCCAGTTTTGATAACATTTTATTGTGGCTAATACCCGCTGAACATTTGAATTGTGTTCGCTCGAGGATTTTCTGTCGTATCTGGCCAACAAATATGGCAGCCATTACCAAACGGATATCTTCTTGATGATTTACGGTACCATTTTCAAATCGATAAAACCATTCTGCCATTGAATGATTATCAAATTCAAGTTTTGTATTGAACGATGTCAAATCATCGAGATCGGGCAACATTAATGGTTTGGCATCGATCATTTTAGTTAGATCTAAAAATGCTTCATCCACTGATGCTCGTTCCAAAATGACCAGATCATCCGTTTCCATTGTTTTTTCTTGTTCGTCAATAAAATCAGCAATAGCTTGAAAAACTTCTGTACTGGCATCACGATATTTATCCAATTTAGCTTTACCATTTTCATCGGGTACACGAAAAATATGCAATTCTGGACACAATTGTTTAGCTTGATCACCCCTCATACCACGTTTAATTCCAAAAGAACGTGCCTCATAATTAACGGCTATGAATTCCACCACCTTTTGCGAAAAAATATTTTGACGTTTAGAAGGAAAAAAAATCAAATCAAATTAATTACCTTTCCAATTATTGTATTGTGCTACAGCACATGGTTTTAGCCATTTATCCGGTTCTAAACGTTGTTCACATTGAACATAAAAACAATCCATATCGATTAAAGCAATAATTCGATTACAATTAGACATTTCGATTGTAAACAAAAATTCAAAAATCAAAACATTCGAATTTCATCATCGAAATGATAATCGATTATCGCCAATGTAAACAATCGATAGATGTCGCACGTTCGAAAATTTTTAAAATTCTGAATTTTTTTTAATAAAAAGGAAAATTTGATTCAAATAAATGAAAAGGTAAAATTATCATGTCTATAATAAAATTAAACACATTAATAATAACAAATGGATAAAATTTTTCTGTTTGTTTGTTTGTTTGAAATTTCAGAATAACAAAACGAATTTTTTTTTGATAAAAGTCTCGAATGTAAAGAAAGAAACAAAGAAAGGAAAAACTCACAACACACGAGTTAATCGATCAATCGATTGATTGAATGTTTTTGTGTTTTGAAAATTCAAATCAGATAGAGAGAAAGAGGCAACGATAAGCACAACACCTAAGTAATAAAATTTTTGAATTCACATGTTAACAACATATATATATGGTGCACATATTCACCGGTTTCATTGATTCATTGATTACCAGTTTTCATCAATTCCAATAGACAACCAACAGCACCAAAATAACCTTCATGTTCCAAGAATAATGCTTTCATCTGTCCTTCTGACCAATAATCCATTGCATATGCCAATAATTTTAATGAAATTTCATTGACACGTAAAAAATTTCCAACAAATAATACACGATCAATATGTTCACTTATGGCGCACATTTTTGCAATCGATCCGATATTATTTGTTATTGTAACCAATGTTGCACGTGCTAGATCGGCTTTCGTCACTTGTTCACGTTTTGTTCGTGAACACATTTGTCCAAAACTTGATGCAACAGTATCGGCAGACAGACGAAATTTTGAATAATCACCACCATAAATGTCACGTACAGATTTATCCACTTTAGTTGAATCACCCTGTGCAGCTAATTTAATGGCATCTTCAAATGTGTCACAACCAGTAAGTAATGAACATAGGCCAAGAAATGTTCCACCACCGAGGCTAGAACCACTAACACGACGATATGAATCCGGAGAATACACGGCCAAAATGCTAACACCAGAACCAATATTGACAACAAGAAATGGATATGGCCGTGAAAAATCAAATGGTCGCTTCAATGCCAATGATGGTGAACGTGCATTCTCGAAATAATAACATTCATGTGGATTTGATGCTTCAATATAATGCAGACCATGTATTAATGAGTCTAATTCATCAAATTTATGTAATTGTAGTCGACATTCACGTTGGAAATCTTGTTCGAATTTGAATGCACCACCACCGGTAGCACAAATTGTGCTTGATGTTGATGCCAATCCTTTCGAAGCGGCCATTTTCATGAATACAGGCATTTCCGAAGTTGGAAAACGAATAAAATGCAATGTCCCGATTCGATTATTAATACAACAATTATCCATCTGCAAGTGTATATCCCTGATACCGGTTTTTCCATATGATGAACTACTACATAAATAATGACGAATTTGGTCGAGAATTTCTGTTTCATCGGTTTTCATATCCGGTGGCAGATCTGTTGGTTCAAAATAAACTAATTTCACTAATGTACCACCAATGTCCATGCCAAACCATGGCATTGCTATATTATTGGATTTATAGTGGAAAAAAAAGAAATGAGAATTCGAAAAAAAAATCGAAAACAAAATCCAATCTTACGTGGTTCAGATCGTCCATTATATATCAAAGAATCATTGTGGCTATTTGTTGTTGTTCGATTTATAGTTGTCGGTGATGAACATGAATTTAATGTTGGAACATTATTTTCAATGTAAATTTTTGATTTACAATCATCATCATCATTACTATTATTGCTATTGCTACAATCATGATCATCATGATTATTACTATTGTTCATCATAATCATTCGATTATCATGAACAAAAATATGATTTAGATATGGATATGATGATGATGATTTAAATTTCGCAGATGATGATGATGATGATGCAATTCTGTCACTATTATTCAATAATTTTTGTTGGCCATTTAATATCGTCTCCTGATGATTATGATGATGATGATGATGATATTGATGTGGATTTTGTTCTATTTCATTATCAATATTCAAATGATTCAATAATGTTTTACACTTTGATGGCCAATCATTCAATATTGCTGTGGTCGTGGTCGTCGTCGTCGTTGCAGCACGACTTTTAAGTAATGCAATCTCTTTACGACTTAAATAACTTTGTTGTCGATATGGATTAATTAATTCTTGATATTTTAATGCTGCTGATGATGATGATGATGATGATTCTTGATTTTCTAATGTTGTTGATTGTGATGTTGGATTCAATGTGGTGGTATTTGTTTTATCAATTTTATCTTTACAATGATTACAAAATGATGTCGATGATGATGATACCAGTGTATTCGAACTAGAGTGGTAAAAAAAATTAATTTTTTTTTTTTTGTTATTAAAAAAAACAAGACAAGATAATAAATACTTTTTTGAATGGAAAAAATAAAAAAAAAACACTTGAATCACATCTTAATTATTTTGGAAGAAATAGATTATCTTATCATCCAGCATGATTTTGTTGTGATGTAAATATCATTCGAGAACGACCCGAATGTTAAAAAAAAAATCACGGTATTTATGAATGGCCTAGTACACGAATCGAACGAACCGCGGATTCGAATTTGTTTATTTTCGATTCGAATTTGATCAATGAAAAAATTTTTTAATTATTTTTTTGGCTTACCTGGTTGTATTGATTACTTTGCTTGCCATTTTTTTTTTGATTTCCTAATGATGAATGAATGAATGAATGGAACAATTGATGATTTTGTCGTTGGTTTATGGACTTTTTTTTCAGTAGAAGAAGAAATTTTCGATGTGTGGCAACCAAATTAATTCATGATGATATTTTTATATACAAATATTCAACATCGATCCACCAGAAGCAACAACAAAAAATTCTTTCGAATCGAATCAAATCGATTGATTAAATAGTTAATTTTTTTTCCTCATTTCATCGTTTGTCTGAAACAGAAAAAAACATCATCATCATCATCATCATCAACTAACTGAAATATGAACCAAACTAAAACCAATCAACCGTCATCGTCTTTAGTTCAACAAGTTGTCGTTGTCGTAGTAGTCGTTTGATGATTGTTGAAAAGGTATGATATACATATAATATACATATAAAAAGAAAAAAAAATAAACGACATGACCAAAAATATCTATCTTTCTATCTCAAATAGAAGCTGATTGTGTGTATATATGGAGAGCTGTGTGTTTATGTCCATTGAATACAACAGAAAATTTCTTCGTCAACGACAAACTATTGAATGATGATGGTTGATGATGACGCGATTTTTTTTTCATTTAAAAATGGTTCGACTCTTGTTGTCAAACGACAAAAAAAAAGAAAGAAAAAAGAAAAAAAAATTTACATATACAGCCACCACCACCACCACCACACATCATTTTCAAATAAATCAAATGTTTTTTTAGGTGATGATAAAAGTCAGAAAATCAGAAAAAAAACCAAGAAAACGAAGAAAAAAGTGCCAATAGTGAAAACAAAAAATGGCAATAAACCAATCAAACAACCAGCTCTAATCGAAAATTATCACATCACAAAAAAAATCGTCATATCCTGTGCCGTATCGTATCGTATCGTCAATTTGTGCAAGATAATTGATGAATGTCCGTTGATCAATCAATGACATCATTTTAACATCAATGCGAAAAAAAAATTGAAATTTTTTTTTTGTTATTCAAAACTATTGATTGGCTTCTCTGTAATGAAAAAACAAAACAAAACTTTTACTTTTACGTTTGAATTTTTCTTTTCATTTTCGAAAAGAGGAAATTAATTTGCGTCATTAATTTGAGAATTGAAAAGAATCAAAAGAAAAGAAAGAGAAAAAAAACCAGATAATCATCGAATAATATAATTATCGATTGGCCATACAACGACAATCAACGTAAACACTAATCAATCGAGTGATTTTTCTCATCAACTATAGAAGAGAAAAAAACGAAAAAATCATACGGTATCTCTCGAATGTTTTTCGGCCTGTACTTATTGTTGGCAAATTTTTTTTTCTTTACACTGCACGAGGAAATCTTTTTTCTTTCAATTCGAAATGGATGGATGGATGGATGGGTCATAATATCATCGCGATAATAATAATGATGATGATGATGATGGAAGCAAAAACAAAAAAAAAAAAAAATGGTTATTATCTCGATGATGATAAGAAATAAAAAAAATAGGCCTAAAATAGACCAGAAAAATCTTTTTAATAGGTTTGTAGGTTTTTTTTTCGTTCCATCATCACGATTTCAATGATGATGATGATGATATATATTGAAAGGAAAAAATCATCATCATCATCATTATCATTTGTCAAGATTTCGTTTTTTTTACCACCCACAAATCATCAAATGAATATAAATCTCTTTTTGTTTGTTTGTTTGTAAAAATAGACATCAATGGCTATTTTAACCTTGTACTGTACTCTATCGTATCGATTATAGATTGCGGAAATTGATATTTGAAAAAAATTTTTTACTCAACAAATTATCAATAACATCATGATCAAAAATGAAAAAATGTTCCACAAACACCACCTGTTGTTTGTTCTGGATCTTTTCTGTTTTTTTTTCACCATCAAGCAATGGTCAATAAATCTTAGTTGGACAGAAATTAAATTCAAAAAAAAAAAAAAAACAATTTTCGGTCAGACAGAGAAATAGAAAACAAAACAAAACGGAAAAATGTTCATCATCATCATCAGGTCAATGGACAAACACACACACCCTGCCACATTCGAAAATCCAATATCGCTCTCACTCTTCAATCTCTCTTTTAATGTGGAAAAAAAACACAAGCCAGAAGAAACAAAACAAAACAAAACAGAAAAACACTGGTAGCAACATCATCTTCACAACGAAAAAAAACCCCATAAATTCCTTCAAAAGCCATTCAGATGATGATAAGAATTTTGGTTTTTTTTAAAGAGAGGGTTTTACGCGAAAAAAATGGAAAATAAAAAAAAATCGATGTTGTTGCGCGCAAACACACAGAGAGAGAGAAAAAAAAAAATATGAAAAATTTTTGTCGATAAATTTTCCACTTTCCACTTTTCATCATCATCAAAAAAAAAATTTAGTTTTTTTTTCTACTCAGTGCCAAGCAAAAGCAACAACCATTATTGAAGCATTGACCATCATCAAAGGTCATCATATCATCACCCAAAATGTTGTTGAGAGTCAAACATTTGAATTGAAAAACAAAAATCGAATGTGGAATGTGTCGAAGTTCAAATCTCTTGTGTGTATGTGTGTGTGTGTTGTAAATAGCCGCCATATAGTCGTAATAGTCTCGTTTGTTTCATCACCAACAAACAACACCCATATATAATCATCGAATAAAAGCCAAAATTGACCGACGATCAAATAAATGGTTAGCGCTTATCATCATCATCATCATGATGATTATGGGTCTTTGAGGTGGTGGTGGTTATAGTTGTTTTATTCGATTTGTCTGTATCTCTCTACATGTCTTGAAAACAAGGTGATGAATGGGACCATGAACCTTCCAAATAAGAAAAAAACCCTCCCATCATTGAAGGACAACAACAATCGTCGTCGCCACCAGCACCAGCGCCACTACCACTATCAGTATTCCATTTTCGAAATAAAGAATTTTTATTCACAAAAAAATGAAAATGAAAATTGAAAACCTCGAAACTCGTAAGTCGTAAAATGAATAAAGATAACGCAAAACTGAGCCTGTTGTTGCTTTCATTTTAGGCTTCAACAAGAAAAAAAAAATGGTTTCGACCTTCTCGTCGTTGTTTATGGTCAATCAATGGTTGATTCATTCGTGTGTGTGTGTGTGTGTCTGCGTGTGTTTAGTTGAATTGAAGCAACAAGTAAACCCGTAAAGAAGAAAACAGAACAGGCCAATATTTTGTTGCTGGGCAAGCTTAGCAAGCTTCTACTTTGCCGGGATATTTTTTTTTGTTTTGTTTTTGTTTTGTTTCTTTCTTTGGAATTCAAAGAAGAAAAAAAATTGTAGTAGTGGTTTTGGTATGATATACAAATACACAAATATCTCAACCATTCAACCGACCAATAATGTGCCCCTATTTTTTACGATGATGATGATGATGATGAAAAAGGATCAATTCATTGAAAATTCCAAACACAAGCCACCAGAAGATTTTCTTCTTTTTTTTTTGAAAAAAAGAATGTTCTTTCCATCAGAATATCACAAATCCATATGTGTCGGTTATATAACATCAAGCATTTTGTAAACAAATCATCATCATCGAATCATTTATTTCGAATGTGTGTGTGTTTAGATGGAAAACAAAAATTTACTATTTTCTTCGATTATTTCCATCTGTTTTTTTTTTTTGTTGTGTTTCTGTGTTTCTGGTCGATTTGAATATACTGTGTTTGTATAATCTCTCTCTCTCTCTCTCTCAGTGTGTGTGTGTATATGTTTTGTTGGTTATAAAAAGAGCACGATTCTCTTTATGAAAAATAATTTTTTGTTTTTTCTCCCTTCTGTTGTTCTTATACGATGGATTTATAGATTTGTTTGTTGATCATCATCATCACCATCATCCAATTTCAACAAAACAGAAAGATTCGATCTATATACTCCACTTTCATTTTTCATTTCTATGTTGTTTAACAAGCAAGTTCATCATCATGATTTTGAAGTCGAAAAATTCCACAAACGTTCATTTTGTTAAAATGCCGGCTTTCTTTTGCCAATGATTCAATGGTGTTTGTGTGTGTGTGTGTGTGTATTACCTACAAGAAAAAGAACTGGCAAAATCAATAGAATCGAATCGATGCCAATTTATTTTAATGAACACAATTTTTTTCTGATTTGATTGTGTTTCCATGGTTCTACGTTGATGATGATGATGATCATTTTCATTCATTGAAATTTATCGTTTTGTTTTTGTTTTATTTTGATTTACTACTACCGAAAATAAATATATTGTGTGTGTGTCACATCACACATATCATTGTTATGTATGTCAATCATTGAATGTCAATCAAATGCAAACAAAACATAAATACAAATCATGTCTTATCATCATCATCATATGGATAATAATGTCATCATCTTGATGTTTGTTTACATTTTTATATCAACATTGTCAACTGTAAAATCAACAACGACGACGACGACGACGACAAGTTTGCAAAATAATAAATTCTTTCTATTAAATGACGATGGTGGCGGTGGTGGTAAAAGACATCCGCATCATCATGATGATCAAAGATTACAATTTATTGTTGAACCAGAAACAATATGGGCTGCTTCAGCTGATGGTCGACGAATTACATTCAAATGTCAAGTATCACCATCCGATGCACATATTAGATGGTTATTAAATGGAACAATACTAACAGAAAATGATGGTGATGATAATTTTGATTGGATTAAAATTAGTGAAAATAAACTATCAATCAAATTACAAAAATCCAATAATAATGATTTACCATCATCATCATCATCATCATCGATTGATTCACAACAACAGCAAAGGCAACGATCACAAATGATGATGATGATGACCAATCTTCAAGGTGCTGTATTCCAATGTCTTGCTGAATGGAATAACCAGGTTATTGTTAGCCAACCAGCTAAATTAATTATTGCTGAATTAATGCCATTTGACCAGGATCAAGAATCGATAATCAATATGACAGCTATTGCTGGTAATAATGTCATTATACCATGTAATCTACCGCATTCAATACCGTTAGCTGTAGCGGAATTTGAATTTAATCATAATGTAACGATAACTGCAAATAATATCAGCCATGGTAAGTAATCATCATATATGGCTATGATTTTAACTTTTTAGTAATTTTGTATTTATGTATATATAGATCGATATAGAATATTACCATCCGGACAGCTATTAATACAAAATGTTCGTCCATTCGATTCTGGTGTATATCGTTGTATTGCACATAATCCATTTTTACAAGAAAAAATGTATGCAAATCATTTTGTTCAATTGAAAGTGATGAAACCAAAACATTCACCAAATGAATTGAAACCTTTACGGTTTATGTTACAACCAAAAACACAAATGACCGTTATACTTGGATCGAATATAACATTCGAATGTGTTGCACATGGTTATCCAATACCGAAAATTATATGGACCAAAATTGATGGCAATGGTGAACTGCCCAAACAACGAACATTCATCACCAATGGTGTGATGGTCATTACAACCGTACAAAAACAAGACGAAGGCATTTATTCATGTAGTGCTTCGAATTCTAAATCATCATTGGAAGCAAATACTGAATTAAAAGTATATGAAATGCCTGAAATCATCCAAGATGAATATGAAACAATTGAAATGGAATCCGGTCAAAATTATGACCTCCATTGTGATGCACGTGGTGAACCAAAACCATTAATCAGTTGGTTACATAATGGTTATTTTATTGATTCACAAATAACGAATGATGTTTTCTTTGAACAAGATGGTTCACTATTGAAAATAATTGGTGCCAGCCCACAATTACATCAAGGGATTTATCAATGTTTTGCTACAAATGAATTGGGTACTACTTATGCCATTAAAGTGATTCAATTCAAATCATTGAATAATTATCATCATCATCATCATAATCAACAAGTTTCAAGTACCCATCATCATCATCGATTTGTTGATAGCCATCTGAATGAAAATAATCCATCCATTAATCCATCCATTACGGATGGTTATGAACAACCGGATTTTCTTGATAATACAAATTATCGACCAAATGATAATGATGATGATGATAATGGTCAAGGAGGTCAGGGTGAAGAATCAAAAAATCATGATCATCAAAATCAACCACATCCACATCATCACAATCATCATCATCATCATCATCATCATTCGAAGAAAAAACATGGAAAATTTGGTAAAGATTTGAAATTAATACCACCATCAAGACCGGAAATATCAAAATTAAATGATGATTCTGTTATGGTTAGATGGCATGTACCGAAATCAACTGGATTACCGATACAATTTTTTAAAGTTCAATACAAAGAATTGGGACATGGTGATTGGAACACAGTGGACATTGATATACCGGCACATATTTTTTCATATCCAGTTTGTTGTTTGAATCCAAATTCAACATATCGATTTCGTATAGCAGCCGTATATTCAAATGATGATAATAAAAATGGTAAAAGTTCCAATAAATTTGTATTTCAAAAAGATCCCCAAATGAAACGTCCGACGATGCCACCAACAATATTGAATGCAACATCAATATCGCCGGAAGAAATCGTGGTTCAATGGGAACATTTGAATATTGATCAACAGCCTGTGGATGGTTTTTTCATCAATTATCGTGCTACTGATTCTGCTGGCCAATATCTAATGGTCACTTCTGTAGGTGCCACAAGCCGTAGTCAAAATATACCGCATTTAAAACCAAATACAGCTTATGAAATTAAAATGCAATGTTTCAACGATGCTGGTACTTCGGATTTTTCCAATATTTATACAGTGAAGACAATAGCATCATCATCGTTGACAAAAGATTCGAAAGATGAAATTTTGAATGAACGGCCAAGATTACTACCACCATCTACCAATGGAATTGATGATAATAACAAAACCAATGATGATGATTATGGTGATTTTGTTTTCGGTATAAAAATGATGAAACCTAAATGGCTAACACGTGATCAATATTGGCTTGCCATCGTTATCATTATCATTACCATGGCATTATTCATTATTTCCTGTTCAATAATTTGTTGTTTACGACAAAAATCATCTAAAAATTCTGGTGCTACTAATACTGCATGCAATACAACGACAACAATGGATGGAACCAAATTGAAATTGGAAAATAATTCCAATCACAATCATCATCCTCATCATAATTATTTTACTGCCATCAATGGTTTATTGCAAGAACAAAATCGACGTCTTTCAGCAACCAAACCATCATCAGTTTCTGTTATAGCAAATGGCCACAATCACCATAATAGTACGGCATCTGGTTTATTGATGTTAAAATCTGTTGGTAATGGTTCACAGCATAATATAAACAATAATAATAAAAATCATCATCATCATCATCAATCAACAGATGATGATGAAACGACAACAGATTCTGCTTGTTCAATAATGAATCGACGAAATTCATTTCGTAATTCTACGGCCTTAAGTTATTCATCAAATCATTTGCTGTATAATAATTCAAATGATCAAAAACATGTGGATAACAAAAATCATCATCATACTGAACAGCAGCAACAGAATAACCACCAAACAGCTACAATTGATCGTAAAAGGCCATTGAAAAATTCGATACCCGGATCATATTTATTAGAGCCATCGATACCACCGTCATCATCACCATCGACATTATCATCATCGAATAATAATCATAATAATGATAATGGTGGTGTCATCACACGAAATCAACATCATCATCATCATAGTAGTTTTACACGTTTAAATGGTACATTAGAAAGAAAACGTCGAAGTCGTCATGATTTAACTACAGCCATATTAATGAATGGTAATGGTAATGGTGTGGGACAATTTTATAATAGCCGAACAAATATATCATCGAATGGTGGTGGTTCAACAATCGATATGTACAATTCAAGTCATCATCATCGCCAACAGCAGCAGCAGCAACAACAACAACAACAGTATTCGAATGGAAATAATTCCAGCTATTTTCATTCAAATGGTGGTGGAAATAATTTTGTGATAATGCAAAGTTCATGCTGAAAAAAAGACATAACATCAGCCATCGATGGACAAATAGTTGTGTTTGATTTCATTTTTTTTTCAAATTCTTCAATAATATTCTGCCATTTCTTTCTTTCATTTCTCTGTTTTTTTTTGTATCTCAAATTGATGCCACCAATTTATTCATTTTCTCAATCTTTTATTATTATTTATATAATTGAGCTTTTTTTAAAAATATTTTATTCTGTGTGTGTGTGCGTTCGTGTGTTATATAACTTTTTTTTCATTCATTTCAGAATTTGTAAATAAAGAAAAACAAATGGAAATTTTTTTTTTTGTAATTAAATCCGTTGTTGTCGATGCCACAATTCTGATTCTCGTCGTGCTTGCAGTATTGTATCCGGTACACTGAAACCATAATATGATGCACCCAACAATGATAATGGAAGATTTTGAATTTCTTTTTCAATTTTTTTTAATCGATTTTGATGGCCGACAGTATATTGAGGAATACAATCCTTGTGAATGGCAACATGTACATTGCATGGTAGTTCATTGATTTTCATATAGGTTTTCAGTGCTTGAAGTGATATATCGATAATTTGATCATGATCTACCATTTGATCAGGATGACCAAATAATTTTTCAAACATATATCCACCTAACATAACGGTTAATTTGGTTCGTGATTCTGGAAATATACACGAATCAAATGTAACACCGAGAATTTGAGAATTTTCCGTTGCCGGTACAAGAAATCCGAATCCCATATCTGATGGAATAATTTCCGCATCGAATTGCATACAAACAACAGCCATATGTATAGTTTTGATTGATAAAAGTGTTGATTTAAGTTCCGATAAGTTTGATGATGATTGTAGTAATGGAGCTAAATGAATGGCCGGTATTGATGAGAAACAATGATCAACTTGAATTTTATCTACACTACGTTGTTTATGAACGATATTTATCAGGCATTTATCCGATCTGGGAAATTCGATTCCATTGACTTTGGTGTCGAGCATTAATTCAATTTGTGATGGAAATTTTTCCATCAACAACGAACTTAATCGTTTTGGTAATGATTCAATTCCATTTTGAAATGAAAAAACGGCCCATTTTTCATTAATTGATTGTTGGACAAGAGAATCGTCACGTAATTCTTGGAAAATATCATCTTTGTTTTTTAACATTGATTTCACTACAGATCCATATTTTTGTTCTTTCTGGAACATTGATGTAAATATTGATCGCATTGATAATGTTCGGCTATCACCACCGGTTATACCCATACATAATGGATTTATCAAATAACGGGCAATATCTTCACCAAATCTTTGACGGAAAAAATCATCAACCGAAATATCATCAGTGATTGGATCATAAATCTGAACAGGTGGTTGTCGAATATCATTCCATAAATAGTACACAAATGGTTTAAATGGTGGTCTTTGAATAAATAAATCACTCAAACTATTGGGCAGAAGACGAAGTTGACCACCAATAACAACATAACGTCGTTTAAAACTTTTCGATTGTTTCGATACTGATTTAATTTGTTCAGCCAGTCCAATGGAATTAACCTATCGGTTGAATTGAATCAATCAATTAACATGATGACCAAAAAAAAACGATTTAATCTAAATTACTTACCAATGAAAGACAATTGATTCCAGCATATGAATTCAAACTGATTGTTCGTGGACCAAGTTCAAAATGTTCATCATCATCAGCGTTTTGATGGATCGGTTTCGATCGTAGCCAACCACCAACACGTGATTGTTGTTCGAATAGATAAATTTTTCCAATACGCGCGCTATTTTGAATGGATTTCTCCAATAGATAATAAGCGGCTGATAATCCACTAATACCACCACCCAATATTGCAATTGATTTTGGCATTTTTTTCTTGCTCTTGATGATTGATCATCATCATCATCATGATTTATAAAAATAAAATCATCATTCGAATCGACGATTGTTACAGACTTTATGGACGGATGTCTTATTTGATCGATCGAATCGAATGAATTTATTTTTTCATCATTTTTTTATTTGATTTATCTTATTTAGTTGAGAAAATTTGTGATTTTTACATCGTTTAAAATGGATCTCGAACCTGACGATTCATCGAAAACACCGCTTAGTTCACCACCAAGTACAGGTAATGATAATCGATGAAATTTTTCCCATTTACTTGACCTTTTCTTTACTTTATAGAAGAAGCATCAATGTGTCCGGATTATATTTCATCGTATACACAGATATCACAATTTAATCATGATAATGATGATGAAACCGTTGGTGATCATACGGATATTGAATCTGAATCGGATAATGAATTTGTCAATGATGATGATGATGATGAACAGAAATCATTTCCAGATTTGAAACCAAAAGATTCAAAGAAAAAAGATCCAATTGCATTGCCCGAATTATCATCACAGATAATTGAATGGTCGAAAAAAACATTTGAATCATATCAGGATTCGAATGAAGAAGAACGGCCCAATCGTTCTGAAACACGACCACCACAACTATCATCTGAACCACCTAGCGGCGATGGTCTAGTAGATGATCGAAATGAAAAAGAAAAATTGAAATTTTTTCAAATGAAATTCATCATGGATATCGAAACACAAGCAATGATGATTGCTGAAAATTTAAATCAAATAATGACCTATTTAAATTCCTATTCAACTAATGTAACGACATCATCGACAGATGTGATGGAAATCTATCGTGATAATGTATTCGATACCTGTGATCATATTGATGCCGATATAAAGGTAATAATTCTTAAGAAATTTTTTTCACATCTTTTAATCCTTTATTCATTTATCGATTTATCTATAGTTAATGTATAAAATTATATCAAAATGTGAAGAATTGAATAAATCATTACAATTTTTGGATGAACTTCGAAATCGTATCAAAGATATTAAACAAACATTGGACACATTCGAACGAATCATTATGTAACCTGCCATCATCAACATCATCATTATGAATCGAAGAGGAATGACCTAAATTTATCGAGGGGTGGTGGTGGTTCCCAATTTCAAAGAAAACAGGTAGAAAAAAAACGAAATTCGACGACTCATTCACCATCAGATCACACCTGCAGATCGAGAATGAATTGTAATTTTTCATCATTCATATTATGTCATCATATCGTCGTCGTTTATATAATTTTTATATGAAGATTTTGTTCATCATTTCGGTTTTTTGAGTTGATTGAATTTTTCGTCAATTTTGATCATAAGTTTTGCAAGAAGAAGAAGAAAAAACTGGCTACAACAACGGTTAAAGACAATGAACTTATACCATTACAACAAGAGTCATCAAATTCTCGTACAATGTATTCACCAGCACCACCACAATCAACAACATCATCACCATTATCACCTCCGGAAAATCAATCATCTACACCAAAAATTGATATTGCTGCCACAACTTCGGTACCACCACCGCCAACCAATACCAATCCGAATGCTGAACGTGTTTATGTTTGGGATTGTTGTCGTTCATTTTGTGTTTCAAATAATAGACTAATGAATCGTATTATTACATGGGCCATTATATTCTTCAATGTTTTGCTTTTTGTAAGTTTTAAATTGTGTATAATTTGCGTGAATATATCTAATTTTATTGATTTTTAAGATGATGAGCGCAACCATATTAGGTATAGGAATATGGTTGATTGCCGATCCAAAATCGTATGAACCAAGTCGATTTCTTGATACTTATAATGTTATTTGGGCTGCATATATAATGATCATTATTAGTAGCTTTACATTAGCATTATCGATTTTTGGTATCCTCGCTGTTCAATGGGAAAACATCTACATGATCATATTGGTAATTGATAATTTTCTCGACGTTTTTTTCTGATTTTAATTGAATTCTAATTTTTAGTATCTAATATTCTTGCTGATTTGTTTTGGAATGCAAGTGGCTATCGTTACATTGGCCATTATGCGTGGATATGGAACACGTTTATACATTTTTGCTTATAAAGAATTGCTACGTGAACTACAACAATATAATTATCAAGCTGAATCCCGGGCATTTATCGATTTTTTTCAGATAAAATTACGCTGTTGTGGTGTTGAATCATTCAACGATTATCCCCGATATGGTATGGCAATACCAATATCATGTTATATGGCCGGAAAAACATATCTTAATGAACAAGGCTGTGCACTGGCATTACGACGACATTATGAATTACGTACAGCTGTTGTTGGATTTCTTTGTTTCTTCAACGGTTGGATACATTTAATTATTGCAATATTGATATTTTTCCTGTTGTTTTGTCGGAAATATTGAATCAACCAACCAACCAACCATTATTAATTCATTACACACACACACACCCACTCACAAAAATTCAAATTGTTTCATTTTTTTTAATTTTTAATTTTTTTCATAAATAAATTATACAATTCATGCAAATAATCAGGAAAAAAATAATTAAAATGAAAGTGAAGAAAAAAAAACAATGAAATTTACAAAAGAGAAAAAGGAATTTTTTTTTTTAGCTATTGATAACCTGATTAATTTCACGCATTAATTCATCATCATCATCAATGTTTGTAAATTCTGCTGAGAAGGAATTTATTGCCACCGCTGGTTCTACATGATCACCGCCATGTAGAAATTCTAGATCGAGATCATCATCGTTGTAGTCATTGTTTGATAATTTTGTCGATTGTTGTCCATGTGTTATTATATCGTCTTGATTTAATGATGATTTTTCCGTCGTTGTTGATGAATTTATCTGTTGTTGTTGTTGTTGTCGACTATAATTTTGTTGTGATTCTAATTCATTATTATCTTCGATACTTGAATTTGAATTTTGATTATTCGTCATCATTATCAACGTAGATGTTGTCAAACGATTTCTTCGTATTTTTATCGGTTTCGATGGAATCAATGATGATGATGATTGATCATCAGTATCATTATTATTATCCATCAATGTTCGTTTATAAGAATTCGGTATTTGATTTTCTTTTGAAACGGCTGTCGCTGCTATCTGTTCAGATTCTTCACGTTCTTTACGAATTTGTTCCAATGTTTTTACAACAACATTTACTGGTCGTTCTTCATGTAAAGGTTTCGATTGTGATGGTGGTTGAATATTTTCTTGTTGTTTTATCGGCATAGATCGTTTTATTTCAGCTCTTAATGGTGCAGCTATTGATGATGATGGAGAATGTTTGGCGGTGAGATTATCAAATTTCATATCAATCTTATTAATAACTGAAGATTTCGTCAAACTATGATTATTGGTTGCATCCATTAAATGTTCATTTGGTGATGAATGAAGAATTTTTTCCATTTTTATCTGTTCCAATGTTTTGATGGCTGGTTGTTCTGGTTGTTTATGGCCATCATCATCTGGTACAGTATCGATTTCATTATTATCATCCGATTCTTCATCTTTATCAATTGAAATGCTTAATTGTTCAGTTGATTGTAATTGTGGTTTAGTTATGGTGATATGTGATTCTTTACTGTTGTTGTTTTGGACATTCGAATTATTCGATAAATCTTGATGATTACCATCATTATTATTGACGATGTTCGGTTTTATTTGTTGAGAATTTTGTTTAGTATTGGTGGTCAATTGTTGTTGATTAATATTATGGCCAGTTGGTAATATCCATTCAGCTATATTACTCTGCAGATCGGTTATTGATGGCCGTGGTTTTGTATGCATAAATACACAATGTGGTTTACGGCAACCATTTGGTTGTGTTTCAAACCAACATTGTGTTGTTGAACGTTTTATATTTGGTTCCATATGACGAAAAGGACAATTACGATCATTACAACGGCCAACACGCCATAATTCACATACAACTTCTGAACCAAGTGCAAGATCACAATGTCGGAATGGACAATTTTTTTCCTACGGATTAAATCAATCAACACATCAATTAATAATAATAACTTTAAATAAAAAACCGAAAAAAAATTCTCACCTTTGTACAGGTAGAATAGAAATAAAAATAGCAATCATTATTTTTATCCATTGTATTCATTTTTAGAATTTTTTTTTGTAAAATTAAAATCAATCAAGTTGTGAAATTTTCTAAAATTGTTCCAAAACAAATAAAAAAAGAAATATAAAATCGTGAGTCAATATAAATAAACAACACAAAGAAAAAAAAGAAAACAATAAGTAAGTAATGGACGAATTTCGGAAATTTTTTTTCCTTCACACATAAACTATCGATTATGGTCAAATGTGATATAAAGTAATGAACGATTCATTCAACTACAGAGAGCTATCATCATCATCATCATCATCATTGGAAACAGGACAATTTCGTTCGATTTTCTATTTGTTCAAACCATGATGATTCATTCGACAAAAATGAAATTTTAATTGTCAATTAAACAAACATGAATGTTCATTGATGATAATGACCATCTCTCCACCAACCAATCGATCGATCGCATACATACACACACATACACACATCCTGGTTGTTTATTGTTTTTATTTTTGTACTCTTTTTATGATAGATTCACACATATATAGAGTATATTAATTTGTTTTTTATTATTAAACAAAAAAAATGATGTGATTGCTTTCTGATTATTGCATAACCATTTTAACCATACACATACGTAATTAATTAAGGTAAAACGTTTTTTTTAATCGATTAATTGATAATTTTTTTTTCATTTCAAAATCGAAAACAGATTGACATTCTTTTCATTTTGGTATTATTTCGTCATTGAAATTTGTCCTAATTTTCTTTTTCATTATCAATTTTTTTATGGAATATATAATCCTGTTTTGGCTGTGTTAATTTGTTATTGAAAAATTTTTTTATTTTATGTGGCCTTAAAAATCTTAATCAATCAAACAAAAACATCGAAACATGGACACTGATAATGATGATGTTTATAAAAGTGTTTTAGATAATATTCAACAAATTCAAAATGAAATTCTTTTCATGTTGGATCAAACAAATTTAAATAACAATTCCTCCAATGATGATGATGAAGATGAAGATGATTCCAAACGATTTTTATTGACTAATGCTAATCTTAATTCTTATTGTGATATTTTATTGGAAAAAGTAAACAAAGAAATTGTATGGACCAATAATTTGGAAGAACAACAAAATAATAATTATTTCATTGATCGATATCGAACAACACCAACGAACAATAACAACAGTATTGAACAGCAACAAGTGGGATCAAAATTTCAATTTACACCCGCCGACTCGACAACAACAATCGAACAACAACAAAGATCTCAGATTCATAATGATCTGAATACTAATATAAAACATTCCATTATTAATGAACAAATCATAACGAATGGTGATGGTGATGGTTATGGGACCAATAAGAAATCCGAACCTGAAAAAAATGATCAACAGATTGCCAATGATAAACGTAGCTGGATTTCAAATAAAAAACATCCATTCATTAATGGATCATCATCATCACAATCACGATCAAGCTCATCATCGACTGAACAACAACAACTAACACCAAATTCAACAAATGAATTGGACAAAGAATCAAATTATCGTTATAGTTTTTACGATAATTGTAACAAATTAGCTGTCTATCTTGCACATTCATATATATTGGATCAATCAATTCCGAACAATAATACCACATCAGCAACAAACGAAATATCTACAAATGATTTTGCTCAATTTCAATTACAAAATGGTGGTCGAATTCTACCAGATTATATTGAAAATGCATTAATCTATCTATCAAAATGTGGCCTTAATTCGGTGGGAATATTTCGTAAATCAGGTGTTAAATCACGTATTAATATGCTAAAGGAAAAAATACAAAAAAATGAAATTAATTTCGATACACTTTGTGAATCAGTATATGATGTTGCTGATCTGGTGAAAACATGGTTACGTGATTTACATCCACATTTATTGACCAACGAATTAATCGATATGTTTATTGTAGCCACAAAATCTAAAAATGATATCAATGAACAATTTCATCTATGGCATCTAGATGATTGTCATCGTTATTTATTGTTTATCATACTTAAATTTCTTTCAATGGTTGCCGCACATTCATCCGAGAATCAAATGAACACACAGAATCTAGCCATTTGTTTTGCACCATCTTTATGCGATGGTGATACTGAAAAACAGATAAATCGTGCCCAAAAATGTTTACAGTATTGTATTGAAAATTATGAATCATTATTTTATCTGAATGTTAAGAATATTCATCTGATTGATAAACATCAACGACAATCCACATTGCCAATGTTGAATAATAATCATACATCAGTTATTATTATCAATGCTAGTCCCGATGATATTCTTGCACGTTTATTATATGAAAGGTTAGTAATCAAGGTCTGTGTTGATTAATTGAGTTAATTAATCTGTTTTTTCTGTTTCTTTCTAAATAATTAACCAGAAATATGATTGATAAACTTATTTCACGTTGGACAATCATTAATGATGATGATCACGATGATCATCATCAACAACAACAACAAATAAATAATAGTGACATATTTGAATTTGATCTGCAATTTAGTTGTCTATTGCCAACCAAAACATTTTCTGTACATCGTCAATGGTCGAATTCAAAACAACAACAAGGTGGTTTTGAATTAACGGAAATTGGTGATCTAATACGATCATATTGGATTATGGTACCGAATGGTAAAGGACAAACATTAGTAAAACATGATATATTGATGGAATTACGGTAAGTTTTTTTTTCGTTGCATATTGATGAATAAATTAACTGAAATTTTCTTCAAAACAAACAAATAAAACAGTGGTCTATCAAGTAAATGGTATCGTACAATATATCCGGCAATACATGATCAACAGCTTAAATGTTTAGCATCATCATTTATTGTTGTACCAATGAATGGAACACGAATATCCGAAGTTTAATTATCATGTTGTTCATCCATTTCATTTATGCAAATTCCTTTTTTTTGGATAGAAAAGTTTTTTTTTATTTGTTGAAGCAATATATAATTGATCTAATCATCATCGTCATCGTCATATATACTAAATCAAGAGATGAAAAAACTTCTTATTAACCACACACATATTTTTCTACATACTACAAATCTGTTACTTTCGAAAAAATATTTTTTCACATTTTTCAAATTTTTCTTTCTGAAATGTCGAATGTTGTAATTGAATAAATGATGAAAGATAAATTGATTCACCGATAATTGCTAATACTATTGTGGTTTTTTTTCATGGTCACTTTGAATGATCATGATTACTTGTCGGTTGATGACTGATCATCATCAAATTTGTCGTCCGTTTATTTCGTTTAGTTGAACTTTTGATGTGTGTGTGTGTGTGTGTAGATTAACGAAGGCGAAAAAAAGCGGTCACCGTGGTATAATAAACACTAAACCACCAAAATAAACGTTTTTCATTTTAAAAACTTTCAATTTATTTAAAGAAAGAGAAAAACTTAAACCAAAATCCAAATGGATTACTAAAAAAAAAAAAAAAAAAAAAAGAAATAAAAATTAAAATTCAGAAAGTGAAGAGTCAGTTTCTATGTTAAACTAAATCATTTTGGTGACATTGAAAAAAAAAATTTTATTTTTTCTACCAAAAAAAACATCAAGAAATAAAATCAAGTTCATCATCATTTACCACATGGATATCATCAACATTAGTATGTCCGAAATTTAAAAAAAAATCAACGATAATATCATCGTAGGTTTCAAGTTCATTTCATTTCAGTTCAAAAATCAGAAAAAAACTTGACAAATTTAAATAACCAAACATCAACATCACTATAAAACTTATTTTTCAAGATTTTGCTACAATGAAAATGGAAAAAGAAGAAGAAGAAAACTGTGATTTTAATCAACAGTGATGATGGAATTGAATGAATGAATGAATGAATGAAATGAATGGAAACCAAATTTTTTTTTTACCGAAAAAAAATCTTTTTTTCCAGTAGAGAACGACCCATACATGATCAACATAATAAATATAATGATAAAATCTTTAGAAGAGCGCACCGTTTTGTTGTTTAAATTAAGAAAAATTCACAAAAAAATTGATGATGATGATTATTATTACAGCATGACATTTGTTTGATGTTTTTCAAGTGATAAGAACGGAAAGAGAAGAAAAAAAATTAATAAAAAATGATCCTTTTAGGATTTTTTTTTATGCTTACATTCATTCGATTCCATAAATTGATCAAGATGAATTTTTCATCATTTTTCATTATCATCATCATCAGCATCGTGTATGGTGCTTTTATCGATGAATCGTTGAAAAAGTAATTTCGCTTTTGTTTCTTCTTTTCATCTGATATCTACTCATCTGTCTGTCTACTTGGGAAAAATAAAAAAAAAAATTGAAAGGAATAGGTTATGAATAAACAACATCATGCTTATCATCATCATCATCATACTGACCAAGTGAAACCAGAAATTTTTTCCATTTCTTTGAATTTGAAGAAAAGAATCGCCAATCTTAAAAAAATGATATCATCATTTCTTCTTCAAGTGATTTAGATCAAAAAAGTTTTTTTTGTTCAATACAGAAAAAAAAGTAAAACTGGATCGCATGGACACGGGTGGTGTGTGTTGTTGTAGCTTGTGGATTGTTTTCTTCATTTTATTTTCGAATTTATTTCCAGAGAGATATATCTTGAATATTCATTTTTATTTTCATTCATACACTTGACTTGTCTGGTAATAGTGATGAAAATATTTTTCTTGTAGATATCAATTAAACATGATTTACCTGATTGTTCAGTATTTTCGACTGTTGGTTTTTCAATTGTTGTTGTTGTCGGTTGGTCAAGTTTTGGTCAAGACGATGGATTTTTCAATTTTTTTTTCTTTGTTATCTTTGATTGTTTTTTTTGTGTTCATTTTTGTTTTCGAGAGTATATATTTTTAGGTTTATTTGTTCGTTTGTTGTTGGTCTTTTTTTTCATTTTTTACATTTCTTCGTCAATTGATTTCATTTAATTTTCGTTTTCTTTTTTTTCATCGTGGCCACCAACTAGATCGAAAAAAAAAGACGAAAGAAAATTGAAATTATAAACCAGAAACAAGTGAATATTTGGATTACCTCCTAGAAATTTTTTTTTTTTTAGATAAGGCGTGCCTCAATTTCTAATCGTCATGATCATTATCATTTGAAAATGAATTGATTTTTTTATGTTCAAACGAAAATGAAATAAATAAATGGATCACCTGTTGATTGTTGATTAGTGTGACAAATGATGAGAAAAGAGAAAAGTTGAAAGAGTTAAAGATTGGTTTTTTCATTTCGTTTCGTTTCGATAATTGTGGTCAGTGAATGGAAAATGGTTGTTTTTTGGCCATAAATTTGTTCGAGACTAAACTTTGTTATCATTATGAGAAAAATAACTAATCGAATCTGAAGGAATGAGAAAATGAAAAAAAAATCATGATAAATAATGGAAATGTATGATGGTGGTGGTCGTCGTTGTCTAAGTGGATCGATAAATCAGTGATCTGTTGATCCGTTTCAATGTCATGGGTCATTTATTTTATTATTTTTCTTTTGATGTCAAAACAATGATGATAATCCATTTTTTTGCAATTGATTGTGATGTTGATCGCATTAATTTTCATAATTTAAGTGTCATATTTGGTCGATAAATGGTGGAAAAATTAAAATGATTTTTCCTTTTCGAAAAGAAAATGTCGTTAATATAGGGATGATGTTTGAATGAGTAGCGTGTTTGACCGAACCAAAATGAAAATATGATTGACAAAGGTGAATGTTTTGACACAATGAATGAAATGATAAGATAAAGTTCCGGTTTCTATTCGAATACAATGTCGATAAACGATGACGAAGCTGTCGTATGAAGCAGCATCGAAAATCATTTTCAATCAATGTCAGGACATTTACATCTTTATTTATTATATCATTATCTCTTGCTGTCCTGTTGTATGGAAAAAAAATTAATAGCTAATAAACACAATTTCATATATTCAATACATACCGGATAGATCAAACAATACACAGACACATACAAAAGTGAATGAAGAACAAGAAAAGAAAAAAAAGTAACAGGATTTTCATTTCATTTTCATTTCTTTATGATGATTATTTATCACGGGTTTATAACAAATCGAATGAATTTGTTTTTTTTTTTGATTCAGAATCCACAATTGAAAATTGTACATAGGGATACATTTTGGATCCATTAATCATCATTTTTGGGCAAATATTTTTTCGATTAACATGTATATTATTGATGTGTGAGAAAAAAAATGTCAGTTTGTTGTTGTTGTTGTCCACCAATTTTCATAGTCTGAGGTCAGGAATTAGTCACTTAGTTGAACTTGAATTGATTGAACAAAACACAAAAAAAACCAAAACGGTTGACGCCTAAATGATTTGTGTGTCTTTGTGGTGATCACAACGACGACAATTACGACAAGGAAAGAAAAAAACATAAAAAAATTGATAAAATGAATGAAATTCATTCACCTAAAAAACGATAAAAATAAATAAATAAATGAAATGTCTCCGAAAATTGGTTCTTCCGGTTCTTACTATTTTAAAAAGAAAGAGGAACTTTTTTTTTTTTCGAATAAATTTTGTTGTTGAAAGTCGGAAAATTTTAATTTTCTAAAATCTGCATTTCTTAAATCAAAAGGATGATGATGATGATGATGATATGTCTTTATTATTCGAATTCAATGACCATTACTGATACATGGTATGTTTGCATGAAAAACAGATGATGAAAAGAAAACAAAACAAAACAAGCAACAAATGATGATGATGATGATGATGATATCTATACATAAATGAAAATGAGTCGACAATGTGTTTTTTTAAGTAAAGTGAAAACAAAAAATTTTCATCATCATCATCATCGTATTATAAACATAATGAATAAATTTGATTGAATGATGTTGTTCCATAATGTTCCATTATTCATGTTCGTTATTTTTTCTTATGTTGACCATTGTGGCAAACATTATACACGCGTTTTTTGTTGTTGTTGTTGTTTTGTTTTTAGCTTTTTAATGTTTTAATGAATTCAAATGAAAAGATTGCTGTGGTTGTTGTTGTTGGATAATTTTTTCATTAGGGATTACATGGATCGACTTGGTCACAACAAATGAACAAGATGTGTTGGGCTTCGAAGAAATTAAAACATTCGATTCGATTTTCATTCATTCACAAACATGGTTACAACACCTTGTGATAATTATCAACAATAAACAACAACAAACAAAAAATTTTCCATTTCAAAGACAAATAATAATCTCAGATCAACGAAAAATAAAAAAAACGAAATAAAAATCATCATCATTCGATTAAGATGTTAACATGGATCAATTTTAACCATTCAAAATCAATTTCTATTCTGACATTTCAATCATAGATTTTTTTTCGTTTTGATTAATAACATTATTTAATCACAACAACGACAAGAAAGTTGAATCAAATCTTGTCTTGTTTTTGGATGTTTCATTTACTGTCCATGATTGGAACATTAGTGAACATTTAGATCTTTGTTATTTTCCGGATTAAATCCTGGATAATAACTTTGAAATTAATGAAAAAAAAATTGATCAAAAAATCAAGACAAAAAAACATGGATTTTATTCATTCAAAATGTCCACAATATCATCAATTTTCAATTTTTAATCTGATATATAAGTGTAAACAAAAATTTGTGTAAATATAAAAATGATGAAAATTGAAATATACAAAATGAAATTATATAAAAATTTACAAAATAAAGAATCTTTAATCGATGATGATAATGATAATGATGATGTAAATCGCGTATCTTTATCCAGTTTCTTTTTCCCATGATAAATTTGATATTGTCGAGAATCGTTTCGTTTGATGATGATGATGAGGAAGACCACCGCCATCATTGTTGTTGTTTTTTATTGATTTTTGTCCATTGTTTACCTATAGCAATAATCATTGGTGAACATGATGTTGATCTTAATGATGATTCTTCTTCAGATTCACAAGATGATTCTTCTTCTTCTGTTTCTGTCATCATTATTTGTGTCATACAGCAATTACAATTATTACTACCAGTTGATAGAAATGAAATTGAACTTGAAGATTCATTACTCATCAAAGACGTATGACTAGGTGCTTGTGGTAATATCGATCGATTTGTTGTTGTTGTTGTTTGTCTTGTTGTTGCTGTTGTTGAATGACATAAATGTTGACCATTGTTATTATCATAAATGCAATGAATACTTTCGCTACCACTATCAACACTATTATTTGATGGTGATGGAGATCGATTTGATGATGATGATGATAATGGACAAGTCAATGATTCAATAATATTGACCACTTGAGACCGGTTATTCAATGATGATGATGATGATGATAACTTGTTTGTGTTAGGAGATTCTTGTTGTTGATGATCATTGACCGATGATGATGATGAAAAATTATCATCATTTTCTTCATGATCATCATCGGACAATTGATAAGTGGTTAAATTATTAATCAATAAACGACTGGTCATACGACTTGTTATCGGTATATTTGGTTTACGTTTTGTCGTTATTGTTGTCGATGTAGCTGTCGATCGATTATAATGGTTATCATAAATATGGTGTGGGTGATAAATACAGGCGCCATTATCATTATCAAAATTCACAATCTGTTGAAATAATTCATCCAATTGTTGTTGTTGTTGTTGATGATGATGTTCGCATTCACTTTTAGGAGCTATTTCAACACCAATGACCGCTGATGATGTTGATAATGATGATGATTCTGATGATGATGTCGATAATGATAATGAATCAGATGAATGTAATGAATGATTTGATGATAAAAGATCGCCATTTCCACTGCTACCACCACAACAACAAGTAGTTTTAGATGAAAATAGAATCACAGAATCTCTAGAATTACAATCATCATGAAGATGATAATTTGTTGGTTGTTGTTGTTGTTGATGCTGTTGTTGAATGAAAAATTTTTTATCACAAAAACGAAATTTTTCCGTACCAGGTAAACGTGGTGGTTTCATTTTGAACGTTCAGTTTAATCGAATCGGTTATTTATCAAAAATTTTTCCCGAATTTCAATGATTGATGATGATGATTGAAAAAAAAGAAGAAAACATTCCCACGATCAACAATTCTCTGGCGCTTTATTTCGTTGATGTGATGTGATGTGATGTGTCTGTGAGAAAAAAAAAGAGAAAACGGACTTTTAGTAAAACGGCAGTGAAAACAAACAAATAAAAACAATGGTTGTCATTGGAAACCGACAACATTATTATCCAGAATCTAAATGAAAAATAACACTCGTCCCCCACAAAAAAAAACACAAATCCAGTGGCATGAATAGCCTGACAGATGTGTGTGTGTGTGTGTGACATGCAAATATTAATTGGCATCACATAAAATTAATGAGAGAGATGAAGAGATGGAAAAAATGCAAGAATCATCATTACGTATATATCAAGTAAAATCATTCAACCACAATTGATGATGATACAGTGAAAAAAAAACGGATAAATAGCATAACTATAATCTGGCACATTCATAAAATTCAAATTTTCATCAAAGAAAAAAAAAACGAAAGTGGAAATGAAATAAGTGGTTATAAAAAAAAATGATCAACAAGAGAATTGTATTTCGGATGTTCATCACTCTCACTCTGATAATCATCATCATTGAGAGATTGACCTCTGGTCTTATTTATTTTTTGTTGTAGTGGTGGTGTGGTGGTGGTGGTGATGGTGGCCAAACAAAAACGATGATGATGTTTTCGTTCATGTTTTATAGTTGTTGTTGTTGTTGTCGTTGATAATGATAATATGACCAAAAATGGCTTTGATAAAGATTGAAAGAGCGATTTGATGATGAAGAATTTTTTTTCTGTTATAGCCGACTTGATGTTTTTTTTTCGTTTTGATTTTTGATTATTCATGTTCACACACACACACACACCACAGACACACACATACAGACTTTGATATGATAACAATTTTTTTCTTCTCCTTCATAATCAAAAAAAAAAAAAAAAATGAGCAAAGTTCAAAGGTTATTGTATACATACATCCACCAATCAAATAAATAAAATATATAAAAAAGAGATTTAAGTTTGTGTGCATGTTAAAGCATAAAGGTCATATGTGATACAAATAATAATAAAGAATTCATTTCATTTCAATCGTATATATTCTTGTATTTTTTTTTTTTTTTTTTTTTTGATTTAAGTGGCTTCCAGCAAAAAAAGCTGGCTGGCTGGCTGGCTAGCATCAATCTTGAGTGAGGATTGATTGATAGATGTATGAATTAAAAAAAAAAATACCCTACCAATACACATACCATTTGAAAATTTTTCTATTTTTTTTGATCAAAATGTATTGATCACGATAAATTCATTTAGATAAATATATTATCAACAGGTGGTATAAATAAATAGTTACATTATTATAAAGACAACTATTTACACACACACACACACACACTGATGGAATGACTCATCATTCATCATTATTGAAGTTCATTGCATTTAATGTGATTTCTATCCATTCATCCAACCACAAAAAAATTTCCTAACGGATTTTTCGTAAATTTCAAAGAAAAAAACACCCAGACATCTACCACCAAGGACAACAAAAAAACATCGACAACAACAACCAGAACTCTTTGTTTTTTTAAATAACCAAGGTTGATGTCTTATATTCGAAAAAAATGGGCAACAAAAAAAAATCTACTCGATTCTCATCTGTCTGTGTGTGTGTGTGGCGTAAAAAATTCAACTGGTTACTCAACAACAACAACATTTATATAAATATATCAGACACACTCTAGTGTGTAATCATCATCATCATCATCATCAACGAATCTTCATGATAATAATGATCGTCATCATTTGGCAATTGTTGTGAAAAAAAGACAAGGCCAATTATCCAATCATTATCATCAAAAATTTGAATTTAAAAAATGGGCTGAATGGATTCAGTCATTCAATCATTCAAAACGATTCTATTTCATTTAATTGAATCATTTTTTTTAGATGGAATCAAAACAAACGAAAAAAAAAATTTCAACGAAATTCAAAACTAACCAATTATCATCATCTGCCTAGGGATAGGAAAAAACCAGACATGATAATGATGATGAAAACAAAACACACACACACATACAGAAAGATACAGGTAACCTTTTTTTTGTTCAGATCGACCTTGAAAACTAAACAGAAAAAAAAATTTAACGAAATTGAAATTTTCACACACACACACACACATACAGAAACCGAACCGGATCAAGGTAAAGAAGAAAATTAGTCGTTGTTTTAACCAACTAAACAATAGAAAGACAGAGACAGACACACACACACTTTCACATATTTTAGTTGGTCCGATTACCAACAACCACCACCACCACCACCACAATCTATCTATCTATCCACAGGTAGAAGCATCATATTTTCAGTCAAAAAGAAATTTTTCGATTAACTATTTTATAATTGACCAGTGATCATTCATTTTCATGAAAAGTGATCTTTCATCATTCATTCATTTTCAAAAGAATGAAAAAAAAACAGGTACAGATCAAAAGTCAAACATACACAAACAGTTGGAGTTCGTATAACAATAAAAACAGCAAGGTTAATGGAAAAAGGTGTACTCTACACACAAACACACACACACACACCAGTAAAGTATCAGGAATTTTTAATTTTTCAAACAAAAAAAAATTCCCCAAGTTGATGAAATCGATTTTTTTTTTGGAATGAAATTGAAGCTGTTTTTGTTGTTGCTGAATGAAAAAAATAATGAACTTGTGTGTGATGAACATAAAAGGTCAAGAATCATCATTATCATCATCGTCAGTTATATTGCTTGTTGTTTTTTGTATGGACATGAAAATAAAAAATATTTTCGTTTTTTTTTCAAAGCCAACGCCTTTGGTCACATGAAATAATCAAATGAAATCAAAAAGTGAAAAGAGAGAGAGAGATAAATGTAAAGAAAAAATCAAGTCAAGGATTCTCTCTTGATTGATATAGGAATGTATGGAATTTGAAACTAAATAAACAAAATCAATCAATCATTCATTCATTCATTAGATATAGAATTACCAATTTTATGGAATTTAAAATTTTCGGCATTTTTTGTTTGTTTGTCTATTTGTCTGATGATTCGTAAACATATTTAAAAAAAAATGCCACAAATGATGAATGAGCAGAGATTAGAAAGAGATTTTGATCTACTCAAAAAAAAAAAAAAACAAACAAACAAACAAAAAAAATAAAGTAATTACAGTATTCAGAATAAATAAGAAGTAACTCTAGAAAACAAAAATGAGAAAACATTCAACAAATGGTTTTTTTTTCTTGTTCAAAGGAAAAAAAAGCGAAAAGAAAAGGAATGTGCAATAATAATAATGAATGATTATGAAGAAGAAGATTCCTAAATCATCGATAAGAAATAAAATAAAAAAAAATTTCAAAAGTATTTGAGCAACAAGTGGTCGATCGTTAACGATCATAATCAACAAAACAAAAAATAAAAAAAATTCAATCTTTTGAATGGCATATGTTATTCAAAAATCATTGATATTGTTTATGGCCATCATCATCATCATATCATAATCAACAAAAACAGAATTTCAATTTATAGCTCAACAACAACAACAACAACAACAACAGGAAAAAAAACTGTCAAAAGTGGTGGTCACACCACCATCATCGACCATTAAACACAAATACTAAACACACACGTGTTCAAATGTGAAAAAAAAACTAAACATTGAAGCAAAACAACAACAAGAAACCCTGTAATAAAAAAAAACGAAATGAAAAATCCAAAACTTTACCAAAAAAAAAAAAAAAAAAAAAAATCAGTCCAGATGTTTTTGTATGTGACATACAAACAACGACGACGACGACAACAAGAACAAGGCCATATATATATCTCACACAGACACAGACAAATACAGAGCATTTTTTTTTTTGCTTCACAAATTTTCATTATGACATTTTCAATTCAAATTCACATCATCATCATCAATTTGTAAATAATCCACCACCACACCACCACCACCACCAAATATAGAGCATTAGATTATTAGCCGAAAAATATACACAGCTGCAACGTACAACAGATTCAAAAGATTTTGGATCATTGTTGTTGTTGTTGTCTGGATGATGATGATAATGTCTTGTTAGCTAAATCACCCTTCAAGAACATTTGTTGCTATTTTCATATTGAATTTTCTGTGAAAAAAAAAAAAAAAAAAAAGTCAAGTTTTAAAAACTTACATTTTTTTCGCTTTACAAACATACACACACACACACACGATTTACTTATTTATTGATTGATTGATTAGTATTAGAGATGTGGGAAAAAAACGAGATAAGAAATAAAAAAAAATGCTGGTAATTCATAAATCCATGAAACAAATCTGAAATAAATAATTTACACATACACGGTGCGAGTATAAAAAATGCACGAAAAAAAAAAATTTTTTTTCTTCAAAAACAACAACAAAAAAAACACACGACGAAAATGAAACCGTGGTTGAATCAATTTGTACCGACAAAAAAAACAACAACATCCAGTTCCCGTTTTTTTTAGAAAAAAAAACAAATTTTCGTTTTTTCTGATGAATCAAAATAACTGGTAAAAAATGACTTTAAATTTTCATCATTTTCAATCTTCTTATTTAGTAGTAGTAGCAGTATCAGTAGTAGTATGATATGAAGATGGGTGAAATAAGTCTAAATCATCATTTGTAGACTTAATAACTATAACAATTATTATTATTATCAACAACAATAATGATCAGATAAATAATCTGATTGATAACAACCAAGCAAACATATACAATACTAATAAACAATGAGGAAATGAGTTTCAGATATATTTTTGTTTCACTTTTTTTTAAGTTTCAAACAAGAGAGATATTGATGTTAATGTTGATGATGATGATGATGATTATTCAAGCTTGACTTGATTGTTTTAAATAAATATATATCATTGGATGGTGAATGATTGTAAAATTATATATATATAGAGTTTCACATGGTGGAAAAAACCAAAAGACAAAAAATGATTTCACCAAAAAACAAAGCAACAAGAATTTTTTTTTTTTTTGAAATATTTCAATTTGATCGATCAATCGATTTTTGATCAATGAAATTTTTGATTGCACCGGAAACACCAAAACATACACACGGCACACAGTGTTGTTGTTGTTGTTGTTATTTTGATGTGGTTTCGAATGAATATTGTTAGTAATTATCGAAATGTTGATAAACATTAAAATTTGTCCGGTTTGTTTATCAGAAATTTTTTCTTCTTTTGATTCATGAAAAAATTTTTTCCATTACGATACATCGACTTGTAAACACATGTACGATCAGTATGAATATTTGAATTGAAATGAAATCAACCAAAAAAAAAATGTTTTCATCTCTTTCTCTCTTTTTATTCAATGTTATCGACATGCAACAAGTGATAGTAGTAGTAGTAGTAGTAGTAGTGACACCTCAAATTAATTGTAGTAGTATAATTATTGTTATATGAAGATAAATCTCAACCACACACTAACAGTTATACTATGCTACTATCATTTGACCAGTTTTTTTTTGTTCAATTGTTCACTAATCGACCTTTTACCTTTTACCTTGTCTATATAATCATGAATTCAAAACGAAAAAAAAATTGTTTGCTTTGAACATTATCTGATACGCGACACACACACACAGCTGCCATTTTAATGGCACGTGTCAATATTCCATATTATCTGATTTGATGGATCAACCAAACAAAAAAGCAATCAACATCTGTCCTGGTTCTATAGATGGTGGTGGTTTGGATCGATCCATTCATATGGCATTTGAAAATTTTTTAACCAGTCGCGACATTGGAAAAAACCCGCCAAAATAAAAGACCATTGGTCCAAAAAAAAAAAATTGGATGGAGATGAAATGGACCAAATCAGTCAGGCAGTCGCAAACATAAATGAGGCGCGACAAAAAAAAATTGTCAACGATTGTAACACATGTGCACTACTGATATGGCTAAATTTGCTAGATGACTGAAAATATTCCAAAATTATCATCAAAATTCGGCAAAAACAAAACAAACCAAATCTAAAAATTTCACACACACACACACATCGGAATAAGAAAAAAAAATTAAAAGAAACTTACCAAAGACAAGACCCAAACAAAAACCGAATGTATCATCATCATCATCACAATAATTCATTTGTTGAATTATTACGGCAATTTTAGATGATGACAATTTGTATGCATATCAAATATAACACAAACAAATCTTTTTCAGTAATTTCTACAAAGATAATTGAGATGATGATGATACGTAATTGTTCAATTAATAAAAACCGGCACTTGGATCGTATAATATACACAAGCAACTTGTTGTTGTCCGATATAATACGATAATTATGGAGGTTGTTGTTTGTTGTTTGTTTGCTGACATGATTTGATGTGCATGTGTGAGTGTATCTTCAATGAGAAAATGATAATGATGATGAAAAGATTTGGGATAATTTTTCTTTTCGAAGAATTTCTGTTTAAATTGACTTTACAATAGATGACGAAACAAAAACAAAACAATATCCCATTTCCGGCAAGCAAAGCAAAGCAAAGTACCAAAATACCATACATTCGAATCTATTGGTGACTTGAAAACATTGTAAGTTCATTTCATTTACCTATAATGGGAAAAAAAGGTCATCTGATTATTCTGATTTTTTTTGGGGTGAAAAAAAAAGAAATAAAAATTAAATTTTGTTACCATTATTGCCTGCGTTGAATAACAAGTTCTTCTTTTTCTTGTCTTATTGTTGTTGTTGTTCGAATATACCAAAAAAACAAACAAACAAACAAATAATGTTGATTTCGTTGTTGTTGTTGTTGTTGTTTTATTTTATTCATCTTGTTCATTATCGTTATATTGTTTCAAGCTACTGTCAGCTGTTGTCATTGTTGTTTTTCAGTTATGGCCAATTTGTTTTTTCGTTTCGTTTCATTACCTTGTATAAACATTGATTGATTGAATGAATGAATGAATGAATGAATGAATGTGAATGAAATTCAGGCAAGCAAAACAATAAATTTTGTTGAAATCACACACAGAGGTGTTTATACAATATCAATTAAAAGCCGGCTTGTGTTCTTCTTGTTGTTGTTGTTGTTGTTTTGTATTAACCAAAAAGTAAATTTTTTCTTTTTTTTTCTTGATTTTGATTTTGGCACTAGATTTATGACACACACAAATGAAAAGGTGATTTTATTGCCAATCATTATCACCCATCATTTTAATTTGATACTGAAATTCAAGGTATATAATCATTAGAATGATTGACAATGTTTTTTTTTCGTTGATACTTAATGATGATGATTGACATAGTGAAATTCAAGTGAATCCAATTTAATTTGGTGAAGCCATGAATGAATGAAAACCAAAAAAAAAATCCATAAATAAAAACGGAATCTTCATGGGAGAAAATAGAAACAAAGCAATTTAGAGTGATGATATTCAAAAAAAAAAAAAGCAACGGTAATGGAAAATATTGAAGCTTGAAGCTAAAATTGATTAGTGAAATGGATTCGAATCAATCAATCAAGGTAATTGGAAAAAAAATCAAAAAACAAACCTGAAAAAAAGAGTTTTTGACCTTCAAAATTTTCATTTTTTTTTTGTTTATTGGTTAAGAATTTTTTTCTCCATCGACAAAATTGACATCCATGATCAATTAAAACAATCAAAATAGTTAATCAATCATTCATCGATCATAGGAGATTTCTATCTATATAGATTGATTTGGTTGAATTAACGACGACAACATATGAAAAAACAAAATCGAATGAAACAATCATCAATTAATTAATGTCGAAATAGAATCGAATCGAACACATTGAAAATAGCCGGAACACTCGAATTTTTTATTTTGTTCATTCGTTGATTCCCGAACATTCGTGACTATGTTCATTTCTATCATCATCATCATCGACCTAGATTTTTGAGTTTTTTTTTTAATTTCATTTCAACAATGAATTAGTATATCATCCAATTACTCTGATTATTATTGTTTTTTTGTTTGGCAAAATGCAAACAATCAAAACATTGCGATACAGTAAATGAAGACGGAGAAAATTATCTTTTTTGTTGCTGTTGCTTGGTTTGAAGCCACAATATCAATATTCGTAACAAGAAAAAACAAGATCACTATCAACATTTGGTTTGTCTGGTTCGTTGGTTGTTTGATTATTACCCGAATCCATTGATCATCATCATCATGATAATGATGATGGCCAACAACAACAACCACGGCAACGACTACGACGATACATCACAAAACAAGCAACATTTGACTAATTATTATTACTACTATACCCTAAATAGGTAAATTATATTTGTTCTACAAAAAAATTTTTTTTTCAATTTTTTTAAAATTCTTATTTCTTTTCAAGTTGTTTGCTGCTGAATCAAGTGTATGGTGTGTGTGTGTGTGCACTTGATTCATTTCGAATCATCATCAATGGTCGAAGAAGAAGAAAATTTCTCGTAGGACGATGTTGATGATGATGATGATGATGGAAAGATTTTTGCCTGTGATTGTGTAGTCTTGTGAATAACGATTCGATGATGATGATGAAAATTCCTCAAGTTCAAAATCAACCTTTTTTGTGAAATTAAGAAAAAAAATGAGGCTAACAACAGTTGGTTCGATGATCAATGATCAATGTGTGGAGGGTCATCAAGAACATCAAGATCAAAAAAAAAAAACAATTCGGTCAAATAGACCAACAACGATGATTATGATGATGATGATGATGATGATGATGATGATGATGATGATGATGATGATGGACCAACTCCTACATTGTGCAAGAACGAGAACCACAGATAGAGAAAAAAAACAAAACAATAATTCCTGACAATCAATCAATTAAACATATTCATGATAATGTCAGGAATTTCGTTTTTTTTTTTGACTACAAAAAAAATACTCTACAAAGAAAAAAATTCATAAATTTCATTCATTTATTTATGATCATGACAGAACAATCATCAAAATTCGATAAATCAAGTGAATAAACGATTGGAAATGAAAGAAACAAAATTCCATTAATGATGAATATGCAAATCAACCCCCTCCCTTCACATTGATGAACAACCATCAAACATGACTTGAACCAATAATGTCTATTTGGCTTATCTTGACTTTATGATCACTTGAATACCTACTAATGATAATACCCATCCATCCATTCATGAGATTTTGAAAGAATAGATTTATGATTATTATCAGGTAAACTTCTACCTAATGTTAATGTTTATGATGATTATGATCAGTTTTGTGTTTTTTTTTTACAGCAAATTCCTAGACCAAGATACCAGATATCTACAGATGGCTGTAAGCCTGTATTTAATGCATCATCATAATAATAAATAAACAGGTTTATCAAAGGGAATTTATCCCTTTCGGCATTGTAAATACTTAAATACAATGATGAAATTTGTTTTTTTTCTCTTTTTTTCCATAGAAATTCAATGTGTGATCAATGAACCTAGGTTATGTTGTCAATATTGTGGGACATTATTGAACAACAATCGATATCGATGATGATGATTATAATAACAATATATGTAATGAAGGCATCAAAAAAAAGATTCGTGATTGAAGGTCTTTATGAATTTGATCAAATCTGTTTCGTTTTCGTTGTTTGTTTTTCTCTATAATCCATTTGTTGGAACTCTAGTATGATTATTATCATCAAACTAACAAGTTGTTGTTTCAATCAATCCCCAATTCTTTCAATGTTAACAACAACAAGGGCCTGTCATTTTTTTTGGATCAAATCCTCATATCGATGGTCAGCAGATGAATCATCATTATTGACCGTGTGGTAGATACACAATGATTTTTTTTTGTTATTGGATCATATTGTTATTCGTAGATCGACAACAAAAAGAAAAAAAAATTTTGTGGCCTTGCCTTAAGTGGTTTTTTTTTCTCCAAGCGGTTACAACATCATTGATCCATTAAAAAAATTGTTGTCCCTTTTGAACAAACCACAACAACAGCATATACTGATGACGATGATGATGATTATGTAAATGCAACAAGTTTTTCTTTCTTTTGTGTCTATAGTGAGTGATTCTTAAAGATTCAAATAGAAAAATCCGTCCATAAAGACGAAAAAAAAACAGATTGCAACAATGACGAATATTGAATCCCGTGTGTTCAATGAACTTGTTCAAATTTTAATCGATCAACAATGAAGATCTGATTGCCAAATGGTGCATGTTTATCCAAACAGAAACAAAATGAAAACTGAAAAATGAGAAAAAAACACAATGTTTCACCATAAAATTTGTGATCAAAATCAATTGATCGATCAATGAAAACGAAAATTTATTTTTTCTTCGTCAATCACTGCCTCGACAAAACATGTCGTATGAATAGAGAAGAAAACCGGAACAAAAATTAATGTGTGTTTGTAATTAAAAGAATCATTATGATATTTCGAATTACAAAAAGTACCGGCTTGCACGGACACGCAATCAACAATTTCAGTGATGTTCACACGTCGTCCATCCTATTTTTTGTCCATTAAAAACATCAAAATCGTCAGTCAACAACAGCAACAAAAAAAGATTATGAATGGATGGACACTTTCCCTTGTGATGATGATGTATGAAAAATGAAATGAATGAAAATATCATTGCTTTATCATCATCATCATCATCATGGTGGAGCTTTTTTGTCAAAACAAAAGCCCTGAAAATGGATCAAATTTTGACTGCTGCTGCTGCTGCTGCTGCTAGATTGAACGATTGAAAAAAAAGAAGTGATGCTACTCGCACAAGGTAACTATTATTTTTTTTGATTTTTTTTGCAATTCTAATTGCTAATTTCATTGCCAGTTTATTTTCAATTGTTCCGACAATCATTTCATTCCATCGATCGATTGATTGAAAGACTAATTTCAATTTGAAATTCAATAAAAAATGGATATAAATAATAATATCCAAATATGAATGTGTTCATCATCATCATCGTTGGCCATCATTGATGATTTTTTTATTTGATCGAAAATCTTCATTCATTGAAAAAAATCATTTCGGCAATATGTGTCCATCATCATCATCATCATCAATGAAGACAATATGAGAAAAAGAAACTTCAAAGGAGCTTCTGTCAATCTGTTGATGATTTTCAATTTTTTTTTGTCGATTGAATGGTGGTCTATGATCGACATGAATTTGTTTCAAATTCCAAAATTCAAAGACCGTGTTATTATCATCATCATCATTATTTATTCATTAATAAAGGTGGGAAATTAAATCTTTATTTTTTATGGAAAACATTGACGAATTTTTTCATTTTCATTTTGTATTTCGTTTTAATGATAGAGATTCGATGATGATGAAATACGATCAACATGGGAAAAAGGGAAAAAAAACTATTTCTTCAAAGTTGAATTTTTTTCGTTTCAAAATCAATTTCATTTTGAATTTCGAAAAAAATTCAACATTCATCACCCTCGTGTGTGTATGTAGGTAGGTAGGTTCGAATCATAATTTTTTTTGCTTCACTATAGTAACGCAAATGACCACCACCTTTGTATTATGATTTTTTTTTGCTCTAGATTGATTTTTCATTTTTTTTAATAAACTTTACCTGGTTTCATAAATTTGGCCACATTACAAATATTTAATTTACGCGTCAGCACAAAGAAGATTGAGCCATGAAATAAATAACGAACGAACGAACGAAAATTTTGTTTTCTCTTCATCCATTGCCACCACTATTTAAATACAAGGTCAAGGATTATGGATCATTTTTTTCTGTTTTTTTTCCACCAGTAAATCTTCATCATGATGATGATGATGATGATAATGAAGATGAAGATGATCATAAAATCAAGATCCTGGATTATATAAACGAATTGAATATGATGTGCTAATTAATTGCCATAGATTATAATGATAATGATGATGATGATAATGAAGATAATGATCATCATCATCATGGATTTTTCTTTTCAAAAAAAAGCTGGATTAAAAATCAAAAAAATCCTGAATTAAACCATCATTAGTGTTACTGGTCGTTATTATTATTAGTAACAATGTTCATTGGAGAAGAAAACTATCGTTTGGCCCCGATTAAATATCACTAATATATTGACCAATGATGCTTGGTGGTGGTGGTGGTGGATAAAATCAAAGTTGAGTATTTTTTTTCATAAAATTTAAATTTGAAACAAACAATCTAGAAGATGAAAATGAAAAAAAATTTCGACCCGAATTTTTCCTAAATTTCGTGGGCGTATTTTTTTCATCGTCGTCGTTTGTTTATTTCTCTGGAACATGTGAAAAAAATGTTTTTTTTCTTGTTTTTCATTGTTTATTTTTCTTTCTTTGTTTTTTTTTGCACAAAACAGCCAGCAAAAAGTGTGAAGAAGAAGAAGAAGAAACACATTGACATTCATCAACAAAAGCAAAAAAAAAAAAGATTTGCCTGTTCATGATGAAAAATTTCATGATGTTTTGCAGAAAGAAACATAGAGAGAGATTTGATCAAAAACTATTGCAGATTTGGAATTTTCAAAGTAGAAAAAGAATGTGCACGAATCGTGCATTCATGTAGAAAAGATTTGAATCTTTTTTTTCGATTAGATATCCATATCATATCAGAGTAAGTAAATGAGTATATAAAAAAAAGGCCAAGGTGATGAATAAGAATTCTTGTTTTTTTTTTTTTGATTTTAAGCAGATTACTTTTTTTTCCAAAATTCATTCTTGATTGAAGATTATCACCATCATCAATGGTTTCTGTATTCACATTTGAACACACATTGTTGGATCATTGTTGTTGAAAGTATATTTTGATGGTTTGTATGGTTTATAATTTTTCCGAAAAAAAACATTAATTTTTATTTTGTTTCATAACCAATTTGTAGATCAAATTTCAATGATAAACCACACCACCAAATGATTTCCGTATTAAACAAAAAAAAAAAAAAAAAATCAGTACGACGACGATGATATATTTTCGAGAATGACAAATATATGACTTTTTTTTTGATCGAAAACCACACATTTTTTATCTTTTTTCATTCAGGTTTGATGTTTGATTTTCGATTTTTTTTTATTTCTCTAACTCTATTTGTGTTTATTTAATTTATATTCAAACACACAGAAAGATTTTTTTCCGTGGATATCAATTCCTTTTTTTCGTTGTAAGTAAAAAAAAAATTCTACAATTTGACACCTGAATGTTAAAAGGGTCATGATCAGCAACAACAATTTTTCAAGCATCAACGAAACGGACACCTTTGTGTGTTATATTTTATATTTCATCCGACCAGAAAAGAAAAGATATCCGGAAAATAACAGCCAAAAAAAAAACACCACACAATGTGATAAGATTAATTGCTCAATTTCATATTCGTATGAATCTCTGAGTGTTAGAAGGGTGGTATGAACAATTTTGTTGTCCTAAATGCCAATCTTGATATTTGATCTCTATTTCTCTCTCTCTCTCTGTTTGTTCTAAATTAATAGACCAAAAGATTCTTTGTAGATTAATTGGTATAGGCTAACCCTTTTTTTCTTTTATTCACTCACTCACTCATTGATCACGATGCGGAAGTTTAAAAAAAAAATTTATTTAGACAAGTGAATGAATAATTTGTCTTCTTTTTTTTTTTCTTCAGGCAATCAATCGAAAAATTATTGTAATACACTAGCATTATTGATCGATTATATCGATTGATATTGAATTTTTTTTTCGGATTTTTCATTTATTCAAGGCCAATAACCTAATAACCACTTTCTTTTCTTTTTTTTTTTTCTTCCAAAAAAAAAAAAAAATTCCAATGATCCAAATTAGAAATTGAAAAACAAATAGAAATCGATTCTTGAAATAAAGGAAAAAAAATTAGAACATCATTGACGTCATCATCATTATCGTCATCGGGTGAATGAAGAAAAAAAAACACAACAGCAACGGCAGTAGCAGGCAAAATTAGCAGCAAAAAACGAAAATAAAATTTCCCGTATGTGACGACAAACAAGAAATTCAAATGAAAAAAAAACTGAATTTTTTTTCTGTTTTGTTTTCTTTAGCATTTTATACGCGTCATATATATATGATGATGATGAGATACACACACACAGAGATTATATATGTGTGAAACACAGAACAACCGAACATGCTCTGGAAAAATTTCTATATTTTTGGCATAATATAAAGATCTCTATAGTGCCCGAGTTTTAGAAGAAATTCATTGTGGTGGATTCTTGCTAATGAAAATACCCGGCATCATCAACAACAACAATGGTGAGGGATTCATTTATTTTTTTTCAAGTTTATTCAATACATTATGTGTGTAAATCCTAAATTTTATTCATCATCATCATCATCATCATCATCAAGATCAAGATAGATTTTTCTGTAAGAAAAAAAAATGATTCAACTACCATACCACTGCTGCTGCTGCTGTTGCTTATTGTGATGCCAAGAAAAAAAATCGACTAAAATGCAGTGAATGAATGATATGTTGATATGAACCAACCAAACAAACAAACAAACAAACAAACTACAGAGACATATAGATTTTAAATTCAAAAAAAAAATATAAAGTCAGACAATAGCAGCAGCATCATCAACAGCAAGAATACGAATGATGATGATGATGATGATGAACACGGATAACCGATTTTTCTTTAATTGTTTTTTTTGTTGTTGAACAAATTCAAAGTGAATATGTTTTTTTTTAGTTAATCATCATCATTATTAGAATTTAACATTGAGAAAAATTTCTACAAAAGTTTGTGAAAAAAAAATTGCAATCAAAATGAGATTACGACGAAATCGTTATCTAACATTGGAAGATGCTCTTTTCGATTCAAGAATACCGCTAAGAACGGAAGAAGAATTTCGTATGGGAATCACATTTATTGTCAAGGTAAAAAATAGGTTTTATTCTTTACATTCAAAATAATGATGATAATTTTATTTTACAAAAATAATTAGCTTGTTGGATGCGGAAAAATTCCTCGGCCAAATTCTCGTATGGAAATCGTTCATGCAATGCGTCGTATACGATCAGATTGTCGTTTACGTAAAGATAAAAAACGTAAAACTATTATGACAGTATCGGATGAAGGTCTAAAAATAGCATTACCAAATAGCGGTGGTGGTGGTGGTGGTGGTGGTGGTGGTGGAAAGCAATCAATATTTAACACCACGACATTATCGTCCACGACAACCAACAGCAACAATAATAATTTGATCATAACACATCATCCAATACATAGGTTTGTCAAGATTTTTTAACCATCAATGATATAGTGGTTATTTTATTCTCTCGATTCATATAGAATATTCTACGTCTCACATGATTCATTAGATTTGCATATATTTTCCTATATTGCACGTGAAGGAAGTATATTTCGTTGTTTTGTATTTAAAGCTGCCAAACAGGTATTGAAAAGATTGATTTTGTATATGAATGTAATTATTATTTTTTTTTATTTATCAGTCATTAGCTATCAATATTGTCCGAACGATTGGACAAGCATTTGAATTATGTCATAAAATGACACCACCATTTAATGATAATGTTGATGATGATCGAACAACAATGAAAAATGGACAAATTGTATCGGATAATATTCAAATTAATGGTAATATTGGATCAAATCATCATCATCATCATCATCAACAGAGGCACCCAAATAGAATAAATCTAGCTGTTGTTAATGATGAAGATGACAATGGTGATGATGTCGATGGAAATGATCCAAATGATGATGATGATGATAATGATGAAAATAATGATGCAGATCAATCATCGATGATGGCAAGAATAACAAGATCAAAATCATCACCATCACCACGATCATCAAATCTACGTAAAAATAGTAAAGATTTAACTTTGAATATGGAACAAATGATTCATAATGTTGATTGTAAATTGGATCAACTTTCCGATAAGATTGAATTACTTGAAAAACAAATTTCATCATTAATATCATCAATGACAATCAATAATAATGGATCATCAATGGCTACTACCAATACTACTACTACTAATGCATCTGTTATTAATCATCGAAATAGATTTCATCATCGATTACCTACTGTACGTTTTAGTGAATCATCTGAACGTATGTTTGTACATAATAATCCACGTGCATCATCGATTATATCATCAAATGATGATACGGGAAGTGATACAAATACAATTATTGATCATCATCATCATAATCAAACATTAAGGCCACAAGTAACGAAACTACTTTATTCACCAGATTCATTATTATCTAGTCCAACTAATAATCATAATGATCATCATCATTATAATTATAACAAAAATTCTGATATACCTGGCTCGTGTTTATTATTTAAAGATTTATATTAATACAAACAGGAACACAAAAACGAGGTCAGAAAATTTACAATTAGGATTTTATTTTATGTTTCAGAGAAAAAAGTATTCCATATTTTTATAAATTATTTCTGTTTTTGTCTTTTTCAAATTTAAATTATTAAAAAAAACTGAATATTCAAATTTCATTTAGATACGTATTATTTGAACGAAATCGAAACATCATCACGTGATCAATCTGTTCATATGACAATTTGGTGAATTTTTTTGTTTTGTTTGATAATTTGAAAAAAAATCAAATGGAATCAAATTTTCAGCAACGTAAAAATACATTCTCACAAAATGAATTTCTACTACAAGGCAGTATTCTAGATGAATCATGTGATGCATTATTACAGAAACTTCGTGGTTTCTGCGATAATTCCGATATGCCACCACCAAAATTTAAAGATCATGAAATGGTTTTTGCTATAAGTAATAAGTATATTCATGATGAGTAGAAATTGTAAAATTATTAAAATTTCCTTTCTCATTAGAACTACCAAATGGACCATCAAGTATGTTACGTGTACGACGATCAATGGATTGTCCAACTAATCCATGGAATTTACGTTATCTCGGACATAATGATACCGATCGTAATCGTGCAACATTATCACGTACCTGTATTGATTGTAATACAACATCAAATGTCACACAATTTCTGGCTGAAATGGGTTTCAAATTGGAATTTGAATTCATTCTACGTGGTTGGATGTTTCGTAAAGGTCGAATGAAAATTCTTGTATTTAAAATATTTCGTATTAATGGTGGCAGTGGTGTAATGGCCACTACTACTAATAATAGCACACCAAACGCTATGGCTATTGAAGAAATGAATTTGGAACAAATAACTAATTCACATTTAGTAGAATTGAGTGTTATTGCACCATCATATCAGACAGCCATAACAGATGAAATGAAACAATTTGCCGAATTTTTAAAGCCATTAGTTTCATTGGAAAATATTGATATGCGAAAGATCAATCAATGATTACGATTGTAAACTATCATCGATGGATGGTTATCTTTTTATGTTTTTTTTCTTTCATTCATTTTCGTATTATTATTAATTTTTATTTTAAATTTTGAAAAAATTTTTCAAAAATAAATTCATCAAAAATTTTGAATCTGTATTTATTCGGATATTTACACCTGACCATACCTGATATGGTTGAAATGGATGTGGAGATTTCGAAATTTTCATTCACATGTATTTCTCTCCATTCATTCATTCATTCATTGGATTGACAATTTCGAAAATTCATTTTCGATTTGTATGCTACTTTCAATTCACCATTATTATCAACGACAAAAATGTCAACAGAAAATATGGACAAATCTGCAGATCTGCTTAAATCTAAAGGAAATGAATCCTTTTCAAAAGGTAATTATCAAGCAGCAATTGTTTGTTATAGCGATGCAATCGCCAAGGATCCATCAAATTCTGTACTGTATTCAAATCGTGCTATTTCATACATTAAAATCGAAGAGTAAGTAATTGATTGGATTTTATTAATTTGAGAAATTTTCAAATGTTTGCTATTCCGATATACCTAGCTATCTTCATGCTGAACATGATTGTAATAAAGCCATTGAATTGGATCCGAAATTTGTTAAAGCTTATTATCGTCGTGGAATAGCGCGTAAAAATCTTGGCCGTTATCAATCAGCATTACAAGATTTTCGTGAAGCCATCACATTATCACCGAATAATTCAGATATAAACAAAGAAATTGATATTACATCCAAGATATTGGATTCAAAACAGCCGATACGATTGAAACCATTGATGATTAAGGATGAAAATTTACGATCTAAAATGCCATTAATTGATGTACCCATTCATATTTACCGATATTCACCATCATCATCAAATGATGATGATGATGATGATGGTGGTGATGATCGACGACAACTGCTAGAAAATCAAATTCGTAAATTAATACTAGAACAAAAACCGCAAAATTTTGTTGAATTTGATCGATTTTGGCGTGAATTGAAGACAGCAGATTTGAAACAACAATATTTATCGACAATCGATATCGATAGTTATCGTAAAATATTTGAATATCCATTTGAACCGGTGTTATTATTCGATGTTTTACAGACACTTTCACAGCTATCGAATTATTCATTTGTATTCGAAATACTCGATGAAGCCATCACAAAAATGCCAAGATTTGATCTAAGCTTTTCGTTTCTTTCGCCAAAAGAATCTGAAAGTAAGGCCGTGACTTATTTTTTTCTACTAAATTTTTTAATTTTTTTATTTTATCTATAGTTTTGAAAAATTTATTTACAAATTTAATGAAAAATCTTGGGGATCAAAAATCATCGATCATCAAATTGGCTGAAAAATTTAATGTAAATTTATAAATTGTATGCATATTTCATTTACATTCATTCATTTAATCATCATTCACCATTATCATCGCTACTACTACTTTCTGATGGTGGTAAATCTAGATTTCTTGTTTGTTCTGAAATTTGATTTTCGTCGTCCATTGCTTTTGTTTGTATCTGAATAATTTGTTCGGAATTTTCACATATTGAATATTGTTGTAATAAATCAGAATTTAATTTCTCAAATCCTGGTCCCCATTTAAATTTTCCAAGATAATATTTTGCATAATCCACATGTCCAGTAATCCAAAGTGTAGCAGCAATAGCTTCAACACATGATAATTTACATGGTGTACCATAATTTACAGGATTTGCAGCCACCATGAATGGTAAAAGACGTAAATTTTTTCCTTTCATTTTATGAAATGGTGTTGTATCGATACGATTCCATGAACAATCAACAACGGCAATACCATCGCTGTCGACAATATGACGATCTGAAGGTGATACACAACGTGTAGCTATTGGTGTCAGAACGATACCGCTGAATTTTTGTCCTAATTTCAAACAACGACATAGTTTCATTCGTACTAATTTACGTCCAGTACAACGTTTTGGATTACAATGACGAAGATCCCACATGGCAATTTTTAGATTCAATTCAAAATTATCATTGTCGTCATCGTCGTCGTCATCATCTTGAGCCTCATCATCATCGGGATATTGATTCAAAACAACATTGCTTGTCATCTGATCATCATCATTGTCGTCGTTGTCGTTGTCAACATTATTATCTCTTCTTTGGCGTGATTTATTTCTTAAATTTTTTGATGACATCGTTTATTTTTCAAAGTATTTTTTTCTGAATCGAACACATGTTTGTTTCGTCGATTTTTGACGCCATCTATCCATCTTTTTATGTAATGCTCACATGCAATGATGATGATGAGCAAAGAATATAAACAAAACAAAACAAAACAAAAATTTCATTTTGGCCAACAACAACAACCGCTACAAGCTCTATCTATCACTTTTCCACTTCTTCGAGTTTGTTTTTTAACCGAGATAAACACAGGGCAACAAACAAGTTTTTTTCTTCATTGCAAAAAAAAATATCTGGCGAGTCAAACAACAACAACAACAACAACAAATTATATTTTGAGCAACTCGAATTTCGACAAATATTTTTTTTATGATGATGATGATGGAATTCCCATATCATCATCATTAGTCGCAGCATCATCATCAATAGAATAATTCTGGATTCCAGAAATTTCAAAAAATAAAATAAAAATGATAATCCACAAAAATTGGTAAACGGATTGAAAATTTTTAAAGAAAATTTAAAATTTCAATTAGTACCGTGAAATTCTTCCTGTAAATATAATATAAATAGATATATAATAAGGAAAACGAAAAAATTTAAACATTGCTCATCATTGAAATCAAAAAAAAAAAAAATCATCATCTACGTTACTGGTGGCTAATATAATATATTTTCATTATTAATTTCCATTCCTTAATTCTTCCTTCATCACGAAGAATAAAAAAGAATTTTTTTTTTCTCAACCAAAACGCAAAAACAAAATATATCAAATGATACGCACACACACAACACAATAACACCAAGTCTTAATTCTTCCAGCCCACACAAACACAAGATAATTTCCTGAATTACGCGACATTCGTTTCATTGATTCAATCAATCGAACTTCGATTTTTGTTTCGTTTTTTCTTCTTGGTCCTTGATAAATTTCGAATTTATTTCAAAAATTTTCTCGGTAGGTGTATTTTTTTCTATTTTCTTTTGGTCAATTAATTTTTTTTCTCTCTCTCTGAATAGAGGTCTCAACAGATTCAATAACAATATAATAATAATATAATGACGATATTACCGAAAAAGAAACAATCAAAACAGCAACAATCTACTAATGAAGAACAACATCATGTTGTTGGTCATTCATCAAATGTTGTTGTTGTAGGTACACAACACGGTGGTGGACAATCATCACAAATCAATGGACCATCATCACAATTATCAACAACAAATGGACGTATTCATGTTAATCATCAATGGTCAACAACACAACGTAATCATATTGTTGTAAATGGTGATTGTCCAGTAGATAAACGTCCAGCACCGGATAATGGACATTCAACGCATGGATCACAACATTCAAGTAAACGTAGACATCGTATACAACACCAGCAGCAACAACAACAACAACAACAACGTACAGTGGTTGTTGAAAGATGTGATTCCGGTGAACGTGATACAACAACGACAACAAAACATCAACATCCACGAACAATTGCAAATATACGTTCAATTGGATCGAATTCATCATCATCATCGAATAATTCTGCAGGAACACATTCTGATCCTGATTCAATGATAGCTATACCGGGTTGTAGTAGCAATAATGATAATAATGTTGAAGGTGAAGAAGAAGAAGAAGAAGAAGAAGAAGAAGATTTTTCCGGTTATAATAGCGGTGATGAATATCAACGTAATGCCCAAAATAATGATCCATCCGCACAAACGGATTGGGAAGAAAAAGAACGTCAATTTGAACGTATCATGCGTAAGAAAGGATTTAATATTAAAAAAATGTCTGAAGATGGTGCTTGTCTATTTCGTGCTGTCGGTATGTTTGTCTTTAATTTTGATGAGGTAAATTTTTCATTTTTTCACTCATTTTTTCGAATATTCCATTCCAAAAAAAAGCCGATCAAGTTTATGGTGATCAAGAAATGCATTCAGCTGTACGGAAATTATGTATGGATTATATGGTAAGATTAAAATTTGAATTTTTTCTTTTAATCAAAAAAAAAATTTTTTGATTATTGAAAAAACTAGGAAAAGAATGGTGATTATTTTTCACAATATGTAACGGAAAATTTTGCCGATTATATCCGCCGCAAACGTTGTGAACATATACATGGCAATCATATTGAAATTCAAGCATTGAGTGAAATATTTAATCGTCCAATACAAGTATATCATTATTCATCGGAACCAATTAATATTGAAAATTGTCAAAAAACTGATAATGAACCAATACGATTATCATATCATCGTAATACACATTATAATTCAATAGTGAATCCATATAAAGCAACCATCGGAGTTGGTTTAGGACTACCGGCATTTAAGCCTGGTATAGCGGAAAAATCATTGGTTGAAAAAGCATTATTTATGTCTGAACAACATGAATTAGAACAGGCAATGTTGGAAGATAAAATTCGTGCTACAGATTGGGAAGCCACGAATGAAGCTATTGAAGAACAAATTGCACGTGAATCATATATTGAATGGTTACGTGATAATGAACGAAGATCACGTACAACAACAACAACAACGGCGACAACAAAATCATCAAGTGCTACCTCAACAACATTGACAAACCAGAATAATAATAATCTTATAGATGGTGAACAGATTTCAAACAACAACAATATGAATTCTTCGTCATCATCATCAACAACACAATTATCACCAAGATGTTATTCACCACGATGTTCATCATCACCATCATCATCATCTATGATGATGATGAAAGGTGGTGTTGGTGCTGTATCTTCTTCCTCAAATCATCATCAACAACGTTCAAGTCCAAAACGTTCGAATGAACCACCACCACCACCATCATCATCATCATCATCGAGAAGTCCAAAAGGCGCAACAACAACAATAACGACAACAAATGATGATGGTTCGATTTCAGCTGCTGCATCAACATTTCTTCATGAATTACCAGCATCATATCTTGGTAATTTGAATTGTTTATTTTTTTCTGGTAATCTGTGAATTTATTCAAAATTTTAATTAGGTCTAAATGATTGGGATGTATCCGATCCATTATTAGCTCAAGTATTGGTACAATCACAAGCTGAATATTTGGAATCATTAAAACAACAACAACAACAGCAACAACGAATAAATTCAGATGTAGATCCAAATAATGAATCATCATCATCATCATCAATGATCAACAATTTGAATTATGATTTAATATCGTCGCTTCCATCGACATCTTCCACTACTAACCACGCATCTCATGATCGAATCATTTGAGATAATTTAGGAATTGATCAATTTTTTTTCTTTTCAAAAAATATGAAAATAAAACCGAACACACACATATAACAAAAAATGTCAATCACACTTTAAAAAATTTGTACAAAAATTTCTCATTATTTGATTGCGTGATTGCACATTTTCATTACACACACACACACACATTCATGTAGATTGTATCATCATTTTGATAATATACAAGATCCGAAACAGTAACAACAACAACAAACGTAAATAACCAACCCGTTTCTTGATGACCAGAAAAAATTGATTCTTTTTTTTGGCTTGTCGTCGTCGTTATGGTCGTTTTTTTCTCTTTCATTTTCGTTTCACTTTCGCAATACATTATCATAAATGTTTGTTTTATGAAGTTTTTTTTTATGAAGAAAAAAAACAAGTTATTATAATTTCTGGCTATGAAATTATACCCAAAAGAAAAATTATATAGGTTCATCTGATAATATAATTTTTGAAATAAATAATAATAAAGTATATATAGACTGATTTGATGAATATTCGAAAATGAAACATTCGAATACGAATATCGATAGTTGCAACAAAAAAATCGATTCTGTAATCGAAAGAGTTTTGAATCTTTTCAGGTTTGATTTAGTATGATTTGATGATAATAATTTTTTTTCGTTGATTTGAGATTGCAATCGATTTATGGATTATTGCAAATTGTTAAATCAAATTATTTTTTTTTACTGACATTTCATCATGTTTATTATTATCGATAGTGTCGTTCATCATACGTCTGTGTGTGTGTGTGTGTGTGTGTTTTCATGATAAGCACTCATCATTCGATTACCATTGTGATCGATTAGAATTTTAGGTTTTTCAATTTTTTTTTTGGATATAAAAACGTTTGGAAAATCATGAAAAAACAACGTATTAGTTTGGAAAATTTTTCCACTACTAAAAAGCCGTAAGTTATTTTCTCAATTGTTTTTCAAACATTTTCATTTAAATATTGTCTTTTAACAATGAAAAGTGATGATCAAGACGATGGAAGTTCATCATCGGCTTCAAATTCAGCAACGACAACCACAGCCGGAATCAATCCAAATACAAACACAGCATATTCACCGCGATATTATGAATTATTTCGTAAACGAATACAGCTACCTGTATGGGAATATCAAAGTAAATTCATCGATCAACTTGACAATAATCAGATAATCGTTTTAGTTGGTGAAACCGGCTCTGGAAAAACAACACAAATACCACAATGGTGTGTAGATTATTGCCGTAAACGAAAGATAAAAATTGGTGTATCCTGTACACAACCACGACGAGTAGCAGCAATGTCTGTCGCTCAACGTGTTGCTGAAGAAATGGACGTACAACTTGGTCAAGAAGTTGGTTTTTCCATTCGTTTTGAAGATTGTTGTTCCCCACGTACCATATTGAAATATTGTACCGATGGTATGTTATTACGGGAAGCTATGTCCGATCCATTATTAGAAGCATACAGTATTATATTGTTGGATGAAGCACATGAACGCACATTATCCACCGATATATTGATGGGTGTATTGAAACAAGTCGTAACGAAACGTAATGATTTGAAAATCATTGTTATGAGCGCTACGTTAGATGCTGGAAAATTTCAACAATATTTTGATAATGCACCATTGATGAATGTACCTGGGCGTACACATCCTGTGGAAATATTCTACACACCAGAACCAGAACGTGATTACTTGGAAGCCGCTATTCGAACCGTTATACAAATTCATGTATGTGAAGAAGAAGGTGATTGTCTTGTTTTTCTTACCGGCCAAGAAGAAATTGAAGAAGCATGTAAACGTATTAAACGTGAAATTGATAATCTTGGACCAGATGTTGGACCATTGAAAAGTATACCATTATATTCAACATTACCACCTAATCTTCAACAACGAATATTCGAACCGGCACCACCGAATAAACCAAACGGTGCCATTGGACGTAAAGTAGTTGTATCGACAAATATTGCCGAAACATCATTAACTATCGATGGTGTTGTCTATGTTATTGATCCAGGATTTTCTAAACAAAAAGTTTATAATCCAAGAATTCGTGTTGAATCATTATTGGTGTCACCGATATCACGAGCATCGGCACAACAACGTGCTGGTCGTGCTGGCCGTACAAAACCAGGTAAATGTTTTCGGCTCTATACAGAAAAAGCATTCAAAAATGATATGCAAGAGCAAACATATCCAGAAATTCTTCGTTCCAATCTTGGTACGGTTGTTTTGCAACTAAAAAAACTTGGCATTCATGATCTTGTACATTTTGATTTTATGGACCCACCTGCGCCTGAAACATTGATGCGTGCCCTGGAATTATTAAATTATATCGGCGCCCTTGATGATGAAGGTGAAATGACCGATATCGGCGCTATTATGGCTGAATTTCCATTGGATCCACAGCTATCGAAAATGTTGATTTCATCATGCGATTATAATTGTTCCAATGAAATATTATCAATTGCATCAATGTTATCGGTACCACAATGTTTTGTTCGACCAAATGAACATAAAAAAGCTGCAGATGATGCAAAATTACGTTTTGCACATATCGATGGTGATCATCTTACCCTGTTGAATGTTTATCATGCATTCAAACAAAATCATGAGGATCCAAATTGGTGTTATGAAAATTTTATTAATTATCGTTCATTAAAACAGGCGGATAATGTACGACAACAATTGGCAAGAATAATGGATCGTTTTAATTTGAAACGTATTTCAACTGAATTTACATCCAAAGATTATTATCTAAATATTCGTAAAGCTCTAGTTTCCGGATATTTTATGCAGATTGCACATCTAGAACGTAATGGAGCATATCTAACGATAAAAGATAATCAAATTGTCTATCTACATCCATCATCGGTATTGGATCATAAACCAGATTGGGTTCTATATAATGAATTTGTATTGACAGCTAAAAATTATATACGAACCGTTACGGAAATTAAACCTGAATGGCTTCTACGTATTGCACCTGTCTATTATAATTTGGATTATTTTCCACAATGTGAAGCTAAACGACAATTGGAATTTGTTAAAAATAAAATGATTGCTCAACGTGAAAAACGTGTCTGAAAAACAACGTATTCAACTAATGAAAAAAAAACAAATATAACCAACCAATCAATTAATCAAATTTTCAAATGAAATTAGGAATTTTCTTATTTTATATTCAATTTAGCATTATTTTATATATAATATAAAGATTGAAATGATAATAAAAAAGTGTATATGTAAAAATGTTTTTTTTTTTTTTTTCGAAATTTACAAATTTTCCTGTGATTTAAAGCCAAATAATTTCACCGTACCAGCATCACGTTGATGGCCATCTTTATCATCACAGGCATATGCCAATAAATATCGTTGTGGATGGAATGCAATGGTAAATGTTGGTGATTCTGTTGGTATGGCTTGAATACGTTCCCCAGTATCAACATGACATATATCGATAAACATATCTTCGGATGCTGATGCAAGTAGCATACCATCATAACTAAAACTTAAAGCACGACATGGCCATTCTAATCTTGATACGGTCCTCAGACAGGCAAGATTATTTGAATCCCAAATTGAAACTAAAGCATCCGCTGAACCAACAGCAAAATGTTTGCCAGTTGGATCGAATTCAATACACAGACAAGTAGCCAAATGAGCGGTAAAAACGTGTAATTGTTCCAAATTAGGATAGCTTAAAATATAAACAAAACCTTGTCCTGATGTAAGAAAAAATAGATCATTCTCACGATTCCATGTGATTTCATTCACTTCAAATTTAAATTCTTTTTGTGTTCGAATTTTAGATGATCGTACATCGATAAATGTAACAATATCTTCTTTATTACCGACAGCAATCGTATGGCCATTTGGTGACCAGCTGATATTCAGGTTTTCACCTGGTGTATCTATTGTTGCCACACATTTAGCCATACGTGCATCCCAAAGACGAACAGTTTTATCCAATGAAGCGGTAGCCAAAATTTCATTATTAATTGGATGCCAACATAATTGATCAACTGAATCAGTGTGTCCTGAATCAGATTAATTAATTGATTAGTTATATGCGTGAATAATAATAAATAATTTGATAAAAACCTTTAAGCGTATGATCTTTGGTCAATTTATCATTGGAAAATGAAAACAATGTAACGGTACGATCAAAACTACCGGATGCTAAATGACGACCATCAGCATTCCAATCGACGGAATGAACTTTCGATACATGTGCTTGTACATCTTTTGTACGATTATGTAGATCGAAATATTTTTTTAATGAATCAAAATTCGCTACAATTGATGATGACGATGATAATGCCATGGTGAACCGTCTGCAGGCTGATTCACATGTGATGTGATTATTATAGCTGTCAACAATCGATTGTATCGATGCGCGAAAAAATTTAATTCGAAAAAATACAATAAAATTCATCATTGCCTTTATTGACCGACAAAGACAACGAATCAGCAAAATTTCAATGTTTGAAGGATTAAAATCAAAACATTTTTTTTGTCAAGAAAAAAATTTTCAATACTTTTCAGAAATTGATTGATTGATTGGTTGATCAATCGAATCAATCATTCATTCATTTGCTTGCTATCGAAATATTTGATTGAATCGAACGTATTTTCTTTTCGGTCATTCTGATCATCAACCAATTAATCAAGAAGAAAAAAAATGTCCACAATTGTTTCGAATTTTGTCAACTATGTAAGTTAATTGAATTTATGAAAATTTATTTTTTTTGATTCTTTTTTTTCGCACACCCACAACAGTATAATGATCTGATATATTTGGTATATGAAAAACATCGACAACGTAAAGAAGATTATCAAACAAAATTACAAATACGTCAACAATTCTATGATATTATTGTCGATAGTAAATTAGATGTTTCATTCGATCTATATATGGTTGGTTCAACACAAACACAATTTTCATTACGATCAAGTGATATGGATCTTTGTATGCTTGTCTATGATAATAATGGACAAATTGATCACAGATATCGTCATGATAAAGCCACAACAATTGCATTATTGAAATCAATTAAAGATATTATATCGGAAAAATTATTGCTCAAAAATGAAATCAATTTACTGATGAATGCAAAAGTGCCAATATTGAAAATTGAAACTGAACAAAATCGTATTGCTGTCGATCTAAATATTAATGGTGATATATCGATACGCAATACATTTCTGTTGACATATTATCAGTAAGTGAAAATGTTTGATTGACTAGAATAAAAATTGTCATCTTTTTTACTAAATTTAACCATTTTCCATGCATAACAGAGAATTAGATTATCGTGTTGCGCCATTAGTTGTGGCAATAAAATCGTGGGCACGTAAAAATCGTATCGATTCACCATTCTATGGAATGTTATCTAGTTATAGTCTTAGTTTAATGGCCATACATTTTCTACAGAACATTCAACCACCAATTTTGCCATTGATGCGTGCAGAATTATCTGATCAGATACGTTTCGATCGTATTGTCAACACTGGTCATCTATTGGAACATTTGAATACATTTATAATGGAAACAAAGAAAAAATTTCATAGCCACAATAATCAATGGCCATTAGGTGAATTATTCTATCGTTTTATTGAATATTATCATCACCGTTTTAGTTTTAATCATTATAATCATTTTTCTATACGTGAATTATTTTCAAATCGATTATCATCAAATAATTCATCATTCATTATGGTTGAAGATCCATTCCATTATCATAATACGGCAAGTTCGGTCACAATATCATCATATATAACAATAATGGAAGCATTTCGTCGTACATATCAATTATTGAATGCTTTCACATTATCTGATCAATTTTTTGATTTATAAAAATTGAAAAAGTCGTTTGTGAATGGCAAAAAAATTGCAGCCATACTGTAATCTGTGTGTTTGCTGCTAAATTAATAATTGAAAAATATGGTGTTATCCAATTATAATTTTATTAAATAAATGATTAAAAACTTTTGGACAACAAATGATGATTTTGTGTGTTCTTTTTTTTGAAAAATAAACCTATATATAAGATAACGAAACAAAATTCACAGGTACAGCAATCAGATGTGTTTGTCTTTAGATATAATCACGTGATTTATAACGACGATAATAACGATGACAAATTTTATTGAATGCACTACGAAATTGCCGGTTAGCTAAACCATAAATGATTGGATTGAATGCAGACGATAATAATGACATTAGATTTAGACAATATTCCCATTCAAACCAGAATGATTTTTGATCCGGTTGTGGTTGATGATTTGTATGATTCAATATTCTTTCGATGATTATCATCAATGGATAAGGCAATGTGAATGCAACAAATGATACGATAACAAAAAACGAACGTTTTGCTGTTTCGGCTTCAATTTTTCTTCGGCCAAGTGAACGATTTCTTGAATCTAGAACACATACCTCGCCATATATGGACGGCAGTTCCGATACATTTGATATGTCTGTACCGTTACTATATTTTGTGTATGAAATGAAAATAAAAATGCAATTCGTGTGTATATTAAATTGTGAAAATAAAAACTTACCCAAATGTTGTAACACCAACATATTTACGGCATGTAGTATTAACATTTTTACAATGTTTACGTACTAGCCAAACGATACGTGCATAAAAATATGCAACAAATAGAAAACAAACAAAACCAAATGGTAACATTATGAATAGTATGCCAAGATGACCAGTACCACGTATCGATTGGGTACAGAATGCATAATCAATTGTATCCAATGTGAATTGTAATTCTAATGCCGGTATCAATATGGCTGATAACCATATATTGATGACTAAAAAATGTGTAATTTTTCGTACTTTTTCCTTATCGAATGGATTCGATACCGTATGATAACGTTCATAGCCAACCGATGCGAATGACAATAATTGACCAGATATTGTAAGATGATGTATGAATAATTGGCTAGATATAACATAATAATTAAAAGTAATGAATGAAAAACAAAAATTAATGAATTTCTTCAACAAATTATGTAGACATAAGAAATTAAAAAAAACAGGAAGGAAATTTTCAAAAAAAAAAATATTGATGGCATGACATTGTCAATAACAACAACAACAATTTTTGTTTAGTTCCTGATATTTGATGTGTGTTTATTGTTGTTATTTTTTTCACTGTTACTAATTATAATTATCATCATCATCATTTAAGTGTGATGGAAAGAGTGAACGAAAAAAATTTTTATGATATCGCCGAATAGCGTAAATAAAAAATATAATTATATGATGACAAGACCTAAAGAAAAAAAGTGAGAAAGAGAGAGAATCGACAATGACGTCAATTCAGATCAAATAAATCGAATCGAATAGAATCGAATGATTATTATTATTATTATTGAAAATGATGATGGCCAATTTTTTTTAAATAGGAAAAAAACATTCGAGTGATTATGATGATGATGATGATGATGGGAACGATACATACAAATTACATATGATACGATCGAATCGTACATGATTGTAGTTAAATTGTAAGATGACCCATATGAGTGGTAGATCTAATAACGATGCAATCAAATCTAATAAACATAGATTCACGATCAACATGTTTACGGCTTTCATTCGTAATGTAGGTGTTTTCAATACAACCCATATGACAAGAATATTACTCGGTGTTGCCAATATTGTTACAATTGTTAATATGATTGTCGATGACATGAATGTTGATGGTGACATTGATTGTAATGCATGTGGATGTGGATAATTATGATAATGATGATTATGATGATCATTGTAATTGATCATTGTTACATGATTATTATTAGCATTATCAAATCGAATCATTGTGTCTGGTTCATTTTCAGCCGATTGTTGTGGTTGTTGTGACTGTGGCTGTTGAAATAGCAATAGATTTTGATTTAAATTCGATACATTCATCATCATCATTGCTGTTATTATCATTTTCTATGATAAACAATCAATTTTTATTGAAATTGGCAAAAATTTCACAGATTATTTATTGGAATGTTGGTGTGGCCAGATTAATTTTTTTTTGTTCTCGTTCTCATGTGCTGGAATGAATTATTGATTGATTTGAACCAACAAACAAAAAGGTAGAGAATCATGAATGATGAAGAAGAAAAAAAAAATAGACCACCATCACACAAACCAGAACACACAATCTTTAATATTCATGGCCAAATCAATTTATCGATGATGATGATGAATTTTGGCATCGGATCAAATCAAAAATTCAGAAAAAAAAATTTCGTCTAAAATTTTCAATACACAAATTGATTCAATTTGAATTGAATAATATTCGACCGGCCGTATATAGTGTGAATATAGACTTGAATCAAACAAATGCCGTTGAAGAAATGAATGGAAAAAAACGAAAATGTTTTTTTTAACAAAACTTTTATCGTTATTTTGTGCGGTCACATCAATTCGAATGAATGTGAATGATGTGTATTTTTTTTTCTTGCTGTTGTTGAACACACGAATATTATTATGCACATGCGCGAATCGAATTCATTTGAATGTTCAAAATGAAAAAAAAACATTTTTTTCTCTCTCGTTTAATCCAAATTGTACTTTTTATTTCATTTGTTTTTCATCATTCCTATTGGATTTAATAATCCATGGAATGAGATTTGAACGAAAACGAAAACTGTGTGTGTGTGTGTGTGTGCAAAAAAAAATCGATTACGATTATGAATTTGATCGTCATCGATTAGTGGGATTGAAATTCAACACCGATGATTGAATGAGAGAGTGAATAAAATTTCAATCTATGAAGAGAAATGAAAATGCATTACAGTCAAGCCAACATTGAAGCGAAAAAAAAACCTGGACAACAAAATTGTTTTGCTACCATGGCCCAATAATTTTTTTCTATTGAAATCATGGATCAACACAATAACAACAACAACAACAACAACAACAACAACGACGACGACCGATGACCACACAAATAACTAAAAAAAAACTGTTGGATATTTTCGCTCTCTCTATGTGTGTGTTTTTTTGTTCATTTTTGATCCAGATAGAGAAAGATGGATCAAGATCCAAGAGAGAAAAAATCTAGATAACCAAAATCCGTTTTTGTTATTGTTGTTGTTGTTGTTGTTTTGGTTTTGGTTTACCATATAAATTATCCCTATTTGTTTTTGTTTTGATTTCCTGTATTTTTATTTTGTTCATTCTCGTCATCATCATCATCATCATCGTGTGTACGTTTTTATCCGAAAAAAAATTCAATCAAATTCATCAAATGATTTTAGCCATTTGGTTTATTTTGTTTTGTTCTTTTTTTTTGTGCACAAATCAATTACAGTGATGAAAATTACATCACATCGTACACACACACACATACAGAGAATTCAACTGTTTGAATAATTAAGCCCGCTGTTGATATATGTGTGGCTAAAGCATGAACAATTTTGTGATTAAAAAGAAAACAAAAAGATTTTCATTTTGAAAACCTGGAAAATTCTGGCTTTTAAATCGCCTGAAAACAACAACAACAGCAGCAGCAGCAAAAATAACGGCGAAAACAACAAACAAACAAACAAACAATAACGACGAAATGTGGCAAAAACAAAAACAAGAAAAACATGTCATAAAAAGAGAAAACAAAAATTAAAATTCCAAGAAATTTGTGAAATAATCTAAATATAGTCTTTTTCAACAACAACAACAACAACAATCAAGTTTTTCTTTTCACTTTCAATGATCGTCGTAGTCATTTTAACAAGATGAAAAAAAGAAAGAAATAACATTGATGACAGCGTATTATAGCATCCAGAAAAATGAAAATTGATTAGGATTGATTTCAAGAAGATTGTTAACAATAGAAAAAAGACGAGAGAGAAAGATCAAACTCATCGAAACAAAAACAGTCTCTTTTTTTGTTGTGTGTGCGTGTGTGTGTTTTTTTTCACTAATAATTTTCATTGATTCTCAAGTTTATTTTTAGCCGGTAAATTTTTTTTTTCAGCTTGATCGTCATTGATCAATCATCAATCGATTGATTTAATGTTTTACATAAACACATTCTCTTTCTATTTTTAATTTTATATCCTTTATATATATGGATTATCCATTTCATCAGTCTAGTCATTGTTATGATTCATGAAACATTCAAGAAACATCACACGTGTCTTATCTTCATTCATTCTTTTTTTTGCATACTCTACATGTGGTTTAGAGGCACCATTTTCTAATGAAGAAATCCGAAAATTTGTCCAAGTGCAAATGGTTTTTTCTTATTATTTTTAGTTCAAATCATTTCTGTTTCTGTGTTAAATCAATGACTTGCTAACTGAATGTGTTAGTAGACCGTTGATTACATGATTTACATTCAGATTCAGATCATTTTTTATGATTTTTGTCCTCATCATTTTAATCTCATTATTCTGAACGATTACAATTACAAATGCACGAGTGAGAAAGGAGATGTAGGAGGATTTTTTTTTTGTTTACTTTTTTTTTCTTTTTTGGTCATTATATATTTTTATTATTTCAATTCAATTAAACATATAATACGAATTACAGAATAATAATAATAATACCCACTTACAATTATTAATTTTTATCCAAATAATATACGTGTGTGTGTGTGTGTGTGTGTTGGTTGATTTTTTTCAATTGATAATAATGATAATAAAGAATATTAAGAATCAAAAGTAGATCAATGACGACGAATATTTATCGTATTTAAAATTGTATCGATGATTGATTGGTTTGTTAAATAATGAAAATTATTCATGGAAGACTTGTTTATCGATGATGGTTTTTTTGTTTTGTTTTTTGTTTGTTGATAATTAAAATTTGAACATTGTAAAATTATGAATTGTGTGGCCGTTACACACACACACACTCATACACACGTATTTAAAATAGGAATTAAAAAGTTCTTGATCAGTGGAAGACTTGGGCCAAAGCGAAACAATAAGTAATAAATAAATCAAAACAATGACTACAATGGCTTCATCATTAATAAGAGATCTGAATCATGTGTGTGTGTGTGTGTGTGTGCATCATCATTTTTTATTTATTTCAGGTAAAATTTGATATGTTTCAATTATCAACTATGTATGTGTGTGTGTGTGTGAGTACTATATAAACAATATATTTATCATCAATATTTGTGATTTAAAAATTAACAAATTATTCGAGCAAAATAGAGAGAAAAAGAGAAATTGAGCTACACATTTGGTAAAAAAAAATTTCCATTTTTTTTACCAAATGACGAAATATGATAATGAATATAGGAGATTGATGGCTGCTATTTTCTAATTCAATTTAATTTAATTTTTTTTTCAAAGGTTTCTTCGGGTAAGGCCAAATATTATTATTATTGTAAAATTATTTTCATTGTTGTTGTTGTTGTCGATCATCTAGCTAGAACAATAATTGAAGGCTAAATTTTATTTTGGCTGTTAAAATCAAAGGTTTCTGTGTGTGTGTGTGTCTGGTTATTATTACAACATAATCGTCGTCTTGAATTGATATTTTTTTTTGTTTTCATATCATTATTATTGTGGCTGCTGTCTACGTTCATCAACAGACAAAAGAAAAATGTCAACAAAAAAAAACAAACAACAAAATGAAATCCGTAGAAATGTTTATGATGATGATGATGATTTTAAATATGAGCTATTTACAAAGTCTTGTGATTGTTGTTGTTTCGTTTGTTTATTCTGATTGTTTTTATCATCAATATATATAATTATCATGTGTAACTAGCAAAAAAAATGAAACGTGTCAAAGGCAATCGAGTGCAGTAAGAATAATAAATGATAAATGATTATATATCGTTATTACCGGTATATGGTGTGATCATTATTACATAACTTGAATTTCAATTATCAACATTCATGATCATAATGATGACGATGGTGACTATAGTAAACAAATGTGGATGATTTAATAATATAGAATAGTGATAGAGATGTGTTTATTTGGCTTGTAATAAGTCCAAATTGAATGATTAGATTGTTGATCAGTAGTATATCGAGGAGGAGTCGAATCAATTGGTAGGTGTGTGTGTAATATAAATACAAATTATTCATCTTTCTCCCTTTTCTCTTTATAATAGATGATGACATTAGTGATGATGATCCCAACATACAAACACGAATTGGGTTTATATTATATCGAGATGGAGATAATGATGATCATGATGATGATGATGAGAAAAGAAAATCAAAGCTAATTCTTTCAATGTAGATATTTTTTTGATGATCGATGATGATGTTGATAATGATCATATTGATAATGGGCGTATGTATTTTGTGAATAAAACAAAAAAAGGAGGTTATCAATAGTAATTTTTTTTTTGGTTTGTTTGTCTGTTTGTGTTTGATTGAGGAATGTATATATTATTATTACAAATAAAACATTACACTCAAACATAAATGTTGAGGGTTATATTTATAACACAACTTGTGGATAAATAATAAACAACAACGGAATATTGTTTTTTTCTGGTATGATTTTTTTAACAAAAAAAAATTTCGTTTTTTTTAGAAACAACCAAATCAAGAATAATTAGTCCTTATTATTCTTCGTTATTGTGATTGATTGATGCATATGTGTGTGTGTGTGTGTTTGATGAATGAATTCTAAACCTGTGTAACCGATGTATCAATATCGTCTTGTGATCGACGACGTATTTCATCTTCAATTTCTGGTATATCTGGCCGAAACAATGCTTTCATACGCTATTTGATTATTTAATGAATAAAAGTTAGAAATCGAATTGAATTAAATTATCAATTTTTCAACGTACCTCGCTAAATGTACCGGGTGTAACAATGTATAGATATATGGCATATCCAGGTATACAAACCATTGATGATAATGCAAGAAACCATCCAATGGCCTGTCCCCACCATGGATATTCATAATTCATATATTTTAAAGGCTTGTATTGATATAGACTGAAACAGAATACGAGCTAAAATTATATATAAAAAAAGATGAATTAAACGAAAAAAATAACAATAACAACACTGTGAAAAACATACAAAGCAAACGGATGGTGTGAAAAAGAACCAACATAATTTCCACCATATTGGCAATGGAAATTTAAGCATTTGACTTAGATTTCCATAATAACGATTTACGCCTATACAAAAAAAAAAATAATTACAATTAGATGTTATTGTAAGCTTAAATTTTTCGGGTCACAAGATCCATTATTCCAGGACAAAAAATAGAAATAGAAATAGAAAACAACAACAACATACCATATGACCATGAGATGGCAACTACCTCAAAAAATATGAGAAATAATAATGCAAAACCAGATGCAGCATAATAATCAAATAGTTGAAACCAATACATTCCACCTTTGACAACGAATATGATACCAATGAAATATGATACTAGACATACAAACATGATAAACATTTCTTTATGTGGACGTAATATGTGTGCCCATTCATCAATGATGGCCGTAAAAAATCCTTCCATTGTACAGAACTAATCAAATGAAAATTATTTCCATTAATGAAATAAGAACCATACAAAAAAAATGAAAAAATTACTTGACTATCAAGACCCAACATAACAATCATCATGAAGAATAACATTGACCATAATGGTGAAAATGGTAATTTTAATGTAGCCGATGGATAAGCTAAAAATACTAGACCAGAACCTGTAATATGAAAACGAATGAAAATTTTGAAAGAATGAAAGAAAGAAATATAATTTTACCAGAAGTAGCTACATCTTCCACTGGTTTATTCTGTGCTTTAGCCATAAATCCAATAATACTAAATACAACAAAACCGGCAAACATTGATGTACCACTATTGACGCATGATATGATAAGAGCATCTCTATATAAAAATTGAATTCATTAGAAAAAAGCGAAAAAAAAATTAACCAGAAAATCTTACCTATGAACATTATTATGATAACGATTATAGCTACCCAATGCAATCCAAGCACCTAAACCAAGACCATATGAAAAGAATATCTGTGTAGCGGCATCATTCCATACACCTGCATCGGTCAATTTCGATAGATTTGGTGTTAAATAATAACGTATGCCTTCCCATGCTCCATCAAGCGTTATGCCACGTAATAATAATATAAATAGGCATACATACGGAAACACTGATGTAAAATACACAAGCTATATTATGATGAAATTTTTTTTTGTTGGAATTTTCACCACAGAAAAAAAATTTTGAAACGAAAAAAAAACCCAGACACATTAAAATTCAATTCGTCAATATTGTTATATACAATGTAAAGTGAAACACATGGTTAACACCACTACATACTTTTCCGGTCCATTTTACACCTTTAAAAATGGCAAAATAACAAGCAGCCCATGTGATGAACAATGTTAGCGCTAATGGCCATCGTATCTCACCAAAATCATCCATACCAGTGGTTATTTGTAGTACATTATTTCTACATTTTTTTTGTACCAAATGGTTTGGTTTCAATTTTAGGTTGTGGTGGTGGTTAAAAGGTTTGGGCAATTGGACAAAACATTAAAACGACATTAATCAACTCTAGCTTGATTGAGAAAGAAAGTAAATTTTACGCTCTACTGTTTTTTTTTTTTTGAAAAATTGATTCATAATTTTTTCACAAAAAAAAAAAAAAAAAAATTATTCACACCATACTTACTCCCAATATTCTTTCACTGGACTAGTGAATAATGAAGTGTTCATTTTGCATGTAAAATCTTGTGGACCACGTTCAATATAACAACGACGTTCTTCATCAGCAAGATCATATTCTGAACGACAACGTTCAGTATTCCACCAATTATTACAACCTTTCCATGGTACATCAACATCTATTGCTTGTGAAAAATAATATAATGCCCATGCAAGTACAACAATATAATAGACATTCAGCCAGAATGCCATTACAGCGGCTGCATAACCAACACCTATAGTAGAAACAATAAAATGACAAAATAGTTCACTTTGAAATTTCATTTTCATTATTCACCTTTAAACACAGGACAAATACGCCAAACACCCAAACCACCGATACCAAGCCATTGGCCAAGTGATGCTTCCAGAAAAAATGCCGGCACACCGGCAAATATTAGACAGCATAGATATGGTACTAGAAATGCGCCTAAATATGGAAAAAAAAATTTTTTAGTGAAAAAAAATTCAAAAAAAGATCTGTCATAAATAAATAGAAGAGAAAAATCCAAATCAAGTTTCAAAAAAAAAAAAAAAATTCTTTTTTTCTCAATTCAATTATAAATTTTTTTTTTAAATTATATGCCGGAAATTGAAATTTTTCCTCCGGAACCGTCGAACCGGAAATGAATATAGAGCACAAATTTTACCAGAAAAATTCAATCATCATGATCTGATGCTGATTTATCGATTTTTCAAAAAAAAACGAAAATTTAATTCAAACAATTGACCAGAAAAAGGCCATGGCCATTGAATATTGTTCGTTTTTTGTCCTTGGAAAATTTCAAAATCTTGATCGATTCGAGGGATACGAACAAAAAAAAACAATTTCTATATGAACACGAAAGCCATTATCATTACAGAGAACAAAATACAAAGTATTGGAATTCAATACAAAGAAGTTTATTTTAAAAAAAACAAGAATAATAATTTTTCATTTGAAATTGATGCTAAAACTGCTGTTGATTTTTTTTATAACAATTGATCCAGAAACAGTAGCAGCACAAGAACAACAAAAACAAAAACAACAACAACAACAAATTGACATGCATGAATTAAATGTACAAAAAAAACATTCCAGGTAAGAAGAGGAAAAAGTGTGTGTTGAAAACATTTCCTAAACACAATTTCATTTTGTGTGGATGGAAACTTTTTACCGTTGTTACGTCGATCGTCGCAAACTTTTTTCTATACATGAGCGGGCATTCAACTGCGATGCAAAAACAGGCAAAACAGCAAAAAAAAAATTCTATGAATGTGAAAAAGAATGAGTACGAAATTCTGATTTTAAAAAGTTTGAAAAGAGAAAAAACAAAAAATCCCGGTTTTTCTCTCATCACCAGCCATAATTGAGTGACAAATTTTTTTTTACCATCAATCATGAAAAAAAATGGTCAATCATCATCAATAATCGAGGGATCATCATTAATAAATGAGATGAATTTGATTCAGCGATAGAATTCAATTGAAAAAAAACGATACTAAACGGTATATGTGGAATTGGCTGCAACAACATTTACAAGCATCATCCTTTTTTCACACACACACACACACACACAAGCAATATAATAAAATTTCCATTTCTTTCCATGTTATAAAAGAATTTTGGCCATAACCATCATCATAATCATAAATGTGTGTGTGTGTGTGTGTGTGTGTGCGTGTGTATGTGATTCAGCCTATTCAGCTGTTTCTATGATGATAAGAATTTTTAGAATCGAATCGCAAATCATTTCAATGATGAACGAATCTGGTGATGTGCTAACATAACAAATAACAAATAAACAGGCAAAAGAAGATTCGGCTATTTTTTTCTCTTTCTTTCTCTTCGACAAGCAGTTGACCGATTGATTTTTTTTTTTTTTTTGACAAACTTGAGATTCGCTCTTTGTGTTGTTGGACAACAATCTAGACACACACACTTGATGTGGTTGACCAACAACAAATTGCAAATGAAAATAAATAAAAAAAATTGAATGGAATTTTTTTTCTTGCCCATCAATGAATGAATTTATTATTTCTCTTCATGTATGTGGACAGTTGTCAAGAATGTTAAAAAAATTGAATTTTTTCCTCTTCTTTTTATATAAAAAGAGAAAGCAGAAATGAAAAAAAAATCCTAGAACCTATAATCTTTTACTACAATTCTTGAAATGAATCAAATCGATCGATTTTTTTTTTGATCGATTTAATCGACCTTTTATATGCATGTTGTATGTATATTATATAAACAACAAGCAAGCTAGTGCTATAGCTAAAACTTTGATTTCATTTCAATGAACTTCATTGCATTTTGCATTCAGAATGTAGAGCTTGAAGCTATATATGTGTTATATAAATGTTTAGAAAAAACATTCTACAATTTCAACTATTATCACACCCTACGGCTGTTATTATTATCATCATCATCATCATTTAAAATCCACTTACCTCCACCATTTTTATAGCATAGATATGGAAAACGCCATACATTTCCTAAACCAATTGCATATCCAATACAAGACATTAAAAAATCCAATTGTCCTGTCCATTGGCCACGTTCAGGTATATTTTTTGTATTGGTCAATTTTACTTCGGTTGCAACACCACCGCCACCACCACCAGCTGTGCCGGATGTTAATGAATGTTGACCAGAAGCATTTGTACGACCGCCACCAATACCGCTTGTTGTTGCATTATTCGATTGATGTATACCCATACCACCCGTATTACCATCAAAACTATTCATTTCAACTTTATTTCCAGCCATGTTTTTTTTTTGATGAAAAAAATTTTGAATTTGGGCACTAATAATATTTCGATACAATATAATATCTAATATGTTCATCAAAAGAAAGGGAAAAATGAATTTTTTTTTATTTGAAAAAAATATGTAAAATTTAAAAATATCGTTACTCAATACATTCAACAACAAACACACATATCTAATTACAATCAAAATTTGATGCGACCTAACATATAAAAACATTTTTCTATCATCAAAAAAAAAGAAATCTGAGACACAAAAATATTTAATCATAGATTATCTTACATAGACAACAACAACAACAAAAACATGAAGAATTACTTGCCTTTTTTGTGTGGGTTTTTGTATGTCTAGTAAAAATAAGAATAAAAATTATTTTGTAATAACAAATAATGAGATGATGATGATGATGATGATGGCCACACAATGGTTAATAATTTTCATAAAAATAGGTTGATGATGATGATGACCGGAATTCAGTAACACTAGATGTTTTTATCAAAATTGCTATAATTCACTATATATTGAATGACCTTTTTCTTTATTTTAATTACTTTTATTTCAGTTTAATCTTTTCGTTTGATGTTGTTGACTTATTATATGAGATATTGCCGTTGCCGTTGTCGTTCATTTCATTTGATGGTCGAATTTTTTTTTCTTGATTGATATTCCCGTATTGTTTCCGACGGTATGTTGCACTTGTTTTATCAAAAAAAAATTGCCAAAGTCGAAAGCAATTATTTAATGTCTATTTGTGCATGTATGTGTGCTTGAGTATTTTGTTTTTGAATTGCAAGTTTTTTCTCTTGAACTTTTTTTTTGCATTAATTCAAGCAACATTAGATTACACATTTATACTGTCACACACACAAGCATACACAAACATACAATTCAAAATAGTCAATCTTCAAATGACAAAAAAGACGAAATCATAAAATTGAAAATAATCAATTTATATATTTGATTCATCGGCCAATTGGATGAAAATTGATTGATAAATGATGTAGGTGATTTAGAGAAAAATCCAACCAAAATTCATCGCACACACACACGAACACAAAACGATGTTTATGATGATGATGATGATACGAATTAATTTTGATAATCGGTGACAAAAAAAAAATTGAAGAAAGAAAATGAGAAAAATTCAATTTCGATTCAATCAGTCGATGATTTGATTTAATTTTACTTAACGGGGTCGAAAATGGGATTGTTTTTTTCATCAGGCCATATACACAATAATAATAGGAATTTAAGAATAAAGAGAATTCTGAGTATTACAAATATAAATAATCAATTATTCTTGTTATTATTATTCCATCAGAATAATAAAGAAAAAGAATCAAATTGATCGGACAAACACACAAACATACAAAATGAAATGAAGCTAATTTATTATTAACAGCGATGATGATGATGATGAAGATGATGATGGTTACAATAATTGGTAACAATAAAAATCGATGGACACAAATTGGAAGCAAATGGAAAATGATGAAAATGTGGAAGACAAAGGAGAATTTCAAAAACAATAATGATGACGTGGAAGGATTGGTCACAGTTATAGTTTCGAAAAAAAATTTTCAATTCTGAACTTTGAATTCGGAAGACTCTTGATTGATTGTGTGTTAAGGGTATCGATATTGATATGTTGTATGAATGGACAAAATGTAGAATTTTTTTTCTAGAAAAAAAAGAATAAATTGAAAATGATGAATGGAAGAATTGTTGTGAATCACAATAATAATAATGTTGTAGTAGGTGGATTGATTGATCGATCAAGAATTATGGAAGCACTGATTTTCAACATTGAACAAGCGAAAAAAAATTGGATGAGAATGATTCAGGTGTTGTATTGTTGAATTGTAGAATTATTTTGGAAGACTTGGTTACAACAAAAAGATTTCAAGATCAGAAGTTTAACACATTTTTTTTCATTTGCTTTCAAGTCCTTACAGAACACAATATTGATGATGGATGATGAACGAGAAAAAAAAACAAACAAACAAACAATAACAAGACCTAGAAATTTGTGTTTGTTATATGACACACAAGAATCAAAAACAAAAAATGATGTAAAATTAAAAAATTTTTGAAAAAAACGGTAACTAACCTGTCTAACCAGTACAGATTTCTATTTTGTGTCGTTTATCCATCATGATCATTTAGAAGAAGAAGAAGAAGAAAAAAAAGATGAAAAGCTTTTTGAAACACAGAATTTTTTTTTGTTCGAATCAATAAATGAATGTGATGATATATGCAAGGACGAAAATGAATTCAAGAATACACAGCAGATATGCACCAGGAACCAGAACTAGAACGAGAGAAAAAAAATTATGAAAAATTAATTAATTAACAGGAGAATTGAATCTTGATTCGTTTTTCTTTCTCTCTCTCTCTCCCTTGGTTTTCGGTTCCGTGTTTTCAGTATCATTTAAATGTGTGTTTTTTTTCACATACAAACAAACACAAATACAAGACATAGTTCGTTCTGTTACATATCTAAGTGATGTGTTTGTGTACCATGTATTCTTGTCCTGGAATCCGTTATAACATATACTGTATACAGATCTGAATACATACAGTGTGGATATGTTAAATCCAAATGGATACCACTATTTTTTTCCCATTTCTTGACTTGAATGAATTGGTTGATGGCAATATAACGGCAATAGATAGCTAGATGGTTTCTTCTTCTTCTTCTTTTGACTTGGTGAGTGTGTGTATGTGTTCTTGATGTTCTTCCTTCATTCCATTCGATTTTGAGACTTGCTCGAAATAATAAAAAAAAACGGAAGCTCAAGCATCATCATCATCATCATCAGAATATCATATAAATGATGCGGCCCCAAAATGAAATTTTCAACACTATTCGTATTTGATATATAAGTGTAATGGTTTGAAATATCGTTTGGGTAGTGGCATGATGCATTCCATCACATTCAGAATTTAGGGCCAGTGTACATGAATCATGCATTATTTGATGATGATGGGGAACAGCAACAACAAATCCGGTGGACTAATTTTTTCTCTCTTTGTGTGTGTTTGTTATTGTTTCTCTTGTAAACTTTGCATCATTTGTTTGTAGACAATTTGTTCACACCGAACACACAAGAGAATCCAAGAAACATGTAGTGAATCGTGAAACTATCGAGTAAGCTTTTAGCGCATCCAACATTATTCTTCTTGTTCTATATACACATCGAGACAATTTAGCTTATAATAGAATCATTGGATTCTCTAAACTAGAGAGAATATGAAGAGAAAAAATTCCATATCAGTATGTCAAAATGAAAAGCTAAAATCAAAATCGAAGGTCGGACTACATACATACATACCATCATCATCATATATTTCTTTGGGATGATGGTTCCAAATACTGCTGCTGTAGTTTTTCATTCGAGATGGCGAAAGCAAGAAATGTATCAAACAATAACCGTAAATTTCTTCTTGTGTTCAAGTTGATTCGATCCGGGATATTACTATCCATACAGTCCTGCGCAGCAGATATATAACAATAATAATACTTCAATTGTATTGAGTCCCTGATAATAACAAGGAGAGAATGTACAAGAAGCTTTTTCTTCTATTTCGGATTCGGTGATGTGATATGATGTTTTTTTTCGTTCTTATTATTCTTCGGTTTGATTCCTGTATTTGACTTTGAATCGAATGAATTTTTGGCTGCTTAACTTTACTTGAATTGATGGGTAGTATTATTATTGTATTCGACTAGGCCAGCGTTTCCAATGGCACACCCCACACAATCCACCCATCCAACACAAAATGACAATCAATGTATATACATCAAAATCGTATATTCTTTGAGAAGAGGGGGTAATATATAATTCTTTTTTTCCTCATCATCATCATCATCATCTTTACAAACATTTGGGCTGAACCTAATTGAATAGTAAAGAGAAAAGAAAGAGAATCAAAAGATTCGAAAATAGAAAAAAAATGATTCATTCAGATACATACATAGATGTAGGCTTTTTTTGTTGGTTTCTGGATACTCACATGCTCATCATTATCATCAGAACATCCGACGGAAGAAAAAACATACTAAAAAACAGAAAATCTAAGAAAATAAATAAAAAAACAAAACAAAAGAAATTTATCAGAAAAAAAGATAAAAATTTTTCGATGTTGTTGTTGGAGAGCAGAACATATTACATACATTCGAATTCGAACATTCGATATAGAAAACAAAAAACAAAAACAAACAAACAAAAAACATTCGATTCTATAATGACATAAATTGCCGTTACCGATTCGCGTACCACCGATATTGGCCAGAATTGTTTATTTATTTTTTGTTTTCTTTTGGTCCATTTTCGATCCAAGAAAGAAAATAATAATAAATTATTATCATTTTGTTTGAAGGAGGAAGCAGCAAGCTGCTGTTTCGACAATAACAAACGAAGACAAATAAAATTTTCCTGGCTTTACAAACACACACACACACACACACACATGATGATGATGAGATTCAAATATCGATGATGTTTATTTTTATTTTTCTTTTGGCTGGTCAGAAGTTTGGCTTCTCGATGTCATGGAAACTATTAATTTCAGTATGTTTTTATGTAGTTTATTGGCTTTTTTTGTTTGTTTGTCTTGTTACACACGAAATTTACTTTTGGTTTTTTTCATTCATTCGTTCATCAATTGATGATGATGATTTTTTTTCGGTCAAATTTAGGTGTATATAGCCGCAATCTATTCGTCAAGTTTTTTTTTCATTTGTATTTTAACACTTTTACTTCCATTGAAAATTTTTTTTCTTCTTTCTTAAAACTTTTTTATTTTTATAATGCTCAATATTATTTGGGGAGAAGAAAAAACCTCAGGGCAGCAGATTCCATTCAGAATTTTGTTTGTCAGAAAAAAAAAAAAAATAGAAGAAAAGAAATGATGGCAGAATTCTGTTTTTGAAACGAAATTTCAATTTTTTTTTCGCTTGTTCATTATTATTGTAAAATGGAAAAATAAAATTGATTTTTGAATCTTTTTTTTATGTTCTTTTCAATCAATTTGAATGAATTTTTTTTTTGAACCCAGAAAAAAAATTGGAAAAAAGAAGATGAGTAGAAGGGAGAGAAGAAGAATATTCTCCAAATTCAAATCCATTGTTGTTGTCGTTGTTTTTGAATGTTTTTCTCACGCCCCTTTTGCACATGTGATTACCATGGTGATGATGATGATGATGATGATGATAGAAAGTGAATGAATGAAAGAGAGAAAGAGACCTTGACCAGAAAGCACAAAGAATAACGACAAACAACCACAATGAGGAAGAAAGTTGGAAAAAATTCTAAATTCTGATGATATGCGCGCATGTGTTTATTCTTTAAAGAGAGAGAGAGAAAGAAAAAAATATTTGATATGGAAAATTAAATTTAACAAAAAAAAACTTGGAAAAACCAGAATGTGGAACTTTACTAGACTACACGTGACGAGGTGTGTGTGTGTGTGTGATGCACGGAAATGAAAAAAAAATTCTGGATTCTCTTTTAGCTGGTTTGACTGGTCGGTCGGATGGTTTGATTGAACATTAAATCCCAAAGAAAAACAATCCTGAAAACAAAAATAACGGCCATTCTTTTTTTTTCGAAGAGAGAAAAAGAAAAAAAAGTTCAACAACAACAACAACAGCTAAACAGAAATTCAATCAACCGGAAGAAATTTCAATGTTCGATGAGAGAATAATTTCCGTTGATGATTTTGTTTTTTTTTCATTTGATCCACCCACTTAACCGTTTTTTTTTTGTTTTCATTGGATCAGAATTTTCAAATTAGCCAAAAAAATTTTTTTTTTTTCACTGCTAATTAATCATCTTGCCTCTCTCATCCACCGACACATATTGAATGATCAATTTTTTCCGCTGTTGTTGTTGTTGTCGATTTTTACATTTTTATTCGTAATTTAATTCTTCAGCTCTTGAACTCTTTTTGAATGTGGTTTTTTTTCCCAACCAGGATCAGTTATCTCTTAATTTATTACCACCATCATCGTCATTGGTCATCGGGTAAAAAAAATTGATTTTGTGAGAATGAATACAAGAAAAGGGCAAAAAAAAAAAATTGATTTTTCTAGCTATAAATCGATGGCCAGAAATTTGATAGTGGCAACACCAAAAAAAAAAAAAAAAACTGTCGCCGGTCAATGGTTTAGGATTTTGAGGACAAAGAGAGAAAAAAAAATCGGTTTAAATTATTGAAAATTATCGATTTTATCAATATCGGTCATCAATGTATCGATATAATGACGATGATGATGATGATGTGTGTGTGGTATTATCGATTTGAATCAAATCGAATGAAATGGATTTCATTGTGTGACCACACAACACACTGGATAAAAATTCAATTGAATTTCGACAAATCTGCTCGGTTTTTTTCCTGATCCATAGTAGCAGTTTATTTATTTTACATTGGTTCTGAATTCAGTGAATGCTTGAAGGGAATAGAAAAAAAAAGAAAAATTATCATCATCATCATAAAAAAAACTGAATTCAATTCAAAACAATCATGGGTCTTGTCTTGGTGGTGATGATTTGTGGCCTAGATTTTTCTTTCATCATCCACAATCCACAACCCAATGAATTTGGAAAAAAAAACACGAAACAGAAAAAAAGAAAACAAAATTTTCATTTCCAAATGATGATGAGCAATCGTTGGAGCAAATTTTTTTTTTCATTTCGGTTTCATTTTCTCTAATATACAGCAAACATTACGTTCGTTGTCATCATAGTTTCAGTCTATATCGATGTAGGATGTTGTCGTCTTTGTTGTTGTTGTTGTTGTTGCCGGATATTATTCAACTGGAACATGTAAAACGAAAGAGAGAGAGGGGGAACGAAAAATGTAATTCTCTCTCTCTCTCACTCACAACAACAACAACAACAACAACTCACTATCACAATCATTGTATCCCATTTTTTTTCTTTTTGCTTGGATATCAGAAGCAGACGAACCAAATGGTGGGAAGGAAAATTCCATTCCAATGATGATTATGATCGACGAGCCATGAATGAATATTATTTGCACACACACATATAAACACCAAACATTCATGAAGCATCGATATGATATATTTTAGCGTTCAGTGGATTTGTGAAATTCGTTTGTTGGAGCGCGTTTATTCATTTAACAATGATGATGAGAAAAAATTCCATGATTTTCATCTATGGGCGTTTGTGTGTGTGTGTGTGTTGTGGCTGTAAATGAGTATTTTTTTTTTTGGCCCGTTTTGAATTCTAGAATCCAGGTCACTAAGCTACCGCCCATATAGTATTTTAAAAAAACCGCCAAGCAAAAAAAAACCGAAATGTTTTTTTTGATGATGGAGATGACTTCCTAGAAGATTTAAAAAAGAAGAAAATTTAAAAAGAAAAAAAATTTCAATGACTAACTTGAATTTTTGAATTTTTTTCTTTGGCGCATGTATGCAAGTTACATCATTCGTTAGTTGTTTGGGTTTCTGAAATTTGCCAACAAAAAAAAGAAGAAATTAGGGCCATCATGATAGACAAAGTTATTGTTGACCAACGACAGTTAATTTCGTCTCAAAGTTTTATGGACCTTGAATTTTTTTTCCTCTTTGGTTCGGCTGCTACAGTATCACACATTAAGATGTAATTAATAATCGATTTGGACAGTCAACAATATATCGATCTTCCGGTTTGTCGATATAATGAGATCAATTTACGAGTTGCGATGATAATTAACATGATAATTGAATGAATGAAAAAAAAAATTATTAAAATTTGAATATCACTTAATTTCGGGAATCAAAAAGTTTTCAGAAAAAAACGAAAAAAAATTACTTCAGTGCATTCCTTTGAATCGAACAAGCAAACACAAAAAAAATTCATTCGAATCTATTTCAACGCAAAGTTCATAAAGCACCGTCGTCTATTGTCACCCAGCTGGTTTCTGTGATGAAAACACAAACAAACATTGGTGAAGTTTTTTATTTGGCCTAAAAAAGTCATTTTCGAAATTGTAAACATTTTGAATTTGTTGTTTACATCATCATTCCTATCATTTGCTCTGTCGTTTGTAGAATCTTTAGTAATAAAAAGGTTTGTTTACAAATTATTTATGATTACAAAATATTTTGATTTTCATTATTTGTAGCCAAAAAATAAAAATAAAAGCTCTGGCAAAAAAAAGATGATTTATTCAACATAACAACAATGATGATGGTGATGATATAATGTAATGACAACTGCCAAATGGATTAATTGTGATTTATGGCCTTTTTGTGGCAAATTTTCCGATTTGTTTATAGTTTGTTTGCCAATCTCGGTGTTTTCCCTGTTCTAATTTAATTTAATTTTTTATACACACACTCACACTATAATTCCATTCATTCATTCGTCATCATCGATTGATTGTTTCATCATCATCAATTGAATTCAAAAAATGAAACACATTTTCCATCAATTTGCTTTCAAATATCTAATGAAAATGAATAATAATAATAACGATAACGATTTCTGGAACGGATTCATCGAAATACTTGTACCACCAATACTATTATGTACAACGATTGGTCTATCAACATTTAGTCGATCAGCAACAATCATATTTCTAATTCTATTATTGCCATTATCATTACTATTATTTGATCGTTTTATTTATTATGGAAGAAAACATCAAACAAATTTTTTCATATCATGGGCAATTTCATCATTTCTCATACTTTTGTAAGTGTTTCATATAAAGAAAATTGAACATTTATATAATCAATTAATTAACATGCAAAATTTCTTTTTTCCAAAAAAATCCAAACATACAATAGATCTGTATTTGAATTTATAGTTGTACCATTTCTTGAGATTACAATATGGGAAAATTATTCGTTATTATCCATGGTTACTATTGCTATTTTGATGCTTATTTATCTACGAAAATGTTCCAAAAATCATCATTCACATGACAATTGTATCGATGAATTGATAATGAACGAGAATAATAACAACCATCATCATCATCATCATCATCATCATGATTATCGTGATCGAAATGATGATAAAATATTGTTTTCAATGAATGATTGGTGTAAATATTGTCATTGGATTGGTGCAACAATTCACGGTTGGAATGGTTGGCATATCTATCTAGCAAGCCATGTCTGTTTAATATTTGCCTTATTATTTGATATTTATTTAAATATAACAACAATTTGTCATACAACATATACCTTCAATGATATCATTCTAATTCCGGACGATTGTAGTGAAGTTTATTTTGATATCAAGTAAGTATCGTCATTATATTTATTGTAATCAAATATTTACATTTTCTATTTTTGTTTTTTACAAATTCCTTTTAGTTTATCATTATCATTCATAACTGCAATATATGCTGGACAATTGGTGATATTATTATCATACTCATTGCTCAAATTATTATTATTATTATTGTCCACTACTCGAACGTCATCATCGCCATTGCCATCATCTTTGAATTCTTCAACAATGACCACATCAACAACTTCGGCAATGGTAATGACCACAAAAATGACCAACAAACATAATAATTGTTCTTATCACCTGCTTCAATAGAAATTAAAATTGATTTAGAGCAATAATTTTTAATTTAATCAAGATTCAGATTGAGAAATAATAGATTTGTGATAACTTCCATTATTGCTTCCACTCATGGTTTAGTTACAAAAAAAATTTTTACTCAGTCCGCTATTTCCCTCTTCTCCACTAACACATGATTCTTGAATGAATCGATTTTATTTCTTCTTCAGGTAATCGAGATAGACAAAAAAAAATGAAATTCAAATTCAACTTTCGATTTTTCATCATCATCATCATCATTCTGGTTGTGTGTTGCCATGAAACAAGTTCTTTTGGATTCGATTTTCACTCTTCTCTCAACAATTTCGCATAATTTTCAACAACGGCAATTGTAACCACCACACACACAAGACAAGAAACAAAAAAAGAAAACGCAAATTATTATTGTTGTCGTTGGAAAAACTCCCATAAAAACAAGCAAAAATTCGAATCAAAATCGGCCAATACACACAGACCAAACACACCTTCTATTTGCTGTTTTTTTCCTGTTTTCTTTTTCTACTTCTGCCATTTATTTCATAATAATAATCATAATATTCAACAAATAAAAACCTAACTCACTCACACAAAAATACAGAAAGAAATAAAATGTTGTCCTTTTTATTATTTAATTGATATATCGTTTTTGTTTGTTTTGCTGTTGTTGTTTTGTTTTATTTATCACAATAACTTTGCCATACACACACACAAACACAAGATTAAATTGTTTGTCATGATTTTTTGGGCTCATTTTCATATATATGAATAAATTGATTATTTGACTTGCGCTCAAATTTTTTTTCTCTTGATTTCTTTTTCAATTTTCTTTTTTAAAAAATGAAAACAACTTGTAATTGATGATCACAATTCCCGGGAAATTTGAGCTGTAAAGTTTTTAAATGTCAATTTTGTTTGTTTGTCATCATCATCATTCATAAGGTTATTGCATCGTTAATCCAATAGTTTTTACTACAAAATTGATTTTTCGTGTTTTTTTTCTTGGCCATGAATTTCATTTGAATATGTTCAAAAGATAATATCGTCAGATGATAAGATAACATTGTGTGTGTGTGTGTTTCACATGGACATGTGTGTTACAGATACGAAAATAAACGAATATATAATATATGATTGTCATTGATGATGGAATATGACACGAAATTCCTCGATTCCATCGTACACAATTGTCATTTATATGAAAATGATTAATATGAATTGCTTGAACCAAAAGATAGAGAGAAAGAATGAAAATCATACATGCAAATAATTTTGTGTAAACAAACACCTTCACAACGACGTCAACAAAGACTAAACAATTTCATTTTTTTTTCCAGAATTATCATTTCAGTGATCATTTGTCTTTGTTGTTGTCGTCGTCATTTGTTAAAATTTTTTTTTCAGCCACCACCACACAACATAATGATAAATTCAATAAAATTGAATGGTCTAAATGTTGAAGATCAGCTACCACCAACGTTACCGACATCATTACATCAATCAATCAATTCGAATAATTATAATCGAACATCAGTTAGGTATGTGACACAGAAAAAAAATCATCACGTTCGAAATTTTTTTTTTTTTCTCATACAGACACAATAAATTGGCGGAATTATTACGTCGTTCTACTAGTAATCAATTACAATGTTCAATGTTTTGTGGTGGCCGTCGCTGTAAATATGATAACCGGGATGTGTGGCCAATAAATGATCGTGCTATTGAACCATTGTATTCACATTGGATAACGGACAATATATTGGCAATGGCACGGCCAAATTCAGATATGATTCACAATGATAATCTTATTGAACTGTTTCATCAAAATGGAATTCGTACCGTTATCAATCTACAGGAACCAGGTGAACATGCAAACTGTGGACCGCAATTAGAACCGGAAAGTGGTTTTACATATGATCCAAAAATATTTATGGATAATAATAGTAAGTGGGAAAATTTTAAGTAAATTTTTTTTTTGATTTTGATTTTGATTTCTCCACCAAAAAATTCTAGTATATTTCTATAATTATAAATGGAAAGATTTCCTCGATATCAGTGAAGAATCATTGACCGATATGGTCAAAGTGCTGACATTTTCCCTATATCAAGGTCGTGTAGCTATACATTGTCATGCTGGCCTAGGAAGAACCGGAACATTGATAGCCGGATTTCTTATCTATACATTTCGTTGTCGACCTATAGATGCAATAAATTTTGTTCGATCACGACGACCACATTCGATTCAATCACGTAGTCAGATAACTAAATTGTTTAAATTTGCCAATTATATTGCACCCTGTTTTATTGTTTATAATAATGTAACTGCATCGATACAATTCACACAGAATACATTGGAAGAATTTCTTCGACGACAAAATCGTCTATTACATGGACAGGAATTACGAATATTACGTTATATACCGAAAATTGTGTTTATTATTTGTGAAAAACTTCTTCAGCTTACAATAACAACATCGGCAGAGGATAATAAAATAAATCGAATCGATTCGAAAGAAGAATGGGAAAATTTCACCAATAATTATCTAAGTCATCCACAAAAATCTTTATTAGAAATTGATTGCGATAAAATAATGACTATGGGTGATCCAAATAATGGCACCAAAAAGAAAAGTCCAAAAGAACGACGATCAAGAGCACAAAGTGAATCATCATCAACAACAATGACATCACGACTTCGAACAGAAGAATCAATGGATGAACAACGTTTAATTGATGCATTAACCGATAGTGTTACAACTACTGCCCGTATACAGATGACAGATTTGGAACGAAACATTAATGATTCAATTCATATGGACGAATCGAAATTACTTGCCGAACATCGTGCTAGCTTAATATTTGACTCAGATTTATTTCATTCATCATCATTTGATAATACAAATGATGATTCAATGAGAATATCACGACAAATGATAATTGAAACGTTGATTGAACAACCAAAAAATAATGATCGTCAATGGATGAAGAAAATTTTCGATTATCAACGTGAAATTAACAATAAACCAAGTGGCTGGAATCGATTACGATCGGAAACAGATTTGGAAATATTATGTTCATTATTAATGACTTGGTTGGAAAATTTTGATGTTCCAATATTGAACAATAGAATTATTGTTCAATTGAATAATCGAAAGATGGCAAAACAAAAATTTCTTGATAGTTTTCATTCAATCAATATCGGCACACGATATACTTTGGAATATTTGGCACGTTTTCTTATTAAATTATCATCATCACCATTTGATATGGATAATTCACGGTTGGTAGCTCGATTTGTTGCTAGTTTGGCAATGAGAAAAATTCGTTTTACACCAACAGAAATATTACCACATGATGCTAAACGTACATGGCCATTCATTGATTGTCGTAGTCAAATTTTATTGGATTATTTCAATGAATTAATCCGAATGATTATTATTCATGATCGTAATTTATTCAATGATAATAATTAGAAAAAAATGCACTATTTAGCTGGTGATGAATATCGAATGTACAAACACGGATAATAAGACTAGTCCATTTTGATGAATAAACGAATTTTTCACTGTACAAAATATATTTACAAAATATCGTCCTAAATGTGATCAATTAATAAAATGTGTGATATATTACAATCATTTGGAAAAGAAACAAAAGAGCTAGTTCATGGTATACGCATACGAATGATATCATTGATTGGTCGACATCCGATACGACAATTTAATGATGGTGGTATGTTCGTGATTTGCATTGGCAGTTTTTCCGTTTTAAAGCTACAATATCCAATTATTTTTTCACCATTCTGGAAGAAAAAAAATAATTTTAAAAACATTCACTAACAACTTAATAAACACTTACTGGACTAATTTGAACGTTTTTCTCCAATAAATCATTATTGCCATCATCAATGATCCATTGATCAATATCATCATCGATAATTAATCCAGTCTTTTGTAGATTAATACTGAACATTGATTGAACAAGATTAGTATTAGGATGATAGGGATTTTGTTCAGGATTTGAAAAATAACAATTAGTAATACTGTTATGATGATGGCCATTTAATGGACAGCCATGTATGAATGCTTGGCCATAACCGATTGGTTGCGTGTCGAAATTATTACTATCGGTCATTGAAAATCGAGTATCATTTACTATTTGATATTCGATAAGATTATTAATAATGAAAACATACAGAATGAATACAACAAAATACATACCAAAAATTTGCATAGACAATGCATCGAATCGAACATATTTAAAATGTATGGATGATTTTCGTCTTTGTTGTTGTTGATATCTTGAACAATCACTAGAATAATAATAATTTTAATCAGATCATGATCAAAATGTATACAAAAAAAAATAATTTAGAAACATACCTTGAACCATAAATATTTGATGATTCAGAATAATTATCATCATATGTATTCTCATTCAATATTAGGTATTCCAATGGTTTTTCCAGGAAATTCATTCCATAACAATAGACACGAATCATTGTACCTTGTATCCATAATTCATAGATACCATCATTATTTATTCGTGCACGATCACGACGATCTTGACATGAGATTACTTCGCCTATTTCAGAATCAATTACTCAATGATTAATTAAGGAAATGAATTGATGAGAAACATACAGCTACGTAGATTACATTGGCGGCGTTTTTCCGGCTTTGATCGTACATCACAATGAGAACGATCAACGCGTGTTTTCATACGTTGTGAATAACAATATACTTTACGACGTTGATAGCCAAAACCACAAGGTGATGAGCACTAAACAAAACAAAAAGATTAGCTATTCAAATCATTAAATTAAAATTGAATCATTAAATCATACAAATTGCCATTCACCGGTACGCCATACAAATGCATCGGACAGTATCGATGATGATTGTTGAAGACATGGACCCAAATTACAGGTTTGTGATTCCGATGGTTTATCATTTGGATCACACCAATAATCATCATCATAATCTGAATTATTATTATGCATTTGATAGGAATAATAGTAATTTTGATTTCGATTTAATCGTCGTTGCCGTCGCCGTAGTCGATTTTTTGTTCTTTTTCGTTGTTTATTACTATTTCTGTTGCTACTATTATAAAACTGTTGCTGTTGTCTTGTTCGAAAACGTTGTCGTTTACGTCGTAATATGGAATTCAAATTATGATGATAATGCTGGTGATCCAATGGTCTTGGATCAATAATACCAAACTTATTGATACGATGACAAGTAACGGTGCGTAATTGTTCACCAAATCCGCATGATTTTGTACACTGTATTTGTGGTTGATTTATTAGTTGGTTGGTGAAGCAGCAAATTCAAAAAAGCAATCGATTATGGTAAAGCAGATGTTGACAGCATATGCAGATAGTAGCGGCAAAAAAATTGCATTCATAAAACAAACAAACAAACAAAAAAAAAAACAAAACAAATTTTAAAAAATGAGAAAAAAACAATTTAGAGGGAAGAACAAGAAAGAGAGAAAAAATTGTAGAAAAAAATTTTTCATTAATTTTTTTTGAAATAATAAAATTTAACCTGATTATTGAATTTTCACTTTCCACTACCTCTGACCATTGACCAGTACGCCAAACTAGTTTATTACAATCCATACGATGACATTGTTCTTTTAGAATGATCGATGTCGATTGATGTTGATCAAGATTTTCACAAAAATGATCCGAAACACGAGTGCCGGTCCAATCATGACATTCAGCTGTTCGTGTACGGATACCATTTTGGCCACATTCAGCTTGACATGGTGACCAATCTGAATAATGCCATTGAAATAAATCACACATGCGATAACAGGAACGATATTGTCTTTGTGGTCGTTGTCGTTCATCACATGATGATGATGATTGATTGGATTCAATTATCGAACATTTTGGTTCACGTGTCTGTACGCCATTACCACACTTGACGGAACATTCACTCCAATCATACCATTCTGTCCAACCATCATCATCAATGATGGATGGTGATGATGTTGTTGTTGTTGACATTTGAATAATTGAATTCTGACGATCAATTGTTGAAGAATGAAGAATCGATTCAGATTTAGTTGAATGATGATCAAATGAATTTGAATAATGTTGTTGTTGTTGTTGTTGCTCCTGTAATGTAGTTTTAGCAACAGGCAGTATAGGCGTCTGTTGATGATGATGATGTGAATGTTGAACATTGGAAGATGTAGTTTTAAATGAATCAAAAATAGAGGAAGACATTTGTGGTGGTTCGGTGGTAGATGTTGTTGTTATCATGGACGGTTTTATCGAGGTAGTTGACGTTGATCGAATGTCATCATCATGATATCGATAATTTATTGTTGAATAATTGGATTGATCAATTTCGGTTTGTTCTTGTAACATTTGTCTTGAATATGGATCACATTCATTCACAGCTGCTGTCATCATCATCATCATCGTTGTACATTCTTCAATTTCATTTGGTTTCATCAACAGTGGCTGATTATGATGACAATATTCATCACGAATATTGTTTCCATCAGCCAATCGTATACAATAAACTGAACGTTTACGTATATAACGTCGTCGATTTGGATCACAAAAACACGCACTCCATTCACTGGTATGCCATTCCATTTTTTCAATATATCGTGGTTGTTGTTGTTGTTGTTGATATGGATTCATTGTGGTTGTTGTCGATGATGATGGACAAAGATGAACATTAAATTCTGGCATTAATCGAAGTAAAGATTGTTCAATAGGACAATATTCTTCAGATTTTGGTTTTAGATTCCCATCACAATCATTATCGGTCATTACTTGTTGATTTTTCGTATTAACACATGCAACATAACGACGGCGTTTTAATTTTGCTTCATCTAAACCAAGTAAATGTGCAAGATCTGTATAGGCGTGTGAATATAGACTATTATTTAGATGAAAAAGTGGAATAAAACGTTCACGAAGTATGTTGACTTGTTCAATAGAATCAAAACAATTGGGTAACTGAAAATTTTCCGTAAAACGATTATGATATTCTTTAACATATTGTGTAAGTATATCACACGAAGACCATTCACCCGATTGCCATGATGATGACGATGATGATGCAGCGATATTATGATGACGAGATTGATGATAGCCATAAATTTCATTATGGTTAATCATTGATTCTTTATCAATGAATCCCGAGGTAAAATGATAAGCTTTAGCTTCATTTGTTCGATTATCTAAATGATGATATAAATCTGTCATCTTTTTTTCCGATACTCGACAATCGATTAATTCACATGATGTTCGTTCCGATGGTTTTGGTTCCAATATTCGACAATAAGCATCAGCAACTTTTTGTTCACCATGCATACAATCGACTTTTCGATGTCTTTCACCGTTATTATCGTTCGCTGTACAGCTTCCTTTACATTCACTCCATTGATCAACACGCCAATGTGGACATTCAATTTGACATGATTGCACAAGTATGATTGGTTCAGATAAATGTTGTTGACAAAGTTCTTGACCAACATTTGTATGTATAACATTTGTTGGATCATTATCTAAATATGTAGTCGATATACAATGTGCAATACGATTCTGTTGTCCTTGGCCACAAGTATGGTGTTGATGTTGTTGTTGTAAAATTGTACATTGTGACCATTCTGAATATTGCCATTGATAAGTGATAATACAATCATTTCCAGTACAATTTTGTACATCAGCTGGTTTGGGGCCCAAATGATGACAATAAAAATCATCAATATAAATACGTTCATTATGATTAATAAATGTTTGTGTACAATTAATTTGTCGTTGCAGAAATCCATGACCACATTTCGATGAACACTGGCCTAGTTGATGGATATGCCATTCTAATTCACAATGCACATTACAAACACGATATTCTGTTGATGGCCGTGATTGTTGATCACAATAATCATCGATAACTTTGATTTCATTAATCTGTGGTTGTGAATTGTCCATTAGCCATGATGATCGCATCGTAGCCACACAGAATGATTTACGTTCCTGTTCACCATTACAAGCTTTACTACATGTTGACCAATATGGATCAATCATCCACTTATAGCTAATAAAATCATTATCGGAGGTAACGGCAAAATGATAATTAATAATCGGTATATGTAGTTCACCAACACAAAGTATTTCCAAATGTAATGGGTTATGTATTGCACGTGTGATTTTAATACGTTCATAGCCATGTGATTTTGTCCCGGAATATTCTACTGTAGTGCCACCATAATACCATTTACGTTCATAAACATTGACGGTAAAATGACCATTTAAAAGATAATTGTCATATTCACCACGTAATGCGAGCCAATTATCTGCTGAAGTTGATGATGGTTCTTTTACGATTTCAACATTAGTTGCACCAGGTGGAATCGATAAAACAAATGTATAACCATGTTGAACTGTTCGCGGTTTGAATTGTCCATTTATTTCACGACATGTAGAATTATTGCCACCACAAACACCACAATAATCGATACGAAGATTACTACCCAAGATACGATCACAACCGGCCATTAAACATTTTCCATTTACACAAATATCGAATGATTCCGGTGAACAAGGTGTTCCATCGATTACTCGTGATTTCAATTTATGTGATTCACCAGAATTTGATTCACAATATAAGGCACAAACATCCGATGATGGCATACCATCATATTTAGGTGTCCAAGTTATATTATAACGATTATATTCGGCACATTGTTGTGCACGCGAATCTTCATTGTGTGATTGATGTTGACATGGTTCTAGATTACATGATTCATAACGTACACGTTCACCAATACAAAATTTTCCACCATTTCGGGGGCTTGGATTCGTGCAATCACGTCGTGATCTTTGAATACCACCACCACAATTTAATGAACATTCGGACCATGGTGACCAATCGCCCCAACCACCATCGATTGGATGCAATGCAGCATGATCAATACGCACACATTTGCCTTCTTGACACCAATAACCATTTCCACATTCGGTACCATCAGCCCATGGCATATGTTGTGTACGACAACCACCAACCGTATTCGATGTACACCATAATTTTCGACAATATGGCATATCCAGACAGATACTTGAATTACGATCAAATACAAAACGACATTGTTCATCGGCATTATACAGAGCACCGGCTGGTAATTTTGAATATTTAACATCAATAAACGATCGTCGACGAAATGTTTCATAGACACGTGAATCATCTGTTGATGATTGTCGTATATCCACGGAATTATTATCCAAAAGACAATCTCCATGTCCTGAACTGTTTTTTTTTAGGGAGAAATTTTTGAAAATAAAATGTTTTCATTGCAAATAATAAAAAGTCTTACTCAAGAAATTCGGTTATAAAATGTTTTGAACATGATGACCAGCTCCACATATGGCTATTTGAATCAATCATTCGGACCATAACATTAAATTCTGCGCGTTTATTAGCTACTTGATGATCAGCATTGGTTTGTGCATAGAATCGTTTACATTGTTCCTCATCGTCATGTGGTACACCAAGCCTGTTGTTGTTGAAAAATGAAAAAGAAAGGAAATTAACCAAAAAAAAAACTTTTTTTCAAATAAAAATCATCAACATACAAATGTCCCAATTCATGAGCTATAGTAAATGCAGCACTAAGGCCATTATCTTCGACAATTGCACAACTAGTTTCTGGATCACAAATTTGTCCCGAATGTGCTAAACCTAATGTATCACATGATGAACGTGGTTTTTTTGTCATTGTTCGGCGATTTTGCCAATCATAATAATAATGATGATGATCATGATTATCCATTTCATTGTTATGATGATTTGAATTATAATCATTTTTACTGCATAAATCAATTTTTGTCAACAGTATAGCCGTATCATAATGAAGTGGATTATCATCGGCTGGATGATTATGTTCAAATTGCCAACGACAAAAATGCCGTAATGTTTTATGTGCTGAACCATACCAATTTTTTTCTTGTTGTTCATCGATTAATGATGTTAATTTGACTAGTTTAATATTGATTTCATTACCAATACTTGAATGTTTGAATAGATGTGATACCTATTGGAAAAAAATGATGATCAATTAAAACACGTAACCAGTGTTGAACAACGACGACTTACCATTGCAATTAATGTAAAAACATAATTACGTAATGAATTTTCATGATATAAATACATCGAAAGATCAGTAACAATGGACATTTCGATTGTACGTTCAGATGAATAGGATCTTTTCAATCTTTGTCGTTGTTGTTGTTGTTGATTAAAATTTCCAATAAATTGTATTCGATGTTCACATGATGAATATAATAATGTTTGAACATTATCATCAATAACATTCATATGGTGGCAGTATTGTCGTTGAGCATGTTGTTCTTCAATCAAAATATGACCATCCATATGATCAAATGTTATGATGCCATTCTATTCAGTAAGACAAAGAAAGAAAAAAAAGAAAACATTTTCGTAATGATTTTTGCATAACAATAATCTGATGTATCTGCATATATATTGAAATGAATTCGAATGATTGATTGATTGATTGATGAATGGATGAATGAATGAATGAATTTTTTTCCATTGTAAAACTATGTGTGACTATTATTATCACCATCATTATATATTATTATTATTATTATGGCAAATTTTATATTATTATTTTTATTTAAATTTGATTGATTGATCGATCGATTTGTTACTTTCAACAACAACAACAACAACAAAAACTTTGAAAGCCACCCACTAATATTTTATAAAATGTAACAATTTTTTTCATTCTCTCTTTTCATGATGATGATGATGGGAAGTAATTGTTTTTTTTCTAGAAATTCTTCTTTTAAAAGGGGTCATAAGGAATGGTAACCATCATCATCATCATCATCGAATGATCACATAAATCAGTCTTTGGAAAATTCATTTATCAAAAGTATTGAATGTCATGGCAAAAAATGATGAAAAGAATGAATGAATGAATGGGTTTGTATGAACCAGAAACCAAACAACAAACTAATCACCATCATCATCGATAAATAAATTGAAAATGAATGATACGGGAAGAACAAAAGAATCATTTACGTAGATTGGGTGGGTGGGTGTTGTTGTTTGGATAAAAATAGAGTTCAATTTCAGTTGTGATTGAGATTTTTCTGGTGTTTTTTTTTGGTAATTGTAAAAATCATTTTCATGATTTAATGTTGATGGTGTTTGGTGGTGGTTATAAAAAGATGTGGGTGGGTGGGGGATAACAAGGGGTAACAAGTAGCACGAATATGCAAAACATGAATTCAATTTTGGGTTAAATTGATCTTGAATTTTTTTCCTCGTTTTTTTTTGTTTAATATCTGGTTATTTTTTTCAGACCAGGAATTCATATTCACTAAATGGGTGGTTGCTTATAATTGGATTGTAATTAACTTTTTAATTTGATCAAATATAAAGACAGCGGGTTTGAAAAAATTTTGTTCAAAAAATTCATCAGATCTTGATGATGACAATGATAATGATCATTGACCTTGTTATTATCAAATTGGACAAATCATTAAATTTTTATAAATAAATCATTCAATCAACTTATCCGTGGTTTTCAAGAATGACAAATTAAATTGAATCGTAAATAAAACAATCACCATCATCATGATATATGGGGTTAATTTATTTCAATTAAAGAATGGGTATAAACAAACAAATTTGACAAAAATTGAAAAAAAAATCCATTCAGGCCATTGTCATTGTCGATTATTGATTGCGATTATATAGAATATATCGAAAAAAAACAATGACATTAGAATGACTGAATAATGTTTTTTTTGTTCTTTTATAAAACATAAAATTCAATCAATCATAGAATGAATAAATACACTCCAGACAACAGAGAGAATTACAATTCATTACATTCAATTCATTACAATTCATCATTTCAGGTCAAAGTTAATGGCAATGGTGAATGAATGAAATGTGAACATATCGATAATATCAAAATTTATTGGACATAGCCATAAGAATTGTAAAAAAAATTTCTAGATTCCAACTCGATTTTCATTATTTATTTGCGCACACAGACAGAATTATTCACATCCAATCAATGAATGTGAATAATTCTCATTCGGTTCAATATAATAGACATGGAAAAATAGACAAAGACAACCGGCAAAAAAATATTGGCAATATAATTAAAAATTGTCTATGGCGTGTATATATTTGATTTGGGAATTGTGCCAATCACTACGACAACCGCCACCGCCACCACCACCAACACCACCAAAGAAGATGATGTTTGAATATTTAGGAAAAAAAATCCAGAATCATTAAAAATAGAGATACCAAACACACACACACACACACAAGATATTCTTATTCATTTTGATACAGCATCGAACACAACAAACGAAAAACAAAAATCTATTCATTTACATGTCTGCTGGTCTGGTCTGATCTGGCATGGCCTGGGATGGATGATTGGTGGTGGTGGTGGTGCTATAAATGTCCTTGGATACAAAAAAAACACTGGCGCCTTTTTTTGTATACATACAGGAAAAACTAAACTCTACTGTTGAGTTTTTCTTCGACAAAAAAAAAGATTTTTTTCCGTATGTCTAGTAAACAATACACGATTCTCACTAAATAAGAATTTTCAAAAGATTCTGAGATACATGTCTATTTGTTTTTCTAGTTGAACAAAATAAATAAATTGAGGAAACACAAACACAAAACAAAACAAACAAACTTACCATTGAACCATCTGTACATATTGTTATTGTTGCTGTTAAATTATCATTGCTGTTGTTGTTGATCATTTGATGACCAATGAATAATTGACATAATTTTTGTCGTTGTTGTTGTTGTTGTTTGGCTGTTTGATGTCGATAATTTTGAAACGTTTCCAATAAATTATCCGTATAAAATGATGAATAATTATAATGAATTTTTTGTTCGATTGTTTCATAAAAATCATTTTCATCAGGATTTTTTTGTTGTACAGCATAGATCAAATGTTGATGGTGATGATGATTTTGTTCGATAAATTTTTGGGCAGTTAAATTGATTGATAATTTGAAAAATTTTCTATCGGCAGTCATTAATAATAATGATTTTGGCAGTGTCATTGATGATTGATTTTCTAGTTGGATGATCAATTCTAAAGAATTTGTCGTCGTTATCCTTAATCGTGGTCGAAACAAAAGAATTCGATTTCTATTTTGATCCAAATGATTATTTTGGAATTGTTGTTGTTGTTGTTGATGATGATGATGGCTATTTCGATCAACACTGTTGTTGTTGTTGTTGTTGTTGCTGGTAGCGGTGTTATCATCATTCGAATTTATTATCGGCCACCAATCTTGAAAAAATTTGTTAAAAATTTTAAATTAAAAATTGTGGGTGTTGAGTGTGGGATTAAATGAAATGCAATTAACATTGATTAATATATAGCTAAAAATGCGTTAAAGGTTTTAATCAAATCAATCAGATCAGAAATGATTATCACACATCTCATTATTTTTTCTATTTCTAGTTAAACACTGCTAATCTGCTGTTGCTGCCGTGCAATATGTGAAAAAAAAATTAATTTCAAAAATAAGTCCATTAATTTTCATTCCGGGTGGTGTGTGTGTGTGTGTGTGGGTGGGTGGGTATTTGTCATTCAAAATGAAAAAAAAATTCGGAAATTAAATTAACCACTATCCATCTGTTTGACCTTCGTTATCGTTTGTCATCTTAGTATTAAATAGAATGGGTCGAATTCCAAAGTTTTTTGAACCTCAGAAAAAAAATTAAATTCAAAACGGCCAATGGTCCCGAATATTTTGCATTATTAATTCATCACATCATTCTTTGTTTGTTTGTCTCTCTGTGTATGTTTTATTCCATTCATTCATTGTTTCTAATTCTAATTACTGTCTGTGTCTCATCTGTTTTTTGGCCAAAGACAAATAAACAATATTCATACACTGACAACACAAGACATTCATTCAGCCCATTCAGACAGATGAACCGAGAATTTTCTTCATGCAATTATTCTTGGTGTTTATTGATGATGAGACCCGGAAATATGGAATAATTTTTTCTTCTTGAACATCGTTTAACTCAAAACAACAATAACAACAACAACAACAACAACGAAAAAAGTGACAAATTAACACATTTACACAAATTAAGACGAAAAAAATCATAATCATCAAACTACGGCTGTCTAAGTAATTACAAAGTTTGCATTTTTCATGTTCTAATGCTCATAATAATCCTTATTATTCCTTAATGAATGAAACGTAATGAAAATTTAAAATCAGGCTAAAGTAGGTCGTTGACATCGATTTTTTAAAAAAAAATTCATCAATTTTTAATTCTGGACATACATACCATTCGAATGTTGATCAATCGATTTTTGTTGTTGTTGTTGTTGTGGTAGAATGGTGGTGAATAAAGTTGTTGAACAATTTCCAATAAACATCAACAACAACAATATCGATAATAAAAAGGAATGTTTTGATGATGATGATGAACGAACATTCGAATTATTCGAATTAAAATGATGATGATGATGGACGAATTTTCGATTATATCGATTATCGATCATTCTGATAGCTGCCATTATCATTGAATGATGATAGGCCGATAGCCTTGTTGTTAATAATACTATCCTTTTTGTTATTGATTCAAACATTGTTGTAAGGGAAAATTTTTTGATGATGATTTTTGAAACAACCGGACATAACAAACAAACTAGAAATTATTTTTTTGTGTTGATTTCACACACACACACACATTTGAACACAATCAGATGACAGATCGGATTTCCGATCAACAAATCAATATCATTTTGATAATGGCATTTTCTTTTATCAATCGATCTAAATCGATCGATTCAAAATCGAATCCAGTTCAAGTTCAGTGATGATTTTGATGAAAATCGATACTATCGATATTTATTAAAACATTCGAATTCCAAACACCGGATTTGTGTGTGTTTACACAAAAAAAATAAATACAAATTTTTGATCATCATCATATTTACCATCATTTCAGAATAATCATCAGAATCGGAAAAAACAGTCAAGTCATAATTTATGTGTCAACGTACTGTCAATGGCCATCACCATCACAACCACAACCATCACCATTATCATCATCATCGTTTTTGATCAAGAATAAAGATAACCAAAGAATCAACACACATTTAGAAAAAAAACTTAAATTTCTACAACAACCACCACCATCATCATCACCATCATCATCAACAATCACCGAACGACTAACGAACCAACAACAGACACAACAACCAGACAAAGATGAAAACCAAACAGACACTGGAAGATGAAATGATGAAAAAACATAAAATAGAAAAATGAGACGCCCGAAACAACATCATCGTCGTCGTCGTCGTCGGTTAGACTTGCGCGAATCACACAAACACACACACACACCACACTAATATACAGACGAATATTCGGTACAAATTTTGGTTTTATGATGATGATGATCATGTTGAAGATGTCGATGTCGTCTTCCAAAGATGATCATGATGACGATGATGATCTTTTTCAATGATGGATTTTTGTGTGTGTGTGTGTGTTTTGATAGAATTTACAGTTGAAAAAGAAAACGATGAAGATTTTTTTATTTTGATTGGTGGTACTTAAAAATTATATTTTCAATGCAGCAAAAAACAACAACAACGAAAGAAAGACTTAAGATTTTCTCTCTGTGTGTGTGTGTGGTTTGTTTATTATTATGATCATGGTGATGGCGTAATTGAAATCCATCAAAAATTTACGATGATGATCGTTTTTTTTTATGAATTTTTTTTCAAGAAACAAGATGATAATGAAAACTTATTGTCAATTTTTTTTTTTTTGAAAAAAAATTATTAATCGTTTTTTTTTTTTTTCTTTTCTCATCTAGCAAGGAATTTTGGCGAATCAAAATGGTGTTGAACAAAACAAATAAAAAATCAATTAGCAAAAACATCAAATATGGAACCAGATGTGTGTGTGTGTGTGTGTGTTTTGATTTTGATGATTTAATCTCTCACAGTAGGATTAATGTCGTGATGATGGATCATAATCAAAAAAAAAACGAACATGAATGCATGTGGTTGATGATCTGGTTTTGTGTGTGTGTGTGTGTGGGAAAAACTCTCATCAAAATTCATAGAAACCAGACGATATAGAGAGAAAAGAAATTACCATCATCATCATCATCATGATGCTGAAATTCAATTCATTTGTTGAATGATAAAAATCGATTGACCAGAACTGAACTGGTCAATCGACAATCGGTCTAATATTTCATCAGAGATTGATCGATTGAATTGAATTGAATGATGATGATGATGAATTTTGCTCACAACCACCAGTTTCAATACATAACACACACACACACACAGACAAAAAAATACGAAATGGACAAATTACATTGACACAAACAAACACACACACACACACACATTGCTCCCATCAGCCAGAAATGGCTTTGTCAGTTAATTTTGGCGTCTGTTTTCAGTTTTATTTGTTTGTTGTTTGTATGAATGGAAATGATTGACTGACTGAGTTAACTAGATGATGATGATGCTGGTTTTGCCCCGAAGATTTTTATTTTTTTTTTAATTTACAAAAATCAACATGATGGTGGTGATTGAAAATCAACATCATCACGATCAATCAATGAATTGATAATAATTATTGATCATCATCAAAATTCATTTCAAAACTCTTTCCTAATGATGATCTAATGATATTCAATAACAAGTTCAAGTTCAATCAATTTTCATTCATTTGTAGACAGGTTATTATTATTATATTTCATAGTCACAAACTATTACAAACAGACATCAGACACTTGTTGTTGTTTATTCACAATACGGGAAGTGAAAAAAAAAATAAAACAAAACAAATCAGGAAATCCAATATCGATTATGGTAATCAATGAATCTTCACATCCCAAAAAGATCACCAATTAATTGAATATAACATTATGTGGGTGGATGATGATGATGATGATTATGACGAATCAAAATTTTGTGGTCGTCGTCGCCGTCATTGTTGTTTTCAATCATCAATGATAATCAGGAAACACAAATAACCAGAAAATGATATTGTCATTTTTTTCTGGTTTCTCATCATCATCATCATCAAACATTATCATGGTGATGATCTTTTTGATTTTTATATATGTGAAAAAAAACGTCATCATCATCTGAATGAATGGGAAAAAACAACAACAACAACAATTTACACAAACAAGGGCCATATATGAATTTTACGATGATGAAATTGCTCATTTAAAATCAATATAATTGTTCCAGTTTTTTGTTTTGTTTTTGTTTTTCTTTGGAAATTCTTTTTGTAATCAAATCAAATCAAATCGATCGAATTGATTGATGAAATTCGATTACAATTTTATGAATGAAATCATTTTTTTTCTTGTTTGATTTCATTTCCTGTTTTTATTACGAATGATTGATTGATTTGAACACCACAACAATACGATGATGATGATGATGAGTCACAATAAAATTTGACAATTGAAAAGGGTTTTTACACACAAAAAAATTTTCGAAATTCATTCCTGTGTGCTTTGTCTGAATTCTTGAAATGGTCATTTCATTTTGTCCATGCAATAATAATGATAAAATGGATATAATTCCATTTCGTGTGACAATCTTATCATTTGTTTGACAGATTTATTGCCATCATATGCACACATGCACACACACACGTGAATAATTCATTATGACAATAATGATTACAATCTGCTCTTAAAAAATTAATTTTCAACAAACAAACAACAATCTAACCTGAATAATACAAAGTTCACTGAATTGGAAAGGAAATTATGAATGAAATTTGGCAATTAATTCAGGAAAAGATACATGAAAAAAAAGATTGATGAGGGACACACACACACACACACAGGCATTTAGTTAATAAATCGTCTGGTTGTTAATTAATCGATGTGATGATGATGATCCACTCTTTGTCCATTTATCGATGGGGCTAACCTAACCTACCTATTTTTTTTTTACTATGCCAGATAACGATGTGCAATGTATTTTGGGAGAACCTCTTTGCCACTTTTTTTTATTCTTCTGTCTAGCCTAGTCTCTTGTTGTCTAGTCTGATCTGGATGTAGTTGTATATGTGTGTGTGTAAGCGGGAAAAAAATCAACAAAACAGTTTCGCAAATTCGCAAACAAGGTCGGTTGGTTGTTACCTTGTTATCATTCATCATTGTTTTTAGCAACAACAAATAATTGAAAAAAAGATGAGGCCAAATTGCCTAACGAATAAAATGATTGGGATGTCGATGATTTTTTTTAAAAAATCGTGATTTGTTAATTGTGAATTTGGGCGCCGGAAACAACAAACTTTGTTCTTTCTTTTGTCTCTGTTTTTGTAAAAAAATGTCAGATAGTAAGTTGTTTCAGAATAAAAAAATGAAATTCAGAAGCCAAACGTTCGTTTGTTTTTGTGTAGGTTTTTTTTTATCATTTTCCAAGAAAATATAATCTTTCTTTCATCATTCAAATAAATTAGCTGTGTGTTTTAGTTTTGGAGGGTTTAACAGGATTTTATCGTTTAAAAGAAATTTTTTTTCTCTTCAACAAATCCAATCTTTACCACCGCAGGTGTCTTTTGGCTTTTTTTTCCTTCTGTGTGATAAATGTTAAATGGTGATGAAATTGATTTTTTTTCTCAAACAAAAAAAAATTAGAGATAATGTTCGATAATGACATTTTTGTGACAACAATTTGTTTCGGTAATTAATCGTCGAATCTTTTTTTTCTCTGTTTCCTTATGGTTTGTTTTGTTTTGTTTTTTTTTTTTTTTTCGTTTATTTGTTTATTTATTCTGCAAAATTCATTGGCATGGCTTTCAACAGGCTATATCATCAGGCCAGTGGCCGATAATGATCATGATATAATCATCATTGGCCATAATTTAACAAACAACAACAACAACAACAAAACAGTGAAAAAAACTACCACATTTGTATGATGGACACGAACTTTGAGTCATAGCTGTATTGTGTGTGTGTGTGTTGGTGTCAATGGCACCCAAATCAACCAGAAACAAATTGACTGACCGAAAAAAAAAATGAACAAAATTTTCCTTTGATCATAAATTGTCAGAAAAGAAAGATAAAATTAACCGTAAACAATTTTGAATGTCAAAAAAATGAAATGAAATGAAAACAAAACAAAGAAAAATTTCATCAAAAATGAAAAATGTTGACTTGTCATGAAAAGGGTTGTTGTTGCTGCTGCTGCTCTCTCTCTCTTTTCTCGGTTTTGACCGAGTCGTCATCATGCACACACACACAGATGACCTGAACCAGAAAAAATTGCAAAATTTGCATATTTATCGTACGTAAATATTTCATTTCTTTTCCTCGTTGTCTAATCACACACACGAACAAATAAACAAAAGATGATCCAAATGGGTCATTCGCCTCTTTATGTTTATTGTTTGTTGTTTAATTAATTTAGAATGAAAAATCACCACGATGAATGTGAATACAAAACATGATGACATAATCAAAACTACCGTGCATCTGTGCTTGTATAATAATCATATATATGGAAATCAAATGTGTCAACCATCCAAATATCCAGACTAAACACTGAATGAATGAATCAACTAAAAATCAAACCATCATTCATTCATTCATTCAGCAAAGATCAAACACATTTTCTTTGATGAAAAAAAAATAATAAAATTATTACCATTGCCATTCAATGATCCAAAAATAATTCTCCTACCAATCACAACATAGAACCGGCAAACAAATATATGCAGACAATTCAATAGACTACACTAAATTCTAGTTATTCGTTTTGATTTTGAAATGATGAAGAAATGAAAAAAAATAGCCATAGTATGTATGAAGAGCCATAATAATAATAATAAATTACAGAACAAAAATGCCAACAACCAACCAACTATATATACACAACATACTATATGATGATGAATGGTAAAAATTCCATCCACCATTTGGTGGTTTTTTTCACAATGTCATTCACCCTGTGTGTGTATGTGTGTTTGTTCATCATCATCATACTAGAAAATCAAACACTGAAATGGATTCACTTTTTTTCTGGAATCTATAGACATATAGATTCTGGAAAAAGAATATTTTGCATTTGTTGAATGTTTCTTTTCTTTTCATTTTTATTTTTATTGACATTATTTTTGTGTGTGCGTGTGACTACCATTTGCTACTGGCGTCATCTATCAATGAAAATGGGCAAGCAAATTATTTTAAATTTCGCGCTTTTTCTCTAAAAAAAATGTACAGAATTTCGAAAAAAGGAGAAATTTTTTATATATAAAATCGTAATTGTACAAATGAGACAAACAATAAAGAGACAAAAATGGATTAAAAAGATGGTAATAACATGTGAATTCAAATATGAAAAAAAACGGAAAAATGGAAAAAAAAAAATTAGAGCTGCGAAAGAAAAAAATCACGGTTTTGTTTTTGCGAAAAACACAAGTAAAAAAAATGCTGCCCAGTGATTGTGGTGAATTCAATGTGAAAATATACACCACTCTCATTTACAAATCGGTAACAGGAATACCACCACCATTTGATGTATTCTTTGTCATAAAAGTTGTTGTTGTTGTTGTTGGTGGTGGTGGTGGTGATGATGGTGTATCAAATAAATCAGTGGACATTGGATCAAATGTTTGACTATTCATTGTTTGATGATTATTGTTGTTGATATGATTACCCGAACTTAGTGTTCGTTTTGCAACATTAACATCTATCAATGTTGTTGTGGATGTATTACTACCAAGAATATTTAATGGTAATGAATGTTGTTGTTGTACCGCTGATGATGATATGGGAAATGTAGTGGATCTATAAACCGATGTAGGTGAATAATCATTCATCATAATATCATCTTCATCATCATCATCATCATCATCGTATTCATCATCTTCAGCACAAGTATCATCAGCAACATATGTTGATATAGTACGGGCACGTTCCGATGTTACTGTTTCAGCTGTTGATTTTAGATCGGCTGTTGCTTCATCTGCCGATGAAAATGATGATTGTAAATAACCGGCAACACCAGTAGCATTACCAGTACCAGTGTTATTTGCTGATTTTGAACGGCTACCCCGTTGTAATAATCTTGCATTTGATGATGATGATGATGACGATGATGCACCACCATTCAAATTCGAACCGATTGTAATGGTAGATGGATGTCCATTTGTCGAAGTTGTTGTCGATGATGATGATCCACCATTCAAATGGTGATGATGATGATGATTACTACCAAAATGTGTAGATAACATGATATTTGTTTTGCTTTGCCGATGATAATAATGACCAAAATATCGTTGCCAAACTTTACTATTCATTCTTCGTTGCCGCCAACGACAAAAAGCAATCATGGCAATCGTAATGATAATGAATAATAAAATGAAAATGATGATCAACAATACCAGCAATGTATTTGAGATTGCTCGTTCTTCATTATCCAATAAGTCATCATTATTATTGTTGGATTCGGATAAATGTGATGAACTATGATGTTTAGGATCCAATGTAGTCGAATGACGATGATCATGATCATCAGTCGATATAATCATTCGTACAACACATCGTGGTAATGGAGCACTCCATACACCGTTCGCGTTACAATTAATTGTTGTTGGACCATCCAATTCATATTCATCATTACAGGTGAATAATGCACGTGTTTCATTAACAATTTTTACTGTTCCATGTGAAAATGTTGTGATAGGTGCACATTTAAGTGTGGAAAATTCATTCATTGGACAATGTGGTATTCCCTGGGACCATTCACCATCATCACGACATTTTGCCGTTAATTTCATACGATTTGACATGCAACTAAAGATGATTATATCGCCTGGTGTGAATACATTTTTGTTCATTCGTTGTTTACGATTTACATCGACAATTCTCAAGCCATTATGTGGCCTTACAGGTATTGGACATGTGACAGGCAAACATTGATATGTTTCTGTCGTTGAATTTTTAGTAATAGCAATGGTAGAATTAATGCCTACTGTGGTTGTTTTGAAATATTGTTCCAATGGACTCCAACGATCATTTGAACCACAAAGACGTGTATTGGAAATGGCATTTAAACGATAACCATGATCACAATAATAATTAGCACGTGAATGAATTCTTCTTTCCGGATCAGAATATGAAATTCTTCCATTTTTCAATTCTGGTAATTGTGGACATTGTTTTAGTCGACATTCCGGTGGTTGACGATTCCATGTACCATCGGCACGGCAAGTAAGAACAGGAAATCCAATTGTTTCATATCCTTCATCACAAATATATTGTACATTTGAATTGAATGAAAACAATGATGTTGCACTTTTATTATAAACCATTGTAGCATGTGGAATTTCTAAAGGTTGGCTACAATTTACCGCTAGAAACAAATAAAACATGAATTAGATGATGTTGTCGTTGTCACAGTCAGGAACTTACGTTGACAATTCAATGTAACCAATGGATACCAATGTGCACGTTGTTGTTTATTATTAATATTAGCCATACTATCTAGATCATCAATATCATCATCATCATCATTTTTACGACTCATTTTATGTTTATCACCAAAAAATTTACTATCATCAAATCTTGATTCATCTATTGTTGCTGAATTTAAATCATGTTCTTCATCATCAACATCACTTAGACGTTTACTATTTTTCGAACGATTCGAACCATTTCGTCGTATGTTTGGTGAATTTGAATGATCCGCATTAAAAACATCAGGAAATAAAACATGACCAGCACTTGGTAAATGTATACCATCAATTGTACAACGGGTTTGTGCAATACCATCATTAATAGGTCGAAAACCTTGTTCACATTCATAGCTAGCTTCTTGTCCAATGGGAAAAACAAAATGTTTTTGATGTCGATGAAGATTAGATTGAGCATTCGGGACTAGTGGTGGATCACCACAAAATACTATCGAAAAAACAACAACAAAAATCAGAATTTAAAGTTAAATTATTATTATTATAATTACACTTACAATGAGGACTATTGAATGCATGTTGTTTGATTGCCTGATTATAATCATTGAAAGTATATGATGGTTGTGTTGGTGGTTGCCGTTTAATACTCATCGTAGTCGTCGTCGTCGTCGTAATGTTAGAATCAATTTTCAATGTTGCTGTGGTCGTAGTATTTTGATTCGAATCAATTGGATGAGTATTACATTGCAATGCTAATGATAATATCATCATTATGAAAAATAGCTTGTTGAATGTTTTGCATGATTGTTTTATCATCATCGTCATTGAATATAATTTCTTTGGACTATAAATCTTGTCGAAATCATTGAAATGTTGATTTCGATGATAAGAAAACGTTCGCCAATAATCACTATCTATTCGTATCATCTGTCTCATCATCATCATCATCATTATGAAGATCATTGTCAATGAAATAAAATTTGAAATAATAAAATCACATGAAAATGGAAAATAAAAATGTAATATGAAAGGGTAAAATATCATCATCATTGAATAATAAGATGACATTGGTGATGGTGATGATGAACAACAAGTAGATTGATGATAATCGTCATCATCATCTTTATGAGTTTGAGTTTTTAATTTTAAATTCAAGCTGCTGGTATCAATAATGCAATTGGAATTTGAATTTGACTTGAACGATTTTCTTTTTGTTGCTGCTACTGTTGTTGTTAATGATGGTGAATATGAATCATATTGACCAATAATCTTAACATCAAAATCATCATTTAGATGCAGTTGTTTTTGTTTTTGTTGTTGTGGTTGGCAACCATAATCATGATTGCTACTTGTTGAGATGTTATTATTAAGATACAACGACAAACACGATAATCTTGTGTGACAAAAACCACAAATATTTAATAATGATGATGATGATAATTTTTTTCTCTTTACATTGCAACCATTTGTGATTATTCTTTTATTTTGTAACGATTGAGCTGCTGTTGCTGTTGCTGCTGCCATCATTTTCTTATTTATTTATTTATTAATTTTCATTGATAATTTCCAATAATCAACCTAAAAAAAGAGAAAAGAAATTTTCTGATAAATAAAATGGTTTCCCCGCATTTTTTTCTACTTAAGAAAATCATAAAAAAAGTGAAAATAAAACAAAACAAAAAAAACGTTAAATATTTGTTTTCGTCAAAAAAACAAAGAAATAAAATGAAATTTACGACATTGTCAAAAATGTCAAAGTAAAAAAACAGTGAGTGAAAGGAAAGAAAAAAAAGGTCATCACTATTCACACACATAATCTTGTGACAATGAGTAAAGTACAGAAGAAAAAACAAACAAACGAACCTTAAACACATAATATTAAACATAACGCAAAAGAAATGATGAAATCAAAAAAAAAAAATGAAATGAAATAGACAAATACAGGAAATTCAATTATTGTGTATATGAATCAATCAATCAATTGTGATTGTGATATGGTTTTGTAATCATCGTCATCAGGTCAAATCAATATATATATGTGAATAAACACATAAACACACGAAAAAAAATGAAAATGTTGTTGATTATAATAATAATAATTTGTGAAATTTGTTGTTTTAGGATCGTATTGTATATGTGATGAACAACAACAACAACAAAACACAAACACGCACATACTTGACAATCATCATCATCACCATCATCGTCGTCGAAGCCAAAACATGTGGGACAAATTAAACTTTTTTTGTTCTGTTGTTGTTTAGTGGTTGTTCACTTGAAATGTAGAAATTTTCAAATGAAAAAATTCTTTCAAATATTCAATTCAAAACACTGACAAATGATGAAAACAGAAATAAAATGAGCTGTGTCAATGATGAAAAATGGAAATTTTTTTTTCTCAATCCAGATTGGAAAATAGTCGAGAAAAAAGGTGCGCCTAATATTAATGGCGGGCGTCACCACCATAAAATTCGGACAAATAATCTTGGGATTGGTATACACTCCGGGAATCGACAATAAAATTTGGGACTAAGTTTTTTTATTGCATAAATTTCAAATACAAAAAATCGTGCAACACAAGATCATCAGAATCCAATATATGAAACCAGACAACTCGTTTGTTTGTTTGGGCGAAATCTAAACATTCGCAAATCAATATCTATCTATCTATCATTTACAACACACACACCATTAGATTAGAATAAAGAAAAAAAACTGGTCGCCATCGTGATGGTTGACAAAGAACCCCCCTCTCTCTTGCAATGTCTCGGGCGCAAGATGTGAATGACATTTTTCTTTTCATTCTCATATTCATAGTAGTTGGGTAGTTTTTTTTCTAAATGAATAATAATAACCGGACTACAACTACATCATCATCGTGTGCATTGTAATGGAACGCGAATTATCATTTTTTTTCATCGTCATCATCATCAATGATGTTCAATGACCGGAATATAATATAATTATTTATATTCCAACCACAACAAAAAAAAATGAAATTTCAAGATTCATCATGAGAATCTAAAACAGGTAATGTTTACATATATCACACACAGAATGTTGTTGTTGCAATGTAAACAACCGATCACAAATCAGTGTGTGTGTGTGTGTGTGTGTGGTTTGAGCCAAAGGTAAGATATATGAATGTTAAAGGGTTATGTGACACCAAAAAAACGTTGACATTACGTTTTTGACAACGAAAACGAAAAAATTCCATTCTCACACAAAACAGATATTTTTGTATATGGTAAAGATCAAATAACTTACACATTATAAAATGATGATGGTAATAATAGTGGAATTTTAAATATTCAAAGAATAATCCAGAAACACAAAGAAAAATTGGAAAATTTCAATTGTGACACAAACACATTTTGATTCAAAAGAAAATATGCGTTGAGATCAAAAGTCAATTAAGTTGATGTGCTCAATCACACATTGTCTTCGTGTTCATATATATAATCAATGTGGAAAAATATAGAAAAATCTCTCTCTCTCACCACTTCACTTTTTCATTTGCTGGCCAATTGTGCCAATTGCACATTGATGGATAGAATTGAAAATTAAAGATGAGAAGATCCGAAATATGCTACGCATTCAAAAGAAGAGAGAAAGCTACGAATATGTCTGTGTGTTGTTGTTGTTGTTGTTGTTGAAAGACGGGTTTTTTTTTTTTCTCACCAATTCTTCAATTTTCCATTCTATCTAAATGGCAAGCCCAACCAAATGTGTGTGTGTATTGGATCACATGCACACACCACTGTGTATACCTTCAAAACTAACCATTTATACCATACCACTAGAAGATAGCTTGAATTGCAATCCAAACATTTTCAACACAAACACATTGCAATGATTGAATGACAGAGACTGACTTAACCATTCTTTTGTTCAAAATTGGATCCATCCAAAGAAATAAAACAAGAGAAAGAGAAGGAAATATTTCCATGAACAACATAACACATACCTGGTGCGAGGGATAATTATGATGATTAGTGGATGCAACAATCTTTTTTGATGAAAAATAAGAGGAAGAATTTTGAAGAAAAAATTGCAGCAAATGACCTATTGAAATTTTGTGAAATAATCAATGAAAATCACCACTTGTTGATGATAGCCATATGCTGCTGTAGCTGGTTATTTTTGGACGGGCGGAAACCTTTTCATTTCACAAAAGTATGCATCTTTGAACGTGTGTGTGTGTGTGTGGTATAGATTGTGCATTTCGGGTATTTGAAATAGTCGATGGTGGTTTTCTTTGCTTTCTTTTCATTTGATGTGATTACAAGCTGGCTTTTTTTTCGTCGTTTACAAGTTTGGAAAGTCCCAATGATGAATGGGTGTCACACAAACGTTGATTGTTGACCATATGTGTTGTTGTCGTTGGCCTAGATTTTCATTTTCATTCTCCAAGGTCTTTGCACAGTGTGTGTGTGTGTTGTGTATGTGTACCAAACAAAATTAGGGTCGTCTACAAAACACGGATGTCTTAAATTGAAAAGATGTGTCTGTGTGTCAAAGGGAAGCAGGATTAAAATCTGGAAACAATCCAATACTCAAGTGTTCTGGTGAATGACCCACCGTGACGTGACGAAACGAATTTTGTTTTGTTTTCAACAAAAATCGAGCGAAAAAAAATTGTTCCGTTTCAATGGAAAAAAATGATGAGTGGATGAGTCATGATTCATGTATGAATTTTTTGTTTTTTGTTTTGTGGTATGTTTACTTTAATTAAACACAGAAAATACGCACACACACACACATTTTATGGAAAGCAAGAAAAAAAAACAAAACAAAGATAAACACCATCAAACGGTTCATCAATGAGATAGAGATAGATGATTTGAAGTGGTTTTGAAACGATAAAAACTGAGTGAGTGAGTGAGTGCAGAAAAAATTTAACCAACCAAATCTTACTACTTGAATAGGAAAAAAAATTGTTTGATAAACGCAGATAAAATAAAATACACTTGGGCAAATAAAAATAGAAGTGTGTGGTAATTTGCAAAAATTTTTTCTATTGAAATCCGATTTCCACCTAGAAAACGAAAAAAAACAAATGAAAAAAAATTGATTTTCAGCTGAACGAACAATTCATTCGAATATTCGAACGTTTTTTTGTTGTTGTTGTTGATATCCGGCCATTAAAATAGGACGTAATGATTTTAAAATCCGATTAATTATCACAAAAAAGCGATCAAGAAAGAAAAATGATCCGAAGATTCGTTTCCAAGTAGATGATGATGAAATGATTCACATACAATTAATTATGATTATCTTGATTTGTCATATGATGATTATGATGATGGATAAACATGGTATTTGGATAATAGAAAAAGATTCGATTCGGGAATCATTAATATGTTTGACATGTTTGAAATACTTGACCGACGACGTCGTCATCCTTTTTTGATTGATTATGATAAAGGTATTGTTGTTTATGGCAGCCACCACAAACCAGCATTCAAACCAAATGATGAATGAATGAACTGTGCTGGTTGAGAATGTGCAAAAAAAAAAAATTTAGAAAATTCAAAAGACGACCGTTGAGGTGTACCGAATTTTTTCAATTTGACCACCAATACCACCATAAAACATGAGCATCATCATCATCATTAATTTGCATATATGTGCTATCTTATTGATCTTTGACCTACTTGTTACTGTTGTAAAAAAATGTTGCCGTCGTCTTTCGGGATTTAAAAAAATCTATCTAAAACCGAGAGAAAAATAAAATATAACTGGACACCCGATAATTCAAACTACATTGATGATGATGTGCTACCCACTTTAGTTCACACAACGATGATGATGTTGATGTTTTTTTTGAAATTCGAATAAAAAGAAAAACAACAAAAAATTGACGACCATGACGCGATATTCGTGATATCGAACGTGATTATTTTGATAAAAAAAACGAACGAACGACCGATATACATCACATTATCGATGGATGAATGAATGACTTTTTGAAAATGAATAAATTCCGAACAATTTAACCCCTTTTTCCCTCTTTCTCTCTCTCGAAAAAAAAATGTTGAACAACTCGACCCATGTATATATGGCCGGAATTCAAACATTCGAATTGACTGAAACTGGGAAATTTCCCGAAAGAGTTAATTTCGAAAAATCAGGAAAAAAATTTCCCCGAAATTTATTTCATTTTCAGCGATATCGATGTTTTTTTTGCAGCTGATTTTTGTTTTATTTTAATCTAATAATTTGAAAAGAAAAATTTTTTTTTTGACGTAATATAATTATTATCAACAAATTAATGACACACATTATCTATTTCAACGAAACGAAGCCAATCCAAGTGATGGGATGATTTTTCGTTGATTGATCGTTCGATTGATTTGAAAAAAAAGGTTCTGATAAAGCACTTTTTTATCTCTCTCGAAAAAAAAGATTTAACAAAACCCTTCCAGACAGACACGTGGCCTCTACCATCATCATCATCATCATCAACAACAAGAGCAACAAAATTCGAAAAAAGCAAAGAAGCAAAAACATATATGGCCCATTTGGTTGGCATATTCGATGACAAAAAAAAACCTTTGCCAGATTCATTAATAACCTAATCATAATCTTGGCCAAAAACAACAACGAAAAAAAAAACAAAATCTCAGCCACTTTTTTTAATAATAATAATAATAAATATTCCTCATTTTTATATATCAAGAATTCAATCAAAATCTAAAAATAAATTTTCAACCAACAAGCAACAGCAGAACAAGAAGAAGAAGAAGAAAACGAAACCACCGTATGCAGATGATAATCACCATTTTCTATATATTACATATTAACTACTATCATCATCTGAATCAATTTTAACCAAGTCGTCATTGTGTGTGAATGAATAACTAAAAATTCATTCCAATTCATCTCTCTTTGTGTGTGTGTGTAGTTGTTGATTAATTCTGTTGAAGAATTGAATGTGTGTGGCTATATATCATGTCTTGAAAAAGTGGGAAAAAAAATTTTCACCGCATTATCATCATAAGCAAAGAAAAACTCCTGGATGGTGGTGATGATATTCGCCATCAATGCCATCATCATCATCGACAAAACAAAACCACGAATCAAATCAACCAGCCAACTACTGTGTGTGTGTCATTGTTGGAATAAAATAATTTCAATGCCAATTCAATACACAACCATAAAATATACCAAGTCGAATCCTTTTATAATATTCTTTAACAACAACAACAACAACAAACAAACAAAACAACAACAGCGAAAAACTTTTTTGGGTATATTTATTTAGTTTTGTAAAAATACCACATAGCTATCCGGATTGATTTTTTTTCTGGTTTTGAATTATGTTCCATAATAATCATCATCATCATCGTAGTCATCATCGATCATCATCACTATTGAAAATAATCTCAGCATGCACTACTACTACTGTGACGACGACCATATTGATCATCTTGATGATCATCATCATATCAACAACCACCACCGCATCATTCATTGTTCAATGCCAAAATATTGTTGATAATAATGATATTTCTATGCTACAATCATCATCACCACCGATAACGAATAATGATCAACCATCGTCTTCATCTATTTCAACATCATCATCATCTATTTCGACTGATAATGATGATCAAAAGGTTGTTGAAAATGATCAACAACAACAAGAACAGCTAAAATCAATATCGGAATCGGAAACATCATCCATCATCATCACCAGTAAAAATATGTCTAATTATTATTATGATAATTTCATTTCAATAATGTGGCCATCCATTGTTGATATTGTAAATTTTTCATATGAAAATTTTCATTATTTTCTAACAAGAACGTTGACATTATTTTCACCATCATCAACAACAATCGATGATTATTTGCCCGTAGGAAATAATAATAGTGATAATAAATCATATAATAATTATACAATGATAATCAATAATCTATTTGTTGATCCATCAATAGCAACATTGATGGTATTTATGTTTCGTATGGAAACAATATTTACCATAATCATTCTATTCATTCTATCGTCATTCATTATTCATCATCATCATCGACGAAATGTGATCCAATCACCATCACCATCACCATCACAAACAACAACAACGGCTCAATCTTTAAATCAAAATCATTCACCAACAACGACAATGACATTTTCATTTAAAAATTTTCTATCGAAATTATTTCATTATCTAAACGTGACGATATTATTTGGTTATCTATTCACGGCGGTCGATTCGACAATTCGATCATATTTTGAACAACAACAGACCGTTGTAAATCAATTTCATTCTGGACAGGCTGGTGCTTATTCAATGCAAGGTCGTCGTCATAATATGGAAGATTGTTTTTCCATTCACAATAATATTGGCCATGAATTAGGTATCGAATATTATGCCGTATTCGATGGTCATGGTGGTCCGGTATGTTTTTTTTGTGTTCGATTTTTATCCAATGTTCATAAATGACATATCATTTATCTATTTCCATTTCAGAATGCCGCATTATATGCTGATAAAGAAATATTCGATTCAATTGTCAAACGAATTAAAAATCATGTTTATAAGAATAATGATAATGATGATGATAAACTGCCATTACAATCTTGTACAATGAATGCTTCTTTGGCCCGAAATTCCGATAAAAATACCTGTGCAAAAAACAATCGTTTTGAAACATTAACAATGTCAACAATGAAAACAATATTGAATGATGAAGTAATAGACGTCGATAAACGTTTATTGGAAACATTTCAACGGCGATCCGATATATCTGGTTCTACGGCATTGATTGCCATTCGTTTATTACATACGAATAAATTATTAGTTGCAAATGTTGGTGATTCACGTGGTATATTATGCGATTCAAAAGGCGCCACCATACCATTGTCATTTGATCATAAACCCTATCAGGTATTGATTTCAGATTTGTAATCATATTTTTTGTTTGACATTTTTTTTTCATTTTTAAAAAGTTGAAAGAATATCGCCGCATACTTGAAGCTGGTGGTTATATTAGCCTCAAAGGTGTTTATCGTGTAAACGGTATACTGGCCATTTCTCGGGCATTAGGTGATTATCCATTGAAAGATAATCGATTAATAATACCAGATCCAGATATATTATCATTCGATTTGCGAGAATTGAAACCAAAATTTATGATTATGGCATCCGATGGTTTTTGGGATACATTCACCAATGAACAGGCCGTACAATTTGTTAATAATGAATTATCAAAATATCATGATAGATCATCATATGATTCGAATGATATTTCATCATCATCATCACAATCATCGATTGCATTGGCAATAGCAAAAAAATTGGCCAAAGAATCATATAATCGGGAATCATATGATAATATAACCGTCATTGTTGTTTTGTTTGATGAAAATTATGATGTCTGTTCAAAAGATTCTGTTTCTTTGTCATCATCATCATCATTGATAAAAAAATCTAGTCCGATAAAGAAAAAGTTTCATCGAATCAACAAGAATCATCATCATCATCATTGAAGCCGGCCATTCATGAAGAATCATAACCATGAATCATCAGCTATTTAAATTGTTAAATTATTTCTTTCTTTTCATTTTTGTTGTATTTTTTTCGTCAATTGTTTTTAGCAAAAGAGAAAACATTAAAAAAAAATTTTCAGAAAAAGGTATTCAATTTATTCAATTGGCAAAAAAACAAAACAAAACAAGCAAAAAAAAATCATTGATCAATCAATAAATCATTACCCCATTGAAAGAGAAAGTAGATGAGAGATATGCATTAAAGTTAAATTATCAAATTGTTCGATTTGCAGATTATCTTGTTCTATAGATTCGATATGTGGATTATTATTTATCGGAATGAAAATTGGATATGATGTTGATGGTTTTTTTTTGAGAGCGAAAGAAATTGTACGATATGTTTGTGTGTGTGTGTGTGTTTAGCTGAAACAAACAATGTTGGACAACAGGGAGTAAAATACGTATGTTGGTGTGGGTCGGAGGCTGGTTAGAAAAGAGAAAGTTAATTCAATTGTTGACATGAATGTTGGCACATAAAAGTAGTAGTCGTCATCATCATCATCATTATCGTTGATCATGATGATTCGATGAAATTAAAAGTTCTTTAACCTGTTCACAATGGCTGAAACCAAGATTTTTTTCCAATTCCAATATCTTTAATTTCATATAACGATTTTTCAGTATTTTATTCTCAATCTCCAATTCAAGTAATCTTTGTTCACTTTGATATTCATACTGGTGATCATTATTAATAACATTTTGGATTATTGGTTTCGATGATGATGATGATGATTTACCATTACCATTAACCATTGTTGTTGTACCATTATTATTATTATTATTACGATGATGAATAACGTGTGGTTGATTTTTAACATTATTTTTCATATTTGATGATTCATTGTTGGTCATTGAATTAGATTTATTGTTTGGATGATCATTGATGACAATTTTTGGTATGAGTAACATTTCATCCATAATAAATTGCGAATCTTCTTCATCCGAATCAATCATGTATTCATCATCGGATTCAATCATTTCTTCTTCCTCTTCTTCATCAACTTCATCTTCATCGTCATCGATTTCATTGTTATTTTCATGTTTAATAGTTGTTTTCATTTGTTGTTGTTTGAATCCATTTTGAATTTTTTTTATCATCGATTTATCTGGTGTTTGTCCCAGAATATCTGATATAAGAAATTCACATTCATCCATATTCAGACGATAACCATTGGATGCCAGATATTTCAAACGTTTATGTGCACGTTTACGCCAATTTGAGAATGATACATCACGAACGTAGCGCCAATCTTTTTCCGCTGATACCATGCCAGAATCACGCATCATTATGAATATTTCACGCCATATATGTTCTTTTTCGATTTTGTATTTTTTCTTTGTGAATAAAATGTCTTTTTTTTCATTGATAAATGTCAAAATATTCAATCGTTTAAGTTTATTTTCACTCAGCATTTTCATTATCTGTGGGGTGGAGAAAAAGTTTTTTTTCAAATTTCAAAAATGTAAAAAAAAAATTCGAATAAACTTACTTTTGGTCCTCCTTTCGTGGTGGTGGTGGTGGCGGCGGCGGCGGTAGTGGTAGCAGTAGCGGTTACAATCGAATTGATTTTATTATCATGATGATGATGACCACCATTATTGTTGTCCATCATTGTTGTTGTCGTCAAAAGAATTTATTCACTTTGATTAATGTCGAGAATTTATTGAAAAGAATGATATGAATAGATTTCGATGATGAAAGGATTGGAGAATTTTTTTTCCCAATAACAACGGCTAGTCACTCATCATCATCACTCATTACTAAATATCCAATCGTGAATAGATCACAAAATAACATTCGAGCACACACACACACACACAATACACATTCTCGGGTTTCGTCACTCGATAGGTTTTTTTTTCTTCACTTTGGTCATAATAACCGAATCCGAATAACCATCGCATAGTGATGAATAATAGTGGAGCAAGAAGAAAAAGAAGAAGTGAAAAAAATGAACCAGCGATTAAAATCCAAAATATTCTATACGCATCCACAGAAAACAGGAAAAAAAATGATGGAAAGTGAGAGAGGGCAATCTAGAACCCCATAACATAGAATTCTGAACCATAGAATTGAAAAGGCGAGAGAGTGAGAGAAAAAAACCAGAGCGAAAAATAACAAGTAGAAGCCGTCTTACTTGACTAGGTAGAAGTTGAATTTTTGTGACTGGCACTCTGTGTGCGTGTGTTCCACAGAATCCAATGAAAACAGACCAAAAGCATCCATCTCATAAAATCGCCTATAGAGATGGAATGCATCTCTCCACTATATCTGAAATAGAAGAAGAATAGTAATGTAATGTAATTGTTCGAATTGCAAACCATTCGATGATGTTTGTTCCATCCAGGAGGATTTTTTTCGCATTCATTTTGGACCAGAATTGAGCAATAACACACACACACGTAGACAGACTGCAGCCATCGAAAATAAAATTTTAATCAATGTTAATCGTAAAATGAGAAACTTTATTCAATTTATTCACATGAATCAAAAAAAAAAAACAATTCAGCACTAAAATTTGGCAGAAAAAATTCACAATCAACAAATCTTTCAAGTGCGAGGGTGATGATGATTTTCATATGGCTAAAAAGCAAGACAGACTAAATAATTTTTTTTCAAACACTAAAAAATATTCAGATGAGACGACTTAATCAATCAATCAATCATTTTGCTTTGGGACTAAAATATCGATTTTCTTCATACACACACAACCACAGACAATCGATAGATTCGTTCATTTTTTATCCATAAAATACGGTTGTCCATCATTTTTCCTTCGACGAGTCATTATTTCACAGCCAATATCTGTGACTAAAAATGTTTGTTCAAATTGTGCCGATCGACGACCATCCATTGTAACGGCTGTCCATTCATCGGGCCATGTTTGATCACGCCAATTACCTTCCGATATCATTGGTTCAATAGTGAATGAATGACCAGATTTCATTATACCACAAGCTTTATTCTTGGCATAATGTGGTACCTGTGGTGCTGTATGAAATAATCGATGTATACCATGGCCACAATAACTTCTGACAACAGAATAGCCATGTGCAGATACATGTTTCTGTATAACATTGCCAATTTCACGATATTTTTCACCTGGTTTTATAATGGCAATTGCTTTCTGCAATGCTTCATACGTAACCTGGACCAATTTTCGATGTTGTGGTGCCACTTCACCGATGAACATTGTTTCATTCAAATCACCATGAAAACCACGATGATACACGGTTATATCGACATTTAATATATCACCATTTTCTAATGGCCGTTGATCGGGTATTCCATGACAGATGACTTCATTCACCGATGTACAACATGATTTAGGAAAATTATAATAGTTCAACGGTGATGGATAACATTCACGTTCAATACAAGCTTCGTGAACAAGACGATCAATTTCATCGGTAGTAATACCGACATCTGCTGCTTCATAGGCAACATCCAAAACTTCACGTGCCAATTTACATGCTAAACGCATTCCTTCGATTTCTTCATCATCCAACACACGAATCTGTGTACTGCCCTTGACACTTTGTTCACATGCTGATTCACCCAATGGATGATCAGCATAATCTGGACGCATTATATGTTCGGGTACCGTACGTTTTGGTGACAATGGATACATTGGCCGCAATGGCCCGGTAAAGCTAAACATTGGCCATGGATTATATGGACAATTCGTTACTGTTGCTGAAGCTGTTGGTTTCGTTTGATTTTTGGATTCTTCATCCGGAAATTTTCGGTGTAAAAGTTTATGTTTTGGCCATGCTGTACGGAAACAATCCTGTGAACAAAATACCGATGTTTCAATACCTAATTTCAAACATTGTGGGCATTTCAGTGTCGATGCTTCACCACCACAACCAGAACATGTAATAACAGCCGTCATTTGTTGATCGTTTGAATTTTAAAATTTATTTTTCTATAGAAAAAAAAGACAAAAAGGACACTTGAATAATAATTTGTTTAGGAATTAAATAGTGAAAAAAAATTGACCGAATTTTTCTCGGAAAAATCATGTGCAATACATCTATCGTATCGTTGTATCACGGTTACAAAACACGGCAAGCTTGAACGAAAAAAAAACAAATAACGCCATTCATAATGAACGGAATCTTTACTTTTGTCAATGTTTCGAATTTTAGAACGATGATCGCGTGAATGAACGGTATACATTTTTTTCACATCCATGCATAGAATACGTTACATTTAAGTGAATTTTTGTTTTGTGAAAGAAAAAGAATTTATAAAACACTTTAACCAAGTCAAGTCTTTTATCATTTGGATAACGATGAAACGAAAAAAATTGTCAATATTTCGTCTATTACAAGAACGTGAATTAGGCAACTATCACCAAAGTCCATGGCTATTTCAGGAACATGTGCAAAAATCATTGATTCGAATGGTGCGTTGATTTTTTGGATTTCGAAATTTCAATTTTTTTAATTTACAAAATTTTTATTCATACAGCCTGGTCATTACAAATTCAGCAAAAAACAACAATATTACAGTTTGATTGTGGTTGATGAGTGAGTTTTTTTTTAAATTTGAATCAATTTTTTTCATTTTAATGTTTTTTCCCGAACAAAAAAAAAGTTTATCCATTTATTCCAATCGAATGGCTGAACGTTATACATTGTAAGTTTTTTTTGTTCTCCATTTTAAGGTTTTAAATTTTTTTCTGTTTTCAAATTTCCAGAACAAAAAACCCTAATAATAATGATATTCAACTGCAACCACTTTATCCGTCAACAACGACAACACAACAATCATTTCCATATAAACGTTTTTTGGATTATATCCTCATCACTTCATTGTTATGGGTATGTTTTCATGATTCTGTAAATTTGATTGAATTTCAATTTTTCAACTTTTCAATCAGTCCTGTGATAAAGTACCGTTACCGAAACAAGATTTTCTTGATGGTTTTTATTGTCTTGTATTGAAAAGAATACCTGAATTGAATACAATGTCCACCATTCTTTATATACAATCACATCGTACAGGTGAAATTCTTCAATCATTACCATTAACTATTGATTCCAATCGTCAACACAATTTTCGTGAACTTGAATATGATTTCAATAATCAACAATTAATTATTCATACACGAAGTACTCAAATTCTTTCAAAGCGTTTATTGTCAACAACACAGACCATTATAACATTTTCATTGATAATTTTCAAATTATTTCCATTTCGATTACGTACATTTATCGATTTTACACGAAAAGCAACTGGCCATATAACCAAATGGATGATTTCCATACAAAATAATCTACTTATGTTCATTACGGCCAAAAACACTTTTTCCATATATGATTTGGATGAAATTCTTAAACTTAACGGCTATGATCCTTCAACATTAATGAATATAGATTATCAACAACAGCAATTTCTAAAACCAAATTGCTGTGTTCAACAAATGCCAACATGTTTATATCGGTTCAAATGTGATCATATTGAATTCATACCGCCGATACCATGGTTATTTTTTGCACAAATACAAAGATCTGGATTTTCATGTTACTATGTTTATGAATTTCCGAAAACCGGAGAACATTACCGAGGTTATCGTCAATATCTTTTTGATGATAGTCCTAGTCTAAATGCCGAACTATTTGAACAACAAATTTATTTTGATGGAATACAACGATTAATTTATTATGTAACAAGTGGTTATCTGGCCATTTATCGTCATCATCCACATGATATTCAGCGTATTTATGTTGTTCCAAAAGAGATTGACATGGAAAAAATACAAAAGATAAAGGTATCCGAATTACGAATGAACAATTATAATGATAATTTCGAACAAACAGAATCCTCATCATCATCACTATCTATAATTATGTCCGATTATCTGGATCAATTGGACACAATGTTATTGTTGACAATTGATGTAAATCATTCAAATAGTATGCAGCTACATATCGTCAATGATTTATCATCGTCAACAATAACAACAATAAAAACCAGTCAAATTCGTCATATAGAATTGAAGGAAATTGAATATTTTGAAGATCATGAATACAAAATACATTGGCGAAATAATTTTTTAATAATGATCAGTGAACGACGACAATATACACAATGTTTATATGTTTATCAATTTGAATCAGATTCAATAATCAATCAATAAAATCTTCCCCATTATCAAAATATGAATCCATATAATCATTATCTTCTTCCATTGAATCGGGATTTGCCAATTCTTCATCATTATCATCATCATCGTCATCATCGGTTGTTGCTTCTCCTTCTTGTTTGGTTTTTGTTTTATCCACCACCGTTTGATCATTTCTTTCAATTATATCACCCACAAGTGTTGGTTGATCATCATCATCATCATCAATGTTATATCGTCGAATAATGGTTTTCTTTTTTTTGGCTTTAATTTTTTTCTTCCTTAATTCACCATCACCATCATTGATTGTATCGGAATATTGATCTAGACCTAATAATCTTGTCATTAATCGGGCATCATCATAAAGACTTTTTCGTTGTTCAATTACATCGGTCATAAATGTAGATGTATCATCAATATTTAAAATATCTAAACGTTCCAATTTCAATGAATATGGATCATCATTATTTGAATCCATAAGCATTGTTGTTGCCGCTGTTGACGATGATGTTGATGGATTAGCATATCGTTCCATTTTTCTACCACTCATGGTGGAAAAATATTTTTAGATTCGTGATTCAAAAACAACAACAACAACAAAAATTGAAAAATTTTTTAAACACGTGAGTTATCAACGTATAAACACGACGAATGAAGAAGAACCCGGTTTATACGTTGATAACTGGTTTTCGATTTATTCATTCGCGAAACTGTGTGTGAAAATTTTTCTATCCAATATTCAAATCAAAAATCGACTTGTTGCTTGTTTGCTGTCACGCCATTTGAAAATATCTTGATTATCGATACTTAATACTCACTCACATAATGTATACATTGCTGATAAACGATGATGAACATCTCTTTACTGTTGTTGTTGATGATGTTTATGTAAAGTGTTACCTCAAGGCTATCGATGGGCATCAACAACAACAATTTATCGATTTGAAAAAACCTCCTGATGATCATTGCAATCATTAGCAAGCGGTAGCAAGGAATTTTTTCTCAAAAGTTTATTTGAATTCAATGTCCAAATTAAAAACAAAAACCTAAATCATCATCATCATGATGTCCGGTATAATTCGAATGAGAAATTATTCATTTCTGAGGTAAATGGTGCAATGGCAATTCATTGAGTTTTTCTCTTTTATCATTCAAATGTTTTTTTATAGGCAACCATTTTCATCAATTAAAAATCGAATTCAATATTCGCAATCTAAAGTTGAATTGGAACATATTGGTCAAAGGCCAGAAACGTCGACGGTTAAAAATATTGGTAAATTATTGATTGCGAATCGTGGTGAAATTGCTTGTCGAATCATACGTACAGCACGACGTTTAGGTGTTGAAACGGTTGCCGTTTATAGTGATGCTGATCGTCATTCAATGCATGTTGCTATGGCTGATGAAGCCTATCATATTGGACCATCACCAGCAGCTAATAGTTATCTTGTGAAAGATAAATTATTGAATATCGCTCAGCAATCACGGTCCGATGCCATTCATCCGGGTTATGGATTTTTATCGGAAAATTTTGAATTTTCACAACTTTGCACTGATAATAATATAATATTCGTGGGACCAACATCTGATGCCATTAAATCGATGGGAATAAAATCATTATCGAAATCTATTATGATCAATGCTGATGTTCCAGTGATACCAGGATTTCATGATGATCAACAACAGAATAGTGAACGATTATTAGAACATGCTAAACAAATTGGATTTCCCGTCATGATCAAAGCAGTTCGTGGCGGTGGTGGTAAAGGTATGCGTATAGCATTGACAGAACAAGAATTTCTCAATCAATTGGATTCAGCACGTCGTGAGGCAATGAAATCATTTGGTGATGATATTGTTCTATTAGAAAGATTTGTGCAACGTCCACGTCATGTTGAAGTACAGATTTTTGGTGATAAATATGGCAATTGTGTTTATCTTTTTGAACGTGATTGTTCCAGTCAACGTCGTCATCAAAAAGTGATTGAAGAAGCACCTGCACCACATATAACCGAAGAAATTCGCGAAAAACTTGGTACATCAGCTGTAAAAGCAGCTAAAGCTGTCGATTATCATGGTGCTGGTACCGTGGAATTTATTTTCGATAATCGTGATCAAAAATTCTATTTTATGGAAATGAATACACGATTACAGGTTGAACATCCTGTCACTGAAATGATTACCGGTTTAGATCTTGTTGAATGGCAACTACGTATAGCTGGTGGTGAACCATTGCCAAAACAACAAACCGATTTCATTAATGGTCCAATTGGACATTCATTTGAAGCACGAATTTATGCTGAAGATCCAGAATCGAATTTCGCACCATGTACCGGTTTTATCGAATCATTATCATTACCGAAATCATTTATGCCACATGAAATTCGTATCGAAACAGCCGTACGACAAGGTGATGAAGTATCTGTCTTTTATGATCCAATGATTGCTAAACTGGTTGTATGGGCACCGGATCGTTCTACGGCCCTTAGAAAATTATGTCAAGCATTACGTGAATATCATCTGACTGGTATGAAAACCAATATTGATTATCTATTACGACTGGCTATGCATCCAAAATTTCAATCTGGTGATGTATACACAGATTTTATAGCCGAACATCAACAAGATCTTTGTCGACCGGCCATCAAGGATGAAAATTATCGTCACCTGATTCAGTCTGTGGCTGCCATAGCATTTGTGTATAGACAAAAATCGCGTCATCAACAATCATATCGCCACCGTAATAATGATTGGACATCACCATTCAATTCGATTGAAGGTCCATGGATGAATGGTTCAATAGATTCATATAGTTCTATTCATGATATTCAATTGAATTCGATACAAGGATTTGTGGATGACGATAATTCTAAAAATTCAAAACTTTGTATTCAATGTCGTGGTCATAATCGATATCAAATCGATATTTTCGATGATGGTGGTGGTGGTGATAACAAAAAACCATTACAAACATTAGCTATTGAAGCAGAATTTTTGAATGATGAAACAAAAAATCCAGTATCGATTATAACAATTGATGATGATGGTCATCGTAAAAAATTCGATATTTCGCTACATGGTGATCGTTCCGTTTCGATTTATGATCATAATTTTGGTACATTCACATTTGAATTACGATTACCGGATTTTATTCAACAACAACAACAATCATCTGATTCCTCAACGACAATTTTTGATGGCAAAAATATTACCAGTCCAATGCCAGCTGTCATAGAGAAAATTGCCCATAAACCTGGTGATACAATTCGTAATGGTGATATAATTGCCATTCTAACAGCTATGAAAATGGAACATGTAATTACTGCCAAATTTGATGAAAATCAAACCGAAAGAGTTGTGGAACAAGTTTTCTTTAAACCAGGTGATAGTGTGTCGAAAAATGCCGTTATTTTACGATTAAAATCGATTGAATCGATCTAATAAAAAAAAAATCAATTATCAACTGTCTTTCATTTTGTCGTTTTTTTGAATAAAAATAAATTTTAAAGTTTATTGAATCAAAACTAAGAAAAAAAATTGGGCCCAACCGAAAACACCAGAATTTTTTCGCTGTAAAAAACAATTTAATTTTAAAATGTTTCTTTCAACAATTCAATCACGATTAGAGTCCGAACTTCGACCTAACTTTGTTTCAACACAATTTATCTTGAATCATTTTTTGAGATTAGATAATCGTTCATTAAAGGAAAAAAATTGCATTTTTTAATTAATGAATTACAGTAATACCCCGCTTAACGCGGGGGGTTACGTTACAAAAATTCTGAGCGTTAAGCGAAACAGCGCTAAGCGAGGCTTTTTGCCCTTCATATACAATGTAACAATGTAATTCAATGTAGGGTAATTGTACAGCATTATATCGAATCAGCGCTAAACGGGGCAGCGTTAAGCGGGGTATTACTGTAAAAAAGAAAACGGGGCCTAGCCGGGAATTGAACCCGAAACCTCACGCAAATTAGTGGGCGGAAATCGGGATTAGTGTGTGTTGCACATAAGCCCGAATAATTTCTTTCTTGATATTTTTTTTCTCTGTGTTCGATAACATAACACATAAAAACAACTTGCAGTGTATAAACCCTAAGCATGAATCATACCATTAGACCACTAGGCCGAACATAACGAAAGTAAGCACAGAAAAGAAAGTAGGGTTAGCACTCCCCGAAATTGGTTAGGGCAGTGATTCCCAACCGGTGGTTCGCGAACCCTTGGGGGTTCGTAGGATATGTAAAAGGGTAACTTTGTATTTACTCGTATTTTTATTTTGGTTCGCGAAGAAAAAAAGGTTGGGAAACACTGGGTTAGGGCTAACCCTAAAAACTAATCAAAATGGGTTAATGCTAACCAAGAAAGGTTAGCACTAAACTGCAATGCTCACCCTCAATGGTTAGCACTAACCAATTTGGATTATTTTCATACACACCATACAAGTACTTTTCATGTATAAACCTATCAAAATAATTTTAAAAATTGATAAAATAAAATTTTACACTAAAGTTTGCAAAAATCTATATTCTGTGGCGCTCTTGGCGTCACAGCCTTGATGAACGACCCGTGAGTCGGGCATGTTTTAATAAAGTAAGTAATCATTCTTCTTCCTCAAGTGATGCATCGCTACATAATTGGTAACTCAGTGATTTTTTTTTATTTTTCGTTAATAATAATCAAAAATGATGAAAAAACGGTTACAAACAAAGTTGAATCCGTATCGGTCAAATTACAAGAATTTTGGGAATCCGATCCCGAAACATGGTTGAAAACAGCTGAATATCAATTCCGTTTGGCTGGTATCGTAAACGAAGAAACGAAATACTATCATATTGCATCACGATTACCAAGCACATTTTACAAAATTGTAAAGATTATGAACAATCTCTTTGTTTGATCTGCATTGAATTAGTGGCTCCAGAGAGTATAGAAACATAAAGTTTAAAACATGTGTGGATGATTTTACGTTGTACTGGTTTTAAACCATCCATCAAAGATGATATTGATCGTCCATTTTTCATTATACAGAAGGCTAGCAATGCCTTGCAGATGAAATCTTTGTAGGAAATCTCTCGTGTATCCTGTTCATAAAGCTGGATTTTATTTATCCAATTAACAGGATCTCGGCAACGTTTTTTAATTTCTTCTTCGATCCAAATTCTTCAATCATTCCTTTTTTTTACTGAAAGCCATTTCAATGGCATCATCATCATTGTTATCCATATAACATAATTTTATTCGATGTTCTTTAATATTCGAAAAATATTTTTTAATATCATTTTCTGCCACTCCCCCTAAACCTATAGACAAACAAATGATTGATAATGAAAAAATAGAATATTCAGAAAGAAAATCAAAATCAAAAAAAAAAAAATACCTTTATTATACTTTGTTTCGTATAATTTGATGTTTTTTTGTCCATTGTTCATAATCCGGTAAAGAATAAAATTCGCGAATTGAACTTCCTCTACTCACTGTAACAATTGGTGTTATAAACTTTTCCAGAAAATGTAATCTTATCAATGTAGGCCAGTTAAAATGAATGGCATTTATAATTAGCCCGGCAATGTGTGTTCCATCATGGTCTGGGTCAGTCATAATCAATTTGCTAGAAGTTATTTTATTACATGATATCTGTAATTAATCAATTGCAATTATTGCTTGAAGAGGATTATTGTCAAGAAGATTTTGAATGTGAAGACAATTATTGTGATTTGAAATTAGCACTGGATAAAAATATCATTAACGGTGATAATTCATTTGAAAATTTATTGATTTGCGACCTTACAGCGACAACGTGTGATGCAAATAATGTTAAAACTAAGCCAAGCCGCTGAATTTTATAAGATACGGAGGCGCAACCTTCGTCTCGCAGTTTCAGTTTTACACTCTCAAAACACCCTCGGAAATGATAAGTATAGAAATGAACGTTCAGAAGATTCAAAATCACGTGAAATAGATAGATCAATCATCAAATAGTGAACGAACGTATGTGTACATTCGCCGCAATATCTATATACACAGAGAGAAAAAATCGAAAATGATTTACCCAATATCCTGTCAATGAACAACGTTACCATTGAATTTGTACGCTGTTTATTGACAGGATATTGGGTAAATCGAATTTGATTTTTTCTCTCTGTGTACTCGCAATTTTTGCGTGTACTTTGATTATATCCACACAAAAAGTCGCTAAAAAATAGCCGAACCGTCAGATTCTGGTTTTAAAGGCTGAATCCGTTTCCTGATGTTTTATGATTATGATGAACAAAAATTTCGGTTGCGATATGAAATAGCAAAAGCCGAAATTCCTTTTTTATTTTATTTATTTCATTCTTATGTTGAAATTTGCATTGATTAATTTAAATTAAATTGATTGATTGATATAAAAATTCATTTTTTTTATTTTGTTGTCAAAGGAACATTCATAAATAAAATCATAAGTTTATGTTTGATCACTTTCGCTCTTTTCGTATGCGTATTTTCATTCGCTATTTTCGTCAGTCGCTATTTTCGGCTATCGCTATTTTAAGCCATCGCTATTTTTTTTCGCTGTTGTTGGTCGAAACCGAATATGAATGATGAAGAAAAACATATATGTTGTTGATGTTATTGGCTATTTTGATCCATTCGAACCTAATGGTGTTGAAATGAGGTGATGATAACTCACGTGTTTCAATTTTTAGAATTTTGACGATCTTGAGGATTGATTGTGTCTGTCTTTGTCATATATAAAATCAATCCAGAAAAAAATGTCACGAACTGTACCAAATTGTAATCGAAGTTTTTTGATCGAATCACTTCTTGAAAACAAACGAATCGATAATCGAACATTTTATCAATCACGTGATTTACAAGTAAATTTTGGCCGTACATTTGGCTCATGTTTTGTTCAACTAGGCAATACAATTATATATGCATCGACAGAAGCAACATTAGATGAACCACGAATTACACGACCATCGGAAGGACGTTTCAAAGTTATCATCAACATTGGTGCTGGTGGTAAAGAAAAATGGCTTCGAAATATTGAACGCTCACAACCAACCGAAGCAATATTGACGACAAGATTGTTGGAGAAAATTATTAATCGTATCAATGTTCTTGATCTAGAATCGCTATGTCTTGTTACCGGTAAAATGGTATGGTGTATTTGTACCAAATTGGTATTGCTGAATTTCGATGGTAATCTCATTGAAGCTGCATCTATTGCTACGATAGCATCATTAATGCATTTCAAACGTCCGGATGCAACCGTTTCACCTGATAATGGTGATATTATTGTACATTCATATGAAGAACGAAATCCAATACCATTGACATTATTTCATTATCCACTGTGTGTTACATTTCAATTTATGGATCGTACACATTTGAAAAAAATTCTGACGGAAAACCAGGAAATTTTACCTGAACAACATGAACATTTGGTACGTAAAGCAACACAACTGCTGATATGTGATCCAACTGAAGAGGAAGAAGATTTTCTTCACAATGTATTGATAATATGTGCAAATGTTTATAAAGAAATTGTTGCCATACAATCAATTGGACCATTATCATTACGATCATTTTCACAACGTTTATTACGTTCCTGTACGGACAAAGCATTTGAACGTGTACGATTTGTAACCAATTATTTAAAACAAACATTGGAAATGCATGTCAATACCAGTGGACAAAAACAACAACCATTTGAACGGTATGGTTTCTATGAAGCAATGCTCAATGGTGATCTATGTATCATACGTGATTATGATCGACATCCAGTTCTTGGTGATGAACAACATAATGATCATCATCACAATAATGGTGAAAATGATAATGAAATTTTGGAAAAAATTCACAATATTGATATTGGTTTTGGTGGTCCATCCAAATGGGCCATACAGATAAATGAACCATTAGATATGGATGATGATGATGATTATGAGGACAAGGAACATGAAGAGCAACCAAAAATTGAAATTCGTACTGCACAATTGACCGATCCACGAATGGAAAATAATGATGATTATGATATGGAACAAAAAGTCAACAAATCGAAATAAAAAAACGAATAACATGAATAAACAAAAATGGACAGTGGTGGATAAGAAAAAAGCGGCAACCGATTCAGATATACGAACAACAATCAAAAAATTTAATGAAAAAACGAAAAAAGAAAAACGAGCTATTATAGCAGCAGCAAATGTTGCCGATGATGATGATGATGATGAAGAATCTGCAACAGTACAACTTCAATGGGAATTTAGTAAAAAAAGTGGTAAAAATTCAAAAAAGAAAAAATAATTTACCCATTCATCATTGATCGTTGTTGTTGTTGTTTTTTTTCGTAAATGCTCAATCGAATTTGTAATATATTGAATGGTACGATTTTTTCCAAGCAATGATATTGATTCAGCAACAGGTGGACCTTTTGTTAGATTTGTCAACGATAATCGAAGAAGTTTCATGTATGCACTGAATTTCATTTGCTGTTCATCACTATTATTGAATATTCGAAGTTTTTGTAAAATTTCATCTTTATCATCAAAATCTTGTTCATTCATTTGCCATAATAAATCAATTGTTGCCTGTAATGTTTGCTGAATTTGTTGTTTCGTGCCACCAAATGAAAAATTGTCTTCCATCACCCATGTTGATTTTGGTTGTGACCAAAGAAATAGAAAATCATTTGTAATCAAATCATTTATCGTATATATTCGTGTTGAACTCCATCGAAGACATTTATCGAAATAATTTTTATCTTGATTATCGAATTGTTGTAATGATTGAAATTTTTCTCGATTCCGTTCGAGAAGCTTGATTAAATCATTTCGTATACGATTTGGATCATTTTCAATTAGATTCCGTATGTGTAATCGATTTAATAGACGAATTTTTTCCACATCTATTTTACAATTATTTTGATTAACTGATTGTAGATCGAATGCAGCGGCTAATTTATCAATTGGATAGATTTTATCACAGTCTGCTGTGTTCAATTGACCAAAACCGCCACCCATTTGTGTAAGGTAATTTATTACAACTTCTGGATAATAACCTTGATCACGATAAGTAGAAATACGAATATGATCATGACGTTTCGATAGTTTTGATCCATCTGTATTGATCAACAAAGGAAGATGTGCATATTTTGGTCTAGGCCAACCGAATGCATCATATATCATTAGATGTTTTGGCGTCGATACAAGCCACTCAACACCACGAAGTACATGTGTGATTTGCATATGATAATCATCGACAACATTGGCAAAATGATAGGTTGGTAATCCATCGGATTTAAATAGAATAGGATCACCTTCAATAAGACTAAGATCATATGTAACACGACCATACACCAGATCATTGATATCCATTGGTCCTGGTAAAAGTTTTAATCGTACCGTATATGGTATATTTTCGGCTAAATTCTGACGAATTTCTTCATTACTCAATGATCGACATCGATTATCATATCGGGGTGTTTCACGATTTTTTACGGCTTCACGACGTAATAATTCCAATCGTTTATGGGTGCAAAAACATCGATAAACAGTATCGGTTTTCAATAATTTTTCAATCATTTCTCGATACAATTCTACACGTTCTGATTGAATATATGGGCCATAATCGCCACCGAATTCAGGACCTTCATCTGGTTGAAGATTGGACCAACGTAAAATATCCATAATGCTTTCTAATGATCCAGGAACTATACGTTCACGATCAGTATCTTCAATACGTACGATAAATTTACCACCATGTTTACGAGCAAATAAATAATTGAACAATGTAGTACGTAAACCACCAAGATGAACGAAACCAGTAGGACTTGGTGCAAAACGTAACCGTACGGTTGATGAACATTCGGATCGAATGGATAAAATGGTCATCCATTTTGGCCGTAACAACCACAATTGTGTCTGTTTTCGAAACATTTGAAAACAACAAAATTCAAACATTCGAATTATAAACATGTGACAGAAAAAAATTGGTCGTTCATAAACGACATAACAGAAATTCAGATTCAAAAAAATATAATAAAAAATTTTATTATTTTACAAAAAATTTCAATTATTAAAAACTGTTGTATGTAGCACGAGGATTTTTCTTTTTCTTTTTCATCGCTGCTTCAATGATTGGTGCAATTTGTTCATCAAATTTTTGCTCCATTGATTTTCGTTTCATTTCACGATCTTTATATTTTTCTTCAATTTTTTGATCATGTTGTTGATTAGCGATTAATGCACGACGATCACGTCGTAAACGACGATTCACCGTAATCCATCCATCTGATTGTCGTTGTTGTTCATTCAATTGTTCAGCTTCCATCTGTTTCTGTTCGTCTTGTTCATCCGAATGCATATCGCATTCAGCTACAAATTTTTCAGCAATTTTTACCAGATGATATTGTTGAGCTATTGAATGATTATATTGTGATTGCCATAATTTCATACCAGTGAGCCAATGGCTATCACTTGAATCATCAATTTCATCCGGTACAAAAGTATAAATTTGATCATCAGTTTGGGCCATCTCTAAAGCATTCGAAAGACCACTTGATTTACCAAAAACAACATAACAAATTTTATAGGCAATAATTTCATTTTCTTTCGTGAAAAATTCTGCAATTGATGGTGCTGCTGCTGATTCATTCGATTGTTTTCGATTCATTGTGGTGGAATCTAATTTTTTTATTTTTTCATACATTAATGTAGCTGTTGAATATGATGGCTTCTCTTCGAAATAAACCTTTACGATTTGTCCACAATTACGGAATAAATATCGAATATGATGTTCATTTATGAATGGTGGTATATTCAACATGAACAATGTACGATTTTCAGGTTTACATTCATCGTGTTGTTCTTGATCAGAATTTTTCTGTTGTTGTTGCTGCGATACGGCATTTAAAACAAAACGTTTCATATATAAATGTCGTATAACCGATGAATTCTTGTCATACTTAATCTGTAAAACATTGAAGCCTTCATTTTTGACAATCTGCATTATCTGATTTTTTATTTAAATTTTTTTTTGTCTTAAATCAAAATCAAAAATTTGAAACACATCACACACACGTGAGTTTAATATTCCACTATTTTCACACAGCTAATGTTTGTATGTTGTCTGTAATGTTAAAATGGGTGGAATTAAGAAATTCATCGATTCAACCTGTTTGACAGGTCGAAACAATTGTTTTGTTTTGTTTTTTCGTTTCACTAAACATTGACAATTTTTGTCGAATGAAAACAAAACAAAAATAAAAAAAAAATCAATTGCTCCAATTATCTTTTAATTGTTATGACGAAAACAATGATAATTACGGCTCGTTGAAGAACGATATAAAAAAACGAAGAAATGTAATCGTCATTTCTAATTTTGTGTTGTTCTGTGTGTGTGTGTGTGTGTCAAAATAATATTTGGGCCAAATAAACAAATCCAAGATGTCTAAACAAACGATGAAACAAAAGATTGCCCCTACATCTACCGGTAGTGGTTTATCATCATCATCATCATCATTTATCAAATTTTAAAAGTTCACAAAATTATTTATGGAATACAAATGCTGTCCTAGGTAAAGGTGCTACTGGTGCTGTTTATTTTGGCCATAATAAACATAATGGTGAAACCGTAGCGGTTAAATGTTTCAATCATCTTAGTCATATGCGTCCATATGAAGTACAGAAACGTGAATTTGAAGTGTTGAAAAAAGTGAATCATGAAAATATTGTCAAATTATTGGCCATTGAAGAAGAAAATGATACAAAACAAAAAGTTCTCGTGATGGAATTGTGTACCGGAGGATCATTGTTCAATATTCTTGATGATCCAATGAATAGTAATGGTTTAGAGGAGAAGGAATTTCTTCTCGTTCTCAAACATCTTGCTGCCGGTATGAAACATTTACGTGATATGAATATTATACATCGTGATCTTAAGCCGGGTAATATTATGAAATTCGTATCCGAAGATGGTACCTCGATTTATAAACTGACGGATTTTGGTGCTGCACGTGAATTGGATGATGATCAACAATTTATGTCACTATATGGAACAGAAGAATATTTGGTATGGTTTTTTTCGTTGTTGATGAAATTTTCTCATTTTTCGATTTCATTTTTTTTTTGATAGCATCCAGATATGTATGAAAGAGCCGTATTACGAAAACCAGTGGGAAAATCATTCAAAGCAAATGTTGATCTTTGGAGTATTGGTGTAACATTGTATCATATTGCAACTGGCAGCCTGCCATTTCGACCATATGGTGGTCGTAAAAACAAAGAAACAATGTATAAGATAACCACTGAAAAAGCATCCGGAATCATTTCTGGTACCCAGACATCTGAAAATGGTGAAATTAAATGGAGCAGAAATCTACCGGATTCTTGTTTGCTTAGTCCATCCGTACAACCATTGGTTACGGAATTATTAGCCGGCCTTTTAGAATGTGATGCACATCGTATGTGGTCATTTGAAAAATTTTTTTCAAGTGTTACAAAAATTCTTGAACATAAAGTAATATTTGTCTATTATGTTGGAACATTATCGTTGCATTCAATTTATTGTTATCCAAATGAAACAGTTTTGGATTTGAAATCAAGATTTGATTCATTGTATAAAGTGGCACCAAATGATCAGATTTTAATGTGGCCCAATGATAATCTTAATCATCATCATAATCTTGTTGGTGGTCGTCACAATGACCAACAACAACAAATGCCATCGATGATAAATGAAACAATGTTGGCACAACAAACTAAATTAATTCCATTACTACAATCAAATCAACGACGATCATCATCCATATCGACAGTAATTGCCATTTTATCTGATGATTTTATCATCACTGATATTCATACTACAGAACATTCACCACTGTTTTTACTAAATGGTCAAATGAATTCCAAGATTCGTTGTACAACTGGTCCAATTGCACCGAGTAAATTTCCTGATATTGCTACCACAATTATAAATACAGATGTTGATGCACAATATGCAAAACTTTGTTCATCACTTGCATATTCAACGTTGCGACAAATTGATAAATTTATTCACAATTATAAATTAGCCTGCCAGATTCCTTGTCATATGCTCCGATTAATCGATCATAATATGAAAATTTTGGACGAAAAATATGGTTATTTTAATTTTCATTTAAATATCCTGAAAGAACGTTTAGATAATCTCATGCAATGTAATAGTTATCTATCACAATTGATAAAACTGTTGATTGATTCAATTATTAAGCCAAACACGGCGATCACATTATTTAATTTCAATGTAACCGACCAGATATTGAAACAATATGATAAAATTCATTCAAATTTTAAAAGTCTTTCATCGTCATCAATTATGGATGAAAAATTGGAACAACTACGTGATCTGTGGCCAACATCTAAAGAATTGGAAAGTATTCGCCACTTGTTGTCCATACAATCTAGAGCTAAAATTTATACAGCGAAAATACGTGAATCATGGCTAATGTTACATAAAGATAAACAAATTAAATCACTGAATCATCACCATGAAGAACAGCTACATCAATTGGAAAAATTAAAATTGGACAATCATTGTAAAAAATTGAATGATCTTGTTGCGAAAGAAATAAATCCACGTGGAAGTATTGCCGATAAATTGGAAGAATGGTATCAGTAAGTAGGCTATTTTAACTTGAATTTGAAACTTTGAATTTTTATTTTCATTATTATTTGATTGTCTGTCAACTGTCAGAGGTGCACAGGTTGCCTATGTTAAACCACAGCTAATCATTACTGAACTTTATGGTTTTCTTCCCGTTATTGCTGAAATTGAAATGAATATTTGTTCAGCATATGAAGATCATAATAAAATGTGGATGAATCTATTTAAAGAAGTGAAAAATTTCGAAACAGAATGGTCAGCAGCTGCAATCGGTTCATTGGAATCGACCAACGTTTTACCATCATCATCAGCGATGGTTAATCCAACGGCAGCAGCAGCAAATCAACCATACTCATACAACATTTGAACCATCCAATCTGTCACTTACATCGACCATTTTTAAAGAGTATGTTGATCTGTTTTTGATTTCTCTTGAAGAAAATTAAACGATTTTTTTTCTCTTTGATTTTTACAGATTAAATAGCCTACATGAAGATTCACAGAAACTGAAAGAAGCATATAAAGATTTTGTCATGATTTTTTCCGAGTAAGTATTTTATCTGTAAAATTTTCATTTGTTTTCTAATTTTTTATAATTTATTAAATACACACTTAGAGTACAATCGATCAACAATTGATGGCACCACGTGTTTCGTAAAAATTTTTTTTCATTGGAATCATTTTTTTTAAAATTTTTTTTGATTAATTTTTTCTCTTTATCATCATCATTATGGAATGTCTGTCTGGTGTGTGTTTGTGTGTGACCACCAAAAATTTGATATATTTGGCAATATTGCCTTATTTATAAAAATGTTGAAAAAAATAAACGAAATATATCATGCATGCGTGTAGGCGGCAATATCAAGTTTATCGTCATTTCATGGATGTTTTGTTGTTGTTGTTGTTTTTTTCTTTCGCTTACAATCTGGGCTTGTCCATATGGTCGATTTGTGTTTTGGCATCGATACATCGCTAATCATCTTTGGGAATTAATTTTGAATTTATTTAACGAATCGATGAAATCATTGATGAATGGGATTAATTTCAATTAAAATTTTTTTAAAGTATAAATCCCGTATGTGTTGTGGTCATAACTGGTTCGCCCACACACACATTATCCATTGAATTTTGTTGTTGTTGTTGTTGTCCCTTATTATTTTCCACCATTGAATGTCTGACCAAAAAAAAATTCTTATTCACAATTTCTTATTCTGGCTGACTGAATAAATTTCAAGTTTTTTTTGTTTTGAAAAATTAAAAAAAATTTTAAATTTTTCCTATACTTTATGAATGGGCCACCACCAATACTATCCGGCATTCATATTCGATCGAATGTTGTGTGTGTGTGTGTCTGTGTTTGAATATGAATATTTTTAGCTAATTCAGATCAATAAACTATTTTTGTTTGTTTGTCCAAAAAAGTGATTATCAATTGATTTTCGCTATTTATATAATATTATCATCGTCACATTGTCACTTTCAATAAAATCGACGACGACAATCTTTGTACGGACTTTGGTTCATTTATTTTTTTTTCTTGTTGTCCCTCATTTTTCAATCAATCCGTCTCTAAAAAGACTAGGATATATCATCGAAAACAAATAGACACTACACGACCATTATTTTTTTCTGTCCTAAACTAAACAAGAACCAAATGTTGGAAATTGATACTACTGAACCATCATGGCTTTTTTATCATCTTCAACAACAATTTCACAGTCATCGTTTGAACGTCGTTTTCACCCACATGTGTTCTCGTCACATTCATTCATTCATTCATGGTGTTATGCTTCAAGCAACAAATTCGACCAAACAGATTTTCTTCATTCATCAAATATATACAAACCATTTCTTTCGAAAGTCAAGACAAGACAAGACAAGACCATCTTCAAGTGAGAAAAGCGAAAAACAAAAAAAAATCAAATGAATGTTTTGGTATACACAACATATTAGACACAGCCATTTTCTTTTCGTTTTATATGTGTGTGTGTGTGTGTTTGTGCATATAGAATCTTATTATATTCATCACAACCATTTGAAACGTATGGCGTGGTTTTGTCGTCATGTTCGTCGAATAATCAACCAAATCTTTATACAAACAGTTTTTCCTTTTTTCTTTCTATAATCCAGTAATAGCGGTTTAGTGTGGTAAAATTATCTTGTTATTATTGCTGCTCTTTTTTCTCTTTTTCTATTAATGATTCGATGATTTGATTGATATTCTCTATTATTTATGACACGCCCGCGTTCAATATCCCATTATGATCCACTACGACCACGAAATGATTTTGTACAAAATGTATGTCTCTTGTGTGTGATGTGATAAGTGTGTGGATTCAACCGACGCCTCCATAAATTTGTTTCTCTATTTCACTAATAATCATTGAGATGAATATTTTCATTTTAAAATTTTGTTCAAAGTCCATACAATCTTATCTATACACATAGAGGCTATATCATCAAATAATAATATACAGTTCACACACTCACACATACACCGATATACAGACACCTACACACCCACTTTGATTGATTGAACAATCGGTAAAGTTCCATAAGAATAACTGTGAGTATGTGTGTGGCTGTGGCTGTGGTTGTTGTTGAGGATGTTAATACCTGTTTGATGTGTCTGTTTGGTTTATTTTGTTATTGAAATACCAACAAAGGGTGTGTATGCGTGTGTGTGTGTCTATCAATCAAATGGTGAACCCGTCTTCTCGGGAATGGTTAAATGTCACATTTATACAATAATACACCCACCTATCTAGGTGAATGACAATAATTTCATCATCATCATTATCAGCAAATATTCATCATTTTGTGCAATTGTTAACAACAGCCATCCAAAACTTTGACAAAATGACCATACGATCTCATCAATAAAATAACAAATCGACGATAATAATATTCATTCTGTTCCATTTGAATCAAAAAAAAAAAAAAAAAAAATAGCCCAACGATACTAGCCAGAAAATTTTTTTTTCAGTGTGTTCATTTCATTCATCAAAAAAATAAAATATATCTCCATTTTGGGTTAAAAGTGAATCTCCCTCATATCTTGATTAAATCATCATCATCATCATAATCGCATCATCCAATTATAATAACGTTTTCTAATCATTGTTTATCAAACATACACACACACACCCATATTGTAAAATAATTTTTTGTACACAACATTCGGGTTTTATTTGATCCGATTTTTTTTCCTAAAATTCTAATCACATTCATTCAACAAATAATCATCGAATTAATATAAATGTCAACTATTAATAATCAATTAAAAATGTCATCACAGACAACAACAACTACTCCAAGTACTAGTTGTAGTTGGTCATCATTGATCCATTCATTTGGAACCAAATTTATTCATCTATTTATTGTGTTCTTGTTTCTATTCTTGTCATGTGAGTTAATTATTTATTAATCGATTGAAATAAAAAGAAAGAATTTATTCAACATTGAGGATAAAATACACAAGTCATTGACATGTTGGATTGACATTTTAGAAAAATACCCAAAATGTAACAGCCAAATTTCGACATTTTATTTGAAGAATTTTTTCTGAAACAATTTTGATAGAATTCCAAACATATATAGAGATTTGTAGTTATAGAGCTAAGTGAAAAAACAAGGTAAAGCCATATCCTTATCCGGCAATGGAATGAATGGAACAATGCTGTTGATGCTGTTGATGATGATGATGATGATAGGATTGCCTTTTAGGGCATTCTATACATCATCATCATCCATGAAAAACGTGTTTAACATCCACAATTTAAAGTTGCAATTTTTTTCTCTCTCTCTCTCCATATGGCTGAAATGATTAATGAAATTGAAAAAAATACAAAAACAATCAAAAGAGGATTGGAAAGATTTACCTAATGTAGAAAATAGCACATACACATGCACATAGTAACAAAAAATTTTCATTTTGCATTCGGAATTCAATTCCAAAATTAAAAAAAAATTATAAAGGAAAAAGAAACAAATCTATTTGAATTATGATTTTTCTGGTTCGCTTTACTTTTTTATTTCATTTATTTTTAGACTAAACAAAAAAACGAAAAGAATTTCTAAATTTAGATGTTGCATGCACACACACACACACAATAAAAACATTTGTCCTTAATTGAACTTTGACATTCATTCAGGTCATTCCATTCCATTATATTAATTTTTTTTTTTTTTTTTCATTTGAATTTTGTATAACAATTAACAGTAACATTATGCCAAAGGTATCCTGACCATCATCACCAAAGAGAATATGATGAATATGATCGTAATGGTAAGCATAAATATTCCAAAAATAATTTTTTTTTTCCAATGGTGAATGGGACTTTTTGTTGCAAAAGTGGATTGGGTTGGTTTTGTTATATAAAAAATGAATTTGAATTTTTTTCTTGGAGAATAGCTAGACAGCAACGTGTCGGCTATAATAGTAAACCATATTCACATGATGTTTCATATTTTAAATTGAATGAAACATCCATCACCAGTACCAGTAATGATCATCATGATTCACAACAAAAACAACGACCAGTGCCCATAAATCCTGTCAATGGTAGGTTTGTTTTTGTTGATTTTTTTTTTTTCTCACTTCTTTTTTTTCTTTTGGATTGTTGATAATTATCAATAGGTCGTTCATCATCATATGAATGGTCACGTAATAGTGGTTATCCACAATCATCATTAAATCATCGAAATTATTATGAATCACATCATAAAAGTCGTGTTACCGATGATAATCGTAATCAACAGATTGTATCTAATCGACCATCGGTTATTGGTGATGGTGGTAAACATATGCCCGGTCCATTTATATGGTATAATGATACATTTCATTGGGCTGAAAATCGTTCTCGTGGTTATGATCCAGATCTGGATGGTCCAACACTGGCACCACCCACAATTGAACATACATATGATGAAGAAGATTGGGATGGAACCGACCTCAAAAGTCGACATAAATTCGATGATCGTCATCCGATGGGTTTGATTGTTTTTTCGGAAGAATTTCAACTATTGTTTTGGGGTCCATCACTAAATTTAACCAGAGAATTTTTCATTTTATTTTCCAACTAATTCTTTTTGTGGGAAAATGGGAATCACTTTTTTATTCTTAAAAACTTTTTCTTTTTATTTATTTATTTTCTGAAAATATTTCTGTCACTTGAAATTTACTAATCAAGTTTTTTTTGAACATTTTTCATTTTCAAAATATTTTTTTAGCTATTTATCCATCTGGTCGTTGCGATGATTTTCAAGCTTGTTATCCGGCAACCGGTAACCTATTGATTGGTCGTGAAGATCGATTAAAAGCATCATCAACATGTGGCCTACGGCAACAGGTCCGTTACTGTGTCGTTAGTCATTTGAAAGAGAAGAAAAAATGTTTCTATTGTGATTCGAGAGATCGATTCAAAGGAACGGCAAGATATCATGGAATTGAAAATGTTGTATCACGTGTTGGACAAAAACGGCGACAATTCTGGTGGCAAGCAGAGAATGGTGTGGAAAATGTTTACGTACAATTCGATTTGGAAGCAGAATTTCATTTCACACATTTAGTAATGACATTTAAAACATTTCGTCCAGCTGCAATGCTTATCGAACGTTCACATGATTTTGGCCGCACATGGAAAGTATATCAATATTTTGCCTATGATTGTGGTGCATCATTTCCTGGCATACCATTGGGTCCTCGTAATCGTATTACCGATTTGGTTTGTGATTCACGATATTCAAATGTCGAGCCATCCACTGAAGGTGAAGTGATTTTTCGTGTGCTGCCACCGAACATTCATATCGATGATCCATATTCAAAAGAGGTTCAAGATATGCTTAAGATTACTAACCTACGAATTAATTTCACACAATTACATACATTGGGTGATAATCTATTTGATCCACGTATTGAAGTGAAAGAAAAATATTATTATGCTATCTATGATATGGTTGTACGTGGTTCTTGTTCCTGTTATGGTCATGCTAGCCGTTGTATACCAAGTAATCATGAAACCATACCAGATATGGTTTATGGGCGTTGTGAATGTACTCATCATACAAAAGGATTGAATTGTGAACTTTGTGAAGATCTTTATAATGATCTTGAATGGAAACCGGCTATCGGACGTCAAACAAATGCCTGTAAAAGTATGTTGTTGTTGTTGTTGTTGTTTTTAATATTCTTTCTCGAATAATTGAATTTGTTTCCATTTTTTTTTTTTTTTGCTCGTTCAGAATGTGAATGTAATAATCATGCAAGTCGATGTCATTTCGATATGGCTGTATATCAGGCCAGTAATAATATTAGTGGCGGTGTTTGTGAAGATTGTCAGCATAATACAATGGGCGTTCATTGTGAAAGATGTAGGCCTTCGTTTTTTCGAGATCCAAATCGTCGTCTCGATGATCCTTATGTTTGTCAACGTAAGTTTCGTATTGTTTTCCGGATTCGAATGAATTTTAATTTGATTTGATTCTACAATTTGTCTAGAATGTGATTGTGATCCACGTGGTTCAAAAGAAGAAGGAAATTGTGACCCATATACAGATCCAGCTTTAGGTCTAGAATCTGGTCGTTGCAGCTGTAAAAAAAATGTTGAAGGTCGTCGTTGTGATCATTGTAAACCGGGTTTCTGGAATCTACATGAAATTAATCCAGATGGCTGCGAACCTTGTTCATGCAACCAGATGGGTACCGTCGGTAATCATGGTTGTAATATCAACACAGGTGAATGCGTCTGTAAACGCAATGTTGTTGGGCGTGATTGTAATCAATGTGCGGTAAGTGTATTTTTCGGCTAGTTTCAAATGGTGGGGTCTTATTTTCTGAATTTTTTTTCCTGTTTGTAGCCTAATTATTATGGTTTGGGTGTGGATGAAGAAGGTTGTAAATTCTGTGATTGTGATCCAGGTGGATCATATTCACCGGATTGCGATCAGGAAACTGGCCGCTGTAATTGTCGTCCACATGTAACCGGTAGACGCTGTGATCAACCTGAACCTGGTTATTTTGTTCCATCACCTGATTATCTTACATTTGAAGCTGAAGATGCTAAAACAATACAAGGATCACCGATAATAACACCACGAAATTATGATGAACGTATGCATTGGACTGGCGAAGGATTTAATCGATTACCACCATATTCAGGAATTGAATTCACAATCGATAATGTACCTATTTCGAAATATTATGATGTAGTTGTTCGTTATGAACCAGAAACATCGGGTCGTTTCAATAATGCTCAACTTATGATCAAACGGCCATATGGTACAGATGTATATGGGCCATGTGGAAATTATTCCACAACAAATGATATTCGTACCATAAATTTATCGTCAAATGAACGTACAGCAATTGCCGATTCTATTTGTCTGGAAAAAGGTCAACGTTATCAGATGGAATTGAATGCAAATGAATTTGAACGACCATCATATGGTAATGAACAAAGTCCTTCCATTCTAATTGATTCGGTATGGTTATCAATTGTGTGTGTTTTTTTTTAATGAACAAATTTCTAAATTTCAAATCATTCATCGGCCAGATTATATTGATTCCGAAAGCAAACGATATACCATTTTTAAGTGGTGGTACGCCAGAAAATCAACGAAGACAATATGAATATGAACATCGTTGTCTAATGCCCTATTATAATTTGAATCGTGCACCAGAAGTTGATGAACATTGTCGTAAAACATTGATGAGTGCTGGATTCTATACGTTCGATGGAGCACAACGTAAGTTGGCTATTTTCATATTTTCAAATCTGTACTAATGATTTTCGTAATATAATAGCATGTAGTTGTAATCCAACCGGATCATATAGTGCTGATTGTCAACAATTGGGTGGTCTTTGTCAATGCAAACAATATGTATCACCACGTACCTGTGATCGTTGTCATGTTGGTTATTATGGTTTTGGTCCCGATGGCTGTAAAGCTTGTGATTGTCATCGTATTGGTGCATTAGATAATGAATGTGACCCAATTACTGGACAATGCAATTGTCGACCGGAAACATATGGTCGGCAATGTGATGAATGTCAGCCAGGCTATTGGAATTATCCGAATTGTCAACGTTGTGATTGTAATGGAATGTCTGATATGTGTGATTCGAAAACAGGAAGCTGTATTGATTGTCGAGATAATACAGCCGGTGCTCATTGTGAAGAATGTGTTGCCGGTTATTATGGGGATCCTTTAGGTCGAATGACCGGAATGGTCGTTCCTTGTCGCCCTTGTCCTTGTCCAGGTGTTGAAGATTCCGGAATGTCACATGCACATACCTGTCAATTAGATCCACGTACACAGAATGTTATTTGCCATTGTCATCCGGGTTATGCTGGGGAACGTTGTGATCGCTGTGATGAAAATTATTTTGGGGATCCCAATTTACCTGGTGGTCAATGTGTCGCCTGTAATTGCAGCGGTAATACTGATATCAGTCAACCTGGAAATTGTGATCCAAAAACAGGTGAATGTCTTCGTTGTTTGTACAATACGGGTGGACCAAATTGTCAAGTATGTAAGCCAGGCTATTATGGTAATGCACTTGACCATTCTTGTGCCGAATGTGTTTGTCATCATTTGGGAACGGATCCACGATCTGCATTTTGTAACCAAACTACTGGACAATGTTCATGTCTGCCCAATGTTGAAGGAATTTCCTGTAATCGTTGTGCCGATAATCATTGGAATTTAGCCTCACAACAAGGCTGTGAACCATGTGACTGTGATCCACAAGGTGCTTTATCAATGAAATGTAATGAAATCGATGGACAATGTCATTGTAAAACAACATTTGGTGGGCGTGCTTGTAATGAATGTCTTCCTAATCATTATGGAAATCCAAGACTTCAATGTAAACGTAAGTTATCCATGCCGATATTTATTTTCCATTTTTAAATTTATTTTTTTTGCCCTTCCTTTATATATAGTTTGTGAATGTAATTCTGCCGGATCAAGTAGTATGCAATGTCATAAAGTTACAGGCGATTGTGTTTGTATTGATGGTATATCCGGTGCAAAATGTGATCGATGTGCACGCGGTTTTACCGGTATGGTACCATATTGTGAAGCATGTGGTGAATGTTTTGAAAGCTGGGATAACATAACGAACATATTGAAAACGGAAACATTCCATTTGTTGGATAAAGCACGTCAAATTAAACAGACTGGTACTACCGGAGCATATACAAAACAATTCACACAGATTGAATTGAATTTAGATGAGATAAACAAAATTCTTGAAGGACAAAATATCAATAAATTCGATTTGGAACGTGTACAGCATATGATTGAAGAAGCTAAATCCAATCTAGCAAATCTACAGGAAGCATTAAATAATCATGAACGACAACTTGAAGATACAAAAACGAATATAATCAATGTAAATTTCAAATTAAATGCATTGGCAAATAAATCCATGGAATTGGAATTGGAAGCAAATCAATTGAAGAATGAAACATTTGCTCTACAAGAAGCAAATGTTGAAGGTGCATATAATATGACAAAAGATGCACAACGTCGTAGTCGTGCATCAAGAAATATGGTTGAAGAATCAAGTAATATATTAACCGATTCACAAACAATTCGTCGTAATACTGAACAATTAATTGATCAACCAAAAGGACAACATAATCTAACCTATCATGAGAATGATCGAATTCTTCGTAATATTCAACAGGAAATATCAGAAATGGAAAATGGCCTACCAAATATTAATAATCTTGTTTGTGATGGATTCTCTACCATTGATCAATGTGACAATCTTTGTGGTGGTGCTGGTTGTGGTCGTTGTGGTGGTATAAGTTGTACACATGGTGCAACAACAAAAGCATCAACAGCTGTTGAATTAGCGAAAAAAGCGGAAAAAGATTTACAGGAAAAAGATCGTCACGTCAAAGATGAACTCCGTCGTATTAAAGAAGCACGTGAAAAATCCGATGAAGCATTGGAAGAGGCAAAAGCTGCATTCGAACGAATAATGTTGGCTAAAAATACATCAACAAATACGGCTGTCGAAGTGAACAATCTGTTGGATCAGATTCATAATTTCCTTAGCGATGATGTTGCACAGGCTAAAGATGTACGAGAAATTGCCGAAAAATGTCGACAAAATACAATATCATTGGATGAGAATGAAATTCGCTTTACTTGCATTAGAGATTAATAAAACTATTGCCGGATTAAAAGATATTGATCGTATATTGATAGAAACACGTGATTCGTTGGAAAAAGCTGAACATCTCAAAATCAAAGCCGATCAGGTCAAGTAAGTTAAATCAGAGTTTCAATCCATTTTTTCATTCAAATTCATTCAAAAAAATTTTTTATTCAATCAAAATTTAAGGAAAAAAGCCAACGACATTCTATCCGTTGCTGAATCAGTGAAACAAGAATTGAATAAAGCGTTGGAAGCACAACGAAAAGCAAAAAATTCAATTGATATGGCAAATAAATCGATTATCGGTATCGAACAGGATCTAAAAGAGGTAAGCAATATTCATTTGGGTATCTCCGATCGAATTCAATCATTCTGTTATTATTTTAACAGGTAACAGGTAAAGCTGAAGAAGCCAAAGATAAAACAGAAGAAGCGAAAGGCAAAATTGGTTCCCTAAATGATCGATTGAATAATTTGACGAAAAAATTTACTGGAAATAAATTCAATATTGAAAATGCTGAAAAAGAAGCAATGGCTGCTTCAAGCAGTGCTGAAGATGCTAACAAAGTAAAATGAATATAATTTAATTTTTTCATAAATTATTAATTTATTCCGTTGATTATTAATTTAGTATGTCGATGATCTGGAACGTAAATATCGATTAGCAGCACAGAAATTGGATCAAAAATCTAAAGTTAGTGATGATCTAAAGAAACGTGCTAAAGCTTTAAAAGATAATGCATCAACATTGTTGAATAATGTATCAGTGAAATTAAAATCAATCGAAGGTAACCACGACAATTATTCTATTCATTGTCTCATTCATTGTTTTTTTTGTCCATTTTGTTTCACCATAGATTTCGAAAACGATATCGCTAATAATGATCAAAAATTGGATGATCTACGTCGTAAGATTGAAGAATTGGATAATGAAATGAAAAATCATCTAGAAAATATTGAACGACAATCGAAATTTTATCGTGATTGTCAAGCTTAGATGATAATTATTCCAAAGAATGCAACAAAAAAAAATTTCAATGTTTCTTCCGACCAAATAAAAACAAAACACACAACCTATACATCCCCATACATATAAACTTTTTTTTATATCTATTCATCTTATCAGCTTATCTTTTTTTTATATCATTATATAATGAATGATGATTGATTGACTAAAAAATAAAATGACAACTTTTTTGTGACAAATTTTTTATTTCGTGTTAATTAATTAAAAAAGTTTATTATTTGAGTAAAAACAAAAATGACGATGCAAAGATGAAACAAAGAAAATTTATAATAATAATTATAAAATCCATATCAACATGCCGAGATCAAATACTTGAAATGTTTTCGAGGCCATTAATAAATTCAGAGATTAGAAAGAAAGAAATTAAAAAAAGGATTAATTGAGAAATTCTTCCAATTCACTTTTGGATAATTGTTTTGTCGATTTTGATGATTGAATGTTGCTTTGAACGGTATTCATTGTTTTCATCGTTCGTATCGGACTTAATGATTGTGTATGATGATGATGATTAATGGTCGATTGTTTCATTGAATTTAATGTTTGCGGCGTAGATTTTGAGCCAATATTCGGTATGGAAATATTATCCAATGCCGAATAATTGGGTTTTTGTTGTTGTTGATGTTGTTGCTGTTGTGACGGTGGCTGTTGATTAAATTGATGAGCTGGAAATGATGAAAATACATTACTCAATTGTCCATTAGTTGGAAATGATTGTGTCGAAGGTTTTGACATAAGATTAAGATTCGAATTGATAAGCAAATCGGTCAAATCTTTTGTAGGTAGTGGTTTTGAATTTTGACTAGATTTTAATGGTTCAGAATTCTGTGCCGATACATTGCCCCCCATCCATAACATTGTATGTTGTTCATTCATTTTTAAACGTTCCGATTGTTCTTTTTCAAATGCTAAACGTTCTTTCTCATCCAATGAAAGCGGTCCATGACTATTGACAGTTGTTTTATCACCATTATTATTAGCTGGTGTATCATTCAATTTGAATGGATCAAATGATTTTTGATCACCTGTTCCATTCACTTGTTGTTGCTGTTGATCGGTAAAAAATGAATCTTGTTGCACTTTAATCGAGTCCAATTGTCGTATTTTTGCTTGATGTTCTTCTTCAATTTTATTCAGAATTTCTCTAATTAAATTCATTATCGTTGTATACTATGGAACAAAACAATGGAAAGTGAATGAATGAATTTGAATGGATCTGGATTTTCAAAACTTACCTGCAGTAATGATAATCCATTTTCAATGGATAATGGAACCAGAAATGGAATAACTTTCGTGGCCAACATTTCTTTAGGTATACCAAGCTTATTACTATTCATTGTTAATGTGAATATTCCTGCAATGTAAAGAAAATGAAATCAATTAGAAAACAGAAAACAAAACAAAACAAAAAGTTGTTTAAATCATACCAACTGAACACATAATGACAGCCGGTTCACGTGATGGCATCATCATAACCAATGGTAGCACTTCATCCAATACAAGCCATTTATCTAGATGTTCCAATATTTTTCCCAAACAAATGAGACAATTTACTCGTACAGATAATAATTTTGTTTCCAATGCTAATCGTTTGATTCGAGGTAGAAGCATATTCTTCGATCCAGAAAAATCAATCAAATGTATGATACTTGGTACGACACTTAAACATAATTCCTGTATTTGATAGGCATCCGATTCAAGAAATCGATATATCAATGGTATAATATGTTCTTTTAGTGCATCGGGTTTGGTTTTGAATTTAGCCACAAGAAAATCCATATTTTTCAATAAAAATAGACCAATTTGGATTGGTTCTTTATAACGAAAAACCGGTATCAATTCCGGTAAGATCCACATATGAAATTCTTCATCATCAGTTTCTTTAGCTATTAAAAACATTGGTGGCAATACGAATGGTACCATTTCTGGATTGACAAATTCTTTTGCCAAACCATTGACAATTCGACGTAATTTTATACGTTTCGGTATTCGTTGTAAAACTTCAGGAAGATTTCGATAGAATTGTGTTTTCTGTGCACTATCCCATTGAAATAGACAATCAAAATATTGCAATGTTCGTACGAGAACATCTTGAAATATTTGTAATTTCGATAATTGTTGTGCATCAGGCCTTAATTGTGGATCGATGCTTAATAATAGCCGAAAATGTTTACGAAAATCTTCCGGTATGCAGGATAATGATGTGGTCGTGGATAATTTATCCCTTAAATCGGTGACAAATTTTTCCGGACGATATTGATATGATCCATTAAATGGTAATAATGGTTTCCCTTTATTATATAATGTGAATGCAACCATACCCAGTGAGAATATGTCCGAACTTGTATCGATAATCGAATCGGATGATGTAAAATGTTCTGGCGCTGAATAGGTAAAATTTGCCTGAATTTCTAATGATAAATCTGCAATAACTTTGAGCACCGGGAATTTATATGGCTGTTCATTTGGATTCGTTGTTTGAACACTGAAATCGAATCCAGCAATTTTCCATATACCATTACGATTGACGACAATATTCTCTGGACAAATATTTCGATGAAGAATACGAGCATCTTTATGAAGAAATTGAAGTCCTTCAGCTATCTGTAATAGGCCATATTTAATTTCAATATCATAAAATTCAAATTTTCCATCTTTCGACTGATCACGGACAAAGGATTGGTCGAAAAAATTTGCTAAACTACCCAATACAGGTTCGGTAGCGAATGCAATTAGATCACGACTTTCTTCCAGATTATGTTGTACGGTAAGCATCGATGGATGACGTAGACGTGTAAGTTGTGGTACACCATGTCTGATCGTTTCGAATAATTGTTCTTTCTCTTTCCGTTCGAATCGATCGGTTTTCTTTTCCAATATGAACAATGATACCTGTTCTTTGGTACTTTTTTTCATTGCTTCATAAATTTTAAAACATAAACCCGGACCAGCTGAACCAATCTGTCGTAATAGTTCATATTCTCTTGTCAATGGATTACCCGGCAATGCAGTGGATAGATTATTGGTAACTTGATAAACGGTTGCCGATACTGTATCACGTAAACGATTCAACATTGATTCCATTATTTTCTTTTCGATTGGTTGATTGACGATTTATAACATATCTAACGAAGAAAAAAACAATTTAAATAATTTTCTTTTCTCGCAAATTCGTAATCATTCAAATGGATTGTATCATTTGATTCACAAAAAATTATCGACAACAAACGAAACAAAACAAAACAAAACAGGTGAGTTTCTCTGTCTCTCTCCCGTTGAAAAAACTGTTTATAACTGTTCTTTTCATTGAAAAATGTTGCCCCTGGATGGCAGCATTATTACCATCAGATTCAGTCTTTTTTTAGATTCGAATTTGATTTTTTTGCGAAAAAATGAGATATTCCAAAAGGGATTATTTCACAATTTTTTTTAAATTTTAAAATTTTAATCAATTAAATGCATATTTGTGTCTGTGTGTGTTTGTAAATCTTTTGAGTAATAATGAAACATATGGAAGAATTTTTTTTCTTTGCTTAGAAAGCCGAAAATGAATGAAAAACAGAAAAACAACAAATAAAAATTTAAAATCAACATTTTTCAAATAATTCACAATGAATAGATAGTTTCAACAATGGATAAAGTAGCGGAAAAAAACAAACAAATTTTTTTTTTCATTACAAGGTAAATAATATAACGACTGTGTTCAATAGGTGTGTTGTATGTTTACGGAAGCAGAAAAATTGAAGAAAAAAATTGGCTGATTGTGACCATCATCAACAGAGACACAACAAAGCAAATAAAAACAACAACAACAACAATAAATATATGGTAAGTGATTCAAAATTGTCAATTCATTTAAACAATAAATAAAGTAAAACATGAATATAATTGAATTGAATGGTGAGAGATCGAAACATGTTGAATAGATATTCTGATTATAGATAATTATGTTTGTTTAAATTTTTCACTTTAAATCGATTGAAAAAACAACAACAACAATTTATAAGGCAAAATACAAATATTTAGTTGTTGTTGAATTAAAAAACATTTTGTTCTGATCACCATCATCATTATCATTATAGCAAAAAACATATGATCGAACAATCGATAGACCGATCAAAAATTAAACAATGTGTGTTTTCATCATTGACATGGGTATATATGACTAGAACACTTTGAATTTGATTGATAATTTAAAATCTGAAAAAAGTTTCTTATGAAACAAAACCAAAAAAAAAATCCAAGATAATTTCTATGAAAAACTTATTTTGATTTGGCAAAAAAAAATTCATCTATCATTTCTAAGTTTTTTTGAATTTTGAAAAAAAAACAGAAAAGTATTGCAAGTAGTGGGTAAAATTAAATTCCTAATTCTGGTTGTTTCGTTTCGTTTTCGGATCTCATTTCTTTATCTGAATTGCTGTGTTTTTCGATGTTTAAATTCAAAAAAGGAAAATTCAAACTTAAACACACGCACATAGTACACACTCAAAATAGATAAATTCGTAAAAAAATTATCCAAAAAAACACACCAGGATAAGAAGGAGACACAAAAAAGAATCCGAAAATTTACAATTTCATTTTTGGACCAACGAGAAATTCATGCCCTTTTCGCCAAAACAACAACGGGAAAAAAGACATACATCAAACGCTCGATAAACAATCAACAATAATACCTCCACATCATCGAGAACAAAAAATGACAGGAAGAAACCCGTTTTTTTAACTATGTTTATCATCACCAATATATGGTGGTTGTAATTTTGGCGGTGGTGATGTTGATGTCGATGACGATGATGATGTCGATGTTGGTGGTGATGGTGTATGAAGATCAACGGCCAAATGATGATGATGATGGTGGTGATTGTTATTATTTTGTGTATCCATATAATGATCATTATTACGGGTAATAATCCATGCATTAGGATGTGATGATTGTGCGATCGTTGTTGTTATATGGTTATGGTTATGGTTATTATTGTTGTTGTTTGTAATTGGTGAATAATTGGAAAGTCTTGAATCATGAAAATATGATGATGACACTGAATCATCGTTAGTCGTGGTCGTTGCCGTTGTTGTTGTTATTGTTGATGTTGGGGAAAACAAAAGATTCGTTGATGTTGGTTGTGGTGTTGTTTGTGCATCCATTGCATAATTAACATCCATCGGATCAACCGATGGACCATATGCACTGAAATTCAATGGATATGACATGTAATTATTCGGATCATATGTAGATAACATTGTTGTTGGTGAAAATATTGTTGGTGGTGGCATTGATGGTGTAGTTGTACCACCACCACCACCGCCACCCGAAGCATCCATCATTAATTGTGGTTCAAATAATGTTGTTGTTGGATGTGTTTCACGCCAATATTGTTCCAAATAATCGGCTAAATGTTGACATGCCTCTTCAAGGTGATTTTCATCCAATATTACATCAAACATTTCCTATATTTGAAATTGTGAAATGAATGAAGATGAATACTCATTATTATCACCACTAAACTTTACCTTTGGACATTGTGCCAATTTTTCAGCTGCAATCATTTGTACGTTTAGATTTTTACTTTGTCCTTTACCACGAGATTTAATTAAACGTTGTAAAACTTTTGGCGATGATACTTTTATATAGACAAAAATTGGTGCTAATGGAGTTTTAGCTAAACGTGTTGGATCATTGATTGTATCACAATCAAGTACAACTAGCTGCATCGTACGTGCTAATTCAAATATTCGTTCAATTTCTGCTTGTACTTGAGCTTTAATTGATTGAATAAGAAAGAAATTGGAGATTAATCCTGATAGACATCATCAAAACACACACTTACCAAGACTGGCACGATTTTCCATTTTACCATATTCAAGTAAATTTTTCTTTGCATTATTTGCCGATCTTTTTGCCATCGATATATCGATCATAACACGTGTTATAATTATACGTGATTCAAAACGATGTTTAAGAAAATCAAATAATGCTTTTTGCATCATATCCGTCACTTCATAACCTTTTAATGATGGACCAACTAGAACCACTGGTCGCATTGATGGTACAACATCATATGGTGCCATATGTTCAGACTGAATTTTGGGAACAAATTTTCATCAAAAAAAAAAAAAAAAAAATCACTGGAGAATATTCCATTGATTGCAAACCTTTTTGAATAGAATTTTTCGCCGCTCTTTAACAGTAGGTGTCGATACTGATGATTTAAAATGTTTCAACTGTATATCGTTATCATCGGGATTTTCTGGAAACAACAAATTTGAATCATTAGAAAAAAAACATTAAAGATGAAAACCAATGAAGAAAGCTTACCCGAATTAGAGGCATTAGAATCACTGAGATTTGATTTCGAATGTGAATTCGAATTGATCATTGAATTAACGAAATTTGTACCGCCACCACCACCACCACTTTGTGATGATGATTTTGAATGTACTTTTGCTCGATTCGTTATCTGACTCTGCTGGGTTCGAAGACCTTCCAATTTAGCTGGACTTGGTATAAAACCGATATCACAATTCTCTTTCACTAGACGTCCAATCCACCAATCATTATTGTATTTCTAATTTTTGTTTAGAACAAAAAACACGCACACAATCAATCATTGATCGAAACAAATCGAATCGAAAACAAACACATACCTCTTTGATATGAAGAAAATCTTTAATACCGAATGAAATGGCGTATCCATGTATGGGCGAATCATCATCAACACTGCCATCGTATGAAACATTTGTACGAACTGCAAATGCAACCGGTTTTGTCTGGTTTTTTAAAAAATTAGTTAAATTTCATCATAAAAAATTCGATTAAAAATTAACAAACCTTGGCTTTTTCCAATTGTAACAATGCTAAACGTTCATTACGTGCACGTTGTTCACGATCATCAGTCGATTCATGATGATGATGATGTCCATGATGGTGACCATGATGATGATGATTATGATTATTATTATAATTCGAATTGATTGGATCCTGAATCATTTTTTTATGGTTATCGATCAGTGACAATTTTCGGGTACATCCGTTCATCATCATCAAAAATTAATTAGAAATTAAAAATTAAAAAAAAATCTTTATAATTCATCATCGATCATTAAAAAAAACACATACCAATTTCATGATGCCAACAACAAAAATAAAAGAAAAATTATTTAGTTGTTTCTTAATGATTAGGAGGCATTTAGCTGTTGTTTGTTTGTTTGTTGTTCAAGATCAAGGGAAAAAATTCTTGGAATTTTCTTCTTTTTTTTGGTTTTTGCCGAAAAAAAATGAAAAATTGATCGATTGATTAGATTCAATAATAATAATAATAAAAATCCCAATGATTCTTGAATTTGGATGATGGCCAAAAAAACACAAGTATTCGAGATTCGATTCACGAACCACCCATGGATGGATGTGGATAAAAATCAATCAATAATTTGTAAAGAAGAATGAAAATCTAATCAAATCTTAAAGATTTATTACCATTGTGAATGGATCTGAAAACACACAAACAATGGTTGATTATTAAAATGATGATGATGATGATGTTTCAATTCTCGTTCTTTTTCATCATTCGTACCCGCCGTTCACTTACACAAACACACGAACAATTTGATTAAAAAAAATTTCATCAATCCATGATGATGAACACACACACACACATTAAATAAGTAATAAAAAGAATGCAGAGCAAGAAAGAGTGAGAGAATTCTGTATATAAAGATTTTTTTTCTAGCAATGATGGCAATGAATTTCAATGTTGCAAACAAAACAAGAGAATAGAGAATTTCAATGCCAATATCATTCAATAAATGAATAATGATGATGATGATGGTAATGGTAATGGCAATGATGTTGATAGTGGTGGTGAATGAAGAATGAAAATTCAATTCAATTCAATTGTATTACATGATTAGATTTTTTTTTTCACATTTTCAAAGTCGAGGTTTTCTCTTCATAAAGATATGGCAAACCTTCTTCTTCACCCCAGATGACTATTGTATTTTGTTTTTGTGTCTATAGAGATGGCTAGAGAAATTCATGTATTTTCATCATTGTTCTGGGCATCATGTTTCATTCGTCGTCATTTGTTTTCTATAATTTTCACTGGAAAGAAAACAAAAAAACAATCAAAACAAACTTCATAATAACCAAGAAAAACAACAATAACAAAAATAAAATTGTTTAAAACTTTCTGCAAAAAAAATAATAATAATAATCTTTCAATTTTGCTCACAACAAACAAAAAAATTTGTTCAACGATTCGTTTTCGTTGTTGTTGTTGTTGTTATTGAATTCTGTGTCTGTCTATGTGTGTGTGTGTTGCAAAATGTTCAGTTAAAAGTGTATATAATTTTTTTTCTTGCTTGTTTGTTTCTTTTTTTTCGGTATATTCTCTGGATGCCCGGATATATTCTAGTTTTTCTTTTCTTTTTTTTCATTTAAATCTACTATATTCTTCACATACACACACACACACACAAGCACATCTTACTGCTGCTAGTTTGCTTTTTTGGCTTGTTAGCCTGGAGTGTATATGTGTATTCTTGCCCTAGTTCAATTCATTTATGATTCTGCTCGAATTCTATAGTAGTAATTCTGCATATATAAAAATTTACCCAGAATAATAAGTTAAGAATGGATTCAATCTGTGTCTGTGTGCATGGAAAAAAAGTTCTGGTTTTTTTTCGAATTCAACTAGAAAAATAAAAATAAAAAAATAAGTTTTATTCGAATGGTTAACCCTTTTTTATTATCGGGGAAAAAACTTTTGAAATAAAAAATTCATTCAAATGTATTAAAGAGAAAAAATCTTTATGTTTTCAGAAGAAACTTTTTCGGGTAATGATATCTTGAATGATGATGATATTCAGGCAAAAATCTACCAAACACCACCATCATCCTATCACCAATGACTGATAAAAACTATTTTTATTTTTGTTTTTTTCTTTTGGTCATCATAAATGATTGATAAGAATAAGAATGTTTATAGAGTTTGTTTGTTTGTTTTTGGAAACAATGTTTCAAAGTCAGGTGACGATCACATGATCACAGTGTGTTATAACTTGGGAGAAGCTAATTTATCCGATTAATTTCTAAATTATTCATTCATCTGTATCTGCTCTGTTGAATCATCATCATCATTTTCAACATAATCATCAAATGGAATGACATGGCCACATATTTTTGTTTTTGTTATTCCATTTCATTTGAAAGATACGAAACGAAAACAGACACAGAAGCAAAACAAAAAAAAGAGAAAAAAAAACGATTCTGAAACAAACAAAAAGAAAACAAAAAAATGATAATTTCTATATGACCTACTTTGATTCTAATATGTGTAGAATATACTATAGAATTTACTGTTTTGTTTTGTTGTTTCTCGTTTTTCACTCACAAAACATACCTGCTGTATTGATGACGATGCATATAGATTGTTTATTTGTCCATCATCATCATATTTGAATAAGATGAGATGAACGTAAGAAGAACATTCCAGATAAAGATTTTTCTTTGATTTTTGAACTTGATTGTCGTTGCTGTTATTGATCATTAGCATTCTAATGAGATGGTGTGAATAGTGATCCGTTACCACCACCACAACTACTTTGAATTTACCTTGAAATCACAATAATTAAATGGAAATTGAAATGGGAAAAAAAAATTTTGTGGTATTTTTTTTACACTTACTTACTTACCTTACTTCGTCGAGAATGGAAAAAAGGGAAATTAAATTTAAATTAAGCTTCCAGTTAAAATTACCTTGATCGATCAGTTGAGTGTGTGGAATAAATTCATTCATGATGGTGATTGGGTAAATGTACTGTAAATTTTCATGATTATTATAAGTACATTCCTATTTTGCTATTTTTTCATCAATGTCGTTGTCGTCGTCGATGAAAAAAAAAATTCATTTTTGTGGTTGTTGCTTTTGTTGCAATATTGTAAATATATCGAATACCGGAAATGGTGGATTTTTGTTAAAATGATAAAACAATCAAAATTGATAAATAGTTGAAAACGACAACATTTCCGATGATTTTTTGATCATAGTCATCGCTAAAACAAAATTTGATGATGAATATAATAATAACTGCTAATTATGGATTAAATCTATCCATATAATAATAAATACTGATGATGATGATGATGATAAATATTAAAGAATAAAGAAGACAAATCCTTTGATTGATTGATTGATCAATTAAATAATTTCGTCAATCATTGAATGGGCTGTGGCCATTCGTTATCAGCTGCCCATTGCTATTGCAACAAGTTATTTTTTTTTGTAAATTTCATTTTTGAGGCAACCACCATTACCACCATCACCTCATACATTACCAGGAAGATGTATTTGTATTTCACGTTTTGATTTTGATCATTGGATAGATTATAATAAAAAAAATTTTCATTCATTCATTCTTCATTTCATCGTCGTCGTCGTCGTTGTTGTTGTTGCAAAAATTTTTGTCATCATCTTTGTTTTCGAATAAATTAACCAGAAAAAAACGAAACGATGAAACCTAAATTGAATAATCAACAAACATTATTCATGATCTTATTCAAGATTATAATACAATTATATACATGGATTACATTACCATTGTATTTTATCATACAACAACCATGGAATCATCGTCGTCGTAATGAAAATAATCGTCTTCGTATTCATCGCCATGAATCGGACAAATCAGATATGACAGATATTTATATTCGTAATGATTCCGGTGTTTATGATCATCCAATATTTGAGCAGTCAACATTAACGAAAATGTTTCAAGAAACGATACGAATAAATCGTCATGATCAACCATGTCTTGGTTATAGAAAAATTCTAGAAGAAATTCCTGATGAAAAAAGCGGTGGTGGTAAAGTCAGAAAATATCGTCTATCATCATCATATAAATGGCTTACCTATATGGATGTGGATAAAATTACCAATAATCTTGCACAAGGTTTAATGGCGAATGGTGTACAGAAATCCGATCGTATCTTAATATTTGCTGAAACACGTGTTGAATGGATGATTTGCTTTCAATCTATTTTACGTATCGGTTCACCGATAGTGACTGTTTATGCGAATATGGGTATGTTTTTTTGGATAGTGTTTTTGAGCATGGAGAATATTCCAAATTTTTCTTCAAAATTCTTCAGGTATCGAAGGTTTAAAACATGGAATTGAAGAAACAAATGTTCATACGATCATTACATCATTGAATTGTGTGCCGATGCTTATGAAAACATTGAATCAATCACAACAAAATTCAGTCAAACAAGTTATCTATATGGATGGTCATCAAAAACCGAATTCCACAATTGATTTTGGATCCAATATTCAGGTTTTGGCCTTTAAGTACCGTAGGTGATGTTGGGAAAAAAATTATTGAAAATAATCAACAACAATCATATCCTGATGCAAATATTGATGATCCATTAGTAATAATGTATACATCGGGTACAACTGGCACACCGAAAGCGGCCACAATAACACAAAGACAATTTTGTGCATCAATTCGTGCATTATACACAATCGTACGAAATGTTGCTCATAGTGGTCCATTGCATACATATGTTTCATATCTTCCAATGGCACATATTATGGAATTAACATTGGAAATATTTTTCACATTATTCGGTGTTCGATTAGGCTATGCAACACCATTCACATTGATAGATTCGGCTACAGGTTTAGCAAAAGGCCAAAAATCTGATCTTCAATCACTTAAACCAACAATAATGACATCGGTACCATTAGTATTGGAAAGAATTCTCAAACAAATTGATGAAAAACTTCGAAACACTTCGACAATATCTCAAATGGCCATTGAATATCTGATTGATTATAAAGCTCATTGGACTAGTCGTGGTTATCAAAGTCCATTGATTACGTATTTAATTTCCTCGAAAATTCGTGAAAAATTTGGTGGAAATCTTCGTGTAATGATATGTGGTGGTGCAGCATTAGATCCGATTGTTGAATCAAGAATTCGTGCCGCATTAGATGTTATCTTAATGCCTGGTTATGGTGCAACAGAAACAACCGGTGCTGCATTCTGTATGGATTTTCATGGATTAGATTATGGATTTGTTGGTGCACCAATGGGTGATGTTTACTTTCGATTACGTGATTGGAATGAAGGTGGCTATTCTGTACGTGATAAACCAAATCCACGTGGTGAAATTCTTATCGGTGGTGATCTAATTGTTATCGAATATTTTCGTAATTCACCATTGACTTCGGAAACATTTCAAACCGATCAAAATGGAATTCGTTGGTTTCAAACCGGTGATATTGGTGAATTATATCCAAATGGATATCTTAAAATTATTGATCGTCGAAAAGATTTGATTAAATTACAGAATGGTGAATATATTTCATTGGGTAAAGTTGAAGCTGCTCTAAAACGTAGCCAATATGTAGAAAATATCTGTGTATATGGCCACATTATGTCCGATGATCTGGTTGCATTAATTACACCGGAAAGAAATTCCTTGAAACAATTGGCTAAAGATCTGAATAAATCAGATGATATGAATATACAAGATTTATGCAATGATAAAGATATTGAACGCACCGTTTATGAGGATATCACGAAAATGGCCATACAATCTTTGCTGGGCCGAAAAGAAATTCCACGACGAATACGTTTAGTACCAGATGTTTGGTCCAATGAAACCGGTGTATTAACAGCAGCGTTAAAAATGAAACGTCGTGTTGTTGAAAAAATGTATCGACAACAATTGGCTGATTTATATTCCAATCATGATAATAATAATATTGATGCAAATAATAATGTTGCCAAATAATAGTCTGTTTTTTCGAAAAAAAATTGTACAAGATTAGATTGATAATTGATAATTATTTTTGATGAATAAAATCGATACTTTGAAATCAAAATAATGATAAATCGAATGGTGACATAATTCATGGATTCAAATTACCATTGTCATTGTCAATGCTAAAAGGCAATCTTTGTGTGTGTGATTGAATTTCGGATTTTTGAAGATTGTCGATTGATTGATTAATGAATTTGATCGAATTGACATTGTTAAAACATAACATGACATTTCCTCGTTGTTGTTGATCAATCCAAAATGATGAATATGATGATGGTTTCAAGATTTTTATCCATAATTCTCATTATGGTCATGAACATTTCGATTCGAACAATTGTATTCATATCTGCTATTTCCACTCAATGTTTGGAACAACAACCACCACCACGATTAGTTGTAATATCATTTGATGCATTTCGTCCTGATTATATGAATACAACGATAACACCAAATTTGATGAAAATAGCTGTAAATGGTGTGCAAGGAAAAATGCGTTCAACATTCGTTACGAAAACAATGCCAAATCATCAATCAATTGCAACTGGATTATATGAACCATGGCATGGTGTTGTGAATAATTATTTTATCGATCCGATGAATCTAACCAAATTACCATTCTCTACCGATACGGGTGCATCGATTTTCTATTGGGATATGTTCAATCATACGGTACCAATTTATATTGCTAATCAATTAGCCAATATTGATGATGATAATGGTAATAGTTGTAGATTCAGTGGTTCAATGCAATGGCCTGGTTCAATTTCATCATATACTGATGGCCAAAACAATGATCGTCGTTATAGGATTCATTATCAACGAACATTTCATCCAAAATATGATTGGCAAAGTAATATTGAAACCGTTGTCAAATGGATGAACGATGTGGATCAGCCGGCCAATCTGATAATGATGTATTTTGACCAACCAGATAGAAAGGCACATGAATTCGGACCATTCAGTATGGAAGTACGGGAACAAATCAAACATATCGATTTGATTGTTGGACATTTTTTAGATCTATTGGATCAAACAAATTTAACATCCGAAACAAACCTGATCATACTTAGTGATCATGGTATGAGCGATATAACGATGAATCGTGTGATTTACTTGGAAAAATGTCAACATTTATATCCAGGTCTAGATTTTGAGTTGATCGGTCGATCACCAGTATTTTCCGTCATACCATTGTCAAAACCAAATAATAGTGATAATGATGATATCGAACTTATCAATTCAGTACAGCAAGCTCTACGAAATTGTTCACAAAAATTATTTGGAAATCATTTTCAAATCTATCAACAGAATGAAATACCTGAACGTTATCATTATCGTGGAAATCGTCGCATTTTATCATTGTTTATGATTGCCGATGAAGGTTATGAATTAGTGGACATGAATGCAGCAAATGATTGGCAACCACGTAATCATTCATGGGGTGACCATGGATTTGATAATTATCTTGAATCAATGAGACCATTATTCATTGCTGATGGACCAGCATTTCGTCATGGATATATCCACCCAATCGAATTCGAGAATATTGATCTATATCCACTTATGTTGACCATATTGAACATTCCATCGGAACGATTCTTAAATCATAATGGTACATATTCGAATGTTAAACAGATGCTTAATGATGATGAAAAATTATAGAATTTTTTCAAATTTTCAAATTAATTAATTATTTGAATTAATCAAGAATAACAATAATAATGAACTATTAGGAAAATAAAATTTTTAAAATAAAAAATTTTCATAAAATTCTAAATCGACTCGACAGTGTTCAGTTCGGTAGAAATAGCCGTTACAAAAACAAAGGCGGAGTCGAGAATGGTATTGAATGAATGAATGTAAAAAAAAATATTTAGGTTGCCTAATCATTGACGTCTCGTTTTTTTCTTGATGATGGTTGCGATTATCATCATCAAATCATAAAATCAAACAGCAAAAAAAAAAACATACAAAATTTCATTGAAAATTTTGAGCTGTTTTTCCAGTTATTTTTTTTCTTTTTTCCGTTGTTGTTTGTCGAGTGTTTTGATTGTCGTCGTTGTCAAGCTCCAAATAGCCACAAATTAAAAAAAAAAGTGCTGATCATCATCATCAATTGATGACGAGGACAAATAAAATCGATCGAAATCTCAATTTTATCATTGAAAAAAATTTTTGTTAATTAAAAATCATCAGATCAGATTTTTGTTGAAACAGATGATTTCGTGTGGATAATTCAAATGATTCATCGAAAAGTATTCAAATGACGAAACTAGAACTGCAACAACAACAATCAACGATTGTTGAGAACCGTAAATCATTACTATTATATGATGATGAAAATGAATTGGTATTTAGTCTATTAGGACGAAAATGTCTGGTATGTTCATCATTTGATTGTTTTTTTTTTAAATTTGAATTTGAATTAAAATATTTTTCAGTCACAATCAACAGCGGTCATACAATTGTTGATAACACGACCACCGGATCATATACGATGGCAAATCAAATGTACGGGTGTTGTTTGTTTCGTCAAAGATAATCCAAAACGTTCCTATTTTATTCGTGTTTATGATTACGATGTAAGTGAATGTTTTTTTGTTGAAAAAATTTGAAATTTTCAATTTTTCAATTTGAAATCAGAAAAAGACATTGGCCTGGGAACAGGAATTGTATACGACGTTCGAATATAAAAACGTTCGACCTACATTTCATATGTTCGAAGCACATGTAAGTGAGGGTTTTTCGGTTTTTTTTTGAGAATCATCAGTTTTTTTTTCATCTGAAATTAGGATTGTATGGCTGGTCTATATTTTGCCAATGAACAAGAAGCACAACATTTTCTTGAAACTGTTCAAGGAAAGTTGGAAAACCGAAAAAAGAAATCTCAAGGTTTGGAAATTTGTCTTTTTTTTGCTAATCATCTAATTATCGATATGTGAAAAACTTTGTTAGAGAAAAAAATGACGATGAATCATCCAACAATGGCAATGCAATCACAATTTCAACAACATTCATCACAGAATCAACAACAACGACGTCACCAACAACAACACCAACAACAACAATCGTTACATAATCTACAGCCAACTGATCAAGGTGTTTCATGTAAGATTGGGAAAAAATTGATTTTTTTACAAATTTGACTTCAAATTTCTTTTTTTCTCATAACTAGTATCAAGTAGTCGTAATAAATCATTTAATCGTATCTATAAACCCTACAAAGATAAACAACAACGTAATCGTGATAAAAAGAAGGGAATATCCAAGACGGATATTGGAAATCCAACAAATTTCCAACATGTACAACATATTGGTTGGAATTCACAGACACGTTCATTTGAAATGGATAAAATTATTGATAAAAATCTTATATCATGTTTACAAGCACAAGGAATCACCCAAGAACAATTGAAACATGAAGCAGAATTCATTAAACAATTTGTTCAAGATTGGAATCATGGTAATAATAATAATGGTACGATAATTAATCAACCACAACAACAACGGCCAAACGTAACTGGTGGACGTCCAGTTGGTGTACCATTACCACCACCACCACCACCATTATCGCCACCATCGATACCATCAGTGCCTCCTGTTGTAGTTTCGCCTACAACAACAAATTCGAAATCTAATTATAATAAAAGTCAACATCAGCAATATAATGGTGGTCATCATAATCAACAACAACAGCAACAACCGGTAGTTCATTTTCCACCGCCACCACCACCATCATCATCATCATCATCATCATCAAGCCTTTCAACAACAATGGGTAATAATAATCGAAAACAAACAATGGCACCGGCTATTCCTGCTCCAGCTTTAGCGCCAGCACCACCGCCACCACCTCCTCCTCCCCCTCCATCATTGAATGAAATGACATCGTCACCGGCTGCAGTACCACCACCGCCACCACCACCTCCACCACCGCCTTCATCTTTAATTGGTCCAGGTGGTGGTGGTGGTGTTTCCGTTAATAAGCCATCACCATTACCATCAACAAATGATAATCGTTCAGCATTATTGGAGGAAATTCGTCGTGGGGCACAATTGAATCATGTAGATCCAACGGAACAACGTCAAAATGGAAATGGAAATAATAGTTCAACCACTGATGTACGTGGTCAATTATTAGATCAAATTCGTCGTGGTGTTGATCTAAAAAAGGTTGATACAAACGCAAATGCAAAACCTAGCAATGAAATGATTGGTAGAGGTGGTGCATTGGCCGATGCATTAGCACGTGCATTACAGGAACGTGCACAAGATTGGAATCAAACAAGTGATTCAAGTGATAATGATTCAAATGATACAGATGATGATGATGATTGGGATGATTAATTCGATTCGATTTGATTTGGATCTACTTAATTATTATTATTATTATCATTATTGTCATTATTATCATTATTAACTACCTACCTACCTACCTAAGTAACAACAACACCAATTGACAATATTCAATTTTGAAAAAAATACTGCAAAAAAATTTATTATTCAGAAATATTTATTCATTGTTGATCACTTGCTCTCTCTCTCTCTCTCTCCCGTCCTTGCTTACATTTATCATTAGTTTTGACAAATGAAAAAAAAACCGAAATTTTTTTTTGGAAATAAAAAAAATTCCAATGTTAAAGGATTTTTTCTTTATAATTCACACACTTGTTGCATATGCTGTCCATAAAAAATGGATTTTGCTTCTTTTGTGTCAACCCTATTTGAATGGTGAGCTGGGCTAATTTGGAATTTTCACAATTCAAATTCATTGGAAATGTGAATGAACTGTTGCTGTTGTCCACCACCACCACAGGTACATAGTGGAGGTTCATTGGACCATTGTTGTTGTTGTTGTCGATGGCGGTGAAGGTCTTTTTTACTAGTCTAGTTTTCATTTTGTTTTCTTTTAAATGTTTGACCATGGTCTTTGGTGATCTGAACAATAATGAAAATATTTTCACATGAAATTAGAACCAGCCAACTGGTCCATTCGTAGTGGGTCGCGTTATTTTTTTTCGCGTGTGCGTCGGTTGTATGAAAATGTGGTGATGACGAAAAAATATATTTACTCCTCTGAGGCTTTTCAATGATGAGAAAAAAATTATTGCCGCTGAATGAATTTGAACATGTTCTTTTTTGAATGAAAAATTTAAATTCGCTCTCGATCTCGTTCATCAATGAATGAATGAATGAATGAATGATGATGATCGAGATCGTGTAATGGGGGTCACTGGTAGTTGGCCATGGAACACACCTGCTGCTGCTGTTTACGGTTTTTTTTGGGCAAAAAGATCCTGATAATAACTGCATCATGTCAAAGGTCGTTTTACAGACGAGGTCAATCATTAATCTAGTTTAGGTCGTTTTTTGGACAATTTTTTTTTGTTGTTGTTATCGTAGGAAAGCCAAAATTTTCAGTGGGAAAATTTTTATTTAGCCGTGGTGTTGGTGTTGGTGGTGGTGGGTGTAAGATCGATTGATGATTATACAGACCAAAAATTGAATCGGTCGACTCTATTCATAGGAAAGAAAAATTTTTTGGGAGAAAATATTTTTACTTTGACTGTTCCTTACCCTTTCTCTTTTGGTAAAAAAATTTTTTGCTGTTGTTGTTGAGAAATTTCATGAGAATGAAATTTTTGCAAGCACAAATTTTTTGGTTAGTCAAAATTCAAAAATTAAAAAGATCCAATTCACAAATAAAATTCGAATATCAATAATGATATTGTTAAAATCGTCCGATGGAGGGCGCTGGTTGTCCGATCATTTTTTTAGTTCAAATAAAATTCGAATTCGATTCCATTGATGATCTATTATTTGTTGACCAAATATTTACTTGAATTTGAACTTTTTCAGCAATTGAAACAAAAACCAAAGAAGAAACGGAATTTCATTGGAAAAATAAATAGATGATATGTGATAATGTCATCAAAAAAAAATTGTTCCAAAAAAAGAAAATGAAAAAGTTTGTCCCGGATTTTCCCAACAGTTTTCAAATTCATCTGAATTGAATTTCTCAATGAATGATGAAGATCATAGAAAGTACCAAATGATTTGTTTATTCAATTCAATTCAAATGTGGTTGTAAACGGCAAAAAAGATTTTTATTTCTGAATTCGTGTAATGACGTATCAAAATTAAACATCGTAAACACATCAAATGTGTGTAACCATGGTCATGGTCAGACCAAACAACATGACATTTGGCCTTTATTTGTCCGAAACAAATCTTTTACAATTCTATAGAAATCCAATGATGACGATCAGATTTAATGTGATCGGCTTTTTTTTTTATTCCAAAATCTTCACTTTGTTTATATAATGCACACATCTACCATACTTTGCATGAATAGCCAACAAGTTTTTTTCCATCGTTAAATGTATTTGATTAGCAAAGCAAAAAAAAAGCAAACGAGAAAAAAAAATGATCACCATCTTCTTTTTCTTCTTATTAAACACAAACACATCTCTTAAGTCAAGTGTTTGACTTGAAGAATGTGTTTATTATATATTCAATAAGCCGGATACGACTGAAATGATTATGTTGGCCATTGAATAATGGTGATTCGTCTGTTTCTATCTAAAGGTTCACCCAAATTAACGAGCAAAACGAAGAAATTTTTTTTTTATTTTGAATTTTGCCTGCCAAACATGTATTATATTGTGAAAACCAACAAGAAACCTTCGGTCAATATGTTACGATTACGACGAAGAAGAAAGACAATGAAAAAGGATTTTAAAGAGAGAGAGAGAGAGAAAAAACCATTCACTCAGCATTTGCCAGAAATTCTGTTACAAGATTAATTTGAATCGTGAAAATTTTCAAATTAAGAAAAAAAAATTCAAAATTCTCAAGAAAACAGAATGGTGAATCTATTGTTTTTTTTTTTGGTAGGGTGGTATATAATTTCATGTTAACATTCTCAATCTATTTTTGTGGTTGAATTTTTAAGAGATTGAATAAAGTGAATGTAAACAACAAAAACACCCACCACTATATTCTAGAATCTAGATATATAAATAAACATTTGAATCTTTTCACAAAAAAACCAGCAAAAAATGCCATCATTGATTCAAATCATTCATTTCCAATTGATTCACATAACATAAGTCAGTCAGTAACACACACACACACACACACACACATGGTTCATTCAGAGTAAGAAACACTGAATGAATGATGAAGAAAAGAAAAATCCCGAATATTGCGAATCCAATTCTTGAAAAATTGCTTGTCATTGACTTTTCATCTGTGATTGTTGATGTTATATATGTGCGAACATTATTCTCCTCTAAATCAGAATAACGCTGGAACAATGGTTCGTTTAGCATATAAAATTATTATTTAGAGAGATTTATTCATGTTTATATTATTCGCATGTTACAATTCTATTGGAATAAATTCTTTTCATTTTTGGTACATCAAAACAACCACACACAGGGTTAATAACCCTAATCATAATCATAACAACTGGATAATGCCAAATGAACGAAATGAAATGCAAAAAAATCGGTTAATAGAAGAATTTCGTCATTTTTTTTAGTGCATTTAGTTGGTAAATACACGTATTACATCCAGGCCATGTAAAGTATGGAAAATAATCCGTTTCCAATGTATAGTCAGTAAAAGAAAAAACTAAAAAAGCCCAGAAGCTGATGCATAATGACAACACATCAATCAAGGATGAATCCAGGTGGACTATAACTGTAGTGAATTATCTTGGTTTTTGTTTTCAACCAAGACAAGAGTATGGTAATAATGAAGATGGTTTTCAACCAAGCCCGTATTTCATTCATTCATTCATTCAGTTGAATTTTTGTTTCTTCAATTTTCTTTTGTTTTTCATATTGCACAATAATAAACAACCACATAACATAAGCTTACCACCCTAATAAATGTGTGTGTGTGTGTGTGTGTGTTTAAGTTTCAAGTCTAAAGTTTATTAAATACAATGATGATGATGATGATGGTTATTATCATTCATTCATTCATTCATTCAGAAGAAATTAAATCTTTTCATCATCGCCATTATCATTTTAGACATTGTATCTGACAACAGACAATGAAACAAAAAGATGAATGATGTAAGCATGGTGATGTTTGTGGACAAACAAAACAAAAACAAAAAAAAAACAAAAATAAATAAAATAATGGACAAAGAGATCGGAAATCTTCATCATTCTACAGAAAATCATCCATTTGATTGTTGGCTGCTGGCTGATGATGAAAATAATCAGGTAAAATTGGGACATGATTTTTTTTTGTCTTGTTGTTCATCAACATCATTCATTCATGTATGATGAACTTGTTGTTTTTTTTGTCAACTTGAAAAAAAATTAAATTAAATTAAATTTAGCACCCACGACCAACCAATAATTAGTCAAAAAATAATCATTCATTCGTATCAGGCGAAAGAATCGAGAAAAAAAACACCGTAATCAAAAAAAAAAAATGATGATGAATTTCACTGTCATTATCGAACCACCACATCTCATCATCGATGATGGTGTGGTGGTAGCATGCATGAATAGCCAATATCGAAAATAAATTCATGTGTTTTGTGTGTTCAACCATGAAAAGTAGAAAAAAAATCACACATCAATAATCAGTGAACCATAACATTATTATCATCATCATCATCATCATCGATTGATCAATGTAGATCGATTATTTTGATCGAAATAATAATAACAAAAATAATTATTAGTATTGAGAAACGAATTAAAGATGAGTAGACTTAGTTGTCATTGTTGTTGTTGTTGTATCACACGTTTTTTTGTCTTTTTTTATCATTGTTATATATATTTTCTTTCTTTCAGATTCATAAAAATTTGATTCGATTGATTTTGATTTACGCTTTATATGTTTATAAATGGACAACTCTCTCAGTAGAATTGATACCCCTCTTTGCCTGGCCATGTATATAGAAATGGAAAACTTTTACTTTTGTTCGACTTTTCCACAGTCATCATCGTCGACATTTATAATTTTTTTTCTCTCGTTTTTTTCAACTTTTTCATTAAAACGATGATAATAATGACATGATGATTGTCCATTTTTTATCTTGATAGATGTTTGGTGCGAGTGAGTGGGCGGTGGTTGTTTTTTCAAAAAAAAAAAAAAAAATTCTGCTTCATTCAAAGAATTGTAAAAAGAAAATTGAAAACCAAATTAAGCCTAAAGCTATGATAATTTAGTTTTTTTTTGTTGAAAAAAAATGAAAACAAACGACCCATAAACATCTCATCATTGGAAATGCAATGGATCATATATGCTCTGCCTTGAACTTTTTCTTTCTTTCATTTTTCGATGATTTTTGTTTGCATCAAAAGAAAAAAAAACTTTTCAATTTATCCCCTTATGGAACAAACAAATCCAATCCAATCCAGCCATCATATTCAAATATTATTTGGAGGAAAAAAATCTTTTTGTCTGTGTGTGTGTGATTGGATTGTTGATTTCAGTGTCAAATATGTGATGATGATGATGATTTGATTCCAATCGTTTTTTTTCTTCATTGATCTCAATTTCCATTATACACATAACACACACACACACACACACACAAACATTTGATAATTTGATGACACATTGCTTCAGGTCTCAGATTTCTTCCTTTTTTTTAAAAAAAATTTCTGTGTGTGTGTGTGTGCTAT